TGGCAGGTAAATGTAAAGGTAAAGGGACCCCTGACCATTAGGTCCAGTCGTGGCCGACTCTGGGGTTGCAGCGCTCATTTCGCTTTATTGGCCGAGGGAGCTGGTGTACAGCTTCCGGGTCATGTGGCCAGCATGACTAAGCTGCTTCTGGCGAACCAGAGCAGCGCACGGAAAAGCCGTTTACCTTCCCGCCGGAGCGGTACCTATTTATCTACTTGCACTTTGACGTGCTTTGGAACTGCTAGGTTGGCAGGAGCAGGGACCGAGCAACGGGAGCTCACCCCGTCGCGGGGATTCGAAACTGCCGACATTCTGATTGGGAAGCCCTAGGCTCTGTGGTGGGACCCTGATGTTGGGAAAGATGGAGGGCACAAGGAGAAGGGGATGACAGAGGACGAGATGGTTGGACAGTGTTCTCGAAGCTACCAGCATGAGTTTGACCAAACTGCGGGAGGCAGTGGAAGACAGGAGTGCCTGGCGTGTTCTGGTCCATGGGGTCACGAAGAGTCGGACACGACTAAACAACAACAACCGGCTCTGTGGTTTAACCCACAGTGCCACCCGTGTACCTATAATACAGTCATACCTTGGGATAAATATGCTTCAGGATAAGTATTTTCAGGTTGTGCTCTGCGACAACCCGGAAGTAACGGAGTGCGTTACTTCTGGGTTTCGCCACTCGCGCATGCGCAGGTGGTCAATATGACGTCATGCGCATGCGCGGAAGCGGCAAATCGAGACCTGCAGACGCTGGTTGTGTTCGCTTCAGGGGGCGAACGGGGCTCCAGAACGGATCCCGTTTGCATCCCGAGGTACCACTGTAATAATAATACATTTTATTTATACCCTGCCCTCGCAGGGCAGCTAACACCAATAAAATCACAGTAAAAACATAATGGGGGGGGACCCAATTTAAAATACAGGTTAAAATGCAATTTAAAATGCAGCCTCATTTTAAAAGTAGCCGATAAATCAAGACCATAAGGGGAGGGAAACATAAGGGTCAGACTGAGTCCAAACCAAAGGCCAGGCGGAACAACAATAATAAATTTTGACTCTTGGGGGTTCCTTTCAACTCTACCATTTCCCTGATCGCGCCCACCCACCGCTTCCAATACACATGGCCGGCCTTAGCCAGCAGAGGGCTCTATATGAGATCGGATTGACTTGCTGGGAAATAAGAAGAGGGAGAGAGCAAAGCGAAGATCTTTTGAGCTTCCGGATCAAGGAATTTGCTCATCTTCTTCCTTGCAAGTTTCCGGTTTCCCAGGCACTGGAGAGGCAGAGGTCCCTTGTGAGACTAGCCACGGTGAGGCTTCTTTCCCAGGAGATTAAAAGCGTTGCTGCTTCCGCTGTTTGTCTTTGGGATCGGAGTGGGAATAAGAAGGTAAGGGACAAATGGCCATCTCCCACGGCTGTCACGCCCTACCTGCAGTTCTCAGCCTGCAGAGAATATATATATATTAAGGGAACTGCATTTTCCCAAAGGACAGCAGGTGTTTTAGAGAAGCAAGGAAGTAAAACCAGGAAGTAAAGAACTGGGCGCTTGCAAAGATTTGGAGCAGAGTCTTTTCCACGAAGCTGTGGCAAGGCTAGGCAGCCTGTAGCCTTTCCGATATATATTAAAATTATTTATGTTTAAAATGCATGCCCTGCTTTTTGTGGAGCAACTTATAAACTTCCAGAAGTAAAAGCAGCAATTAAAAGATAGTTAAAAAGGATATTGCATGTAGTGCAAAAGGCAGAAAAATCCTTAAATCGGCCACCATAAGACCTTCAGCAATATCCAAGTGGTCTGTAGGGGAGAAAGTCTGGGAAACACTATAATAGATAATTATGGATTCAAGGGAAAAAATAAATAATGGATAAGTATTGGTTGCCAAGATCCAAGTTTGGTGTAAGTACTCTTTGGTGAGAGAACCCCAGTAGAGATTTAAAATCACAAAAATTGCAGCAAAGTGTGGAAATATATGCTGTTAGACCTTCCAAAGTCCCCCTCTTCCCCTAACATAGAAAAAGGCCACACATTTGGTAAGTTAAAAATGGTTTACTTATAAACTCTCCCAAGGCCAGATTCATGTGCTTTTCCATACAGCATTCCAAAAAACGTTGCACAGGCAACTTCCTTGGATTTGAAAGTTAGTGGTGAAAGTTCCTACATTATTGGTATAGGAACTACATTATTGGTATAGGAACTCAAGGTTGGCCAGTGAGAGCCATGCACTCTGAGCTGGAGCAACCAGCACAGGATGAGCTTCCCAAGTAGACTGAAGTACAATAGGGCGTGATTACCTTCCTCCCAAAGTGAGGGGGAGCGACCTAGGCTGAGCCTGGCAGGACAGCTTCCTCTATGGTCTTAACCCCTTCATGTGTTAAGTAGACTTAAACATGTTGGTTATATGAGACTGGTTGCCCCACAATAAGACCATCCATGAGCATGGTACTTTACAAATTCTAGAGGACAATTTGAAATTCCGCACAAGGAAGAAGGGAAGGGAAATAAAAGCAGGGGGTGAACTGGAAGAATATACATTTTAATTATTATATATCCATAAGCTTTATGGATACATGCTAATGAAATGTATCCATAAAGCCTATGAGGAATAGGCTTTATTTTAATTTAATTAGGAATTTAATGAATTTAATTTAATGAGGAATTAAAGAACCTTTTAATGAGGGTGAAAGAGAGAGCGCAAAATATGGTCTGAAGCTCAACATCAAAAAAACGAAGATCATGGCCACTGGTCCCATCACCTCCTGGCAAATAGAAGGGGAAGAAATGGAGGCAGTGAGAGATTTTACTTTCTTGGGCTCCATGATCACTACAGATGGTGACAGCAGCCACGAAATTAAAAGATGCCTGCTTCTTGGGAGAAGGGCAATGACAGGCCTAGACAGCATCTTGAGAAGTAGAGACGTCACCTTGCCAACAAAGGTCCGTATAGTTAAAGCCATGGTTTTCCCAGTAGTGATGTATGGAAGTGAGAGCTGGACCATAAAGAAGGCTGATCGCCGAATAATTGATGCTTTTGAATTATGGTGCTGGAGGAGACTCTTGAGAGTCCCATGGACTGCAAGAAGATCAAACGCATCCATTCTTAAGGAAATCAGACCTGAGTGCTCACTGGAAGGACAGATCGTGAAGCTGAGGCTCCAGTACTTTGGCCACCTCATGAGAAGAGAAGACTCCCTGGAGAAGACACTGATGCTGGGAAAGATGGAGGGCACAAGGAGAAGGGGGCGACAGAGGATGAGATGGTTGGATAGTGTTTTCGAGGTTACCAGCATGAGTTTGACCAAACTGCGGGAGATATTGGGGGACAGAGGTGCCTGGCGTGCTCTGGTCCATGGGGTCACGAAGAGTCGGACACGACTAAACGACTAAACAACAACAACAACAACAACAATAGGCTTAAGCTGCAATCCTATATAGACTTATCTAGGAGCCAGACCCATTGAGCTCAGTGGGGCTTATTTCTGAGTAAACGTGCATTAGCTATAGCCCCAAACCCAGTGGCCTCCAAATATTTTGGACAATTCATAATAATAATAATAGTTTTATTTTTTATACCATGCCCATCAGGCTGGGTTTCCCCAGCCACTTTGGGGAAACCTAGATCAGCCATGATCATTGGTCGTGCTGGTTGGGCCTGATGTGAGTTGCGGTCCAAAATGTATGGAGGGCACCAGGTTGGGGAAGCCTGTAGGATATGGGTATTAAGGGCATGTGAAAGGAAGGACATGCAGGCCTATGCATTAGCATCCTGTCTCCGACCTTGTGAGGATTTCCCAACCTTTGCCATGTTGGGGCATGACCTCTGCATGGAAATTCCTAGTGCAATTTAGAAATCTGGGTGGTTGAGGTTCTAAATCGCGCAGGGAGCTTCCAGTCACAGAGAAGGCGCTCTGCATCAGAAGTTATGCCCTGATACCTGTGGGAAAATGATTGCTTGTACATAAGAGCACGAACAAAGTTCTTATTATTGCAGGGTGATTTCATAGCTAAAATCATCCTTGGAGCATGAACAGCGCGTGAATAGCTCGTGCTGTCCTAAATGATTGGTCAACATAACATAGCCTGATTGTCTGCGTGGTCTAGTGCGATGGCCCTTATCTGCTGGCTGAGAACAAGGTTGCATTCTTGTGATTGTTACTTTTCTTGTACCAGGCAGAGCAAGCGTTGGGCTGGAGGTAGAGAGGATGTATTTTTTGCTGTGCACAATAAAGGTTGGCTATTAGGCTCTTTGAATCCAACTTGGCGTGAGACTGATTATTGATGTCGAGCAGGCTCTCGACAGATACCTGTGTGTGGGAGGGGCCGCAGGACTTTGGGGGTGGAGCTAAATGCACAATGCCCACCGTCCTCTTCACCTCATGTGCTCCCTTAATGGAGGTAACACACAAGAGGGATTTCCTCTCCCATCTAAATGACTGAGAAATGGGTTTCCTCCGTTATCTTTGCAGGGAATGGTTTGTTTATTGCAGGCTTCCTCAACCTCGGCCCTCCAGATGTTTTTGGCCTACAACTCCCATGATCCCTGGTTAGCATTTTAGTGTTTAGTTGGAAGCCGCCCAGAGTGGCTGGGGGGACCCAGCCAGATGGGCAGAGTATAAATAAATTAATTATTATTATTATTATTATTATTATTATTATTATTATTATTATTATTATTATTAAACTCTCTGTGTCTTGGCAGAATGAAGAGGAGAACGTGATGGACCATCTGGTACGTCATCCATATCCTGTGCGGAAGAATAAAAGTGAAGGGCTTGAATGAGGGTAACTCCAGCTAAGTAAACAGACAGATCTGACTAGGGAATATTACTGGTCAGAACACAATTTAATCATCCGTCACACAGCAAAGTCAGCTTCGAAATATTTTGACTTTGAATACATCGTTCAGCCTGAAGCTTCAATTTTACCCCTTGTCAAGAAACGTGCAAAGCAGGGACTCTTTATCATTTTTGGGGGCTCAGGAGACACAACTGGAGAATAAACTTGCCTGCAGCATCACATGGGAGAGAAATTATTTCAATGCCCCAATTTTGGGGAAAGCTTCCTGGGCCGCTCAGATCCTTTCGAACATCAAGCCGAACTGTACAGATGCCTGGAGTGTGGGAAATGTTTCACTCACAGCAAGAACCTCAGCACTCATCAGAGAATCCACACTGGAGAAAAGCCGTACAAGTGCCCCGAATGTGGGAAAAGGTACGGTGCCAGCTCCACTCTGAGCCGACACAGAAAAATCCACATGGAAGAAAAGCCCTACAAATGCCCCGTGTGCGAGAAGAGTTTCAGTTACAAAGCAGACCTCATTAAACACCACCGGGTTCACACCGGGGAGAAACCTTACGTCTGCGGCGAGTGTGGGAAAAGCTTCAGTCAGAGCTCAAACTTCGTGACGCATCAGAGAAGCCACACGGGAGAGAAACCTTACGAATGCCCCGACTGTGGGAAAAGTTTCACTGTGAGTTCGAGCCTTATTGAACATCAGAGAGTCCACACGTCCGAGAAGCCCTTTTTGTGCGCGGAATGCGGGAAAAGCTTCAACCGGAGCTCCCATCTCAACGTGCACCGGAGAATTCACACAGGAGAGAGGCCCTTCCAGTGCCCCGATTGTGGGAAAGGCTTTACTATCCTTTCCACCCTTAGTAAACACCAGAGAATCCACACGGGAGAAAAACCGTATAAATGTCCCGACTGTGAGCGGAGCTTTAGGGTGAGCTCAATTCTTACGCAGCATATTAGAACCCACACGGGAGAGAAACCGTATGTTTGCCCCGACTGTGGGAGAAGCTTCAGCCAAAAATCGCCCCTCATCGCTCATCAGAAACTTCACGTTCGTAAGAAAATGCCATAGGCGACTGCTCTGCGACAAAAGGGGCCGTCTGCACTGTACGTTTAAAGCGGTATCATACCACTTTGAAGACAGCCATGGCTTCTTGCAAACAATCCTGAGAAACTGTAGTTTGTTAAGGGTGCTGTGAGTTGCTAAGGGGTGTCCGTTCCCCTCATAAACCTACAATTCCCATAATTCCCTGGGAAGAGGGATTGACTGTTAAACCCTTCTGAGAATTGTAGAAGATGGGACCACATTGCTGTGACTGGCAAATCATTGAGTCGTAATTATCATAGCTTGGCATAAGAAAATGTGCCGTGATAGGTGATAACTTTCACTCCTGGATAGGTTTTCTTTCTTTCTATTAAAAATATCCTCCCACCTTTACTTTTTTAAAAAATACAACCTCCCCTTTCCTCCCGATTCAGGAATTGATTATTAAACCACTGTGACTACTGCAGTTCTGTGAGGGAAATAAGGGTGTTCATTGTTGCTAGGAAACCCTCAACAGACTACAGCTCCCAGAATTCTTTGGGGGAAACCATGACAGTGTAAAATGGTATCATGGTACTTAAAACGCATGGTGTGAATAGAATGCCAACTCCTTTTTTTAAAAAAATGAGATTTATTTATTTATTAAATTTTGTGCCCTGCCCTTCCTCCTTAAGGATCCCGGCATGGCAAAAATCGGATGTTAAAACAGTACAATTTAAAATAAAAATATTTTTAAAACTGCCTAGAAACATTTAGGGCATCCAGCACCATAGTTCTTCAAACAGAATTTTTTAAATGATGAAAATACAATAATAAAATATATTATTTACATTTTCTCAAAATTACTCCCCCCCCCCCAAAAAAAAACCAGAGTCCTTTTTACTGGGGATAAACCAGAATGAAATTTCCAGGTGCCAGGAAAGGTTATTCATGTACGCAACAATTGCGGCCCGTGTTTTGTTAGCCCCAAAATGGAAAGTGAGCGAGGGCAACTTAAGTTGACAGATTTAACATATGGAATAAGAGAGCAAGAAGAACGTACGTTTAAAGAAGATTGGAAAGCATTTATTGAATATATGGAAAATAACTGTGTACAGCTGAAAACGCTGGCAGCATTAAGATAAATTCAACAGAGTAAATAATTTTTGATGGCTGTAAAAGTGGAAAATTGATTTGAATAGTTATAGTAATATACACAGGGATGTGTGATATGTAAAACAAACCATGGAAAGAGAAGAAAGGGAAGTCGCTGGATATTTCAAAGTTAGTAAAATGTTTATTTGAAATTGTAAAACAAAAATTGTAATAAAAATTATTATTTAAAAAATACATCTGAATTGTTCACAGTGTCAAATGTAAATTTGTCGGGAGCTTATAAGCTACAGCAAAAATTGCAAAACGACCCTCTGGAAAGTGCATCTGCCACAGCAAAACGAACAAAATGTCATAAGATAAATTCTTACCCATAAAATCTATGGTAGCATAAGCTCTCATGGACTAGTTAGTTCATAGAAAATACATACTGTATTAGTATTACTACTAATTAATTTGTTAGCTGCTTGACATAAGGCAGTCTAAGTGGTTCACAATCAAGTTTTAAAAACTTATACATAAAACATTATATTCCACCACGGGGCAAGAGGCAGGATTCTGCAACCCAGAGGAATACTCATATGCCACCTCTGCTCGGTTGAATCAAAATCCATCAAATTCCTGGGCGAAGAAAAAAGTCTTAAACCAACCCTGTAACAAAACGTTGGCACCTCTCACTGAGCACAAATTCATCAACTTATTTTAAAGCATTTATATACTGCTTTGAGGCAATCAACTGAAGATCACATAACCTTAAGTTATAATTTGACCATTACAGCAAGACTAATTGTGCTGGAAACACGATGCTGCCTTATGCCAGGCTCTGCCAACCTGGTGCCCTCTGTACTGGTTGGAGTTGCTGGGAGTTTGAGTCCAATCACTGCCAACACCCCTCCAAGGCCCCAAGCAGGCTTTCTCCAGAGTTTGCCACCTCTATAGCGGAAGCGTTTGTATGCTGATAGTGACAGCATCTGTGCTGTTCTGCGAGGTTTTCTTTTTCCCTCAGCTTCCAACTGGTGATGTTCCTTCCACTGAGCGGATGCCTTCATAACTCCTGGAACGAGAAGAGAAAATTAAGTGGCTTTTTCCTGGAAAGAAGCACTAGGCTGTTATCCTGACATCACTGAGGTCCAGCTCCGAGGGCCTTCTGGCGGTTCCCTCGTTACAAGAAGCCAAGTTACAGGGAACCAGGCAGAGGGCCTTCTCAGTAGTGGCACCCGCCCTCCCACCAGATGTCAAAGAGAAAAATAACTACCAAACTTTTAGAAGACACCTGAAGGCAGCCCTGTTTAGGGAAGCTTTTAAGGTTCAATAGGTTATTTTATTTTAGTGTTTTGTTGGAAGCCGCCCAGAGTGGCTGGGGAAACCCAGCCAGATGGGCGGGGTATAAATAATAAATTATTATTATTATGGCAGGCCCTATCCACATGGATAGGATTTTGGCCACGTGTATCTGATAAACGCTCTCTGGCCAGGCAACTTTTGCACTCTGCTGACCTCTGTATGCCAAGGATGCTGCTGCTCCTGTTGTTGCTGTTAAGTTTTTTCTGCCGTAAGATAACTTTCTACATTGACTGCTCCGTCAAAGAACCATTGCGTGTTGCAGAGGATTCTGGGAAACGTTCTGCAGCATAAAGTCTGTTCATGGAGAGGGAGTTTCCTAAACTGGCCTATTGCCGAGTGTGAACTGAGAGTGCAAAAGAGAAAACTCTTCTGTACAGTGGTACCTTGGTTCTCAAATGCCTTGGTACTTAAACAACTTGGAACCCAAACACTGCAAAACCCGGAAGTAAGTGTTCCAGTTTGCAAACTTTTTCTGGAAACTGAACGTGCTCCATTTTGAGCGCCACACTTCCGTTTTAAGTGTTACGCTGAGGTCTGTCTATTTTTGCTATTTATTTTGCACTTTTGTTTTTGCGGCTTTTTTGTTTTTGTTTTTGTGACTGTGGAATCCAGTTCAGCTACAGATTGATTGATTGTGTGAATGCGGTACATAGTTTATTGCTTTTATTTTATGGATCAATCATCTCGTTAGATAGTAAAATTCATATTAAATTGCTGTTTTAGGGGTTGTTTTTAAAAGTCTGGAACAGATTAATCCATTTTGCATTACTTTCTATGGGAAAGCGCGCCTTGGTTTTGGAACACTTTGGTTTTCCAACGGACTTCTGGAACGGATTAAGTTTGAGAACCAAGGTGCCGCTGTAGTTGCACACTGCAGAGGGAGCAGAGCGGGGCATCGGTAGTAGGGGCTTCAGCTGTGGTTCAGTAGCTGCTTTTGAGCTACCCACCAGGCATCTCGCTGGCATGTGAGAACTTATAGGACACTATTGTTTCAGCATTCCATGGAACACCGTTTGAAATGCAGTTCATCCGTCCCACACCCCCCACCCCGCTTTTCAAGTTGCATTTCCTGTTCCCACCAGAGGGCAGCGATGTCTGCCAATGCAGATTTCCTGTTTGGTTTCCCTGCCCCTTCAGCACCACACAACACACACACACACACACACACACACACCCTTCCCAGGACGCCTGCTCACGAAGCTGCTATCTGTGCATGCACAATAGTAGTACACTTCAGCTTAAATGTGGCTTATTTTTTCCCATGCTGTAAATCGTAAACATTTGAAAAGGGGATAGAGGAAAACTTACCCACGTCTCCTCTGCCGGTAAATTACTACACCTGCCACAATTGCGACTACAGCTAGTAAAGCAACGACAATCCCTATACTTAGCGCAGCCTTGTTTCCTCTGCCATCTGGGGAACACAGTAGACAAGAAAAGAAAAGGCGACAGGATTAGAGAGAGAGGAGACCCACAACAAGTCAAACCAATGTCTCCACCCTACAACCAAGCTGAACACAGTCTAGTGTTGAATACCTACCGTATTTTTCGCTCTATAGGACGCACCTTGTTTTAAAGGGGGAGAACAAGGAAAAAAAACTCTCCCTCTCTGCGCAGCGCCCCTCCAGCGAAGCGGCCGGAGAAGCTGAGACCCTTCCATTTTTCCTCCCGCTTAGCTGAAGGGGCGCTGCACCATAGCTGAAGGGGCACCTACCCTTCAGCAAAAGGAACCCGAAGCCTCCGGAGCGCAGCGGGAGCTCCTGTTGCGCTTTGGAGGCTTCAGGCGGCTATCTTTGAAGCCTGGAGAGCGAGAGGGGTCAGTGCGCACCGACCCCTCTCGCTCTCCAGGCTTCAGCGAAAGCAACGCGAAGCCTCCGGAGCGCGGTGGGAGCGCTCCCACTGCGCTTCGGAGGCTTCGCGTTGCTATTGCTGAAGCCAAGGAGCCTGCATTCGCTCCATAGGACGTACACACATTTCCCCTTAATTTTTGGAGGAGAAAACGTGCGTCTTATAGAGCGGAAAATACGGTACTCTGTGGCAGCGTATGCATATGTGGACCTGAGTGAAAACTATCTACAGTAAGCCCCTGCTGGCCCAGGGTGAGAACTTCAGTACATAACACCGCCTCTTTGCTATCCTTCCACCAGCAGGTGAAGACTTTCTTGTTCCAGGTCTCCAGCTTGCGTGACAAGTCAATGGCGGTTGCCCTCAGTGGGCAGTGAGGAGGTTGAGGCAGGGGGAAACCTGGAGGGCACATCCTGGCAATGTTCCCCAGTGGGGTCTGGGGAGTTCACTGCATCCCGCTGTGCCGCTCAAGCCTGTGTCTGCCAACTTGAAAGGCAGAATGGGTGCGACCTGGGAATGTCCCCTGCCATGGATGAGCCTCTGTCTCCGCCATGATCTGTGCTGGAACCTGGAATGTTGGTGTCAGTCAAGAGATGCTCCTGAACCAACATATGCCAACGGGCTGCAATCAATCAGCTGCCAAAAGGACGGGGCTTGGTTCTTTGAAGGTACAGTGGTACCTTGGTTTTCGAACAGCTTAGTTCATGAACAACTTGGAACCTGAATGCTGCAAAACCGGAAGTAGGTGTTCCGGTTTTTGAACTTTGTATTGTCAATTTGTGTTGTTATTGTTATTATTATGGTTTTTTGGTGTACATGTCTTTTTAGTTTGGTGTTTGTACTGATTGGGAAAAGTGAATAAAAAAAAACAAGAATGAACGGCTGCCAAATAGATCTGGCAAGAGGCTCAATTTGAGAAAATATTTTGTTTTTAACTGTGTGCAGAGGAAGAACTTTTAATGGTGAAGACTGGACATGTATTCTGTGAGTTATTTATGGCTGCAGCGCATACTCTAGTTGGTGAACAGGGGAAGGAAATGGAATGGGACCTTGTACTATCCAGATAAGCACTGCAATGAACTGAACAATGGAAGAGAATTATAATAATAGTAATAATTTATTATTTATACCCCGCCCATCTGGCTGGGTTTCCCCAGCCACTCTGGGCAGCTTCCAACCGAATATTAAAAACCTCAGTGTCCAGGCGGGATGATGGGGGTGGAGACGCTCCTTCAGGTATACTGGGCCGAGGCTGTTTAGGGCTTTAAAGGTCAGCACCAACACTTTGAACTGTGCTCGGAAACGTACTGGGAGCCAATGTAGGTCTTTCAAGACCGGTGTTATGTGGTCTCGGCGGGCACTCCCAGTCACCTGTCTAGCTGCCGCATTCTGGATTAATTGCAGTTTCCAGGTGACCTTCAAAGGTAGCCCCACGTAGAGCACATTGCGGTAGTCCAAGTGGGAGATAACTAGAGCATGCACCACTCTGGCGAGACAGTCCACAGGCAGGTAGGGTCTCAGCCTGCGTACCAGGTGGAGCTGGTAAACAGCTGCCCTGGACACAGAATTGACCTGCGCCTCCATGGACAGCTGTGAGTCCAAAATGACTCCCAGGCTGCGCACCTGGTCCTTCAGGGGCACAGTTACCCCATTAAGGATCAGGAAGTCCTCCACACCAGCCCGCCAGGACTGAAACACCATTGTACATGAAGGACTACACACATGAAATGGATTTTATACTTATAAGATGTAACAGAGGCGCTGTTTGTAATGAGGGAAAAGCATTCAGCTGTAATGATGTAACTGCGAGTGAAATATGACAACTGGACACTAAATAAATGATGCAGCTATAGGAGAAAACGATCACCATATGTTTGCAACTGGAGCGGGAAACCTGATTTCAAGAAACTGTATTAAATGTAAGTAATATGGTTGTATTTGTAATAATTTGGAAAATCAATAAAAATAATTTGGAAAAAGATTTTCCTGTTCCAACAGACCTTTGGGATTTAACAGATATTTAAGGAAAGAACTTTTAATAGTGCTGCACTGTTTTTATTGTTTGTGTTTTAATAGATCTGTTTTTCACATTGCTTTAAATAGTTTAGAATTTAATTAACCTTTAATGATGACCTTTTCTATGTTTTTAGCTTTCTGCATTTTATTTGTTCTGTTTTAATTTGTGTAAGCTGCCTTACATCCTGTTTTGGGGAAAAGGTGAGATGCAAGTAAATTATAATAGTAACAACAGTAATAATTGTTTTCGGTTTTTTGCAAATCACTTTGAGAGGTGGGCTTTGTTTGTAATCAAGCGGTGCATGCATTGCATGAACTAAAATATGTAAATAAATTATATGTATGTACTAATCCTCTCTCCAACCACAAATCCCAACCAACTGTGGTGAAACCTTCACTTTGATTGGTTGGGGAGAGCTGAAAATATCTATGAAGTGCACGCAGTAACCAATCATGTTATGTAACCAAACAGCAGAAATAGCGCTTCATATTTCATAATCGTCCTGGCGAGGTTCAAGAGTCAACAAAAAAGGCGAGGTTTCTGCAACTGTCTGCCCACTGAAAGGCTCGAGATACTGTAATCTTTGCAGGCTGGCTCAGTAAACAAGTTGGCTCAGTAGGCAAGATAGGAATTTTCTTTTTCTTTCAAAATAACTGCTCATTTTGGTGAAGTTTCAGCTAACCCCAGAAACAATTTTAACAGAATAAAGACTAGCAAGGGGATATTGTGATAGGAATTTTATGGTCTTAGATATATGGTAATGTTCATAAGTGTACCAACCAAGCACGTACATAGATCAGCACAGGAAGACCGACCTGGAACCATTTTGATTTCTAAACTGAGCAAATGTTTTCTCTGCAAGGTCAAAGTGGGAAACCTCCCCATTGTCTCTTTCCTCACAAATCCTGTCTTAAGGGCACATTTAAGATATGAATAGTGTGTGAGCCTGTGACCTGGCCCAGGAACTAAGTATTTATCATTACAAAAGACTAGCCAGGCTCTCCAGGAAATCCAATCAAGTAACCTGCCAGACAGGAGATAAATGACAGGAGAAAAACAACATTCAAAATTTCTGTTTTAGACCGCCTTTTCTGTGATGTAGGTATGATGCATCTGAGGGGTGGTCTTAGGTTACACCCCTTCTGTGATGTATGTATGATGTTTCTGGGGGTGGTCTTGATCTACAGGGTGGCAATTTCAAAAGTCTTTATAAGGCCTTGCACGCCATTGTTCTGGGTTCCTCCTCTCTCCTGCGGGTGAGGGGAGAACCCTGTTGCAACAGATCAATAAAGATCAAGCTTACTAGCTGCTTTGCTTCTCAATATTCTCTGGTTGGCCTCTGTTATTTTCTCCTACCAATAGGGAACCTATGTAAGGACACTATATGGGCTCTTGGATACCCCATAAGGCAAAAGGGCAAATTTTGTTTACAACAATGTGGTGTGGGAATTATCGCTGCCATCCCTTGGCATTCAAAAATAAAGCAGTAGCTAATGCGTGCCACCCTCTTCCTAACAGAGACGTGCAATATTTTTCTGTACCCAAAGTACCTACCCCAAGGGATGATTTTCACCCCCAGGCTGATGTGCTGCACCCTGCAAGCGTAACTGTGCTCATCTGCTGACTTAATAACCAGAGTACTCCTGATCTGGTAAGTCAGGTCGTGGTTAGGCAGTATCTCGGTGGAGTTGAAGTCTGAGCTGGGCAGCTCTTTGTCATCCTGCAGCCAGGAGACGTTGATGGGTCGTGGGTAGAATCCGGTGACTCGGCAAACCAGCAGCAAAGAGTCGGGGGCTGGCGGGGTCTTGTGGGTGAAGACCTGATAGTCTGGCGACACTGAGAGAGCAGAACAGTTCAGAACGCAAGTTACATATGCTTACAAAGCCACGCCACGCCACGCTCTCCCCCGAGCCTCCCAGAATCTGAGATGATTTGCACAAGCACTGGGTGTGCAGTGTCAGGAGCCGTCGTACTCTCAAGTAAGACCATGGCAGAGACACATGCCAGACTGGCATGTTCTCTCCCTCCTGGTCGATCATTTGGGAGCTTCAAAAGCTTTCTTCTGCCCGAACATCAAAGTGACTGATGCCTTGGAGACATCGGCACACCGCAGAAACTTCACAGCTTGTGTAAGAGACCTCAGCAACTCAGCATTTTGGCTAATCTACTTTACTTACATATAAACACACACGGAGCGCTGCAACATGGCTCCCTCTCTCTCTAGCATCAGATAGCAAAGAGAGAGAACAAAGGACAATAGTCCCACTTCACGGAACACAGTAACACAAACATCCTGTCTCTGTCACTTCCCACTCTGCAGAATGAAAACATACACTGTCATGGGAAAGACAACAATCCCATGACTGCAGACACGGGGAATGAATCTCCAATATGTGGCACCCGTTTGAGACTGCTGCATGCAGTCAGCTCCCTGTCTTCTTGTGTACAGAAGAGTCGCAAGGAGACTCAGCTGTGTAGGAGGTTATGCTTTTTATGTGTCGTTACATTTGGGGTCATTTGAGGTGGGATGTGCAACACATTTAATACCTATTAAACCAAACTGGGGTGTGTGGTCAAGAACAGGGAAGGTGGCAGTCTCTCTTCCTGTTTCTCCAAACAGGAACAGCCTGCTGGATTAGCCCTGTATCCTGTTCTCACAGTGGCCAACAGATGCCTGTGGGGCAACCCGAAAGCAGGATTTGAGCACAATAGTGCTTTCCACCTGCCTGGCCTGTGGCTTCCAGCAACTGGGATTCAAAGTCACAGCATTACTGCCTCGGACTTTAGAGGCAGAGCATAGCAAATGGTGCAGGGATTGTTCTTTCACAGAACTAGTTCCGACTATTAGCTTAGAGGCTTCAGAAGAGGAGTGGGGAACCTTGGGGCCTGTTTTGCTGGACTACAATTCCCATCAGCCCCAGCCAGCATAACAATGGCAAGTGGCGGTGGGAGATGCAGTTCAGGAACGTCAGGAGCGTCACAGATTTCCCCACACTTGTTTTAGGACCTCATCAAGGTACTGAAGTAACCCTGCTCTAGCTTCTGCTGTAAAGGTAAAAGGTGAGTTAAAGGACCCCTGGACGGTTAAGTCCAGTCAAAGGCGACTCTGGGGTTGTGGTGCTCATCTCGCTTTCCGGCGTTTGTCCACAGATAGCTTTCCGGGTCATGTGGCCAGCAGGACTAAACTGCTGCTGGCACAACGGGACACCATGACGGAAGCCAGAGCACACAAAAACGCTGTGTACCTTCCCGCTGGAGCAGTACCTATTTATCTACTTGCACTGGTGTGCTTTTGAACTGCTAGGTTGTCAGGAGCTGGGACAGAGCAACGGGAGCTCATTCCATTGCGGGGATTCGAACCGCCGACCTGCCAATCGGCAAGCCCAAGAGGGTTTAGGCCACAGCGCCACCCGTGTCCCTGCCCGTCAGGTTGGCCGAGTGGTCTACGGCACCAGACTCAAGGTTGATTCCTTCCCACCTCTGGGGTGTTCTGGTCTCCGAATGGGGGTGTGCCCATCCTTCTGACACATCCTTCTGCTGGACATGATCTAAGGGCCAAAGTGTAATTCAGATCAAATATGCGTGAGCAGCAGAAGCAGATTGCAGGAGTTCTTGCTCAAAACCACAGACCCCCTTGAAAGTGGATTATTAGCCCAAGAGTGGGAAGCTTCCAGTCTGTGCAATTGGGAAGCGTAGCGCCTGTGAGTTTTTTCCTCATTTATCTCTGGGGGGAGAACGTGTGCTGCCCTTTGTTCCTTGGAGGAAAAAGAAAAAGGAAGTAAATAAATTGCTAGTTTCCAGTCTCACCCTGCCTCTGCACAGCCTCCTTTCCGGTCTCAAGGAAGGTGTTGTGAGCTCCGATGCACTGGCCCAGCAGAAGTTTCTGTAGAGTTCCAGCTGTGCCCTTGTCACCATTCAGGATCTGTTGAACATAGGCAGCCATCGCATTGTCCTGCAGAGCAACCCAGCTGCCGTTATCTGCACTGAAGGTGACAATGGATTCCCCTTCTAAGGCAGCGTCGTAGAAGCCCCTCGTCGTCCCGTTGGACGTGGACTCACAAAAGATCAAGGACTGCACCACGAAAGGATCTGGGTGTTGAAATGAGTTATTGGGGGTATAAAAGAAATGGAAGGGGAGTCCTTAGAAGGTAAAGATACAGGACCTTTCTCTGCAGCTTTTATTTTTTATGTTATTTTATTGTTTGAGGGTTCCCCCCCTCCACCGCCCCCAACCCAGTGGTATATAAATATTTTGAAGTGCCTCGCAAGACGAAATTAATTCGTTCCGCGAGTTTTTTCGTCTTGCGATTTTTCCGTCTTGCAAAGCACGGTTTCGGAAAAGTTTTGGAAAAGCTTCAAAAATCACCAAAGTCTTCAAAAACCTCAAAAAAGGCTACCACACCGCGTGCTATGAGTTGCTCCTCGAAGTCAAGTCGCAACTGTATTAACGGTTTTAAGAAAAAGGAAACAAACTTGCAAGACGTTTCCGTCTTGCGAAGCAAGCCCATAGGGAAAATCGTCTTGCGAAGCAGCTCAAAAAAACCAAAAACCCTTTCGTCTTGCGGGTTTTTTGTCTTGCGAGGCATTCGTCTTGCGAGGTACCACTGTAAAATGAACAAAACTTTGCAGCGGATTCTGATATGTTACATTCAGCAGAAGGCTCTTCCGGCTTAGGATCTGGGGGCTTTCCACCGCAAATTATTCCCTGCTCCCAAAAGACGGGTATATTAAGTCGGGTGCGAGCTTCTGCTAAAGATGTACAGAAATGGCGGAGCCTCTAAGGCAGGGGTGGTGGGAACTCTCAGCTCTCCCGATGTTACTGCCCTCCCAACTCCCATGAATTTAACCCCCACATTTGCAGGGGTTGGGGTCACCCTCTCTACCCCCTCAATTCCCATGAATTCCACATAGTGCATTATTAAATTATGGAGTTGGCTCCCAAAAAATGGAGTGATGACCACCAACTTAGATGGGTTAAAAAAAACAACAACAAATCTGTGTTCCCTGAGGCTGATGGGAATTGTAGTCCAAAGCGCCTTCAGGGCACCGTGTTCCAAAGCCTGCAACAGACCAGGAGCCCATGATACACTGTCTGACGGCAGAGCAACCAACCCCCATGGCAGCCAGGAACGGATAAGACAGGAAAAGGCCTTACCAGCTGCTTTTTATTCAATATTCACAGAGAGAGGCTTGGGAATGCAGCCTCTTGGGGCAATGGCGTTGTCCCGAGTGAGTCATCGCTACAGGTGCTGAGAAGTGCCCTTTGCCTTTGAGCTCTTCGCTCTCCTACTTTCAAGGTTTGCCAGGTTCTGGGAGAGGGAAGGTCTGGAATGCTTTCTAAAGAGACTGTGTCCGTCAGCTGTCTCCCCCTGGCGCTTCTTCCTCTTCCTCCTCTCCCATTATTTTCCACTTTTCCCCTCATCTGCCTCTGAGTTGTGATCTCCCTCAAACCCCTGTTGTAATTCTGAACTGTCTCCTTCTTCTCTGGAAGGGTCAGGCTGGGGAGGCGGTCTCCACCATTCCTCCTCAGCCCAGTCCCTGACCTAGAAATACCCACAATGCAGCTCTATACACACAGGGAGCAGACCAAACCTGAGAATATGGGTCTGGGGGGAAATCAGATAACAGAGGAATCTCCTGTCACACACAGCCCAGTAGAGGGCCCAAGCCCATTTAGATCAGGGGTCAGCAACCTTTTTCAGCTGTGGGCCGGTCACTGTCCCTCAACCATCGTGGTCGGCCGGATTATATTTAAAAAAAATAATGGAACGAATTCCTATGCCCCGCAAGTAACCCAGAGATGCATTTTAAATAAAAAATAACACATTCTACTCATGTAAAACACAACTGATCCCGGACGCAATCCGCGGGCCGGATTTAGAAGCATTGGCCGCACCGGCCTCTGGGCCTTAGGTTGCCTACCCCGATTTAGATTATCTCTCCACCAAGAAGACCACATCCACTCCTGAGAAGAACAGAAACCAGTGGCGATACTTACAGCTGCCTTTGACGAAACACGACCATTTTGTTGATGGTTTGTACGAAGCCTAGGAAGTAGCCTTTGATAATCTTCAGCAGGCCGTCCCACTCTTGAGGCGTGAGGCCGCTTCTGCCCCAAGGCTGGAGGAACTTGAACTTCCAGGTGTTGGTATCCAACGTAACTACCGCCACGTCTCCCAGAAAAGTAGTGCCCTCGATGTCAGTGTCACTGGCATTGTGGAACACCACCGTCTGAAGCAGGCAGAGGGCATGGGGTGTTTCCGGGAGAGGAAGGGAGGCTGGTGGGGGAAGAGTAGATAAATAAAGGCTGGGTGGCTCAGTTGGTTAGAGCATGGTGCTGATGACACCAAGGCCGTGGGTTCGATCCCCGTATGGGACAGCTGCATTGCAGACCCCTGGACTAGATGATGGTCAGGGTCCCTTCCAACTCTTCTGATTCTATGAATAATAGGCAAGAGGAAACATCTATGTCCCACTCCTGCACCCTTCACAGCAGCTTGACGTACAAGAAAGAAATCAGGTGGCCAATTGCTCCGGAGCGGCAGGGCTCCTCTGCCTTTAATGTTAATAGTTGAGGAGAGAATTTTGGCTGGTGATCGCATCAGGGGAAAAGAGAGAGAGTTTGGATTTGATATCCGGCTTTATCACTACCCAAAGGAGTCTCAAAGCGGCTAACAATCTCCTTTCCCTTCCTCCCCCACAACAAACACTCTGTGAGGTGAGTGGGGCTGAGAGATCTCAAAGAAGTGTGACTAGCCCAAGGTCACCCAGCAGCTGCATGTGGAGGAGCGGAGACGCGAACCCGGTTCCCCAGATTACGAGACTACCGCTCTTAACCACTACACCACACTGGCTCTCAAGACAGCCCGGGGGGTTCCCACTTAGGAGAATGACCAGGAAAGCACCCCCCCCCGCCAGACACAGCAGGTGGGACAGAGCTATCCCTCCAACATCTGCGTCTCTGCAGCTAATCTGGGCAGGGCAGGTGGGTGGCAAGGGTGAGGAGGGGCAGATGCAAATACTGCACTCCTCCCAATGTGTCCACACAGCCACTGGCCTGCTCTACACACACCCCTCCCACCAAATCAGCCACAGCCACTCTTGTGTTGGTAAAGTTGCTCCACAGCTCGGCCAAACCACACTGCTGTTTGCAACCCTAAAAAGCCCCCCACCGGCTGTCACCATTTCTTTCTTACGTATAATCACAAGAAGGCAAGTCTATCTTCCATAGCCATGGCTCATAAATAAACCTTATCCGTCAACCTTCCTGTGAACTGTTAATTAAAAGCTTCCTGTTTGCAGGTTCTGCCTATTTTATTTCTCCTGGTGGTTCATTGTTAAGGGATTAATGAATAGCCCTCATGGTTATCCCACTGAATAGCTTTCTCTAATGGCTCCAATGGTAGCTTCTGTTCCCAAGAAGGCAGAACTTTGATTAACGATTGCCTTGCATTATTTTTTCATTTTCATTTAATAGCAAAATAGCATTATTTTGTTGTTGAAAAGGGGGGGGGATGAGAGGAAATCCTGCATAGCCTCCCCCACCCCATGAAAGAATGAATTTGGATTGAAATTCCCCATTAAAGACAAGCATAATAATGATGATGATGATGATGTTATTAATACCCCAACCATCTGGCTAGGTTTCCCCAGCCACTCTCTCTTTTTGCAATGAGGGAACCTCCAGAAGGCCCTCGGAGCAGGACCTCAGGGTCTGGGCTGAATGATGGGGGTGGAGACGCTCCTTCAGGTATTCTGGGCTGAGGCCGTTTAGCATCACTAAACAAACATCACTTCTGCTGTCTTTTTGGAGCTTAAGGAAGACCTTCCTCTTCCATCAAGCCTTTTATGTAGAGATCTTGCCCAGTCTGCATCTACATGGGAATTTTTTAAAAGATGTTTTATTATTTTATTGCTTGGTGTTTGCCACCCTGAGCTCCTTTGAAGCATCGAGTATAAACTTAAACAATAATAATAATAACAACACCAGCTACTAACAACAGCAAGCGGTACAGGACCTGAAAACAGGAAGCTTTAAATTACAAGCACAGGAGCACCAAAACAGTGCTTTGCTTGCCTGCTCTGCTCCTGTATTCCTATATTTCATGCTAGACAGACCGGTGCTGCAACTGTATTTTCTAGCTGAAATCTCTAGCAAATATCAGATATGAAAAGGCCCCAACACAGCAAACACTGGACTGCAACCATTTGTCAACACCTTCGGGTGACACTAATTTTAATCTTATTCCAAGAAGACACACTGAAACCAACTGACTTAAAGCAATGGCTCTATTCTGAATATGACTAACATTGGAAATTGCCTAATATCTAGAGCAGGGGTTCCCATACTGTGGTCCACAGACCAACAGTGATCCATGAGCTTCGTCCAGGTGGTCCAATGCATGTCCACATAAAATCTCCGTATTGTTTTTAAACTGTCTTTTATTGCTTCTTTTATTGTAATACAATTAGAATTTGGTGGCTCCCCAGCTTCTAATATTGGGTTTAAAAACAAGAACAAAAAATACCCAAGCACTTGAGAGTGATTTAGCCTTCCTGACTGGTAATAAGGAAGCTGAAATGCAACCACATCATTTTGGCGACGTTTCCTGTTTTTAAATCAAATGTGACTGCGTTCTTGGCAATCGGCCACTGACATGTATATTTAATTTAATAACGCTACCGTAACTTTTCCCAACTGGCTCAACAACACTTACATCTTGCACCAGGTCCTGGGTGCCACTGAAGACTAAATCCAGGGTCGCCACCTTTTCCAGCCATTCTAGGGCACAGTTGTTTAGGGTACCTAGAAATTTTGCCTCTTTGTCATGATTGGAAAACATAGGCAGCCAGTTTGTGTCACTCACGACTTGGAACATTTCCTCTTTTGGGAGCTTCCTTGATTTCATTCCTCTTCTCAAGATCTCACTGAGCATTTTGAACAGAAGCACCCCTAGCACTAAATGACTCTTGGGGCCCAGTATCACCACCCAAAACAATTCTGTGGACAAATCTGCTGCTTTGAGGATGTCTAACTTGCTGAAATCAATGCCCCCTTTGCCATACAGAGCCACACACACAGCCCAGTAGGTCCTTCCCTGCCCTTCCTATTTCCAGAGGCAACCGCGTCTCCGTTCCACCAGGTAAATGCAGAATTACAGCTTTTGTTTGTTGCAAGGCTACAGACAAGAATATATTTGCTCCTATGAGATAATGCACTGCGTGTGTGCACGGAAATGTTTTAAAAGCAAGAAAGGTACCGTATTTTTCGCTCTATAGTACGCACCTTTTCCCCTCCAAAAATTAAGGGGAAATGTGTGTGTGTCCTATGGAGCGAATGCAGGCTCCTTGGCTTCAGCGATAGCAATGTGAAGCCTCCAAAGTGCAAAGGGAGCGCTCCCTCTGCGCTCCGGAGGCTTCGTGTTGCTTTTGCTGAAGCCTGGAGAGCGAGAGGGGTCTTCAGGCTTCAGGGATAGCTGCCTGAAGCCTTCGGAGCGTAGCACGAGTTCCCGCTGTGTTCCGGAGGCTTCAGGTTCCTTTCACTGAAGCCAGGAGAGTCTTTGCGCTGCTCCCCAACCTGGTATTTGAGGCTGGCGGTGCGGGAAAGCAGCACTTCCCCCCGCCAGCCCCAAAGAGCAGGTCGAAAGGAACTCAAAGCCTCCGAAGCCCAGCGGGAACTCCCGCTGCGCTCCGGAGGCTTCGGGTGAACACACCTTGAACGCACAGAATGCACCTTGTTTTAGAGGGGGAGAACAAGAAAAAAAAATCTCCCCCTCTCTGCGCAGCGCCCCTTCAGGAAGGGACTCCGTTTCTCCTGCCACTTCGCTGAAGGGGCGCTGCACAGAGAGGGGGAGATTATTTTTTTCTTGTGCTCCCCCTCTAAAACAAGGTGCGTCCTATGGCCGGGTGCGTCCTAGAGTGAAAAATATGGTAGCATTAAAATCACAGATCACGCCCCAGTAGAAGTAACCCTTAAAATAGGAGAGGGAACGCAAACCACCCCATCATGCTCCTTCAGTCCCATCCTAACCACAAATAAACAAATTAGAGAGTCTCACAAAAACTCTCCAAAACTACTTCAAGGAAAACAATGTAGACAATATAACAACTCCCCTCCTATGGGATGCAATGAAAGTGGTCACTAGAGGAGCTTGCATAAAAGAGAAAAAATCTCTTAAAAAACAAACCTCAAAAGTTAGCAAAACGGAACAAGACATCACGGCCCTCTCATCACGCTACAAACAAACAGGATCTAAAAAACTCCTTAAACTTATAGAACTAAAAAAGGAGAGAACTAGACTCCCTAGAAATGAACAAAACAATGGTCAACATTCTATACTCTAAACAACGCTTCTACAAGTTTGGAGGGGGGAAATTCCAGGCTATTAGCAAACAGGTGATAGGTTATTATTTCACATTGGCTATCAGCTAGAGACTGCATTTTGATACAGTTTAAAATTCTTGCATCCGTGCGTTAAAGAGATGTGCTGCGTGAAGTTTATTTAGACCTTGTTTATCTGCAAACCGTGTGAACACCTGTTTTTGGTACCAGCCACCATTTACTGCCACATTAACCACAGTAACGGTTTCGTTTTAGTGCAACTTGCAGAAGTGCGGGAGCTGAGACGGAACCCCTCCTATAACCCCTCTGAAGATGGAATAATAGTGCTTATATTGTCTCCCTTTGCTGAGTTGACAGAGAGACCAGCCCATTCCTTTCCATTGAACAGTGGTCTGTGATGCCAAAATATCTATTCTCTACAGATGTCACCAAGTGAAATATCTCCCTGGCACAGAGCAAAACGTTTAGCACCTGCTAACCACATGAAACTGTTTAGATAGGCAGGTGCAGAATACGCTTTAAAAGTTGTCAACTCGACCCATGCATTGAGAATGCTGCTTTTCAAAAGACTGAAAGTATTGTGGAACCTTAAAAAGACTATAATCATTTCCTTGTGGCACAAAGTTTGTGGTTTATAATACAGTGGTACCTCAGGTTACAGACGCTTCAGGTTGCAGACTCCGCTAACCCAGAAATAGTACGCCGGGTTAAGAACTTTGCTTCAGGATGAGAACAGAAATCATGTGCTGGCAGCGGGAGGCCCCATTAGCTAAAGCGGTACCTCAGGTTAAGAACAGTTTCAGGTTAAGAACGGACCTCCAGAACAAATTAAGTTCTTAACCCGAGGTACCACTGTACTAACTTGTTCAGGGTTCTTATAACAAAAAGAAATTCTGAAGAACTCCAAAAGGCTCTTTCCTCCTGAGTGAATGGGTGGGGAACCAGCAAATGCCATTCGATGTAAACAAGTGTTAAAAGTGAGGTATGTCAGAGCGAAAATACGTAACTTTACATATATGCTCATGGGGTCTGAACAGCCAGGAAATTAACAGGAACAAGACTTTGGGTTCATCTTGATGGAGATGTTGCTGTGCCTGTGAAAAAGGTAAATTCCATGCTAGGGGTCATGAAGAAAGGAACTGAAAAGAAAACTGCCAATATCCTAAAGCCATTACAGAAATCTTATGTTGTGGCCATATTTAGGAATACAGAATACAATTCTGGTCAGCTCACCTCAAAAAGGGTATTGTAGAGGGGGAAAAGGTTCAGAAACGGGCAACCAAAATGGATCAAGGTGAGGAACCATTAGCCCTGTGAGGATAGGCTGCAGCCTTTGGAACTTTTTTATGTTTAAATAATAATAATAATAATAATAATAATAATAATAATAATAATTTATTATTTGTACCCCGCCCATCTGGCTGGGTTTCCCCAGCCACTCTGGGCGGCTTCCAACAAAGATGAAAGATACACTAGAGAAAAGGTGACTAAGATGTGACCTGATAAAAGTTGATAAGCTTGGAAAAAAGGGGATGGGGGGGGGAAACATTCTCCCTCTTTCATAACACTGCAGCTTGTGGACACCCAGCAAAGCTGAATATAGTGGTACCTTGGATTACATACGCTTCAGGTTACAGACTCCGCTAACCCAGAAATAGTACCTCAGGTTAAGAACTTTGCTTCAGGATGAGAACAGAAATCATGCTCCGGCGGCGCAGCAGCAGTAGGAGGCCCCATTAGCTAAAGTGGTGCTTCAGGTTAAGAACAGTTTCAGGTTAAGTACGGACCTCCGGAATGAATTAAGTACTTAACCCGAGGTACCACTGTACTGGAAGATTCAGCACCGATTTAAAAAAATACTTCACGCACCACATAATGAAGACGCGGAACTTGTTCCCACAGGGAGCAGCGATGGTCGTCAACTTAGATGAGCAAATTCTTGGAGGGTAGGTAAAGGTCAAGGACCCATGGACGGTTAAGTCCAGTCAAAGGCGACTCTGGGGTTGCGGCGCTCATCTCGCTTTCAGGCCAAGGGAGCCGGCGTTTGTCCACAGACAGCTTCCCAGGTCATGTGGCCAGCAGGACTAAACCGTTTCCGGCGCATCGGGACACCGTGATGGAAGCCAGAGCGCATGGAAATGCCATTTACCTTCCTGCTGGAGTGGTACCCATTTATCTACTTGCACTGGCGTGCTTTCAAACTGCTAGGTTGGCAGGAGCAGGGACCGAGCAACGGGAGCTCACCCTGTCGTGGGGATTTGAACCTGTGCTCCGGTCCCACTTGCAGGTTTCCCCAGGCATCCAGCCGGCCACTGTGAGAACAGGATGCTGGACAAGACGGGCCATTGGTCTGATCCAGCAGGGTCCTTCTTATGTTCTGACAAAGACCCCTATTTTATTTATTTAGGTAAATTGCGTCACCATCACTCCAATTTCCCCAGGTTCTCTCCCCCCTCCCCCACATCTCTACTCAACATCGCGCTCCGCATTCTAGATAAGTCTCCTTTGCACGATGCTTTCTCGAAGCCAGAGACCACACATGAAAAGCCACCCATGCTCTGGAGGGTAAGACTCGAACCAATGGCTTCAAGTTACAAGGAAGGAGATTCCGACTAAACATCAGAAAGAACGTTCTGACAGTAAGACCAGTTTGACAGTGGAACGGTCTTCCCTCAGGAGGTTGTGGACTCTCCCTTCTTTGAAGGTCTTTAAGCAGAGGTTGGGTGGCCGTCTGTCATGGATGCTTTAGCTGAGATTCCTGCATTGCAGTGGGTTGGACTAGATGACCCTAGGGGTCCCTTCCAACTCTACATTGGGACTTTTTGGGGGGGGGCTTCTTAATATATATTTTTATTTTCCCCAAATTTCATGAACTAACATTTAGATTAGATCAAAAAGTCAAGGACCCTGAAAGGATTTCCTGTTCCTCTATGGTTTGGAGAAAATCCAATGACAAGCAAAACCAACTAGTTTCAGTTTTCCCCACATCCTCCTTCGAGTCCCATGAAGGCAACATTGTGGCTACAGAAGAGGAAGCTGACCCCCAGAGCTGTCTTTCCCACAGGGCGCTGGCCTCTCAGGGGCGCCCCAGCGAGTGGGGGAGCTGCACGGCTTTACTGGTGGCCTCCCCTTTCCCCGCACGCCTGCCAGCTGCGCCCCGCCAACTACAGTGGTACCACGGGTTAAGAACTGAATTCATTCCGGAGGTCCGTTCTTAACCTGAAACTGTTCTTAACCTGAAGCACCACTTTAGCTAATGGGGCCTCCCGCTGCTGCCGCCATGCGATTTCTGTTCTCATTCTGAAGCAAAGTTCTTAACCTGAGGTACTATTTCTGTGTTAGCAGAGTCTGTAACCTGAAGCGTCTGTAACCTGAGGTACCACTGTATATGGGTGGCAGGCGCGCAGCTTTCCTCCCAAGCCTCTGCAGGGATCGCTCTCCCGCAGCGGCATGGGGGAGAGTTGCGCCCCCCCCCAGATGGCTGGCAGTGCACAGCTACGGCCACCCCAACGCTATCTGCGGTAATTTGGGGACGCTGGGCGGATATTTGCACCCTGGCGCCGCATCTGCTAAAGACAGCCCTGCTGGTCCCCAGGCCAGAGGCAGGCAGGAGGTGGCTGACTGGCTGGCTGAGGTTGGCGGGGGCATTGCTCCATTTGCCCGAATGAACCAGCCTCGGCCAGCTGTGGGTCTGCCACTGCTGCCACCCCAGTATCTGCCACAGAAGGTGGCCCTACTGGAAAGACAGCCCTACTCATTTTGAGAATCTGCATCCGGAGTCTCTTTTTGCCTTCACTAGAGTCCACTTGTGAATCTCCAAAGAAGGCAAACATCAAGACCCCCTAAACCTCCTTCCAAACTAAACAGCTCCAAGGAGCAAGCACTGCTCCCAAATCAAAAAGTGAGGTGAATGAAATGCTGGCAAGTACAGACAGTGATAATTCAGCACTTTCACAACTGTAATTCACAAACCGGATTTTATTTTACCTTGGCATCCTGGCATTAGCAAGCCAATTATTTCTTATTTTATTATTTCTCAAGTTTGTATACCACCCTTCACCCACAGATCTCAGGGCAACGTGGAAACACAAGAAATCACAAAATACACAACAGAAGCAGGGCCAGATTTAGGTTTGATGAGGCCCTAAGCTATTGAAGGTAATGGTGCCCTTTATGTGTCCAGCTGTCCTTTGCCATGCAACCAGCCCATGCAGAATGTTGGCTCCCTATACAGTGGTACATCGGGTTAAGTACTTAATTTGTTTTGTTCTTAACCTGAAGCACTATTTCTGGGTTAGCGGAGTGTGTAACCTGAAGCGTATGTAACCCAAGGTACCACTGTATATAGAAATGGGCAAACCAGTGATATTTTAGGGAGCAGGCTAGCAGGCGGGGCCCATTACTTACATCCTAGGAGCCCACACAACACAAAACACTGTTGCTGCATGTAGGTTTCATTTCATTTGTTTTTATCTTATATTTTGGAAATGTACATCCAGGTTTTTTTTCTTTAATTTTTTTGGGGGGCCCCAAGAGAGTTGGGCCCTAAGCTACAGCTTGTTTAGCTTATAAATAAATCTGGCACTGAACAGAAGCAAGAACAAAACAAAACAATAACCTAAACCTCCTACAAACGCACATAAAAAGTCGAAGAGGGAAGTTTTCGCTTGCAGCTTCTCTGGGTAGAGCATTCCACAAATAGAATTAACGAGTGCAATGCACATTTGTTTCGGTTTAATCCACAGGTGACAGCACAGAAACACTACTTCAAGGCTTGCATACTATGCCAAGCACTCCTTATTTCCAGGCAACTATCTCCCAAATTCCATTTAAAAAAGGAAGTTCACATACCTGGGCTGGCTCTGCAGGGCGACGAGGCGAGGAACCCAAACAGCAGCAACACCCAGGCTGGAGATTGCAGGGCTCGCTTCTGGCCCCTTCTCACGTGCATGCTGGAAGCAGGGGCACGCGCGGAAAGCGAAAGTAGCTCGCTTTCCCTCCTCCCGCAGGGGAGATTCCTAGTCCGCAAGGAAGAACCCACGGAGCGACGGCGGAACTCCAGGACACGGTCTCGCCCTCCCTGCGCCGGGATCGCATTTCTGCATGCCAAGCGGGTGCTCCCGGGCGACTTTCCCACGCCGCTTCCGTCCGCGCATCCTTGCACCTGCCTCATTCCCCGATGGGTGCCCTGCCACCCAGGGGTGGAGAAAGCAGTCCGAGCGGCGGCAGCAGCACCAGCTGCAGTTTTCCTGGGCTCCTGTGCTCGCCCGCCCGCCCTCTGCAGCCACTAGGGGAGGCCGTCTCGGGACGCGGCGGAGGCGAAGGCGAAGGAGCCACCCCTCTTCTCTGCGCTCCGCTCCGTCCTCGCCTAGCCTGGAAGGGGCGGCGCCTCGTCCCGCCCCAGACAATGCCCGCCCCGGCTCGGCCCTCCCCTCGCTTCCCCCACGTGGTCGAGCGCTGGCGATAGACCTTGAGCCTCGCTTCCTGTGTGGCTGTGTGCGCGCGCGGGCCGCGGAGAGCCCGACCCGAGTGGCGACTGCGGCTCCCCCACCCACGCATCCGGCTTGGATCGATCCCGGGGGTGGCGGAAGGTTCTAAGCCCACCCCTCCGAGCGCCTGATCGGGTGAGCAGGGGAAAGGGGGGTGGGTGGGTTCCTGGTGGCAAACTTGATCCGGAGCGCAAAGTCCCCTTTTACGCACAACCACCACCGTCGGCTAGGGGTCCTGGGTGGGGCCCGAGAGGCCTGTACGGGCGGTTATTGCTGCTGCCCTGGGAGGAGAAGGTGGTGGTGGTGCCTAGTGGTCTCTCCTCCCCTCCAGATGAGGTGCCTGTCAGTGGGGACGGAACCCCCCCTCCCAACCACGGGGGAAATGTGAGCCAGCACCAGCACTGTCTTTTGGAGTGGTGAATAGTGCCCTGTCTTGCCTGCCCCACATCAAGAAAACCATAGAAATACTTAACTAACTGACCAATCACGTCGGTTCTGCTGCCCCAAACAAAAGGCCTGCCCCTCCCCCCCCGCAACAAAAACCCTGGCTACGCCCGTGTGTCCTGGGGTTCTTGAGGCCATGGGGTGTCTGCTAAATTGCAGTGAGGATGAGTGACAAGCAATGTCTGTGGAACTTCTCTTTATTGTACTTATTTTACCCTCCTGTTGTCCCCGGAGAGACTCTGCACTTGGACTGTGAGTGAGGATCCTGTGACCTTCCAGATCCTGCTCCCATCCCTTGCTGCCTGGGGTTGAGAGGACATGGGAGTCCAGCGATATCTGGGCAGCCACAGGTTGCCCACCGCTGATGGGGCCACGTGCAGGTCTGTGGAGGATCTTCTGACTTCTCTGGAGGACCTCATGAAGCTATAGGACAGGCATCCCCAAACTCGGCCCTCCAGCTGTTTGGGGATTACAGTTCCCAGCACCCCTGACCACTGGCCCTGTCGGTGAGGGATAATGGGAGTTGTAGTCTCAAAACAGCTGGAGGGCCGAGTTTGGGGGTGTCTTCTATAGGATGATCTGCTCCTGACAGCAAGCCTGCAGTCCCCAAACTGTGGGTTGGTTCAAATCAGATGTGTGAGAGCTGTTCACTGGGGGTTTCAGGCAGTGGCTGTTCTGTGCCCTACCTGGATTGAATCTGTGAACTTTTGCACGTGAAGCTAAGGTGAACTGGGATATGGCCCTTCCCCAGTTCAGTGTGAGGGGCTGCGCAAAATCCACAGCAACAAGGACATGTCTGTGTATTGATAGCTTTTATATTGTACGCTATGGGATGTGGGTGACGCTGTGGGTTAAACCACACACAGAGCCTAGGACTTGCCGATCAGAAGGTCGGTGGTTCGAATCCCTGTGACGGGGTGAGCTCCCGTTGCTCGGTCCCTGCTCCTGCCAACCTAGCAGTTCGAAAGCATGTCAAAGTGCAAGTAGATAAATAGGTACCGCTCCGGCGGGAAGGTAAACGGTGTTTCCGTGCGCTGCTCTGGTTTGCCAGAATCAGCTTAGTCATGCTGGCCACATGACTCGGAAGCTGTATGCCGGCTCCCTCGGCCAATAAAGCGAGATGAGTGCCGCAACCCCAGAGTCGGCTACGACTGGACCTAATGGTCAGGGGTCCTTTTACCTTTACAGTGGTGCCTCGCAAGACGGAGAACTCGCAAGACAAAAGGGTTTTTTGTTTTTTGAGCTGCTTCGCAAGACGATTTTCCCTATGGGCTTGCTTCACAAGACAGAAACGTCTTGCAAGTTTGTTTCCTTTTTCTTAACACCGTTAATACAGTTGCGACTTGACTTCGAGGAGCAACTCATAGAACGCAGTGTGGTAGCCTTTTTTGAGGTTTTTAAAGACTTTGGTGATTTTTGAAGCTTTTCCAAAACTTTCCCGACACCGTGCTTCGCAAGACGGAAAAAATCGCAAGACGACAAAACTCGCGGAACGAATTAATTTCGTCTTGCGAGGCACCACTGTACTTTATATTGTACGCTGCTTAGAGATTCTTTTAAAACACTAAGCTGATTGTAACAACAGCAATTGCAACCAGCTTAATATTATTATTACAATCAGTTGTTTATTATTATTATTATTATTATTATTATTATTATTATTATTATTATATTTCTACCCCGCCCATTTGAGTTGAAACAGTCCAATTCCCCCCCGCACTCCTGTTGCAAAGGGGGATGTTAACAGGGCAGATTAAGAGAAATCTCAGGGGAACTGATAGGCCAGAATACCAGCCCTGTGGAAGTAATTTGGAAAGAGTGTCTTCCAGAACAAACCAACAAACAAAAATGTATAAAATTGGGAGATATAAAACCTCAGATACAAGAATGACCATATCTCTCTTTGTTTTGTTTTTATATTTCCTAGCCATGGAAACCCATGAAAACACTTTTGTGAGTATTGAAAAAAGTGTGTGGCTTTCTTCTTGGACCAAAACAATGACAGAACGTCCTCCTGTGGCACCTTAAAGGAAAGCAAACTCATTTCAGTAGCAGTTTTTGTGGGCCGGACGCCACTTTGGTGCATGCTTGACCCTTGGGGTCCCTTACAGCTCTACAGATCTATGAACCAAGTCATCCTTTGTGTCAGCAAATGCATCTACTGCGGCCTGTAAACTTGACCCGTCCATCAAAATTTCATTCCGCCGATGAAGAGACCTGTTATCTCAAAATGGACCGCCTACCTTCCACCTCACCTCAGGTGGCTTTCCACTCGAGTTTGGAGGTTTCGACGTTTCATATTGTGAGGTTTTCCTCGGAATTCCTGTGGTAATTTTTGACTGTTTTGCAGCCAGAGCAGCGCCGGATTTATGTATAAGCTAAACAAGCTATAGCTTAGGGCCCTACTCTCTTGGCCCTCCCCGCTCAAAAAAAATTCACTATTAATATACTTCTTCTTAATTGTATTTCAGTTCAACAATTACTTTGATCAAATACATATTTTGTTATGTGCAAATGGCTTTAGATACCTATTAAGTCCATAAATTACCACATAGCATATATTCAACACTAAAAACAGCAACAGTTTGTTGTTGACAAAGGACAGCTGGATATATAAAGGGCCCCATTCCCTTCAGTAGCTTAGGGCCTCATCAAACCTAAATCCGGTGTTATCCCCACTTTTTTAGGAAAAGCTGGAGACGGTTTCTAGGAGATAAAAATAGGACTCTTCCTTCTGGGGCAGAAGGTTTTTCATGGAAGCACCGCCACAGCCAAGAACATCGGGTATAAGGAAGGAGTACCCGTGCCCGGAGTGCGGGAGGAATTTTAAACGGAACTCTCACCTTGTCCGACATAAAAGGCTCCACACGGGCGAAAAGCCTTACAAATGCCCGGAGTGTGGGAAGAGCTTCCGGCAAAGCACGGATGTTAATACACACAGGAGAATCCACACAGGAGAAACGCCCTTTCACTGCAACCAGTGTGGGAAAAGCTTCCGCTACCGGACGGGTCTCGTGAAACACGTGAGGGGCCACGAGGAAGAGAAAGCGAAGGCCTGCCGGAGTTGCCTGGAATGCGGGAAAATCATCAGCGGCACTTTAGTCTCCGTTGCCAGCCAGACGTCCCACGCGGTGGGAAGATCCCATAAATGCCCCGACTGTGAGAAAAACACCCAAGAGAGCTCCCATCTTGTCGTGCACATACCGGGCCGTGCAACGGAAGAAAACTATATGTGTCCCGACTGCGGAGAAGGGTTTTGCCACAGCTTTCAGCTTATTGGACACAGGAACCTCCACGCCAGTGAGGAAATTCTGTATTCATCTGTGTTTGTTTCTGGGTCGTACCACTTTGCTCCAAGGGAGCGCTGAGTGCGCACGCTGTGGGATATGCTTAGCGCATTGCCGCCTCTGATCCTTATGGGCGTAGGGTGCATAAACTGGGAGTCCCAGTACAGTGGTACCTCAGTTTAAGAACAGTCCTGTTTGTGAACGATTCAGTTTATGAACTCCGCAAAACCGGAAGTAGTGTCCTGGTTTGTGAACTTTACCTTGGTCTAAGAACGGAAGCTGAACGGTGGAAGGGCACCGCAGCGGGAGGCCTCATTAGGGAAAGTGCGCCTCAGTTTATTTTATTTTTTTTATAATAATATTTTATTGATATTTTCCAGAAATTAACCAACAAAAATCAACAAAAATCACACAAAACAAATAATAAACATCAAAAATCCAAATAGAAAACAGGAAAAAGAAAAATTCATACAACAAACATCAAAAATCCAAACAGAAAAAAGAAAAGTGCAAAATTAATGTTAAAAAGAGCACTCTTTCATATTGGTAACTTTCAACACCTTATTCTCTTTACTTCCACCCGCCTCCCCTTCTTGTATTCTATTTTAAAAATTAATTCAGCAAGATCATTGATAATTCATTTTAAACCTTTATCCTTCCCTTTATAGTCTATTTATCTTAATCGCTAGAAACCCCTTCATTTCATTTTCAGAGCCCTTAGCATTCATAAATTTTACAGTGTTTTTGTAGATAGGCTTTAAACTTCTTCCAATCCTCTTCCACCTGCTCCTCTCCTTGATCTCGGATTCTGCCGGTCATCTCTGCCAGTTCCATATAGTCTATTACTTGCATCTGCCATTCTTCCAAGGTGGGTAGGTCTTGCGTCTTCCAATGCTTTGCAATAAGTATTCTTGCTGCTGCTGTAGCGTACATTAAAAAAGTCCTATCCTTCTTTGGCACCAATTGGCCGACTATGCCTAGGAGAAAGGCCTCTGGTTTCTTCAGAAAAGTGTACCTAAATACTTTTTTCAGTTCGTTATAGATCATTTCCCAGAACGCCTTAATCCTTGGGCACGTCCACCAAAGGTGAAAGAATGTACCTTCAGTCTCTTTACATTTCCAACACTTATTATCAGGCAAATGATAAATCTTTGCAAGCTTGACTGGTGTCATGTACCACCTATAGATCATTTTCATAATATTTTCTCTTAAGGCATTACATGCCGTAAATTTCATACCGGTGGTCCACAACCGTTCCCAGTCAGCAAACATAATATTATGACCAATGTCTTGTGCCCATTTTATCATAGCCGATTTAACCGTTTCATCCTCAGTATTCCATTTCAACAGCAAATCATACATTCTCGACAGTATCTTAGCATTGGGTTCTAACAGTTCTGTTTCCAGCTTTGATTTTTCCACCTGGAAGCCATTTTTTCTGTCCAAATTATAGGCCTCTCTTACCTGAAAGTAATGTAACCAGTCCTGCACCTTATTCTTAAGTTTCTCATAACTCTGCAATTTCAACCTATCTCCTTCTTGTTCCAAAATTTCCGAATATCTCGGCCATTTAGATTCCATATTAAGCTTTTTCACAGCTTTAGCCTCCATTGGCGACAACCACCTAGGAGTCTTACTTTCCAACCAATCTTTGTACCTGGTGCAGACATTAAATAGTGCTTTCCTGACAATATGATTTTTAAAGCCTTTATGAGCTTTAACCTTATCATACCACAGATATGCATGCCACCCAAAAGCATTATTAAAACCCTCTAAATCCAAAATGTCAGTGTTTTCAAGAAGTAACCATTCCTTCAGCCAGCAAAAAGCTGCTGCTTCATAATATAACTTAAAGTCCGGCAGGGCAAACCCCCCTCTATTCTTGGTATCAGTAAGAATTTTGTATTTTATTCTGGGCTTTTTGCCCTGCCAGACAAATCTAGAAATTTCTTTTTGCCACTTCTTGAAACAGTCCATCTTGTCAATGATTTGTAACGTCTGAAACAAAAATAACATTCTTGGCAGTACATTCATTTTTATAACCGCAATTCTACCCAATAAGGAAAGCTTCAACTTTGTCCAGATTTCAAGATCTTTTTTCACTTCTGACCAGCACTTCTCATAATTATCTTTAAATAGATTAGCATTTTTTGAAGTCATGTTCACCCCTAGGTATTTCACTTTTTTCACCAATGATAAACCTGTTTCTCCCTGAAACCTTTCCTTCTCAATCGATGTTAAGTTCTCCAAAACCATCGTTTTCGATTTATTCAGTTTAAAACCTGCCACCTGACCAAATTCTTGTATTATTTCCAAGCGGGAGGCCTCATTAGGGAAAATGCGCCTCAGTTTAAGAATGGTTTCAGTTTAAGAACAGACTTCCGGAACGGATTAAGTTCATAAACCGAGGTACCACTGTATATGTCTTGCCTCTTCACCTTCATGTGCCTTTCTCACTTCCAGCACCTTGCCTCTTCCACCCCCACTGCTTGTGGGGACGGGACGTGCAAGCTCTATCTATGGCTTTCCATTGCCTCTTCATTGTTTATTTTTGCCTTGTGGTTCCCTTGTGTTACAGTCTGAATTTTGTGGGATGCCAATGTCAATCCGTTCGACTTCCAGAATGTTCGAAAACCAAGGCGCAGCTTCCGATTGGCTGCAGGAGGCTGCTGCAGCCAATCGGAAGCCCCTGCAGCCAATCGGAAGCTGCGTCGGACGTTCGGGTTCCAAAGAACGTTCGCAAACCGGAACACTCACTTCTGGGTTTGTGGCGTTCGGGAGCCAAAACGTTCAACTCGCAAGGCGTTCAGGATCCGAGGTATGACTGTACAGTAAAATACAGTATGTAAAAAATAAATGAAGCAATAAAATAAAAGCCGATTGAAAATCAAATCTAACAATGGCTGTGACGGGAAGAAAAATCACTAAGTGGTCTACCAAGACCACCAGCCATTTTGGAGTGGGGGGGGCGAGTTTGGGAACTGCTGGATTAAAAGATGTAAATGTTGTTGACCATAATAGTTTTATTACATAATGTATAATGAAATAATGAAGATCTGTATCTCGGCAGTAGAGCATGCAGAAGGCCTCAGGCTCAATCCCTGGCCTCTCCAGGTCAGACTGGGGAGCAGCTGCTAGTCAGTGCAGGCAGTACTAACCTAGATGGGCCAGTGGTCTGACTCAATGCAAGGCAGCTTCCTAAATTCCTGCTATAATAATAAATTAATAATAATAAATTTTTATTTATACCCCGCCCTTCCCAGTTCAGAAAACCAGGCTCAGGGCGGCTAACAACAAATTTAAAACACTTAATTGATGCAACGAAAAACAGCATAAAATACAGTATGAAACATGAATAATAAATTCAGAATTCAAAAATCAATTTAGGGGGGAAATCCATCCAATAAACATTAGGTGATCACCAGGGCTAGCTGGCTAAATTAGTCCTATTTGGGCCAGTGAGGAGACCAGGGGAGAATTAGCTGTGGGATCCCAGAGCGGGTAATCTTCATAAAAAGAGGAGGGGGAGGGGGAGGGAAGGAAGGGGAATAAAAGATCAGGCTAAGTTCAAGTTGAAAGGCAGGCGGAATAGTTCTGTCTTACAGGCCCTGCGGAAGGAAGTTAAATCCTGCAGGGCCCTGGTCTCATGGGACAGAGCATTCCACCAGGTCGGAGCCATCACTGAGAAGGCCCTGGCCCTGGTGGAGGATAATCTGACTTCTTTAGGGCCCGGGACCTCTAAACAAGGATTATTCATGGACCTTAAGGTCCTCTGCGGGGCATACCAGGAGAGGCGGTCCCGTAAATACGAGGGCCCTAAGCCACAAATGCAATATAACACAATATTAGTAATTTCGTATTATTTTTAAACACCCTTTTGGGTCACCGGCCATTTAGCAACGTGTATTTTCTTAATAAAAAGGTTTCTGTACTCCTGAGCCAGATATTGAATGGGGAGCCATACCTAAATGAATCAGCACTTAGAATCATAGAATCATAGAGTTGGAAGAGACCACAAGGGCCATCGAGTCCAACCCCCTGCCAAGCAGGAAACACCATCAGAGCACTCCTGACATATGGTTGTCAAGCCTCTGCTTAAAGACCTCCAAAGGTCTTGCACTTGGTGCAAAATAAATATTTGGTAGTGGTTGTTGTTTAGGATTGCATTTGGTTTTGGTTTTTCAAAAAGGCCACTCAGGTGCACTGAGTAAGTTTACCTTTCCCTTTTCCAGCAGCAGTAGCTGTGTCATGTCCACTGATGTGAGCATAACACAGCAGGGTGAACTTACTTTGCCGCTTAATTTTGTGGCTTTCAGAGGAGGAGCAATGGTTGTGTGGTGCTAGGAGTCATCCATCTGGGAGCAGCATCAAGGGAAATCTAGCCTAGCAGAAATCTGGCCCCTCTATAAGAACTGCTCATTTCATCTTGTTATCTTTCCCTGCTTTGTGCCAGGATTTCAGATTCCTAATCCCGGTACTCTCTGTGGCCTGGAGCCGGGCGTGGCGCCTTTGCCCTCGGACCATCAGGATGAGGAGCAGAGGGAGAGTCCAGGAAGCATCTGTAGAGGTGAGTGAATCGAGAGAGCCAGCAGGAGACCCTGCTAGCTGAAGAACTGGGGGCTTCTGAAGGAGATTCTCTACTCAACATAACTCCCTGTCTTTCCCCCATGACTCTTAGGCCCTGTCTGCACTACACATTTAGAGCAGTTTTGTTGGCATCTGTCTGGTAAAACTTTATTCTCATTAGCCAATGGCCATAGCAACAAAAAACATTACAGTATATGCAGAAAGGGAAATTGGATATAAGAGCACAATTCTCTTTCCATGGTTCATTTTGCATATAATAAATCCCTGCATCTTTTACATAAACTAAACCATTCCGTACCTATTCCATTATTACATCCATCAAAATGAATTTATCTTAATGCTGCCAACATTTTCAAGTGTACACAACTTCCCCACATATATTCGATAAACATTTTCCAATCTTCTCTAAACGTATGTTGTTCTTGTTCTCTTATTCTATATGTTAAGTCTGCAAGCTGCACATATTCTGTCAGCTTAAGTTGCCATTTTTCTACAGGTCCCATATATTGGTATATCATTATGTTTAGCTGGCGATATAGCACAATATTGAAAGACAGATATCGCTCAGCTATAGCACACAATACGATTTGCCATAAAACAATGAAACCAAAATCACGATATGGACTTCAATCCATTCTTGGACAATATATCTCCCAGCCCTAGCGCTGAGAGTTGTCAGGAGATTCCCTATTCCCCTCGCGGGTATTACAATTCCCAGAGTTCCCTGGGAAGAAGGACGGTCAAGACTGTTAAGCCACTCTAGGAGTTGTAACTCTGCGAGGGAAATACAGAGCAGCAGGCATGTTTTTAAATGTAATTGCTTTTTAGCACGCTTTAAACTGCTTTTAGGGACACGGGTGGCGCTGTGGGTTAAACCACAGAGCCTAGGACTTGCTGATCAGAAGGTCGGCAGTTTGAATCCCTGCAACGGGGTGAGCTCCCGTTGCTCAGTCCCTGCTCCTGCCAACCTAGCAGTTTGAAGCACGTCAAAGTGCAAGTAGATACAGTGGTGCCCCGCAAGACGAATGCCTCGCAAGACGAAAAACCCGCTAGACAAAAGGGTTTTCCGTTTTTCGATGCACTTCGCAAGACGATTTTCCCTATGGGCTTGCGATTTTTTTCGCTCCCCCCCCTTTTTCTAAGCCGCTAATAGCCTTTTAGCCGCTAAGCCTTTAATAGCCTTTTAGCCGCTAAGCCTTTAATAGCCGCTAAGCCGCTAAGAGCCTTTTAGCCGCTAAGCCGCTAAGCCTTTAATGGCCGCTAAACTGCTAATAGCGCTAATCCGCTAAGCCGCTAATAGGGTTGCTTCGCAAGACGAAAAAACCGCTAGACGAAGAGTCTCGCGGAACGGATTATTTTCGTCTTGCGAGGCACCACTGTAAATAGGTACTGCCCTGGCGGGAAGGTAAATGGCGTTTCCATACGCTGCTCCGGTTTGCCAGAAGCAGCTTAGTCATGCTGGCCACATGACCCAGAAGCTGTACGCCGGCTCCCTCGGCCAATAAAGCGAGATGAGCGCCGCAACCCCAGTCGGTCACGAGTGGACCTAATGGTCAGGGGTCCCTTTACCTTTACCTAAACTGCTTTTAAGGTGTTCCCAACGGTAATTGCTTTTGGAATGTGTTGATCTGTTTTAGAATGTCCTTGCTTTTGTTTTTAAATTTGCGTATCTGTTTGCCATTCTGGGTTCCTTGGGGAGGAAGGGCCTGGGTCAAGGGGAGAATAATCGTGGCTGTCATTTCTTTTGTGACCCTATGATTTCTGTTCCAGCCTGCGATGATGCTGTGCCCACGGAGCGTGAGGAAAAGGACCCCTCATCCCACGAGAGACTTTCTCGGACGTTACTGGGAAGGCTGCAGATACTGGATCCCCGAAGGAAAGAGGCCTCTAAGGCCAGGCCAGGCTTCTCCAGGGGGCAATGGAAACGGCCGGCGGCGAGGGGAAGGGAATCGGCGGAGGACGGGAGCGCCGCCTCTCCTGTGTGTGAGCGGTTCCTCCGCTCAGAGAGGCGGCACCTCTGCTTCATGTGCGGAAAGAGGTTCCGGTACGAGTCCCACCTGGTCACTCACGAGCGGATCCACACGGGAGAGAAGCCCTTTGAATGCAGCACCTGCCACAAGAGCTTCCGGGACCGCTCAGACCTGAGCAAGCACCAGAAAACTCACTCGGCGGACAAACCCTACAAGTGTCTCGACTGCGGCAAAAGCTTTCACCACCAGTTGACCTTTATTAGGCACCAGAGGCTTCATCCCAGGGAGAGCTCCTCCTGCGATCCGAGCCGGGTGTATTTTGCCATCCTCCCCTCGTACCACGTGGGCGCAGAGATGAGCATTGGGGATGGGACAGAGACCCCCGAGAGCCTTGGCTTTCCTTTTAAACAAAAAGTAAGTTTCTAGCCCTTAAGGTAGCGAAGGTGGGATTAAAAGCAATGGGGCAAAGGGGGCGGGACCAGAGATAGGGCCTGAGTGGGTTTCCTGCCAGAGTTCTTAAGAATTCCACATCACTTGGCTCCTTGGTCCAGTATTTTCTTTTAAATGCAAGCAGGGTGTACACACACACACACACACACACTGAGAGCCAGTGTGGTGTAGTGGTTAAGAGCGGTAGACTCGTAATCTGGTGAACCGGGTTCGCGTCCCCACTCCTCCACATGCAGCTGCTGGGTGACCTTGGGCCAGTCACACTTCTCTGAAGTCTCTCAGCCTCACTCACCTCACAGAGTGTTTGTTGTGGGGGAGGAAGGGAATGGAGAATGTGAACCCCTTGGAGACTCCTTCGGGTAGTGATAAAGCGGGATATCAAATCCAAATCCAAACACACACACACTGAGAGAGAGAACCTTGTTTATCAATGCTTCAGCTGTAGGAAAAGATTTCAACCCATTTGCATCAGAGTGCTTCTTGGATACTCGAAGCTGTTGAGGATGTTGAGGTTTTAGAGTACCTTTCCAATGCCCTCTTTCCTTCTCCATTAGCTGATGAGCCCCAAGGAGGCAAGGCCAGATATGGGGTGGGGGAAACCCTAAGGGCCTAGCAAGGGTGGCTGGGGCAACCCAGTCGGATGGGTGGCATATAAAAAATAAAATGATGATGATGAATTTCAGTAGGGACAAATGTAAGGTTCTTCACTTAGGCAGGAAGAACCAGCTGCACAAATATAATATGAGGGACACCTGGCTTACTAGCAGTACATGTGAGACAGATTTCGGAGTCTCGGTGGACCACAAGCTTAACACGAGTCAACAGTGTGATGCAGCAGCAAGAAAAGCTAATGCTATTCTGGAACGCCCTCCCACCAGATGTCAAAGAGATAAACAGCTACCTGACATTTAGAAGACATCTGAAGGCAGCCCTGTTCAGGGAAGTTTTTTATGTGTGACATTTTAATGTATTTTTAATCTTTGTTGGAAGCCACCCAGAGTGGCTGGGGAAACCCAGCCAGATGGGTGGGGTACAAATAATAAGTTATTATTATTATATAGACTGATCTGTATAGTGTCCAGATCAAGGGAAGTCATAGTACCACTCTATTCTGCCTTAGTCAGACCACACTTGGAATACTGTGTCCAATTCTGGGCACCACAATTTAAGAAGGATGTTGAAAAGCTGAAACGTGAACAGAGGAGGGTGACCAAGATGATCAAAGGTCTGGAAACTAAGCCTTATGAGGAGCTGGGAATGTTTAGCCTGGAAAAGAGGAGTCTGAGAGGAGATATGATAGCCATCTTCAACTATCGTAAGGGCTGTCACATGGAGGAGGGAGCATGCTTGTTTTCTCCCGCTCTGGAGGGTAGGACTCGAACCAGTGGCTTCAAGTTGCAAGAAAGGAGATTCTGACTAAACATTCGACTTCCAAAGCATTCAGAAACCAAGGTGCGGCTTCCGATTGGCTGCAGGAAGCTTCTGCAGCCAATCAGAAGCTGCGTCGGAAGTTCGGCTTCCAAAGAACGTTCACAAACCGAAACATTCACTTCTGGGTTTGCGGCGTTCGGGAGCCAAAACATCCAAGTACCAAGGTGTTTGGGATCCAAGGTACGGCTTTATTTCATATGCCAATGCTATCTCACACTTCTTTCAGTATCACTAAAAGGTATTTGTATTGAAGCTATGGCAATATGTATGTTAGTTTCAGTTTAATTGCTTGAAGAGGATCCCAGTTTCCGGGATGCCCAGTCCCTCTGGGACTGAGTCTCCCTGCATAAGCCTTGTGTTCATCATCTGAGACCCCTTCTACGAGTGCCGCCTATGAGGGAAGGGCAGATTGTGGCATCACGAGAACAGGCCTTTTCAGTGGTGGCTCCCCACCTGTGGAATGCTCTTGCCAGAGAGATGCGTCTGCCACTGTTTCAGGATGAGCACTTTTAGTAATGTTATTTTATGTTTCTGATGTTCTTTTAAATGTTGTCGTCTGTATCCTTTTATAATTGAAGTGAGGGAAAAATAAATGCAATACATAACTAATGGGTTCAGCTTGATAGATGAAATGATCTCATCTGTTCTTCTCCTGCACATTCTTGGGGTTCTTTAACACTCCCCCCAGAGACAATTTGGGGGTGCCTGAGGGGAGGCAGAGAAAGCCCTGTTGTGCTGGCAAAAACCCTTCTGTGGGCTTTCACTTGTTGTTTAGTCATTTAGTCGTGTCTGATTCTTCGTGACCCCATGGACCAGAGCACGCCAGGCACTGCTGTCTTCCACTGCCTCCCGCAGTTTGGTCAAACTCATGCTGGTAGCTCCGAGAACACTGTCCAACCATCTCGTCCTCTGTCGCCCCCTTCTCCTTGTGCCCTCCATCTTTCCCAGCATCAGGGTATTTTCCAGGGAGTCTTCTCTTCTCATGAGGTGGCCAAAGTATTGGAGCCTCAGCTTCACGATCTGTCCTTCCAGTGGGCACTCAGGGCTGATTTCCTTAAGAATGGATGCGTTTGATCTTTCACTAGCAGGACTCATTAGTTGAATCCCACTCTAAAATAATAAAAATATTTGAAGCACATTCCTAACCTTTGTGGGTTAAGGAAAGAGGGGGGTATTTATTATTATATTATATTACGGGGTGATAATATTCTGGAATGATAGAGTTCAGTCATATGCCTCATGGGAAATGATACCTATTGTATTTTGAATTTGAACCTGAATTCTATCATTTTATAAAACGCAAGTGTTTTTTTACTCAGCTACCATGCTGTCCTTTCTCAGCCCCCAAAGGCTCGAGTCATTTGTGGTTGTTCTCGTTTTGGCCTTGCAGGTGACAATGTGGCAAGTGTAAGGAAGGCAGAGAGCTTTCTCTGGAGTGAATGTCCTGTGCTTTCACATAAAAAGAAGAAGAAGAGGAGTTTGGATTTGATATCCTGCCTTTCACTCCCCCTTCAGGAGTCTCAAAGCGGCTAACATTCTCCTTTCCCTTCCTCCCCCACAACAAACACTCTGTGAGGTGAGTGGGGCTGAGAGACTTCAAAGAAGTGTGACTGGCCCAAGGTCACCCAGCAGCTGCATGTGGAGGAGCGGAGACGCGAACCTGGTTCCCCAGATTACGAGACTATCACTCTTAACCACTACACCATACTGGCTCTCAACTTGGATGCTGTTGGAAGAGATTTAAGAAATCACGTTCCAAGACCTGCAAAATGGGGTGGGGGCGAGAGACCACGTAAGCCACGGAACTTTTCCACAGAGCAAGACATCTTTCAGGAAGAGGAGGAGTCAGTCGCCTGCCGGAAATTTGATCGAAACCACATTCCGGTTTAGAAGCCACACAGCCAAGAAACCACAAATTGATGGAAAGGTTTAAAGCGATACTCGTGCACCGTTGTGCGTCAAAGATTTTACGCTCTGGAGGAGTCCAGCCAAAGCACAAATTCTAGGAACATTTTTTAAATGCAAGTTTAAAGGCTAAGCTGCAAAGAATCCCTAGAATGGCAAAATCAGACCATTTCACTGCCCTTCCGGAAAGTGTGCTGTGGAAGAGAACTTGTTCTGTCAGACCTTCTTTGCTGTTCCTTCTGCAGGGTTTCCCCTCTTCCAATGTGCAAGCCTTGATTTATGTCAGAGAAGCCATGGCGGAGCAGGAACCCTTTTGATAAGAAAAGTTTCACATACAATAGGAGAAAGTTTACAAATGCCCAGAGTGAGGAAACACTGTGTTGCCAAATCCTACTATTATAAAGTTGCACTGTCAAGTTGCTTTGAGACTTTGGGGGCAAGAATGGTAATAAATAATATTAATAGTCAATGGCGCTGTGGTCTAAACCACTGATCCTCTTGGGCTTGCCGATCAGAAGGTTGGTGGTTCGAATCCCCACGACGGGGTGAGCTCCCGTTGCTCGGTCCCTGCGCCTGCCAACCTAGCAGTTCAAAAGCAAAAAAGTGCAAGTAGATAAATAGGTACCGCTCCGGCGGGAAGGTAAACGGCATTTCCGTGCGCTGCTCTGGTTTCGGTGCTCCGTTGCGCCAGAAGCGGCTTGGTCATGCTGGCCACATGACCCGGAAAAACTGTCTGCGGAAAAACGCCAGCACCCTCGGCCTGTAAAGCGAGATGAGTCATATGTGACTGGACTTAACCCCAGAGTCGTCTGTGACTGGACTTAACTGTCAGGGGTCCTTTACCTTTTTTTTTTATAAGAGGGAAACCAGAAGTGTGGTTGTACAGTATGCTAGAAGGAATTTGCTTTTGAGGGCCCCTGGCTTCACACAGGATCCCTCTGGATGAAGGACTTACGTTCCTACTTTTTTTTCTAGACTACCTGGCAATATTGTAGACACTTGTTCATTCAGAGGTTTATAAGCAGAGGCTGATTGGTTGTCTATCATGGATGATGCAGCCCAGGTGTTTGTGTGTGGGGAAACCTTTGGCCCTCTGGGTGCTGCTGAACTACAACTCCCATCATCCCTAGCCATTGGCTGTGCTTCTTGGGGCAGATGGGAGTTGTAGTTCATCAGCATCTGGAAGGCCAGAGGTTTCCCACGCCTGCTATAGCAGGTGGATTTCCTTTATTGGCATGGCAGGGTCAAATACAGAGTCTTTTGAGGTCCGTTCCAATGCTATGATTGCAGCATTTGGGACTTTTTAGTTTAGGGGAAATAGGAGTAAGAGACAAGAAGACGGATGTCTATAAGAGTATGCATAGGAAGGAGAAAGTGCGTCGATACAAGTTTTTCTCCCGTTCTCTCTCATAGCACGAGAACTAGTGCACATCCAGTGTAACTTGAGTGTTGGAAGATTCAGTACTTATTCACACAGCAGCACCTAGTAAAACGATGGAATTTGCTTCTGCAGTGATGGCCGCCATCTTGGATGGCCTTAAAAGAGGATTGGACAAATTCAGGGACGGCAAGGCAAACAATGGCTACTGACTCTGATGGCTATTCTCTGCCTCTGCTTCTGAAGAGCGATTGCTGGAAACTGGAGGAGGGGAGAGTGGCTGTTGGCTCAGATCCTGCTTGCCGGTTTCCCACAGCCATCTGTATGGCCACTGTGAGAACAGGATGCTGGCCTAGATGGGCCACTGGCCTGATCCAGTCAGCTCTTCTCACATTCTTATGATTCTGTGACATCATTTGTCAGGAACGAGCCAGCGCCAAGAGAAAGTTTGCAGCCAACTGCAGAAAGCAGCCAGGAACAGAAAGGCTTAGGTGAAAGTCAGGCGGGGAGACCCGGCAGCTGCAGACTTCGGCTCTTCCACACCTTGATGGGCAGGGTGATAAGGCAGTAGCTGAGAGGAGGCTAGAGAACAGCTAAAGCTCACAGTAAGCACAAATAGGAGCGAAATAGATTCAGAGACAGCCTCTCAGAACAAGAAGAGGGTGGGGCTGATTCACTAAGTCCGAGGAGTCGGCAAATGGGAGGGCTGCTAGACAGGAAGGAAAACAAGAGATGGAAAGGTCGTAAGTTCAGTTCAGAAGGGTCATCTTGAGTAATGATGCCGGAGGCTTTGTCGGAGCTGTCCGGAGCTGTTTGTTTTTGCAATAAATCCTCCTTTTTAATTACCTACGCTTATTGTGTTATCAAGCTGGGAACCTGGACTCCTGACATCATTGCTTATAAAAATAGCCAACCAGACTCAGGTCCACCAGCGATGCAGTGGCCAAGCTCACGCAACCAGCATCTTTTTCAGCCCTATGGCATGCAGCATAGATGTGTTCTTTGAGACTGAGAGGAAGACCAGGCTGCTAAGTTGCAAGTGAGCGGGCTACTTATTTGTCCAAACCTGTGGCTGTGAGTTGCATCCAGCGTTAACCTGTTCACTAGTGCAAGGGCACGCTTAATGTTGTGCAAAAGAGGAATCCGACACTACAGTTTTGCTAGCGGAAACTCTCTGCACAATCTGGTTTTGCTATCCGTTGCACAACAAAATCACCACTTCTTGTGTATTCTGTAGGCGCAAAACATTTCGCCGGTGGAACTGCTATACTGCCAAGAGACTTTTGACTTAGTGCTGCATAAGAAGACACAACCCTGTGTGTCCAGCACAGCCGCAACACATCAAAGGGCAGGGGGCAGGAGTGAAATGGAGAAAGCCCAGAGGACCATCTCTGGGGATGCAGTCGGTGTGTGCAGGGACTAAAAGAATTTATGCTTCCTTACCCCTCAAATAAAAAGTACCGATTCTGGGGCTGCAAAGAACCTTCTGGATTTTGCAGCCAAGGTAGCATTTTGTGCCTCAAGGCTGGCCAGAGAAAAAAGCAAGTAAAGGTCTCTTTGCTATGTTATACAACTCTGGGGGCAAGAAACAATGTGAATAAAAGTGTAGAGGGTCTCATAAATCCAAATTCTGCATAGGATACTGTTTTTGCAGAAGGTAAAAAAGGCATGTGTCGGCTTGCTGGAAGATGGAGTTCTCTATCATTGAGCTTCCATCTGGTCATATCCTGTGTTGTTTTTTATTTTGTGACCAGACATTGAGGACAAACAAAAAAGGGAGAGTAAAATGATGAAATGTGACCGTTTGTTTGTTTGTTTGTTTGTTTAGCTGCTTTTTTCTCTTGCTCTTCTTTTTTATCCTGGAGACTTACTGGACTCTTAAAACTTAGCAATTAAAATCATTTGATGATTGCAAAGATTCCCTGGTTCATAGTATTTGTGGTGCTTTTCCATCAGCCAGCTACAGGATTCCAGTTTAATCAAATGAAAGCATAACTGACTCTTAACTGAACAGGGAACACGTTACGTCAAAGATACCAATGGTGAACAATAAGGTCCGGTACTGGCTTATATGTAGTACATGAAAAAATGGCATTTCTATGAATTTAAGGAGAACTGGGTCAGGAATAAAAAGCAAATTTTCAAAAGAAGTAGTAGACCACCTGCTCCTCCTCCAAACTCACCAAGGTACCAACAACAACAGCATGCTATCCACTCTGACCCAACAGAACATCAGTCCAAGAATAAAATACAGTGGTGCCCTGCAAGACGAATGCCTCGCAAGACGAAAAACCCGCTAGATGAAAGGGTTTTCCGTTTTTGAGTTGCTTCGCAAGACGATTTTCCCTATGGGCTTGCTTCGCAAGACGAAACGTCTTGCTAGTCTTGCGATTTCCCCCCGCTTCCCCCCCTTTTTCTAAGCCGCTAAGCCGCTAATAGCCTTTTAGCAGCTAAGCCGCTAAGCTTTTAATAGCCGCTAAACCGCTAGTAGCGCTAAGCCGCTAATAGGGTTGCTTCGCAAGACGAAAAAACCGCTAGACGAAGAGAATCGCGGAACGGATTCTTTTCGTCTTGCGAGGCACCACTGTAGATTCTTAGGATTCAAATCACTTCTCTCAAAGGAAGAGCCAGAGGTCTTTGGCAAGACAATAAACACCTCATCCTTCCCTGACATGGTGTTGACTAGGCCATAAAGCAACACTCAGATACCATAAGCCCTTTGGTTTAATATTACATTTCCTATTGAGCAAAAAATTACGTGATGTTCCAGAATTCTGGCCTGAATGGGACAGAAGGACAAATTCTCTCCTGTTTATTTGGAATGCAGGAGGTGGAAGCAGGCAGGGCAAAATCTTCCAAGGGTGTCTTTGGTGCCACTGTTAGAGCTTTCACCCCATCCAGTTGCCCCATCGTCAGGAAAAATAGAGGACATGTCTCCATGTTTCCTTCAAAGTTCTGTGGCAGGAAGAATGTGCTCAGGAAAGTTTGGCCTGTATCTTTTTAGCTCCCACAGCATTCAGCCTGGGCCCTGGCTCAGTCATGGCTTCCGGAAAGCAAGCTTTGGTTCACACAATTGGGTTTCCTCCTTCTGTACAGCACCCTAGAATTATTGGAGGTTCCCGCCCACCCACTTTGGCTTGCGCTATCTGCTTGTGTTGCGGCACCTCGGTAAAACCACTTCTCACACATTTATAGCGGGGTATTTCCCTGGAGGCAGGTGACAAGAACAGCAGCTATAGTCAAATTCCTCAGTCAAGAGTTTCTTTATTGCTTGACTGGTTGCACAAACATTTCTATTGCAAATATATACAAACTAGTTACATTCTTTCTACACCTTTCCAGCACGGTATAAACTCAAGCATATGTGTGTGTGCTTTCTTCTTGATGAAGTTGCAGCCAGCAACTTGCTTTTATTTGCACCGCCAGCTGACACCAATTAAGCCACGACTGCCACTCCCACACACTAAATAAAATTCTGGAACTCCATTTAAAGCGCAAAGGAACTTTGATCTGTTTCTTGAAGGATGTTTTCCTAACAAGAACCTGGAAAATAATTGCAAAAAGAAAAGGGAAGCCAAAGCAAGCTTGAAAACAGCTTGGTATTAGACCTGCTTGATGTTTTCTACATTTGTGGAGCCACCACCAGAAAACCCCTGGCCTGGGAACCTGGCAAAGTGTGGTAGAGAATATACTCCAAGAGTTTGGCAGAGGTAAGTGGAAACAATGGCAGCTGGGCCTTTAGGGCAAATGGGGTATCAGAGTTTTTAGGGGGCTAACCAGGCTGGGATAGCTGGGGTAAGCAGGCTTGTTGGTTTTTGAATGTCTGATGTAGAATTTTCAATTTCGTTCTGTATGGGACAATGACAATGAAGATTATCTAATTGTAACCTCTGTGTGCCCTCAGCCATCCTTCTGCTTTCTTACTGGCTACCAGCTTGCGACTTACTATATCACCCCAGGAGGTGGTAGCAGTGCCTTGACCATTTCCTCCTCCTTAGTTCCAGAGACTTTCCCATCCCACGAATCCAGTTTGTGGACCAGAAAAGCGAAGTCACGCTTTCGTGTGCATCAAGACTCACATCTTTATTATTATTATTATTATTATTATTATTATTATTATTATTATTTATTTATTTATTTATTTCGAGTTGGTGGAAGAAGAGTGGAAAAAATTTAAAGTTTATTTACAGAAATATTGTAAAATTAATGAATGTTAGAAGGATGCTGGAATGAAGTTATATGGCTCTAGCAGAAATATTATAAAGAATTAAGTAAAAATAGATTGTTAATGGGTTAAAGTGGAAATGTAAGGTTAGATTGTGATAAGATAAATTATAGAACAAAAATTAAGAAAGATGGAAAGGATTTGCTGAAATAGCTAATTGAACAAGAATACAAAAAAGGGAGGTGTGAGGAGGTCGACAATATATGTAAATGAAAGGTAGAGATATAGAGATACTGGATGTGTCTTTAAATGTTTTTGTTTCTCTTGTTGTTTTGCTGTGTTGTTTTTAGTTTTTTCTTTTTATTTTTGATGTATTGTGAACTTTTTATTTTTTCTTTCTTTCTTTATTCTGTAACTATTAAACCCTTAATAATTTTTTTTTTTAAAAAATTATTATTATTATTTCATTTTCCTGGAGCTCTGCCCACCCCAAATCCTGGGAACAGGCATAAGTGTAGCCAGCATAGGAGCTAACTCCTTGGGGCGTGCCGGCTTCAATCCCGCCCCCCCAATAAATATTTGAGAATGGCATTGTCATCGAAATGGTGTGCATGCACCACATCGTGTGACTGATTATGTGGGGCGCGGCTTACCTGCAACCAACCCCCCATATTTTATTCAAGTTGGTACCCCCTGGTAGCCTGGCTTTATGTTAGGGGGGCCCTCAAAATCTCAGTTATTTTGTATTGATTTACTTTATTTCGGGGGGCACCTGCCCTTCCTTGCCCCCCCTTGGCTACACCCATGGGGACGGGGGCGGAGGGGTGGGGTGGCTGGTGAAGAGAGACCCCAGTGCCGAAAGTTGCCGCGGCCACCAGAGGCCTCTCGCTTTAAGCTCGCCAAGCCGAGAGGAAGCTGCTCTTCTCTCCCTCCTCTGCTCAGGAACATCCTGGCTCCGAGTGGGCCACCACGCCGGCGCCGTCTGCAGCGCCGCTTTCTCCTCCGAGGGAGCCTGCAGGCGGGAGGCAGAGAGGCAGCCGCCGGGGCGCGCTGCGCTTCCTCCTCTCGGCGCCCGACCGGAGTGGGAACTGACGCGCCCCAGCCTTTGTCGAGCGGGATAGGCGGGAGGAGGGGGGGTGCGAGGAGGCTCTTGCGGGAACAATCCCGGGTGAGTGAGACAGATGCCAGAAGGAAGCGCGGGGGGGGGGGCAGCGCGATCCGGGATGAAAGTTGCGGGTGGCGCTGGGGATGCGCGCACGCTTGCAAAGGATGGAATTGGCACGCGTTGCGCGCGGAGGCGAGGGGCGCAGAAGAGCAAGGGAGATGGTTTTCTTTTGTGATTATTTCCACGCCAGACTAGAGGGGTGGGGTGTGAACTCTCTACTAATGAGAAGTAATAGCTCCGTCTGCAAGGGGGAGAAGGGGAGGTTGCAACGACACGATTTGACGCCGATCCAGGTCACATTTCAACCTCTGGCATTGCGGCAAGGGATGCGATCCAGAGGGAGAAAGGTTCTCCGTGGCTACTACTGGCCAAGAGGGCTATGTTGCACATCCAGTGTTAGAGGCAGTACGCTCTGCTATCGAACATTGGGGAATCACACGTGGGGAGAGCAAGGGTGCAGTCTGGTCCTACTTAAGGGTTTTGCGCAGGCATCTGGTTAGTAGATAGATGGCTGGGTAGTTTGCAGTAGATCCGGGTGGGTTTCTGACACCCCACTGTTCAGCAACAGTAGCAACAAAATAACTCTCCCCACCCAAATTAGGCTGCTGAGAAAGCAAAGCAGGAGAGAACTTCTGTATGAAGAGTCTGTGGGCAAAATTCAGCTTTGGTACAGAGTTGTTGTTGTTTAGTCGTTTAGTTGTGTCCGACTCTTCATGACCCCATGGACCAGAGCACGCCAGGCACTCCTGTCTTCCACTGCCTCCCGCAGTTTGGTCAGACTCATGTTTGTAGCTTTGAGAACACTGTCCAGCCATCTCATCCTCTGTCGTCCCCTTCTCCTTGTGCCCTCAATCTTTCCCAGCATCAGGGTCTTTTCCAGGGAGTCTTCTCTTCTCATGAGGTGGCCAAAGTATTGGAGCCTCAGCTTCACTATCTGTCCTTCCAGTGAGCACTTAGGGCTGATTTCCTTAAGAATGGAGAGGTTTGATCTTCTTGCAGTCCATGGGACTCTCAAGAGTCCCATGGACTGCAAGAAGACTCTGCCAAGAGTCTCCTCCAGCACCACTTGGGTACAGTACTGAGATTTAATTCCTAGGCCCAGAATGTGCTCAGAGATACCCCTGTTCTTTAATTCTAAGGATGTGTTAGAATTATATATTCTAGTAGCTCTGGTTGATAGATGCTGTTCTAGTTTAAAACAAGTCTGGATTCTCTTTTCTTTCAGCCACTGAATAGAAAATGGAGGAGACTTTTCAGAAGGAAAGTCCTGAACAGGTGAAACTGCATAAGGCAGCAGCAGAAATATCCCCGTGGAGTTGTTGCCAAGTAGATGATGATTCTGAAAATCAACAGGGGCCAGAAACACAAGCGAACAAGTGCTCTGAATCAGAAAGACAGAAGTGTTTCCCTTCCCAAGGACACTCCAAGGAAGCAAGAAAGCTGCCTGTTCAACAAAGAAATCGGATGTCAAAGAAACAGCACCCTTGCCCCGACTGTGGGAAAGTCTTCAACAGGACCTCGGCCCTCAACGCACATCAGAGAGTCCACACGGGTGAGAAGCCCTACAAATGTGCAGAGTGTGGGAAGAGCTTCAGTAAGAGTTCGCACCTCATTGCTCATCAGAGAATCCACACAGGCGAAAGGCCGTACACCTGTATGACTTGTGGGAAAAGCTTCAACCACTCCTCACATGTCATTACCCACCAGAGAACCCACACAGGGGAGAAACTCTATAAATGCCTTGAGTGTGGGAAAAACTTCCGGTACAGCTCCGATCTCATCAGGCACCAGATTGAGCACGCGGGAGAAAAACCTTACCAGTGCTCCGACTGTGGGAAGTGCTTCAACCGGAGCTCAAACCTCCTCATTCACCAGAGAATACACACGGGCGAGAAACCCTACAAGTGCCTTGAGTGCGGGAGGAGCTTCAGCTACAGCTCCGTCCTCATCAAGCACCAAAAAGTACACACCTCCGAGAAGCCTTATAAATGTCCTGACTGTGGGGAAGGTTTTCACGTGAACGCAAGTCTCCTCACACACCAGAGGGTTCACACAGGAGAGAAACACTACTCATGCTCGCAGTGTGGGAAAAGTTTCCGATGGATCTCGCACCTTACCAGGCATCAGAAGATCCACACAGCAGCGAAACCTGTTTAAACGCTCGGAACACTGGGAAATCATCCGTGTGTGCTCAGATCTTAAGTTGGAGTATACTTTTGTTTAGTGTATTCTTCCATTATCATTCCTTTGATCTCTTGTCTAATTTTACAGTGTAAGACACTTGGGGGAAGGAATTTTTCCATATTATTCTTTTGTATTTGTTTGTTTGTGTGTGCGCACACACACACATATGAAAATATCACTGTATCAGTAATAAAAGACTTAAATCCAACAGCTGACTTTTGATGGCTCAAGATGAGCAAGGGCGAACCATATTTGTATTTATTTAGTTATTTATTTGAAAAAATTGTTTGCATTTTATATTTGTTACCTTCCTGAGCCGAAGAGATTGACTCAAATAAATACCATAGGTGCTACCTCCTCCTCCTCCTCTGTGCTGTTGTCCTGGTGCCCTTCTGCTTAACAAATAGGAACTGCAAGCTAAGGGAAATAGGATGCAACTCTGGAATGTCTTTTGTAAGTCTCCCATTGTAAGACCTCTTCCCAAAACTTTGGAGGGTCGCTCAGAGAGCTCTCAGGAAAAGCACTTCCACAGGCCTGCTTCCTGAAATCCTTCGGTGGCAAATGCCAGAGACATACATTGGTTCCCAATATGTTTCCGAGCATAATCCGAAGTGTTGGCGCTGACCTTGAAAGCCCTAAACGGCCTGGGCCCAGTATACCTGAAGGAGCGTCTCCACCCCCATCGTTCTGCCCGGACACTGAGGTCCAGCTCTGAGGGCCTTCTGGTGGTTCACTCAATGCGAGAAGTGAAGCTATAGGGGATCAGGCAGAGGGCCACCTTGGTAGTGGCTCCCGCCCTGTAGAACGCCCTCCCATCAGATGTCAAGGAAATGAGCAACTATGTAACCTTTAGAAGACACCTGAAGGCAGCCCTGTTTAGGGAAGTTTTTAGTGTGTGTTTTATTAGGCTTTTATATATGTTGGAAGCCTCCCAGAGTGGCAACCCAGTCAGATGGGTGGGGTATAATAACAATAACAACAATGACAACGACAAATTACTACTACTACTACCACCATTAAGGCAGAGAGTTGCTCCATGTAGGACACTCTTATCTTTGCAGCTCCCTTGTCAGATCCTGGCTTTTTAATCCTTTCTGTGTTGCTAAACACTGTATGGCAGGGCTGGTGGCCTTTTTGCCCTCAAGGCCAAATACAGCAGTGCGTGGGTCCATGGGGAGCACAAGCCAGTGGGCATTGGTGGGTCCACTGACTGGGTGGTGTGGCTTGGTTCCACTCTTGCCCGTTGCGTCAGGCAACACACTATCTTGAGCCAACCCTGCACTCTGACATGAAGCATGTCATCTTGGAACGCTGCAGAGGAAGAATGCAAATTCTAGCACACATATGTATGGGCAATAAGTCTTATGAGTTCTGCAAATCTAGACGGGAGTTAAGCGCAGTGGTCAGGTTGCAAGGAAGCAATGCCTCTTCTGCATACTTTCAGTCAGGGCCGGATTTAGGTTTGATGAGGCCCTAAGCTTCTGAAGGTAATGGGGCCCTTTAAATGTCCAGCTGTCCTTTGTCAGCAACGGATTGTCACTGTTTTTTGTGTGTTGAATATATGCTATATGGAAATTTATGGACCTAATAGGTATCTAAAGCCATTTGCACATAATATATGTATTTTATCAAAGTAATTGTTGAACTGAAATACAATTAAGAAGTATATTAATAGTGAACTCTGGAGGGGGCACACCAAGAGAGTGGGGGCCCTAAGCTATACCTTGTTTAGCTTATACGTAAATCCGGCACTGATTTCAGTGTGCATATAAGAAAATTATGCTTTTGAATAGTCCCTACAGCATTATTCTTTTAAACCTCCCTGCGATAAGAGTAAACCCGCACTGCAAGCAAATGACTGGCAGGGACGCTTTGCCCCGAAGCACTGGCTTTCTGCTTGCGAGGAGCTTTCGGCATTCAGAAATGTAAACGTGCGTGTTTGGTCCTTCCCTCCCTGTTTAAATACTGAGCTGCTTAAATTATATTCAAAAAAATAATAACGAAAAAGAAAGGAAAAGCTGGCCATCCCCTTTAAAAAGTCTCTGGACCGGGTGCCAAAATCGGGTGCTTTCCGGTCTGGCGCCGTGCCAGCAGAGGGCACTTGCTCGTCGATCCCGGGGAAGTCGCTGCTCTTTTTCCACCCCAGCTCCGATCAGCTGGTTTGGGAGGACGGACGAACTTCCTGGAGTATCATCAACAGAGTGGCCGCCATCGCTGCGGCTGCAGGGAGCGGAGAACCGCCAGGCCGAGCCCGCTTCCTCGCCGGACCGGAGTGAAGACTGCCCTCAGAGAACGCGCCGGGCTTGGCGAACGCTGCCAGCTGGAAACTGCTCAGGTGGTCCGTGGGGTGGAGGGCCAGGAAGTGACTTGCTCTCTTTGCAGGTAACGCTTTGAAGCGGACCACCCACCCACTTCCAGCGTGGGCTTCTGTCCGGCGCTGCGCCCTGTTAAAATCAACGTTTTCCAATACCAAGAAGTCCATAATTGCTTGTTGTTAACTGTGTGAATTGGCAAACCCCCCTCAATTGGCAACCCTCCCCCCGGAGAATGTATATTTAATTTGGCATATGCTGAATTAAAATTCTACTGGATTTTGGTAGGAGGTTCTACTGGATTTTGCTACGATCAGAAAGTCAGAAAGTCGGCGGTTCGAATCCCTGCAACGGGATGAACTCCCGTTGCTCGGTCCCAGCTCCTGCCAACCTAGCAGTTCGAAAGCACGTCAAAGTGCAAGTAGATAAACAGGGACCGCTCCGGTGGGAAGGTAAACGGCGTTTCCGTGCGCTGCTCTGGTTCGCCAGAAGCAGCTTAGTCATGCTGGCCACATGACCCGGAAGCTGTACGCCGGCTCCCTCGGCCAATAAAGCGAGATGAGCGCCGCAACCCCAGAGTCGGCCACGACTGGACCTAATGGTCAGGGGTCATGAAAAGAAGACGCACACAACCATTCATTCATTATTTTCATACGTGTGTGTGTGTGTATACAGTCATACCTTGGGTTGAATACGCTTCAGGTTGAGTGTTTTCGGGTTGCGCTCCGCGGTGACCCGGAAGTAACGGAGCGCGTTACTTCTGGGTTTCGCCGCTCACACATGTGCAGACACTCAAAATGATGTCACGCGCATGCACAGAAGCGGCGAATTGCTGCACGTGCAGACGTGTGTTTCGTTCGCTTCAGGATGCGAACGAGGCTCTGGAACGGATCCTGTTCGCATCCAGAGGTACCACTGTATGTGTGTGGGTGTATGTATATTTTATTATTATTTATTAAATTTGTATACCGCAGGTCTCGGGGTGGTTCACAACATAAAAACACAACATAAAAACACGAAATACATACTAAAAATCAGAACAACCCAATAACCCCCCACCCCCGCTTCCCCAACACAACAACTCTGATTAAATTGTATGGTAGTGGGGGTCTGGCTGCTCGTGAAACAGTTACGTCAGGGGTCAGCAAACTTTTTCAGCAGGGGGCCAGTCCACTGTCCCTCAGACCTTTTGGGGGGCCGGACTATATTTTTTGGGGGAAATGAACAAATTCCTATGTCCCACAAATAACCCAGAGATGCATTTTAAATAAAAGGACACATTCTACTCATGTAAAAACACGCTGATTCCCGGACCGTCTGTGGGCTGGATTGAGAAGGCGATTGGGCCGGATCCAGGCCCCGGGCCTTAGTTTGCCCACTCATGGGTTACATTTTTTTTAATTTATTCAGGTCCATAGCAGCAGGCATGGATCAAGTTCTCCCCAGTCCCCCTGTGGAGGCCTGCAAGGAATTGTCTGCCAGTTGCAGTTGCATCACATATCTCCTTCACTAGATGTTTGAAGGATGCACATGCCTTCTTCGTTTTCTAAGCGTCTTCAGCTTGATAAATACTGATCCCACGCAGATCCATCTACAGTGCTCCATAAAACGTGAAACTGCCTCCAGATACCAAAACAGTGCTATTTTTCTAGAAAAAGAGGTTCTGGAGCTCACCCTTCTCCCTTGTCCTCTTAGAATGGCAATGGCGCCCACCTGAGAGGTGCCAGAGGTGAGTTCTGGCTAAAAAATATATCTCTGCACAGTGCCTAGGGAAGGGACGGGGAACCACCTGAAGCTATCCAGGTGTTGTTGGACTCTAACTCCCATCAGCCCCAGCCGACATAGTCAGTAGTCAGGGATGATGGGAGTTGTAGTTCATCAACATCTGGAGGGCCACACGTTCCCCATCCCTGACCAGGAGTGTTGAGGATGATGCAGAGGTGGCTGTTGTTCAGGTTCAGAGGTGCTGTGCCACTGAATACCCCCTTTTTTTGGAAGTGGCAGGAAGAGGGGGGCTATTGGCTCCAAGCCTTCCTTGTCTTACTGAGGCATCTTTTTTAACCACTCTGGGAGACAATATCCTTTTATCTGATGCAACAAAACTGCTCTTTTGGGATGAGTGGGGAAATAATGTGTATGTTTGTGAGGAATGCTTTCAGCTCTTTCCCCTAGGATGGTGTATTCCCACCCACTCTGCTGCTGCTTTTAAGTCTTTAAATAGTCAGAAAATCCTGCCACATAACATGAGTAGTTGAGCTCCCTAAGATCCACTTTACCTAGAAGTAAACGCACACACGTTGCTAAGGTTTGATAACCTCTTAGAGGCGCCATTTGCTGTTTTTAAGTGGTATACAAATCTGGTTAAATAAACAAAACAGCATAAAAATATCTAAGGGGTAAAAATGGAAGAACTGTCATTGGTTACTACCATTACCGTGTACTCAACTTTCCCAAATGTGTTTTTGTTACCTGACGTTTTTAATAGGTGGAGTTAAGCATTGGACTCATGTAATTTTTGATGATACTTTGGGATGCATTCGGTTAGCAATGTCACTCGAAACCTCTGATTGGGTTGGCATCTAGATACCCCAAAAAGTTGTTTCTTGTGTGCAATGTACAGTGCTACCTCGGGTTAAGAACTTAATTCGTTCTGGAGGTGCATTCTTAACCTGAAACTGTTCTTAACCTGAAGCACCACTTTAGCTAATGGGGCCTCCCGCTGCTGCCGCATGATTTCTGTTCTCATCCTGAAGCAAAGTTCTTAACCCGAGGTACTATTTCTGGATTAGCGGAGTCTGTAACCTGAAGTGTCTGTAACCCGAGGTACCACTGTACATTATCAGTGCAGCTAGGCAAGGCTGGTAGCCTTGTGGTAAATACTTGCATGTGTTATACAGTACTTCTGCTCTCTCCACGATCTGCGGCAATTGTCTATTCTCCACACCTTTCACCCACACTGGTGTATTTTATTATTATTATTATTATTATTATTATTATTATTATTATTATTATTATTACAGTGGTACCTCTGGTTGTGAACGGGATCCATTCCAGAGGCCCATTCGCAACATGAAAAGCCCGCACCCTGAAGCGCCATATCTGCACAGATGTGCGGCACGATTTGGTGCTTGTGCGCATGCGCAAAGCGCGATTTAGCACTTCTACGCATGTGCCAGCGGCGAAACCCAGAAGTAACACTTTCCGGTACTTCTGGGTCGCTGCGGGACGCAACCTGAAAAAAGGCAACATGAAGCAAACGTAACATGAGGTATGACTGTTTATTTGTTGTTGTTGTTATACTGCCCTATACTAATAGATGTCAGGGCAGTTCACAGCACAAAATTTAGAAAATGCTTCCCTCTCACTCAATATCAGAACGGTGTGAGGCAACTTTTTAAAAAAGTTGAAAGCAGCATAACCCTGTAAACAAAGTTTACTGGTTTACAAATGTGGGGAAGCAGGTGGAGATCTGGGTTTCAGTAGTGTTTGATCTGCCTTGACTACTTTCTAAAAGTCCCCGAAGAGGAGATTGAAAAACCTAGAATGCTTCTGGTTTTGAGCTCTGTTTGTCTCAACAGGCGATGGGATGGCGGCTGAGCTGAAGGAACAGAGATGCGTGAAGGAAGAGCCCGGAACGACGGCGGTGCTGGCGGGCGGCTCGGAAGAGACGGTCTACCACAGCTGCAAGCGGGAGAGAGAGAACAGGGGCCGATACTTGCCAGAGAAGCGAGAGAGAGCTGAGAAAAGCCGAGAAGAAGCTGCTCTGCCACACAAGGAGCAGGGCTTCGGGAATCTTGACCAAATAGTGATCCAGCAGCTGATCCACATTGGAGGAGGCGGGAGGAGGCGCAGCAAGCAGGGGGAGAACTTCCGCCAGGCCTCGGGCCTCGGCAAGGCTTCAGTCGTCCGCCTGGGAGAGAAGCCGTACCTGTGCATCGTCTGCGAGAAAACCTTCCGCAACCACTCGGGCCTCATGGTCCACCAGCGGATTCACACGGGGGAAAAACCCTACAAATGCCCCGACTGCGAGAAGAGCTTCAATCAGCGCTCGCACCTGACCTCCCACCGCGGCACCCACACCGGAGAGAAGCCCTTCAAGTGCTTTGCCTGCGGGAAGAGCTTCAGCTACAACTCGGGCCTGGTGATCCACCAGCGCATCCACACGGGGGAGAAGCCGTACCAGTGCCCCGGGTGCGAGAAGAGCTTCAGCCAGAAATCCCACCTGCTGTCGCACCAGAGGACCCACGTCGGGGAAAAGTCCTTCAAGTGCCTGGACTGCGGGAAGAGCTTCAGCTACAACTCGGGCCTGGTCATTCACCAGCGCATCCACACCGGGGAGAAGCCGTACAAATGCTCAGACTGCGGGAAGAGCTTCAACCAGCGCTCGCACCTCGTTTCGCACCGAGGCGTCCACACGGGGCGCAAGCCCTACTCGTGCCGGGATTGCGGGAAGAGCTTCAGCTTCAACTCGGGCCTCGTCATACACCAGCGGCTGCACACGGGGGAGAAGCCTTATGAGTGCTCCAACTGCGGGAAGAGTTTCAACCAGAAATCGCACCTTATTTCACACCAGAGAGTCCACACCGGGCAAAAGCTCTGACTAGCTGGCGGCAGATACCATATGTTTCCGTGCATAACACAACACGCCCCCTATTTTGGGGGACTACATTTTAAGAAAATGGGGGGAGATGGCCCAGAGTTGTTGAGCTTTTTTGGGGGGGGGGAATGCAGAAAATCACTCACCCGACTCAAAAATGCTGAGAATCGCACACGTCGCCAAAGCTAACAAGCGTCTGCCCGCCCGCCCGCCACCAGCAGCCAGCAATCGCCCGCCCAATGGCACAGCAGAAACCCATCTGAAACACCCCTTGCCGCAGCCACCAATCACCCACCCAACTGACGCAGCAACAGCCAATCCGAAGCAGCCCTTGCCGCAGACACGAATCACCCAGCCAATCACCAGTGACAAGCTGCTGCTCGCAGTTGAAACACATTGTTCATCCCTCCTCTGCACTATCTGTGTATAAGACAAAGTCCAATTTTTAACATTCTTTTTGAGTAAAAACTCTTGTCTTATACACGGAAAAGTACAGTATGCCTTCTATTTAGCTGTGGTTCCTGCACAGTGGTTGGACTAGATAGTGTTTCCAGCTCTGCAATTCTATTGACAGGGCTATAATTCACCTCTAAAAAGGATCTAGAACAGGGTTTCCCAAACTTTTGTCTCTAGCAGTTTTTGGACTACAGTTCCCATCATCTCTGACTCCTGGCCCTGCTAGCTGGGGATGATGGGAGTTGTAGTCCAAAAACAGCTGGAGACCCGCATTTGGGAAACCCTGATCTAGAACACTGGTCTCTAAGCGGCAGCTTGCAGGTAATGACGCACCGCCAGTATTCCTTAAAGTGTGTGCCGCGTGGCAGTGGCATGGTTTTATTATAATTTTGAAGGTGAATTTATACAGGTGTGTATAAACTGCACATTCGATGAGAGCTGCCTTTCTTTTTGCTACAGATCAACAGCAGTGCACTGAGAAGGAGGACTGAAGGAGAGAGAGAGAAATCTAGGCATTCAACAAGAAGATAGTTACTGCTGAAACCCAGTATTAAAAATCCAACATTAATCTCTCCCCCCCCCTTTTCTGAGGTGGAAAAACCCTTAGACTTAAAGCTAAAGGATTTATTGATCAACTGCTATAGGAAAGTATTTAAAACCACCTGTTAAACATTTTATATTGGCCTGTCAGGGTATGCTTCTTAGTTGGTGTGGAGTCTGCAGCCTGTTTCAGAAATTTGCATCAGTGTAGGGAGGAGAGTGAATCTTACTTGCTGGCTCTGTTTTCCGTGCCTGAAAAAGGGATCCTACCTGTGTACAGCTGTGTGTGAGCAGATCCCCTTTTCAGATGCTACACTGAATGCAGGGCTGATGGGCCAGTAAAGTGTGCAATGTCACAAAGGCACATTCCCCCTCTCTCTTTTCCTGTTCAGCCTGCAAGCGGAGGCAACTTTGGGAAGAGGGCTTCTTAAGTGAAAAAAATAGAGTCAGATGTGATGTTGGATCCTCTAGATTGGATTACTGCAATGTACTCTGCATGGGGCTGCCTTATGGGGCTGGCCGCAGCAGCCAAGCTTGTGACTTGGGGCCCTGTTTCTTTAGAGCAGCCTTTCTCAACCTGTGGCTCCCAGATGTTGTTGAACTACAACTCCCATCGTCCCTAGCTAGCAAGGCCGGAGCTCAGGGATGATGGGAGTTGTAGTCCAACAACATCTGGCGACCCACAGGTCGAGAACCACTGCTTTAGAGCGTATAACTACAGTGGACGCTCGGGTTGCGAACCTGATCCATGTGGGATGCACGTTCGCAACCTGCAGCATTTGCAACCCGCACCTGCGCGTCTGCACACGCGCAGGTTGCGATTTGGCGCTTCTGTGCATCCACGACTGCCAAAACCCGGAAGTAACCCAGACCCGTACTTCCAGGTTTCGGCAGTCTGCAACCCAAAAAATGCAACCTGAAGCGGACGCAACATGAAGTATGACTGTACATTGTTCAGTTACCGGTTTGTTTGTGAGCAAAACTCAAAAGTGTTGGTTACTCTACAAATGCCATTAAAAATTGTTTGGGATCTGAAGGGCCATCTGCCTCCTGAGCCCACCCACCCACTGCAGTTGCCCTCAGATGCTCTGCTTCTTGTCCCAACTCTGACTGGCTGGCACATGAGGCAAGGACTTTTCGGTTGTGGCACCTAGTTTGTGGAACTCCTCGCCAAAAAGGCCCTGTTGGCCCCCCTCATTCTTAGTCTCGACATTTTTACAAAAGGGAAACATTTTGTTCCACTGTGCCTTTTAATACCAGGCTTTTGTTTTTGTATAGGTGTTTTGTTTTGTTTAATTTGCAGATTGTCGTTTGTGTTAACTGATGCTGTGAACTGCCCTGATGCCCATGTGAAGAACCGAAAGCTGGGGGAAGTAACTACTTTAATAAATAAAACAGTATTTATCAATATTTTGTTATAAGAGACTGTTACAACTTAACTGGGGGGAAACCCAACATCTATATACAGCATGCTGCTGTATATACATTTACTAGTGCATATTACAGTACTATAGTCTCTCAAGTTGGTTTGTTATAATATATAAACTCTATTTGGAAGTTTCCCTTGCACTTTGGGCAAACTTGGGAGGTGGAAGCAGGGCTGTGCTGATGAGCCCCACCCGTGGGGCCCACATGCAAAGTGCAAAGAAGTGCAAGGAGGCAGCCTTTGCCTGCATGAACAAAGGGGGCTACACTATCAGGAATCCTAGTTGTGCAGGATTCCTGATTGCATGGAAGCCTGTGTGTATGTTTGTGAAGGCTGCCTCCCTGCATGTTTGCACTGTCCCTTCAGATGCCAGCAACTTACCAACTTACTTACAGAGGCCAGGGCTGGCTGATGGTTCCCCTCTCTCTTTCTCACGTTTGTCCAACTTCTGAATAGGGCTATGAACGGTTACATTTCTGTATCTGAAGCATAGACACTGCCTGTAATCACCCCGCCTGCTTGCAATAAATGGAGTGTGTGCAATGACCAATGGCCTTATTTTGTATTCTATTTTCATAATAGATATTGGTTGCATCCTCGGATTTTTTTTACTCCCCCTGCCCCCTGCCACTTCTGCCACCAGGCAAAACTTCATGAAGGCAGCATCACATGGATGTGTAAGGAACCATGAAAGATCCAACAGCACAAGCAGAATTTTGGAGATTGCTTCCTGTTGCCTCGTACAATAGACTTTTCCAGCAGAGCAGATCATAAAAAGAGCCTTGTTGATACAGGACAAAGGCCTGTCTGGTCTACATACACAGCATTGTTATTTTGTCGCTGAAAGTTAAGAGCATTGCTACTAGCGATATATTGCAGTTTCTACAGCCTACGTATAGTAGGGGTATTTTAAAAGAGAATCATAGTGATCCCATTGGACCATAAAGAAGGCTGATCGCCGAAGAATTGATGCTTTTGAATTATGGTGCTGGAGAAGACTCTTGAGAGTCCCATGGACTTTATGAGGAACGGCTAAGGGAGCTGGGCATGTTTAGCCTGGAGAAGAGGAGGTTAAGGGGTGATATGATAGCCATGTTCAAATATATAAAAGGATGTCACATAGAGGAGGGAGAAAGGTTGTTTTCTGCTGCTCCAGACAAGCAGACACGGAGCAATGGATTCAAACTACAAGAAAGAAGATTCCACCTAAACATTAGGAAGAACTTCCTGACAGTAAGAGCTGTTCGACAGTGGAATTTGCTGCCAAGGAGTGTGGTGGAGTCTCCTTCTTTGGAGGTCTTCAAGCAGAGGCTTGACAACCATATGTCAGGAGTGCTCTGATGGTGTTTCCTGCTTGGCAGGGGGTTGGACTCGATGGCCCTTGTGGTCTCTTCCAACTCTATGATTCTATGATTCTAAGAAGATAAAACGCATCCATTCTTAAGGAAATCAGCCCTGAGTGCTCACTGGAAGGACAGATCGTGAAGCTGAGGCTCCAGTACTTTGGCCACCTCATGAGAAGAGAAGACTCCGTGGAGAAGACACTGATGCTGGGAAAGATAGAGGGCACAAGGAGAAGGGGGCGACAGAGGACGAGATGGTTGGATAGTGTTTTCGAGGCTACCAGCTTGAGTTTGACCAAACTGCGAGAAGTAGTGGAGGACAGAGGTGCCTGGCGTGCTCTGGTCCATGGGGTCACGAAGAGTCGGACACGACTAAACGACTAAACAACAACAACAACAAAGTGATCCCATAGCTAAAAGTGGAAGCCGGTAAATGTGTCCTCTTTATAGCTCTTCAAAATATGGCAACCTTATCTGCCAGAGCCTTCTTGTTTGGTTTGTGTGTTTGTTTAAAATTTATTTGGTTTTTCAAATTACAAGTTTACAGTCACATGTCCAATTTACAACATAAAAACAAGATTCCAAGGAATCTTGTGGACTTCCCTCCTCCCCTTTGCGGGTCCTCTTGTTCATCATTTCCTCCTGCACCTCTTATGATAATCCAAAATCTTTTACCTCTCCATTGTGTCAAAAATTCACCATTAAACTGGGAGTGATATTCCATCCTACTGACGACTTTAACTGTTTACAATGGTTTTTAAGATAAGTTATAAATTCTCCCCATTCCTTATTAAAATTTTGGTCTTGCTGATCTCTAATTCTTTTGGCCATTTCGGCATAGTCCATCGACTTGATCTGCATTTCTTCTCTGGTAGGGACTTCATTCCATCTCTGGGCCAATAACATCTGCGCCATAGCTGGCAACCTTCCCTTTTTTTGCGGGAAATTCCCTTATTCCAGTGCCGCTTCCCGCTGCTATCCCGGATTGTTAGATATCCCGTAGACTGTCCCCGGGACAGGTGAGGCTGCTGATCCCTTATTTTCAAATCTGAAAGTTGACAGGTATGATCTGCGCAGCCGTGGTCGCATGTATAGTTTTATCTGTTCCCTTTGGGATTTCGGCACCTAGAATTGCTGAGTCGTCTTGTTACTGTATTTAGAAAGGAAAATATCTCGGAGCTTCCCTGGTGGCGCCACCAGAGGGAGCACAGGAGCCGGGGAAAGGAGCGGCGGAAGTGGCTGCCCCGCTTTCCCCTTTCGTCGTCTTCGCCAGCACTGAGCTTCCGTGTTCAAGCGCAGTTGCGTGATGCGGAGTTTCCCCGGGTGCCTCCCCGGCCTCGTATGACGCCGCCTTGGTTCTTGTTCGTCCTGCGCATGCTCAGAGGAGGAAGCGGCTCCTGCTGGACCCAGAAGGATGGAGATGGCGTCCTTAACTCCCGGAGGAATGGAAGCAACTGCAGCCGGCTTGAAAGTGAGCGAACTCCCCCAAAGAGTTCAGGAAAGTCCGCCCCCCACGTGGTTGTTCAAGAGAGCATGCGCGGGTGCGGATATATGAACCATACAAACAGGCGGCAGGCAGAAAACCAACAGGCGAAGCTTTCCCACCACCTCTTCTTCCTCCTTCCCTCTCTTTCCCACTCGTTCCTCCAGCTTATTTTTTCGAGGGGGGGGGTTTGACCCACTTTCCCTTAAAAAACGGCTTCTGCGGCTTTCCACAGCTGCACAACGCTTATGGAAGCTCTATTTCCATGCAGGAAAGCCGCTGCACCTGCTGAATGCCTGCCTGCCAAGCTGCTGTTAACGGCACAGGAGTGAGTGGGCGGTCGGGCATGGATTAGATCTTTTGGAGCATTGTTGGAAGAGGGGCTGTGTTCTCTCTCTCTTTTTGTATAAGCATGTTAAATTTTCTGTTTTACAATTTAAGGTACTCATATTTACATCCTTAAGATATCAATGACTTCCCTTCTTCTCTTTCCATGGTTCATTTTACATATCATAAATCCCTGCATGTTTTACAGAAACTATACCATTCAGTATTCCATTATGACATCCATCACAACTTATTTACAGTGTTGAATTTAAATTCAACAGGGGGGGGTGTTCTAACATTCTGGTTGCGTTCAAGCCAAGGGCCCATCTTGGCCAGCATCTGGTTCTCACAGTGACCTTATGGGAAACTCTCAAGCAGGTTCTTGGTGCAACAGTCATAGAATTGTAGAGTTGGAAGGGACTCCCTTCCAACCTCCTTGAAATGAAGGATGAGGCCCGTGGGGACAGCCCCTGGAAGAGAGCCGGCGGAGCCACCCAGAACTCCATTTGAGAGTCGCTTTCTCTTTGCTGCAGGTGATGTTTGAGGACGTGGCTGTATATTTCTCCCTGGCTGAGTGGGCGGAGCTAGCCAAATGGCAGAAGGACCTCTACCGGGCTGTGATGGTGGACAACTACGAAGCGGTCACCTCTCTGGGTAAGGATCTCCCTTGCTTGTGTGTGTGTGTCCTGTGGTGTTTCAGAGAGTCGGGAAGCAGCAGAGAAATAATGCTGGTGTCAAGGTTTGCAGAGGGGGAGCACCTCTTTGTTGAACTGACCTTGGAGGCAAACGTAAGGTTTTGCCATCTGCAAATTGTAGTACAGGCACCAGTCTGAAACGCTTTGTTTGAACCAGCATTTCCTCAACTTGGTGCCCACATAAGAGCATCAGAAAAGCTTGTGCTGCCAGTTAAGGCCAAAGGGGCCACCATCCTGTTGTCACCAGATGCCCCGATGGGACGCCTGCAAGCAGTGCAACAGCAGCAACTCTCCCCATTTGCAATTTTATTAGCATTTATTTCCCTTCTTTTTCTCCAAGGAGCTCAAGGTGGCCCTGTGGTTCTCCACCCCCCCAACCCCTTTAATCCCCACAACAACACTGCGAGGCAGGCTAGGCTGAGAGGCAGCCGCTGCCTCTAGGTCACGCAGCGAGCCCCCTGGCCGAGTGGGAACCCAAACCTCAGTCTTCCAAGTCCTAGTCCAGCACTCTAACCACTCGTGCACCACACTGGCTCTCAATTCCCTGCAACCCATATTCAAAAGGAACATAGCCATCATAGCCAAGAGCCGTAATCACTCCAATCTGTGGGCAACCCAATTCGTGCACCCTGCCAGCCCTTCTTGAATCCCAGGAAAATGCAGCTGGTGTGTTTGTGGTTTTCTGCGGCTGCTGCTCCCTAACCCAACCACGAAAGGGAAACGAAAAAACGCATCTCTGGCGATTGGCTTCCTGGCTGGATGTGTGAGTGAGCAGCAGTGCCCCCCCTTCCCTCCAGCAGCACACTCCCCAGAATAGTTGCCACCCCACTGAATCCGCCTAGCCTGCATACTTGGCTCAGTCTGAGTTCTTACAAACGTGTAACGGGTATTACTACTTCTTGTTTATCTATTTTATGAATCTCTTTCCACGTGCATCTCAAGGCAACTTACAAATAAGTCATAGAAATCAGCCAGAAATTGTTTTCAAAATGATACAAAGTAGAAACAAAATGATACAAAGTAGAGCAGAGGGTGGGAGTCTTCAGATGTTTCAGGAAAGTGCAGCTAGGAGGTGCCTGTCAACATCACAAGGGGGATGCTGTTCCATAGATCAGGGGCAGCCACAGCAAAGTCCCTGCTCTGAGGTTTTGGTGGCATGTGTTTCTGTGGCGGCTTGGAAGAGACACTCTTCTGCAGAACACAGTGACCTGCTGGGTGTATAAGGGATAGGAACAATTTTCTGCCATCGTACTTGGACGACGTATTTGGTAAGGGAGGTGCGGTATCCTAGTGTGGTACAGTGGCTAGAGTGTTGGTCTGAGATTCCCCACTCAGTCACGAAGCCCCCTGGGTGACCTTAGGTCAGCCAATACCCCCACTGCAGGGCTGCTGTGAGGATGGAATGGGGAGGAGGGGACCCTGGCACGCCACTCTCAGCTGGTACATAAATGTAAGAAACGAGTAATGAGTAAAGCTGCTGTCCTCTGCTCCCACAACAGGGCACCTGTCCATCAAACCGGAGCTCATCTGCAAAATAGAGCGCAAAGAGGAGCCCTGGATGGAGGAATCCCTAGAACCCCTCAAATGGAAGAGACCCTGGTTGGGTGAGTTGATTTAAGGGGTGGTGGTTTTTGCCTTCCTCAGTCCTTTAAGGGTTCCCTGTTAACTGGTTCTTATCAGTGTTGTGATCAGGCTGCACTCTTGTGTATGTGACGCTGCCCTCGCTGGTAATGGATACAGTGGTACCCCGCAAGACGAACGCCTCGCAAGACGGAAAACCTGCTAGACGAAAGGGTTTTCCGTTTTGGAGGCGCTTCGCAAAACGAATTTCCCTATGGGCTTCCTTCGCAAGACGAAAGCCCATAGGGAAATCTCCGGGACAGCGGGGAAGCGCAGCGCGTCTTCCCCACTGTCCTCGAACCTCCTCCGAAGGCTGGCGGCGGGGCGGAGAGACCTCCTCCTGCCGCCAGCCTTCGTTTCTCCGCTATCCCGGACGGCTTTTGAAGGCAGGCGGGGGGGGAGCAAAGACTTTCAGAAGAGGTCCAGGAGGCTTCGCTGCCGCCCGCCAGCATTTTAAGATCGCCCCGGACAGCGGAGAAGTCCTCCGCTGTCCCGGGGTTTTTTAAAATGCTGGGAGTGGGAAGAAAAGCCCTTGTCCCCCCCCCAGCCTTCAGAAGAGGTCGGGGGACAGACTGTCCCCGGACGTGGTCTGAAGGCGGTTTCCATAGGAACGCATTGATTGATTTTCAATGCATTCCTATGGGAAACCGTGCTTCGCAAGACGAAAAACTCGCAAGAAGAAAAAACTTGCGGAACGAATTAATTTCGTCTTGCGAGGCACCACTGTAACAGAAATCCCACCTCTCTTGCTCTGACTGGCAACATCTTAGGACACGGACTAGGACTTGGGGGATCCCAGGTTCAGATCCCCCCTCCCCATTCACTGATGAAATTAACTGGGCAGATTTGAGGCAATCGAGTTCTCTCACCCCCGCCTACCTCGCAGGAGGACGGGCCACATACGTAATCATAGAAACTAAGTAGTTTTATGCAGTAGGGTAATTCCAATCCATGCTTTAGGCCAGTAGTTCTCAAAGGCAGGAGAGGATGGCAAATGTGGTGGGAAGAGTCAAGGACAGTCAAAGAAACATTTAAACATTTCAGTCTATTATAGTCCCAAATTTTTTTTTGTTGTTTGTGGAATATGGATCTCTTTTCAAAATGAGTGCCAAGAGCATCAAGTGATACTGCAAGCTCACACTTCACATTGAGTTTGTATACATAGGGTTAGGGTTATTTTGGCAATGATCTGTGTTTTTACGTAGCTGCATTGTTTTATACTTTCTGGACACCCCATGATCATATTATTGAGTTGCTTTCTATGCTATAAATAAAACACTGCTAGGAGCAGATGGCGCTGTGGCTTAAACCACAGAGCCTAGGACTTGCCGATCAGAAGGTCAACGGTTTGAATCCCCGCAATGGGGTGAGCTCCTGTTGCTCGGTCCCTGCTCCTGCCAACCTAGCAGTTCGAAAGCACGTTAAAGTGCAAGTAGATAAATAGGTACCGCTCTGGTGGGAAGGTAAACGGTGTTTCCGCACGCTGCTCTGGTTCGCCAGAAGTGGCTTAGTCATGCTGGCCACATGACCCGGAAGCTGTACGCCGGTTTCCTCGGCCAATAAAGCGAGATGAGCGCCGCAACCCCAGAGTGGGCCACGAGTGGACCTAATGGTCAGGGGTCCCTTTACCTTTAGGAGCTGTTTCTTTTTGTTTGCCACTGCATTTCTTATCAATAAAAAAAATTCAGTGATGTGCAAGCAAATGTTTATTTCCAAAAGCAGTGGTTCTCAAAAAAGTTTTGAGAACCACTGCTTTAGCTGTCATGACTAATGGGTCATTGGCAGACCATCCTCTGCGAATTTACCTTTTAAAAAAGCTAATGGCTTTTTTTCTGGAGAGCTACAGGTTCCCCAGCCCTGGGTTAGGGCAGTATCTTCTCTAAAGCTTTCAATTTTCCCCTGCAGTCCTCAGGCTGAGTAACAACATGAAGCAGAATTCTCATCGGGAAGTTTCCAGGGTGACGACACTGCAGAATCCTGAGCCGCGAGAGACTTTGGAGAGCTGCTTGCCTCGTAGATCGGTGAGGCGAATAAATGTGGAGAGATTCGCCGAGTGCTGCCAAGGTTTTAAGACTTGGAAAGGACCCAGAGTCCATCAGGACCAAGGGGGAAGTAGGAACGCACACGCCGTCTGCCGGCAGAACAGCCGGAAGCATCCGAGACGCAAGGCAGACGAGAGCCAGAGCCTTTGGAAGTGCCCCGATTGCGGGAAAGGGCTCTCCAGTCAAAACGCCTTCAAAAGGCACCAGAAATTCCACACGGGCGAGAAGCCCTACCAATGTCGAGAGTGTGGGAAAAGCTTCATGGAGAGCAGCCACCTCACTCAGCACCAGAGGATCCACACGGGGGAGAAACCCTACACATGTTTGGACTGCGGGAAAAGGTTCACTCAGATCTCACACTTCATTCACCACCGGAGGAGCCACACGGGAGAGAAGCCCTACGGCTGCCCCGAGTGCGGGAAAAGCTTCAACTTCAAGTCGGCTCTGATTCGCCACCACCGGATTCACACGGGAGAGAAGCCGTACGAGTGCCCCTTGTGCAGGAAAAGATTCAACGTCAGCTCCCACCTGGCTCGGCACCAGAGGAAGCACCTCAAAGAGGCAGCGCTCAAAGTCGTAGAGGGCTTCAGAGGAAACCCGGTCTTTCTCGGGCGCTGCGGAGCACCACGGCCGTACGGCTGCATGAACTGCGAGAAAGGTTTTTTCCGGAGCGGAGACCTCGTGAGACACCAGAGGATCCACACGGGAGAGAGACCCTATCTGTGTAGCAAATGCGGGAAGAGCTTCAGCTACAAATCCAGCCGCCTGAGGCACGAGGCAGGACACATACGAGGGGTTGCCCTGAAGTGCTAGATTTCCTGAAGCCAAGAGGAGCTCTTCTCCAGCTTTGGTGATGGGATTCCCAAGAATGCGACATGCAGAGACTTTCCTGCATACTAATAACAAGCAAAGCGGCAAAGGAATTCTGCAACTTCAACATTTTCTGCAATCAGAATAAATTCTGCAACCAAAAAATGGATAGTCTTTTTCCCGAAGTGCACTTAATTTGCACACCTTGTTCTTTCTGCACATGTTTGTTACTGAGAATTTTTCTAGAGAATTTGCCTCTATATCAAACTCCTTGTTTTGTTTTGCATTGTTTTGGTATGTTACAAATTAAGCTTGGGGGATGTACACAGGGTTGGAAAGGAGATTGTGATTCTCATAACAGATATGAAGAACCCTGCCCTGCCTCCACCCGATCCCAGCTGCAAAAATAAAAAGAGGTGCAGTTAAGACTGCCTGCTGTTGACTTGGAAATGGCACACATTTCTTGGAAGGTCACAAAGATTCCTTGCTATTGAAGTGTCCCTTCAACCAGGCAAAGCTATACAGGCAGAGGGCCTTCTCGGTAGTGGCGCCCGCCCTGTGGAACGCCCTCCCATCAGATGTCAAGGAAATAAACAACTATCTTGACTTTTAGAAGACATCTGAAGGCAGCCCTGTTTAGGGAAGTTTTTAATGTCTGATGTTTTACCGTGTTTTTAATACTCTGTTGGGAGCCAACCAGAGTGGCTGGAGAAACCCAGCCAGATGGGCAGGGCATAAATAAATTATTATTATTATTATTATTATTATTATTATTATTATTATTATTATTATTCAGTCCCCCAGCAGTTCTCCCTCCCCTTCTGTATGTTATAACAACACCTTGAACTTTGTAGCGATCCAGTTGTGAACCCAACTAGAAACTTGGGGTGTAGAAAGTTCAGCTAAAGCAGGATCCTGAAGCAGGGATCTTCAGATTCTCCCCCTCTCTTTAATGTGAGAGAGATCCCTGCCCAACTCCACTCAGGAGTCAAGACAACAGAGATGGTCAGTTCAGTTGGCCTTGTTTGTTCTTACCCCAAGCTTGGGGCACAGGGGTTACAGTCCAAAACAACTAGAAGGCCCCAGATTGGGGAAATTTGCAGTAATAGGTAAATGAACTGCGTAAGCCTGCAAGAGACGATGCGGGGAAATAAAAACCCTCTCCTGTCGGAGCTCAGATTTGTAAATAAAATCTGAAACACAGCAGACACAGACAACCATTGGGAGCAAGGTTGGCTACAGGGGAGGAAGCAGGATCTTTGCACTCTTAACTGTTGCCTTTTTGAAGCGCACTACGGGGACGCGGGTGGCGCTGTGGGTTAAGCCACAGAGCCTAGGACTTGCCAATCAGAAGGTCGGCGGTTCAAATCCCCGCGACAGTGTGAGCTCCCGTTGCTCGGTCCCAGCTCCTGCCAACCTAGCAGTTCGAAAGCACGTCAAAGTGCAAGTAGATAAATAGGTATCACTCCGGCGGGAAGGTAAATGGCGTTTCTGTGCGCTGCTCTGGTTCGCCAGAAGCGGCTTGGTCATGCTGGCCACGACCTGGAAACTGTACACTGGCTCCCTCAGCCAATAAAGCGAGATGAGCGTCGCAACCCCAGAGTCGGCCACGACTGGACCTAATGGTCAGGGGTCCCTTTACCTTTACCTTTAATGTAAGCGCTTAGGGAGGAGCAGACCAACAGCAACATCGCAGAACATAACCTTCTCATTGCAGCAGCGTGATGGGGGCATTACATCTGCCCCTGTCCTTTGGAATGAGAAGGAATGTGCTTTTCTCTGCCTTGTTCCACCCCGTAACGGCTTTCAGGTGTACTCGGATGGGAACCACAATGAGAAACTTAACTGCCATGCAAAGACCAGAATCCTGCCTCTGCACCTTAGGCAGCTTATCAGTGCGCATGAGATGCAGCTGGAGAACAAATGTTTAAAATATTCCTGTTTAAGAGCAGGACGGTGAGAACGTGTTTTTTGGGGGTGACTTGCTGATTTTATGCCAGAACTGTTCAGCTCTTGTGATCCAGCCCAATGCCAAAATGGAGAAGAGAGAGAGATGGGGGCGTCTCACTCACATTTGGCTGTGGCCCCACCTGCCACCCGCATGTGGTCCCCTGCAGCCCTTGGCAGGGGAAAAAAAGATCCCCACTCCTGGACTAAAGCCACAGTTCTCACTTTGGGTGAGAAACGTCCTGGGTTCAATTCTCAGGCAAGCCCATGCGTTGTAAATACAGAGACTCCATGCAGATAGTCATTTGAATGCATCGTGATTTAAATTCACAATGGGTATGCTGTGGGAATGGGGGTAAGGAAGTCAATTTCATCTATGAACTTAATGCACACATATTTAGGAGTAATTCTCTGGACGCTTTTTTAAAAAAAATTAATAAATCAAGACCCTATACAGTAAATTTCAAATTGTTCTCCGTTTCTTCTTACCTGTGGGCTAAGCCCACTGAAATTACTGTACAAGAATGCCATTCAAAACATGTAGCTTCAACAGAATACTGCGTGGCACATGTTGCAGCAGAGGGCCAATCATTGGAGTTTGCCTTTCTAGGGCAAATTTTGTGAGCGGCAAGTATTCTGCATGCATATGCGCGAAAGGATATATATATATAATCCAAATGCACACACCGTAAGGAATTCACATTCTGCCATCCGAATCCAGTTCATACAGTTTTAAGTAGAATTGATTGATTGATTGATTGATTGATTGATTATTTATTTAAAATGGGGGTGAATCAGAAGGGAGGGGGAGAGTTAAGTGGAACTGGAAAAGCACAGAGGAGCAGGGGGAAATCAAGGCCAAGGCACCCTCCAAAGCATTAAAACCATGCCCACTTAATGAAGGAGAATTCTAGCAAGCCCTCATAAACTAGGCAACCACCATTTAAAGAGCCAGACACCTGTGTTTTTTTTTAAAGATGGGTTTTAAAGCTGAAATTCTTGCACTGCCGACTTCTTGTACCAAATGCTGCATGTGCGACTGATCCCACAGATGTGAAACATTTCCTACACCCTTGGAAATAACGCCCTGAAACAGACCGTGAAAGTGGACTGCCCACCACTTCCTTTTAAACACTTCATCCCTCTGCACCCCATGCTTTTTATCCACCCCACTTGGGAGACCGAATGCACACAGCTTTGCCTAAAAAGAAAAGACGTAAGAATCAACAGTCTTAGGCCAAGAAAAGTGGGCGTTCTTTGCTTTATAAATCAAGCAAACATACCCAGAATCAGGAATTCTAGAGTTGAAAGGGACCACAAGCTCTTTTGTCCGATATGGCTTGGTGAGACGTGTGGGTATTAAAGCGGTGTCTCGTTCTGGGAACGGGTTCGCGTCTCCTCCTCAATGCGCGCTGGGTGACCTTGGGCCATCACACTCTTGAGTCTCTCAGCCCACTCACTACAAGTGTTTGGAGGAAGAAATGTTACGCTTGAGACTCTGAGGGAGTGAAAGCAGATTCAAATCAACCTTCTTTCTTCTTCTTCTTCCTTCTTGAGTCTCATGCTCACAGCTGAACTCACAAGATATATTATTATTATGCACCACTGATTCTGTTTCAGCTAGTTGCAGAGAGGAGCAAAAATCTATGCACGGTGCTGACTGCCTCCCAAGGTCACCCGTAAGGAGTGCTGCTCATCATCCCTCCTGTGGCAACTTGAGATCTATTGAGGCATGAATACTGTGCACTGCCAAGTCCATCTCCATAGCATTAAGGGATGGATAGATATCTTAGGGCACCATCCACCCATTACTTCCAAAGCCTCCATGGGCTTCAATTTCAAGTTAATAATATGTGCCCTGTTCCCACTGCAATAATTGGGACTTACTGTGGCAGGAGTGCAATGGGAATACAGTGGTACCTTGGTTCTCAAATGCCTTGGTACTCAAACAACTTAGAACCCAAACACTGCAAACCAGGAAGTAAGTGTTCCGGTTTGCGAACTTTTTTCGGAAGCTGAACATGCTCCATTTTGAGTGCCACGCTTCCGTTTCGAGTGCTGCGCTGAGGTCTGTCTGTTTTTGCTATTTATTTTGTGTTTTTGTTTTCATGGCTCTTTTTTGTTTTGTTTTTGTGACTGTTTGGAACCCTGTTCTGCTACTGATTGATTGTGTGACTGCAGTACAGTGGTACCTCGGGTTACATACGCTTCAGGTTACATACGCTTCAGGTTACAGACTCCGCTAACCCAGAAATAGTACCTCGGGTTAAGAACTTTGCTTCAGGATGAGAACAGAAATTGTGCAGCGGCAGTGGGAGGCCCCATTACCTAAAGTGGTACCTCAGGTTAAGAACAGTTTGAGGTTAAGAATGGACCTCCAGAACGAATTAAGTACTTAACCTGAGGTACCACTGTACATTGTTTATTGCTTTCATTTTATGGATCAACAGTCTTGTTAGATAGTAACATTCATGTTAATTTGCTGTTTTAGGGGTTGTTTTTAAAAGGCTGGAACAGATGAATCCATTTTGCATTACTCTCTATGGGAAAGCGCGCCTTGGTTTTGGAACGCTTTGGTTTTGGAACGGACTTCCGGAATGGATTAAGTTTGGGAACCAAGGTACCACTGTAAATGAGCTTTTAAGGATATCACCTGTAGGTCTCCAGATGTTGCCGAACTACACCTCTGATCACTGGTTATGCTCGCTGGGGCTGATGGGATTTGGGAGTCCTACAACATCTGGGCGGCCACAGGAAAGCTACCCCTGCTCTGGCAGCTTCAGGGCACAATGGCACAACTTTCAGACCACCCCATTTCTCACAGCTGTACAGTATCACACCAACCCACACATTCAAACATCATTATTAGTCTGAGGAAAGCCACAGTTGACATGTGGGGTGGATGGGGGGAGAGAGACAGACCCTGCCCCTATAAAAGGAATACTGCAACAGTGTCTTTTGCCTCTGAGAAGCAGACAATCAAGGCTGGAAAGCAAGACTTCTTCCCTCTAGGTCCATCCCCATTACTTGGTAAAGGAACGAGCGACAAATAACACAGACACATAAAGGTCCAGCTTGGGGATACCTGAATGTATTTTGCATTCCAGTGATTTGCTCTTGGTACAGAACCAAGAGAGAGAGATCCCCATAGATACCACGAGGCCCCAGGCCTTTAACTCGGCTGTAGGAAAAGTGAAGATTCGGAGCAACAAGTTAACACTTTTTCTAGGCTTTTAAAAAAACAAAAACAAAACCCACACCAAATTACATGATTTCTCTATCTTGTGGACAGATGCAAGTAGTGGAAGGGAGGCAAAATTTGGCTGAGCTTGTCGCTACCACACTAGAGGAAACATCCCACAGTACATTTCAGAGAGCAATTCAAAGTGTTGGTGCTGACCTTTAAAGTGGCCTAAACGGCCTCAGCCCAGTATACCTGAAGGAGCATCTTCACCCCCATTGTTCTGCCCAGAAACTGAGATCCAGCTCCGAGCGCCTTCTGGCGTTCCCTCATTGCAAGAAGCGAGGTTACACGGAACCAGGCAGAGGGCCTTCTTGGTAGTGGCGCCCGCCCCGTGGAACGCCCTCCCATCAGATGTCAAGGAAATACACTCACCATCTGTCTTTTAGAAGACATCTGAAGGCAGCCCTGTTTAGGGAAGTTTTTAATGTTTGATGTTTTACCGTGTTCTTAATATTCTGTTGGGAGCAACCCAGAGTGGCTGGGGAAACCCAGACAGATGGGCGGGGCATAAATAATAAATTATTAGAATAAACTGACTTGTTTTTAGTGTTTAGACCTTCCTGATGGAGCCATTCTCTCACCCATGTGTGAGGAGGCCTGAGCTGGGTGCTCCAGCTCAGCTGTGTATGGTTTTAAACAGCCTCTTTTGCTTCAGACAAGAATGGAGTCTGAAACTAGTGTTTTTTTATATAGCAATTACTTAGGAACTTTTTGCCATTTTGTAACCAAGCAACAGTTTACTGCCTTTGCAACTTTGTTTTTATTGCTGTATGGAAAAGCACATGAATCTGACCTTTGAAGAATTTTGTAAGTAAACCAGTTTATAACTTACTAAATGTATGATTGATCTTTGTGCTAGGGAAGCGAGATACTTTGGAGAGAACTATTAAGAAGGGACATTTTGGAATTCATTTGAAAGGGTTTTGACATGTTAAATCTCTGCTGAGGCTCTCCCACCGGAGAGTACTTGCCCCAAAAGTGGGTCTTGGCTTCCAGGGTTGCAACAGTTTTCCCCCTCCTTACTACCCCCTCCTTTCTGCCCAGCACGGTAACTATATATACTAATGCCCACCCCTCACAAAAGGGGGGGGATAATTATTTGCTACCCTCCAATTCCAAGAAGTTACCCCCTCCACTCTGCTGTGCCTGGCGAGGCTGCCGTTGTATACTGCTGGTCGAACGCAGGACCTCCGCGACGGACACCACAGCGTCAACCATGGGGTGGAGGATATCCCTTGTGCGCCGAAGCTCCGCCTCAATCATGTTGAGCTCCTTAATCCTAATCTCCCTCTCCAGATGGCTGTCCCTGGCCCTCGCCTCTCTATCCAGCTGGGCCTCCCTTGCCCTGGCTTCGCGGTCTAGCTGGGCCTCGCGGGTCCGGGCCTCTCTGTCCAGAAGCATCTCCCTCAGCATCGCCTCACGGAACTCCCCGGCGCTGATCTCGCCCCTCTCGTGAAGCGCCTCCATCGTCTCCCAGGTCCGCCGGTAGTCGGTCATGATCTCGTGCATCATTTCTTCATGGGACCGCCTCTTCCTCTCCCGCATGGACGCCATCCTCTCTGCTGTCGTCAGGGGGCGCCCCAGGGAGTTGTCCCGCCTGCCTCTGCCTGAAGGGAGAGGGGAAGCAAATTGTAATCTCTGGTGATTGCAAAGGTTTTTTTTTACTAATAGCTCAGCCCCGGCTGGCACGGCTGCAAAGGGCAGAGAATAAGGTAAAGGTACCCCTGCCCCGTTCGGGCCAGTCTTGCCAGACTCTAGGGTTGTGCGCTCATCTCACTCTATAGGCCGGGAGCCAGCGCTGTCCGCAGACACTTCCGGGTCACGTGGCCAGCGTGACAAGCTGCATCTGGCGAACCAGCGCAGCACGCGGAACACCGTTTACCTTCCCACTGGTAAGCGGTCCCTATTTATCTACTTGCACCCGGGGGTGCTTTCGAACTGCTAGGTTGGCAGGCGCTGGGACCGAACGACGGGAGCGCACCCCGCCGCGGGGATTCGAACCGCCGACCTTTCGATCGGCAAGCCCTAGGCACTGAGGTTTTACCCACAGCGCCACCCGCGTCCCCCTAGGGCAGATAATAGCAGGTGGCTGAGACTCCAGATTCCCTCTTTCCCTTTGGGTTAATCAGGGGAGCAGGGATTTACAGAAGCCGGAAGCTTTGCAAAATGTAGAGCAAGCTAGCACTGGGGCTGGGTGCAGGGGTTATAAGACGACTGGCAGGCGGTTTGGCCCGCTGGGCCAAAACACATTCCCCACCCCTGTGTTATCGAGGGCCTCACTAGAGCCAAAGAGACCCGGGTTCAAGTTCCCCTCAGTCACAATGCTCGCTGAGTGACCTTGGGCAAGTCACTGCCCCTCATCCTAAGCTGCATCCATCACATGTCTGTTCTAAGGATGACATGGTATGTAGGAGAGAGCTATGTACTGAATTCCTTGGAGGAAGAATGGGATAAACATTCAATAAAGAGCCAGTTTCTTGTGCTGATCTTTAACATTGTCAGGAGGAGGCCCCATTCCATTCCCTTGTTCCTGGATGCCAGGGCCCAGACTGACAATGTCCCTCAGAGCAGTATGAAGCACATATGCGCTTGCCTTGAGTTCCAGGACAGGTGGGATATAAAAATAGAAAAATAATAAAATGAAGTAAGAGCTGTTTGACAGTGGAATTTGCTGCCAAGGAGTGTGGTGGAGTCTCCTTCTTTGGAGGTCTTTAAGCAGAGGCTTGACAACCATATGTCAGGAGTGCTCTGATGGTGTTTCCTGCTTGGCAGGGGGTTGGACTTGTGGTCTATTCCAACTCTATGATTCTATGAATAACCCTAGTTGTATGCTGCCATGTGCCACTGGTGGGTGTGCATTATGTGGCAACACGAGAAAAGGCTGTCTTTGTAGTGGTACACCTGGTGCTGAAACACTGTTTGCCCAGACATTTTCAGTGATTCAGGGCTGCGCTAGGGAGCCTGCTCTATGGTTTGCACTTCCGATTTACAACCGTTCGAATGTGATCTTATGGAATCTGCATCTCGTACCCTGTCCTCGGATCCACTGAGGTGAAGGGAAGGTTGCAAATGCTCTTAATAAAATCGTATCTAAGCCACAGTGGCAATTTTGTTTGGAAGGGTTTATAATGCAACCAAGCGTCATAATACATCTGCTGCCAATAATCAATGTCATTGGTAGCATAGCTGATATCATATCACCTGTGGAATCAAGCCCACTGAGCTTCTCCCTTTCTGAGAGCCTTTCCCCACCCTCTCAGCCAGCCAAACCCGCCCCACAGACACTTTCCCTCCCGCCTCCATTTTCTGTCCTTCCTATACCCCTTGCTTCCTTTTTCCTGCCTGCCTGCCAGCTTATCCCATCATCCAATCATTTGCCAGGGTGGAGCTGCCCTCGCCCGGAATGAATGCCGATTGGCTGCAGGGATGAAAATCTAAGCAACCTCCTCCCAGGCTCTTTCAGAGCTTCCCAGGCCCCCTCCCTTTCACATTCTGACCAAAATTGGCCAGACCTAGACACAGCACCATATGGCATTCCCGGCTAACCGGGACGGTTTGCATAGCATCCAACCTTACGCAGGCTCCGCTTCCGAGACTAAATTTCACGTCAGTTCCTCTCTGGCAAGGCACATCTAATTCGGGTCTCTAAACAGGGGGAATTCAGGTCATGCCACCCTACCCCACAAGAGCCCAGAATTGGTCTTGTCGGTTCCCACAGCCGGTTGACGCCTCGCTGGCCAAACAGCCATGAGCACCCACAGAAAGGCCACCGCGGCAACACAACATTTGCTCACCAGCCACAGAATGGTGCCCATCTTCGCTGGGGCCAGCCACCGGTTGCCCGTATAAAGGCAGAGATTTGTCACTGGGGCACTCCTCCCCTATTTTGGTTTCAATCACATCCGGGTCGCCGGCCACTAGCTCTCGCGAGACCCCGAGGTTCGGTTCCGTTTCGGTGTCCGTGTCGGCGTCCATGCTCGAGAGCGTGTTTGGCGGCGTCATCTGGTTGCCCTCCTCTTCGGAGACCTGCGCCTCCATGTCCTCCGCCTCTTCCGTTTTCACCACCACCCGGGCAGACCCGTCCATGCTCGGCAGGCTCCGGTTCGCCACGCCGTCCATTTCTCCGCCAAACATCCGGTCCAGCTCTCGGAAGTAGCGGCAGGAAACCGGCTCGGCGCCGGCGCACACCTGCGCGTCCTTGGCTCTCCGGTAGCTGCGCTTCAGGTCCCGGGCCCGGTTGCGACACTGCGAGGCGTTGCGCTCGTGACCCCTGGCGATCATCTGGGCCGAGAGGTCCTCGTAGATGTCGCTGTTGGGGGGCCGGTTTTCGATCCACCTGAGAATCAGCAGCTCGCCCCAGAGGGCCAGGAAGTTCCGCGTCTCCATCTCTGACCAAACCGGGGCGCGGGGCTGCAAGCGCTGGCGTGGCGTATGTGGCATGCCTGCTTTGGCCTAGCCAGCCCAGGTTTATCAGCACTGGACTCCGGGCAGCTCCAGGTGCCCCCACTACCTGAGAAGTGCCAAACTTCCCTCAGGAGACCCAGCAAGCCACAGCTGGAGGGAAAGAGCCCACAGCTTGCATGGAAGAGGAAGGCACCAGAAGAAAGCCAAGATGGAACCTTTTGCACCAGCGAGTGTTCACATGAACAGTTGTTAGTCAGTAGTAACGTCGTGGGCGGAGCTTTGGCCGGGACTTGCAAGGATCTCTTTCGGACACTTGGCATGGCCAATCCCGCCTCGAGGCGTCACGGCCCCCAACCCACCGAGTGGCTCCTTCCAGGGAGAGGTGGAAGCAGCTGCGCCAGCGAGCCAATAGGCCAAGCGGAGAGGCGGAGGCGGCGGCGGCTGCTGCTGCTGCAAGCAATGGATCCACCCTGCCTTTGCAGACAGGAAAAGGAAGGATTCCCGGCGGCGGCGGCGGCTTCCCGCACACCCCTTTGCTCGCCTCGTCCGGCTTTGCGCACTGCAAGCGGTGGGAATCCATCGGAGCGCCTAGCGGAATCTGGGGAGGCTTCTCTCTGGAGCGCATTGTGCCTCTAAAGGAAAACTACTGGGTCCTCCCCTCCCTACTCTCTCCAAGCCCCTGGATCTCTTGCTTTTCTTTCTGTGGTCGGGAGCAAGCAAAGCCATGTCAGCGTAAACATATCTTTCAAACAGCGCGAATGTTGACCTTGGAGAACTGCTTGCGATTGCGCCGCTGTTCTCCCCCTGCTGGTTTCGTTAGAAATCTGCAGAGCTGCAAAAAAAGGACGGGTGCTCGCAAAACAGCAGCGGCAGCCGCCCCTGGATCAGTCCCTGAAAGAGCGTTGAAGAGAAGCTTGCAAACTCTTGCGGTTGGAAGGAATGCAGCAAATGGTCATGGAGGGCAGCGGGATTGAAGGGGCGGGGGCTGCTTGCACATGGCATTGTGGAATGCTACCATTAATGTGTGGGGAGGAGACGAGGAGTTGGGGGGGATGCCAGTGGGAAGCCGGGTGCCTATGGCTGGTACTGCAAGAGTTTGCAAGAGATCCCGATCTCCGCCTCGTAGAGTCGCTGATGTTTGCCTTAAAGATTTCTTACTCCGTTCCCCACGATTTTCAGACGCTTTGATTTTGCCCTCCGGGGGGCGCCCAAGCCCATTTTGTTAAAGCTGCGTTATATATCATATACTATACAGTACAGCCAGATTGATAAAGGACTAGAATTTTCTCCTCCAATAGTTTAGACCTGGAATTAAAGTTTAGGAACCAGCAAACCTCCCAGAACCACCTGCTAATAACATTGTTTTTTATAGAGACGCCTACCCAGAAATTTAGACTGTTGCTGTGTGTTTTAATCTGTTTTGGGTTTGTTGCTGATTTTATTTTTCTGGGTCTTTTAAATTATTGTTAAATCTTTTTACTTTTTCCGTGAATTGCCTCGAGGGTTGTTGTTGTTAGCAGTGTATAAGTTTCTTTAATGAACAAATAAAAAATAAAATATCATGGGGTTCCCCCAATCACTTTTTTTTTTTATTACTATTTTTAAACCAACCCAGATTCTTCCTCACCTGCTTGAATGCAACTGAAGACCTTTCTCTACCAGCCTGCCCCACACCGGGTGACCTCGGGCCCCCTCACTATCCTTCAGCCTAGCCTACCTCACAGGGATGTTGTGCGGAGGCTGAAACAGGAAACGGGCGCGCTGATTGGTTGGCTGGCCGCTTGGGCCGGCGTCCCGACGCGCGCCGCGCGACAGACCAGCTCCTCGAGGTGAGGGTTCGGGCGGCGGCTTCGCTCGGCGGCTCTGAGCATGCTCGCGGGAGCCGGGCATGCTCAGTTAACAACGAGGCATGGGCTCCCTGGACCTGCGTCCCGTCCGTAGATGTCGATAGATACAAGTAGATAGGTAGATGGACACGCGAGGGGGCACCATGTGAGTAACGAGCGGCGGGACTGCGTGGGCCCCGGGCGGAGGAGGAGACGCGAGGAGGGAAGAGCAAGGGCAGGTCTAGCGACCGCCGCTCCTGCCTCCGACGGGGGACGGCTCAGGCGGAGGGAGGTCGAGGCGCCCTCTGCTTCGCTGCCTCCCCCTCCAGCGCCGGGTGGGATGGGGATGCTTCCCCTCGGGGGAAGGGAAGCAGCCCCCACGGGCCTGGCTGCTATTAGTCCGTATTAAATTACACCCAAAAAAAAACCACCTCTTTGTGGCTACTTTTGTCCTGCCTCATAATAACCCAACGACGTAAGTGCTGCTGCTGCAGCCTCTCGACTCCAGAGAGTAAAGCAATGGGTGGAATAATAACTCATAATAATAATAATAATATCATTTATACCAGTACCAGATTTACATATAAGCTAAACATGTTATAGCTTAGGGCCCCCCTCTCTTGTGCACCCCCCAAAAAATTAAAGGGGAAAAAGATGTACATTTCCAAAATATAAGATAAGAAACAAAATAAAGCCTACATACAGCAACAGTGGCAAATGGCTTTAGATACCTATTAGGTCCATAAATTGCCATATAGCATATATTTAACACAAAAAATGACAGTTGGTTGTTGATAAAGGACAGCTGGATATATAAAGGGCCCCATTATCTTCAGTAGCTTAGGGCCTCATCAAACCTAAATCCGGCCCTGTTTATACCCCTCCTATCTGGCTGGGTTTCCCTAGCCAGCCACTCTGGGCGTCTTCCAGCAAAATATAAAATCGTGACAAAATGTCAGACCTTAAAAACGAAACAAAAAAGCTTTATTATTAGTATTAAGAGCCTGTAAGGTCTTTTTGAGGACTGCAGTCACCTTCATTCGCTGCAGTGTTGGGTGGTTTGTTTGTTTGTGTGTGTTGTTTGTGCACAAACAGGTAATGGGGTGGGGATAGTTAAACATTTCAAATGGGGAATTGTATGATGTGACAGTTGCATAATTAGGTAATGCCAGCAGTTGGTTTGCACCTTGGGAGATGAGGCTTGTTAAAGAGCAGACCTTTAGTTCTGTGAATAGCATGGTTGCATATAGATAATGCATTTATTTGAGCCAAGTAAGCGTCAAGTGGCTTGCTTGATCCTGAACTTCAGAATGTGGTACTGCGTTTTAAAAATTATTATTTTGCTGTTTGAACATTTTTATTCACGGCCCTCTTAGCTAAGGATGAAAAGTTGCATCAGAAAGCGGTAAAGGTAAAGGGACTCCTGACCATTAGGTCCAGTCGTGACCGACTCTGGGGTTGCGGAGCTCATCTCGCTTTATTGGCCGAGGGAGCCGGCGTACAGCTTCCAGGTCATGTGGCCAGCATGACTAAGTCGCTTCTGGCGAACCAGAGCAGTGCACGGAAACGCCGTTTACCTTCCCGCCAGAGCGGTACCTATTTATCTACTTGCACTTTGACGTGCTTTCGAACTGCTAGGATGGCAGGAGCAGGGAGCAACGAGAGCTCACCCCGTCACGGGGATTTGAACCGCCGACCTTCTGATTGGCAAGTCCTAGGCTCTGTGGTTTATTTTATTTTTTTTAAATGATATTTATTAAAGTTTAACAATTACACAAAAGAAAAGAAAAAACAAACAATAAAGAAATTACAATACTTCAAAAGTACAAAAGTAGAAAAAAGAAAAAAGAAGAAAAAAATACAATAAAAGAACAATACAACAGATCAATAAAAAGAGAAAAAACAAAAACATTTAAAAACAAAAACATTTTAAAAAGAAAAAAAAGATCCGATATTTTCATATCTTTATCTTTCATTTACTTATTTCCTCGACTTCCTCACACCTCCCTTTTTGTATTCTAATTCAATTAGCTGTTTCAGCAAATCCTTTCCCTCTTTCTCAGATTTTATTCTATAATTTATCTTGACACAGTTTACCCTTAAATTTTACACTTAAAAAACCCTAAAAACTTAGGACTTATTTAAACTTATCTCCTTATAGCATTTCTACTAAAGCCAAATAATTTCATTCCAGGATTTTTCTAACACTCATTAATTTTACAATATTTCTCTAAATGAATTTTTAAACTTTCTTCCAATCTTCATCCACTGTCTCTTCTTCCTGGTCTCGGGTTCTGTCAGTCCTTTCTCCTAGGCTCTGTGGTTTAACCCACAGCGCCACCCGCATCACTCTTTCTAATATTATCCCAGTCATGTAAAATACAGTAATTAATGCTAAATTAAAAGTTTTAAAATTAAAAATGTTCATTTTTGTAGTCTTGTGCACTGTTACAAGAGAGTAAATTACATTGCTCAGTGGGACTTTTGAGTGATATGCATAGAGTTGTGCTATAAAATGCTTGCATTTTCTATTATATCAATTGGAACAATAATCTGTAATGAAATTTCCTGAATGGGAATTGATTTTAATTCAGGCAGGCTAAATACTATACATATTTATTTAGCTAAAATACAGTACTGTTTTGTCTCAGCTTTCAATCTTTTCTTACGCCCTCAGTTTTGATTAGGAATGGCCAGTCATACCATGTCTCCCAGATACACAACTTAGCACTTCGTGTTCTTATAAGAGGATTAGACAAGTTCCTGGAGGACAAGGTTTTCTATGGGCCACTTCCAACTCTACAGTTCTATGAATACCAGGAGGGGAGAGTGCTGTTGAACTCATGTCCGCTGTAAGAACAGGATGCTAAACTAGATCATTGGCCTGATCCAGCAGGTTCCTGTTATGTTCTCATGTTTAGGGAGGAGCTATATATTACAATTGGCAGTTGGGCCAATTAACGTGAAATTATAATACATTTGGCTCCTGTCCTCTGAGCTAAAAAAACAGCATGAAGGATGTGAGGACATCAGGGACAGGTAGGAGCCATATGTGTAGCTATTGAGCATGGCTCAGTTGGTAGATCACGAGACTCTCAATCTCAGGGCCATGGGTTCGAACCCCACATTGGGCAGAATATTCCTGCATTGCAGGGGGTTGGACTAGATGACCCTCGTGGTCACTTCGAGTTCTATAATTCTGTGACTCTGCTGCTATCTAGTCTTCATGTGCAAGGTCTGTTGCCACACTACAGTCCCACATGTGCAAGCTGCTCCTGCCAGCTGCGCTCATTGGCTTTGCATGGCCAGAGCCAAATGGGCTGGGCGGATTGGTTGGCACTTCCAGCAGTGGGTGACCAAAGACAAGAGGCCTTTTCTGAAGGCTGCTTGAGATGTAAGAGGGTGGCTTTCCCAGTCCAGAATGCCTCCTGTGCCCAACAAAGCTACAAGCAAAGACATTTGGTAGTATTGGATAGTTTGGTTTGGCCTCCCTCACTTTTGATCTCTTATAATGAATGGTATTATGCCTGTTTTGCATTCCATATCTGATGCTCCGGAGGGCAAAAGAATAACTGGAAAAAGAAGTCTGCAACAAATATTCTTGTCTATGTTGTGTTACATAATTTGGGCATATTTATGTGGAATGTATTTAATAATGATGATGATGATGATGATAATAATAATAAAAATAAAATTTTATTTATATCCCGCCATCCCCAGCCGAAGCCGGACTCAGAGCGGCTAACAACAATAAAAGTAACACAGTTTACAGTTTTCTCCTTTTTGGTATTTGGATATCTGATGTTGTTACTGTTTCTGTTAGGCCTCACAGGACAGAACTCTACCACGACATCCCGCCAACATGCTGGCCGATTGTGTATTCTCCAGATTACAATATTACATTCATGGGACTGGAGAAACTACATCCATTCGATGCTGGAAAATGGGGGAAAGTAATAAATTTTTTGAAAGGTAAAGTGCGTGCCGAACGGAAAGTCTCAAGCTTTGTAGAAATTGTGTTGTATCGGTATTCTGTAAAAAGTCAACCTGCAAGAAGTAATTCCATGTAGATTGTTACTGATGTGTGCAGCAGTTATGATTACTTTGGTATTTTTATTGCATTTTATATCGACGATTAGTATGCCTTCTGTGTGTTAGATCTGCAGTTTTGCACTGCCTGAAAAGCAGCAGTGGTATAGCCATCAGTCCTGAATAAACTATCGTTTCCTGCTTAGTGCGCAATGGAGTTTACACCAAAGCAGAAGCCTAATTTAGTAATGGAAAATCTTATGTGCTGGCTTCTGCAGTATTGAAATGTGTGCCTTATTTACATGAGATGTTGGGTGTAATGTGCTTTTCTTTTTCAATTCAGAAGCAAAACTAATTGCCGATGATCTGATTGTACGAGCTCGAGAAGCAACTGAAGAAGACCTTTTAGTTGGTCACACAAGAAGCTACTTGAATCGATTAAAGGTGTTGTATCTTCTACTTGTGTTTGAAACAAACTTTGATCCCCCCGCTCGTCCTGTATGTTTCTCTCTCTCGCACACACAGAAAACAAAATCCTAAGTACATGTCAGTGAACATAAAGCAGGAAACGGCAAAAATATTTTCTTTCATAGCTTTAGAATTCTTATTTTCATGATTTCCCCCCTAAGTCTTAGGTTAGAACATAGTCCTTAGGTTATAGTGGCGGGTGGGAGGAGTGTTGATTAGAAAATTAAAAATACAAATCTGCCACAAATTATCTATAAATAAAAAAAACCCCTGAAATCATTAAGAAGTTATTATGTAATTTTAGAACTATGTTTTGATAGAGTTTACCTTGTGAAGTTTTATATTTTAGGGAACTCAAATGGCAGTACAGACCAACAGTAAGAGGAACGTGAGTGTCTAGATTGAGAGACACACCTTAGTTGTACTCTCTTCTTGGTACCTCTGTTTGAAAGCTGGAAAAGCCAGTTTCATATTAAAGCTTCACAGAGATTATCACCTGACTGCCTTTAATTGGAAAGGCTTGTTTGTATTGAACTATCATATGACCAATTAATGCAACTCTGATTTAATGCAGAGAACAATTCCCTTAAGATCTGAATTGGGATGTTCTCCAGCTGCGTTAGTAAGCAGAAGAAGATAGCTGATGTTACTAGCCTTGTTTTCACGTCACAAAAGGCACGGCGTGTTTTTAACTGTAGTTTAATGGTATGGGTGCTTCCGTCTTCCCATGGGAGTCCCTAGCACAGCTTTCCTCCCTGCTCCCTAGCCACGGCTCAAACAAGCTATATACTATGGTTTACTCTGTCATCAGAAACCTAACATTGGTCTGTCTGTTGGTTTTCAAACAAAGCATGAGCAACAAGCAATAAATAAAGCAATATCCTATCTTGTTGTAGTTGCTCATTTGCATAACCCAGGCTTGAAAATTTTAAATGGAAAACTGTTGAGGGAAGTTGAATTCCTCTCTCCTGAAATTGGTTTTATATAAACAGTCACTAGGGTGCCAGTACTAACAAAGCAAAGCAAAACGAAAACATTGGGAGCAATTGAAGCAACTACAGGGTTTCCGAGCCACCAAGTTTCTCCCTGTCTTTCAACTCAAGTTCATTCAGGTTTTTAGGTGACAGTCTTGAAGCAGTTGTGACTCTTTGCAGGAATCGATTTTATTTTGCATGACTCAGTATTACATTGCAGACATTTTTGGGGAAAACTTAATCCCCTTCTGATATATACTGCTTTCCTCTTTACTGTAGAATATTTACAGAAATCAGGAGTGCGTTACGGTTTTAACTGTACAATTTTTATAATTCTCAAAATTTGCCTTTTTTATTGCCATTCCATTTCTTTGGCATTTACTGGGTCCTGTTCCTGTTCTTGGCCTTCTCGCTAACTGTGTGCATTTCTTGCTTGAAATGTCTGGAAGATTCCCCACCACGGCTGCTACTCCAAATCAGCCAAATTGGGCTGATTTTTTTAAAAGGATGTTTTTGTTTTTGTTTTGAAATCACTGAGATTCTGCTGAATGCAAGACCATGTGTCATTTGGCTGATTTTTCTTCAGATGATATCTTTTAAAACACCACTTAAATTATATTGCCCGTAATTCGTATACAGGTGCAAAACTTAGGTGTGTGAGAATCTCCCAAAGATGGTTTTTATTTGAGAGCCCAATGCTATCCTTTACAGGGGTGCATTCTCTATGCATGCAAACTTTTAATTGCATGCATGTTTTTAAATCTCAGTGATGAGAAAAGATGATTAAAAACCCTAAAACAGATGTGCAGTTTATGCTCACATTTGAACAGTTTCTACAGTGTAATTTTTATGCCTTTCTACTATCTTAGTTCCAGACAGTGGAAATCCAGTCTGCTAAATTTGCATTTATTTAACACTTGGGCTCAGTGCAGACCATAGTTAAGACATCCTTTTCAATCACACATTCCTTCCTTCCTTCCTTCCTTCCATTTTTGGACCTGTGAATGGTAATAAGAGTTATGAATGTCCCAGGTTTTTTGTTTGTTTTTACTAATAGTCCTTAACCTAAGGACTGTGCAACTTTTGATTGTGTTGCAAACTTTTGATTGTGTTGCAAACTCTGGTTTAGATTTAACCACCTTTAGAGAAAATGCTTCTGTAGATGCAATGCTAACCCTGGTTCATTCAGAAAATGAAATAAAGGGTGAAGTTCATGCAAAAGGAGAATTGTGTGTAGCCATTGCTTAAGTTTGAGAAGGAGGCAAGGCAGTATTACATTTGCACTGGCCTGCGTGCAAATTATGCAGACTTGTGATAGCTCCTTGTTTTGAAAGTTTTTTCCCCCAAGAGCTGCGTTTGTTTCTTCCTAATGAAGAGTAAAGTTCCGCATTTCATGGGTGCGATTTTAGGACTGCTGTTATTCTCCCTATGCCAAGTTGGGGGACTGACAGTGGGCTTTTAATTTCTCGATGCCTGTCCTTTACTGGGGTGTGTTTGTCATAGCTGTCAACCTTCCCTTTTTTTGTGGAAAATGCCCTTATTCTAGCACTGTTTCCCACTGCTTTCCTGGATTGTTAGATATCCCGTAGACTGTCCCCGGGACAGGTGAGGCTGCTGATCCCTTATTTTCGAGGCTGCTGATCCCTTATTTTCAAATCTGAAAGTTGACAGCTATGTGTGTTTGTGTCTGGATTTGATTTTGAGTTTAGGAATTGGTGTCAATAGCCAGATAATAGCAGTTTGACTTGGCTTTTACTTTGGAGCTAGCAGCAAGATTTGTGTCTTGGCCATTCCCTTATCCTCCATCCAGGGATCCTTTACCTCCATGTCCTGCAATGGAAACAGAAATAGAACTGGTTATGTACTGTTTCATATGGTGGGTAGAAGGGAAATGAGAAATTAAAAAGCAAACAGAGATTCCCAGGTTTCCTAGACCTTTTAACTAGACTAACCCTCATTTTAGCCAGCTTCCACACCAGTGGCATTGTCTAAGATAGGAGAAGAAACCCATTCCCAACTCTGATCATGCAGTTGTGCTTATCCTAGCCATATAATCAAGCCAGACTAATAATATTTCTCAGTGTATATACCACACTGGTTATTTTTCCCTATGAAGAGACAAATGTTTGGGTAGGTTAGTAGCAGTGCTTCTAATGCAAAATGGTAAAACTCATGTTGCTTTTGTGGGACGTCTATCAAGACAATTTGCCATATAGATTTAATACTTCTCCCAAATATATCGCTAAATTATATTTCAGTACGTCGTCCCAGACCAAATTTGCAACATTGGCAGGAGAACCTTTCAGTGCTTAAGAGTCGCGTCGCAAACCACTCTCTGAAACACCGTAGAGTTTGCAGTTTAGTTATGGCTGTGAGTTGTTCAAGATGTTTGAATATATTTTCTTCCAACTTTCTTTGTACTGCTTACAGAATCATATACTGGAAAGCGTTGAAGAGGTATTCCGGAAATCATTTTGCGCTTTTGCTGTACACTTGAAAGTGCTATGAATATGAAATACAGTTTAGTTATTTGTTGTACTGTCATTTTAAGTGTGCTGTTTTCCCGCATTAGCTAATTATGGCACTGAAATCATTGCCCTTATCCATTGTTGCTCTGTACTTTTGCCTTCGTAGTTAACATTCTTCTGGTTTTTTTATGTTTTCTAAATTATTTTTAGATTGGGCACAACTACTCCAAAGCATTATCAAAGAGCAGCAATAACTGCTTTATTTCCGAGTCCAGTGATCTGAATTAAAAGATTGTATCATATAGCGATTTAATCTGCTCGTCTCCTTCGCTCATCTGCACTTTTCCTGGATATCATTGGTGCTTTTTGTAATTTTATTATTTGTTTAAATGCACACGTTTTTGCTTCGCATATAGCTGTGTTTTGAACAGATATGAACCCTAAACTGTCATACTAGGGAGTAAGTCCTATTCGCAACACTGAGGAATTTACTTCTGAGTAGACATGTTTAGATGGTGCTGCTAAGGAATCAGTTATTTAAGCTGCCCACCTGTAAATGCTGACTTGGGAGCGAGTCCTATTGAACTCAACAGTGCTTACTTTTGGGTAGACATGAATTGCCCTGAGAGCAACTAATCCGTAATCTTTTGTTTTCTTTCCAGTGGTCCTTTGTTGTGGCGACAATTACAGAAATCCCACCTGTTCTTTTTCTGCCCAATTTCCTTGTTCAGAGAAAGGTGCTGAGGCCCCTGAGAACTCAAACTGGAGGAACAATAATGGTAAATATTTTGTTTCATTTTCTCTCGCTTCTCTTGATTCTAATTCTAAAGCAATTTTAAAAGGGCAAGACACATATTTAATTATTATAATTTTTAGGTCTATAAATAGTTATGCCCATTGGCCTACGTGCTACAAAAGACAAAACTATCTTTGATGGAAGGAATGTAGGAAGCTTTGTTATACCAGATCTAGTGATGTGAAATTCTCGAGAATAATCTTTTGGAGAATATTCTCATTTAATGAGAATATCAGAGAATTTTCATTTGAAATAGGTGAATATTCATTTTAATGCCACATTAACATTAAATATATTATCATTATATGATAATATATTTCAGTATGTCAATCTCTGGTAAATGGCGCCTTGTACCATTGAATGGTGCTGCAAAAACCAGTTACTGGCACTAAATAAAAATATAGAAACATCAACTGTTTAAATCAAGGCCACCTCACATGCTGTTACATATCACTGTATAGGCCTAGGTACTTTAAGTATATAAAGCATTAAAGTTAGTTGTTGTTGTTTAGTCGTGTCTGACTCTTCGTGACCCCATGGACCAGACCACGCCAGGCACCCCTGTCTTTCACTGCCTCCCGCAGTTTGGTCAAACTCATGCTGGTAGCTTTGAGAACACTGTCCAACCATCTCATCCTCTGTCGTCCCCTTCTCCTTGTGCCCTCCATCTTTACCAACATCAGGGTCCATGGGACTCTCAAGAGTCTCCTCCAGCACCATAAGTCAAAAGCATCAATTCTTTGGCGATCAGCCTTCTTTATGGTCCAGCTCTCACTTCCATACATCACTACAGGGGAAACCATAGCTTTAACTATACAGACCTTTGTTGGCAAGGTGATGTCTTTGCTTTTTAAGATGCTGTCTAGGCTTGTCATCGCTTTTCTCCCAAGAAGCTACTTTCTGTAAAAACAAATAAAAAAATCACACCATATGGCCAAAGGTTTAGAATTGTTAAGAATAATCTCTCTCTCTCTCTCTCTCTCTCTCTCTCTCTCTCTCTCTCTCTCACACACACACACACACACACACACACACGGCTATTACATATAGTTGAAATACATACGAATTCAAATGTTCATCAAATTAAATGAATAGCATTTTCAAAACTAAAAAAAAAATGTTTTCTGTAGTTCACATTTCAGAACTGCCTATGGTGAATGATACAATGCCCAGTAATGTAACTGGATTTTAAAAAAAATAATGATTATTCATTACTTAACACTGGCAATATCACAGCTTGACATACGGTAAAACGGAACGAGTATGAGTGCCTGCGGAATTTTAAGGGAGCGGCTTATATTCGGGTATTGTCTTTTTTTCCTTTCCCCCCCTTGAATTTTAAAGGTGCGGCTTATATTCAGGCCAATACGGTAAAGGTGGATGTCCGTATTTTCAGGGTGTGTCATCCAGCCAGGTAGCATAAGAAATGAGAGGGTTTTAGATCTGGAAGAAGGGGGAAATTATTTGTCATTAATAAGTTTTCAGCATCAGGCCCAGAAAACTGCTTTCTAATAACTTCCCAGTTTGGCGTTTCTGCTCTGACTTGAATGACTTAACTATTTATGTTTGCTGGACAGATTCTACAACCTTGACCCATGTTTCAGAGTAGACTCACTGAGTTCATTTCACAGAATAGGGACAATCTTCTTGATTTGCTGAATGACGTTTTTCATAGGATCAGCTTTTGTGCGGTACAGTGGTACCTCGGGTTAAGTACTTAATTCGTTCTGGAGGTCCGTTCTTAACCTGAAACTGTTCATAACCTGAAGCACCACTTTAGCTAATGGGGCCTCCTGCTGCCGCCGTGCCGCCAGAGCACAATTTCTGTTCTCATCCTGAAGCAAAGTTCTTAACCCGAGGTAATATTTCTGTGTTAACGGAGTCTGTAAACTGAAGCATATGTAACCTGAAGCGTATGTAACCCGAGGTACCACTGTACTCGGTAGCAGCAGGTGCCTGAACTCCCATGGCTGTAGGGTTATTATATTTATTAGAAACACTATGGGACACCATGAGAGTCGCTGGTTTGCTTTGCTTACAGTACATTTGCTTTTTGACACCTGTGCTTTTTCGTGCTTTTGAATCTGAAGCGCATCTTTCCCCCCACAGCTTGTTCATAAGTGTATTTATTCAGGAGGAAACATAATTGATCTCACTTAATATTTTCTGTGCCTTGTTTTGGAAAGTCTGATCCAGCATGCTTTAGTTTTGTAAACATTCAAGTTTCCAAGCATTTGGGTATATTATAGAACAATTCAAAACACCCAGATTGAGATACAAGGTGGACACCTCTGTTGCATCAATTTTGAAAATAATAATATAATATAATTAATATAATATAATATAATATAATATAATATAATAATAATATAATATAATTATAATATAATATAATATAATATAATATAATAATGATGATTTTCCCCTCCCCTTTTTCATTTTTTTTTTTTGAAGGCAGGGAAACTGGCCATTGAGAGAGGATGGGCAATTAATATTGGTGAGTAGCAATGTATCTTCTTCCTCTTTCAATGCCTCTCGGCAAAAACTTTGGTCCACATTCTGGTCATTTTTTATATCTGCCCCGGTTTGTTCCTCTTTAGTCTTCACTGGCCACATCTGATTCCCTTATTCTGAATAGGATTCCTCGCAAGGAAAGGGAAAAATTGACCGCTATGGCAATAGAAGGCTTCTTTCAAGCCTAATTTCAGTGGGGCAGGGGCAGGAGGGGATCCTGCAGACACCAGGCAATATATTTTGGGGCGCATGTGTGCCCATGGCCACCGCATTGGTGACCCATAGGCTGAACCACGATTCAGAGTGCCATAACCTTGTGCCTGCATACTCCCCGCTCCCCAGTCCTCCTATGCGACTCAGGAGTTCAGCGGTTTCTGCTTATGGTGAGCTGCAGTTTGCTGTGTCCTCCAGGCTGACAAACTCTGCTTAACCTTAAGGAGGCTTGCTTTTTAAACAAGCCAGCTCCTGCCTGTGAAGGATAATGAAAAGGATATTGAATCTCCTTTTGATTAGAGAAGCTGCCATTTCCCACTTCTTTTTTTAAACACACAGGAGCAAAGAGAGTTTAGACATGCCCAGGTATTCAAAGCTTTGTCCTTTGCAGGACAAAAAGGAGGACAAACAGGAAAAAGGGTATGGTTTATGGAGGGTTTGCTCATTCATGTTGTTACGGTGCTGGTTAAAGAAGCATGGCTCATAAAACAATCTGCTCATCAGCTGCATATTTATATAATCACAATCGTGTTTTCCATGGTGTCTGGTAGTTTATTTAAATACAGTATTCAGATTTTATATGCCTGTTGTCTTTGTCCATGGAGTTTTCTTGGCAGGGATACTGGAGTGGCTTGCCGGTTCCTACTCCAGGTGGATCACGTTTGGTCAAAACTTTCCACTATGACCTGTCCATCTTGGGTGGCCCTGCAAGGCATAGCTCATAGCTTCTCTAAGTTATTCAAGCGCCTTCACCACGGCAAGGCAGTGATCCATGAAGGGGATTTGGATTTTTCTGACCAAACTGTGGGAGGCAGTGGAAGACAGGAGTGCCTGGCGTGCTCTGGTCCATGGGGTCACGAAGAGTCGGACATGACTAAACGACTAAACAACAACAAATTCAGATTTACCGTTTCTTTTTCCAGGTGGTGGCTTTCATCACTGCTCAAGTGATAAAGGTGGAGGGTTTTGTGCATATGCTGATATCTCATTGGCTCTGAAGGTATGGAAGATCCACTGCAAGCAACAACACCATTTATTTATTTATTTTGCATAAACTTAACAAACGTCAGCATATACCTGTAGCCTAAATTTGTTATTAATGGATCAGATAGTGCTGCATGTGGAAATGGAGTGCTATCTCTGAAAGCTGCTGTAATCCTAGTAAGATAGGTATGTCCTAACAGTGAATCAGTGAGGAAGGTGGACTTTGTCTTACTTGGAATGCTGTTGATTTCAGTGAAAGGGATGGACACAGTAATACAGAAACTCTCATCCGAAGTCCTATGAAGTCATAAACGCAGCAGCCCAAAGCTAGAGAATTGGGTTTAGCTGGGGTGATCCAGGCAGTCTCTCATTGCTTGGGGCCAGACCTGTTTAGCTGTAGCCACAGACTACAGCTTCCTTTAAAGCCTTTAAATTATTGCTTAAAGCCTTTAAATCATCGTAAAATGTGACAGATCCCAGATGGATGAACACTGACCTTGTATTTAGCCATTTAACAAAGCACCAAATCTCTGAGGAGAGCCAGAGAAAAGCTATTTTGGAACCTATCCATGGACAAGTAAACAGTGTGAATCTCATGGAAATGTTTGCAAGGACGTATTAGTCTGGATCAGGGTGGATTTGATTTAAATCAAATTGATTTAAATCACAATTTAAATCACTAGTTAGTAAGACTTGATTAAAATCATTTTTTTAACAGAAAGACTCCTTCTTGCTGGTATAATCTTAATATTTGCATCCAGATGAAGGTTTCATTTTTGGAATAATAAATTTTCAGAGTAGTTTTTACAGTTATATAAAAATCTTACTGATTTGGTTATACTATTAGAAATACTTAGATAGATAATTTTGAAATTATTGTGAGGTTTAATAAGTTAACTTTATATTTGGACAACTTTTCTGCTGCACTTTATTGGAAGGAGAAAAATAATCATTAGTAACAATTTAAACAATTTATTTAACTAAAAGAATAACATTATAGCATATGTATCCATGTTGGTTAACTGATGTGGTTAAGCGATTTTTAACTTTTTTAAACTTAGACTGAGTTTTAGCACACATGAAAAACTTAAAACAAATCCTTATTTCTGGATTAATATAATATAATTTAAATCGAAAACTATCTTTAGAAAGATTTTTCCTCCAAAAACATTTTATTTTAAAAATCTGATATAAAAATAAATAAATCCGATTTAAATAAAAAAAATCAATTTCTTCTTTATTTCTTTTCTCTGTATTCCAGTTTTTATTTGAAAGGATGGAAGGAGTTTCTAAGGCAACTATCATAGACCTGGATGCGCATCAGGTGAGTGATCAAATGCAAAAAGTTTAATTCGAAACAGAACTCCTGAATCACGTAACGGCAGAATTGTGCCACAAAGTAAGTTGATTGATACTGAACGAATTGCAAAAGGAAAACATATATAGGAAACTTGATATGTGAGACTTCTAATCTCAGGGTCGTGGGTTTCAGCTCCACGGTGGGCAAAACATTCCTGCATTACAGAGGGAGGTTGCGGTCCCTTCCAACTCTACAATTCCATGATTCTATGATAATGGAGTGGCATTTGGGGAAAATTTTGAAATCTGCAAAATGGGGAAATGGTCAAACTTCCAGTGGGGGAATATTGCACATATTGACAGGGGCCCAAAGAACCCCGACCAGAAGCAGAAAATGTATTAAATGTATTAAACAGTAGCTAAGCACAGCCATTTTTGAGCCTGCTGACCCTCAGATGTTGTGGACCACCTCTCCTAGCAGCTGGGAGTTGTAGACAAAAGCATCTGGACACATTTTTGTCTACTTGAAGGAAGCCATGGTCTAATCTGAAAAATACAAATATTTAGGTTACAAAACTGTAAAAATAAAGAAAAATTAAGTTTGCAAAACAATAATTACCATGTGGTTAGGGCAGATCAACGTGTCAGTGTCCACTTATTCCCAGTGTAAATATGACATATCGGCAAAAGTCGGAAATCGAAACACGGAAATCGATTTCAGATTTGAAATCAGCATTGAAAGAACATATAAGTTGAAAAATCTCATGCAAAAGAAAACGAAAATTTTTTTGTTCCCCAGTATACTGTGTCTCCCAAGGGAATACATTTTTTTTGCATACCTCTAACTGTACATAGATATACCTGTCATTTTCAATGCTATACATGTCATGTTCAATGCTATATAAGTCACTTACATTTATACTCATATTGTACTACTTTGGCTATGTGTTTAATAAAATATTGAGTTCTTGCATTGTGAAAAACAAAGATTATGGTGAAAAGTGAAAAACATGAATTGCAAAAAAACCCTAGAGCTTACAGAACAAAACCAACTTCAGATATGAAATCAGCACGTCGAAATTAGGTTAGAACAACTGCAAGTGTCAATGCAACAAAAAGTTTGTTCTCCAGTGTTATGGGTTGCTTGAAGCCAACTTGAAACCTTGGGTTAGTCCTCCCTCCCCACTACCCCTTATCAGGCTTTGCAAAACCATAAAACCTCCGCAAGGGATTGAAAGTTAAGGCTAAGCTAGCTTTCAGAGTTCCTTGGCTCCAAGCAAGTCAGAGGGAGGAGGGAATTCCCTTCCCTTGCCCCCAAACCTAAAGAGGGTTTTGCAGGAGCAGTGATATATACTGCTTCCCTGTTTTGCACACCTCTCTGGCTCATTGTAAGTTGAGCACAAAAGGCCTAGTTCCTTTGGAGCAGAGCAAACAAAGGAAATGTTAAAAAGCATTGCAGTGCTTGTGTTTCAGCTGCAGCCAGGAAGCGAAGGGAGGGGAAATCAGGGCTTTTAAACAGAATGAGGGAATGGTAAGGACTGTGAAGTTAAAGTGATCTATACCAGCTGGGGTTGAACTGAACTGCTTCTCCACCTCCCTCCTACAAAACCCCCACCCAACCTCTCTCACCACCAAGGAAATATAATAAACAGAAAGCGAACCTAACCAAGTGATGCAGATATAACCTCTCTCCCAAAAGTATAAGAATACAAGTTTATCACTTCTCTCCCCCTCCCCGCTTTTCTTCTTCCCCAACCTTATTCTGTATACAACACTAATGTCTCACGTCATATGTAACTGGTACAGTGGTACCTCGGTTTACGAACAGTCCTGTTTACAAACTATTCGGTTTACGAACTCCGCAAAACCGGATGTAGTGTCCCGGTTTGCGAACTTTACCTCTGTCTAAGAACGGAATCCGAACGGTGGAAGGGCACCGGCGGCGGGAGGCCTCATTAGGGAAAGCACGCCTCGGTTTAAGAACCGATTTGGTTTAAGAACGGACTTCCGGAACGCATTAAGTTCATAAACTGAGGTACCACTGTATATAGAAAAGACTTCACAACCTGAGAGAAGAGACAACGCACATACTTTGGTAAACCCAGAAAATCTTTAATAATTTTTTTTTAAAAAAGAAACCAAGTTGCAATAAATGAGCTGACAAATAGAAGACAGAGAAAGCAAAGGATCAGTGGTTTTGATGACTGCATCATTTGAATGATCAGCTGAAAAATGAGTCTTTAAGTATTCACTGTTATAGAAAACTTCTGAGAAGATGAGGCTTGAAAAATGGGGAAATACCACTTTGAATCTAAATTGTATGTAGACTCCCCCCCCCCCAAAAAAAGAAATCTGCCAGATTAGTTATAGTATATGGAGAAGATAAGGAAAACATTGGGTATATTAAACTTTTAAATGTGTGCCTATATCCATATCTGTATCTTCATATTTGCATATTATTTTACGGCATAATAAGCATTATAATACCCTGTGCACTCTTTTCGTAAGGAGCAAAAACAAATGGTGAAATTCTATTAATCTATGTTAATCACTAATTGGGCTTGATTTGCATTAACTGGGTGTTGGTAAACTTACAGGGAAATGGCCACGAAAGAGACTTTATGGATGACCGAAGAGTGTATATTATGGATGTTTACAACAGGTATATTTATCCAGGAGATGGATTTGCTAAACGTAAGTGGGTGATCTCCCCAGCTTTTGTGACCTTAAAACAATTCAAAATAAAATTTGCCAATAGAGGAATTGCCCTTTTTACAATTGAAATGTTGCTCTCTGGTGAATGAAACTATTTGCTGTCCCCCCCCCCCATTGCACTGTTCAGATATTTGAAATCTTCTCTGTGTGAGACATCCCTGGGATCACAGGGCGTTGGTTTTTTTTAGAAAGTGGTATGGAACTTTTTTAGAAACTTGGGACATGCATTCCCAAGTTTTCTCTCTGCTGTCTAAGGCTCACTCTTATTCCAGATTTTAAAAGTGGGGAGAATAACATGGATGCTGTTGTTGGCACCCGTCTTGGGTGACCATGGAGGACTGACTTGCCTTTGGGGGATGCTAGCTTGACTAGAAAGGGACATGGGTGGCGCTGTGGGTTAAACCACAGAGCCCAGGACTTGCCGATTGGAAGGTCGGCGGTTCGAATCCCCGCGACGGGGTGAGCTCCCATTGCTCACTCCCTGCTCCTGCCCACCTAGCAGTTCGAAAGCACGTCAAAGTGCAAGTAGATAAATAGGTACCACTCTGGCGGGAAGGTAAACGGCTTTTCCGTGCACTGCTCTGGTTCGCCAGAAGCGGCTTAGTCATGCTGGCCACATGACCCCGAAGCTGTACGCCGGCTCCCTCGGTCAGTAAAGCGAGATGAGCGCCGCAACCCCAGAGTCGGCCACGACTGGACCTAATGGTCAGGGGTCCTTTTACCCTTTACTAGCTTGACTAGAATGGGGAAGGGAAACCAGGATACACTGTACTAAAAAATTCCAGATATCTCAGCCAGGGATGGCCAGCCTGTGACTCTCCAAGATGCTTTTGGACTGCTAGTCCAGCAAGGAAGTGGCTTGTCATGGTTTGACTAGGACCAGAGAGCCCAGTGTCCAAATGACTGTGAGGCTCAGTTCACTGATTTTGGGCCACTTATCATCTCCCAGCCTCATTTGCAGCCCAGGTCGTCACACTCCTTTTTAGCAAGAGAGGAAGGGAATAACAGTGCGCATCACCCCATGCATAGTTCTTGGTAGAAGGGTGGGAAGTAAATGTAAGAAATCAATAATAAAATATTTGATGTTGCATCATTTTTTTAAGAAACAGTGCTACCTCTGGTTACAAACGCTTCTGGTTATGAATGCTTCAGGTTATGAACTCCGCTAACCCGGAAGTAGCTGCTCCTAGTGGCAAACTTTGCCCTAGGATGCGAACGGAAATCACGCGTCAGAGGCACGCGCACAACAGGAGACCCCATTAGTGAAAGCACGCCTCAGGATAAGAACGGTTTCGGCTTAAGAACAGACCTCTGGAACTAATTAAGTTCGTAACCAGAGGTACCACTGTATATTGGACCTCGTCTTTTGTACTTTGCTGTAGCTCATTAATAGGGATGTGGGTGGCGCTGTGGTCTAAACCACTGAGCCTCTTGGGTTTGCCGATCAGAAGGTTGGCGATTTGAATCCGCACAATGGGGTGAGCTCCTGTTGCTCTGTCCCAGCTCCTGCCTACCTAGCAGTTTGAAAGCACGCCAATGTAAGTAGATAAATAGGTACCACTGTGGTGGGAAGGTAAACAGCATTTCCGTGCACTCTGGTTTCCGTCACAGTGTCCCGTTGCACCAGAAGCGGTTTAGTCTTGCTGGCCACATGACCCGGAAAGCTGTATGTAGACAAACGCTGGCTCCCTCAGCCTGAAAGCGAGATGCGCACCGCAACCCCATACTCACCTTTGACTAGACTTAACCACCCAGGGTTCCTTTACCCTTTACCTTATAGCTTATTTACTTTGGGTGGCATTCAATGAAGCTTTACTTAGAATAGACCCACAGAAAATAATGAGCGTGACTAAGTCAGGGCTGTTAAGTTCAGCAGGCCTTCTCTGTGTAAAACATAGTTGAATATCACCCCATGGGTGGAAGTCAAGGTTGCGCTCTTCCAAACATGGTAGCTATCCAGACAAAATGTGTCGTCCCCCCCCTCCCGCCTCACCCATACCATGCTCTTCTGGGGGCTCTCCTAGGACACCACCAGCCACTGGGGGCTGATAAGCCTGGAAACAAATCCCACCTATTGATTACTAAAATAACACAGAGCTTGTAATGGAAGTCTGACTCAATATCAGAAACTATTTTACCTTTATTCCACACCCAAATCATTGTATATATGATTCATGGTAACTTTCAGGAGCCATAAGGCGGAAAGTTGAATTGGACTGGGGCACAGAAGATGCAGAGTATCTTCAGAAAGTAAAAACGCACATGGAAGGTGCACTGAACGAAGTAAAATCGGACATCATTGTTTATAATGCCGGAACGGACATCTTGGATGGTGACCCCTTAGGAGGCCTGGCTATTTCACCTCAGGTTCGTAGCACACAGAGTCTCCTCTAAAATCAAAGTCCGAGTCTGGACTGAAGAGGAGACTTGATCACCCTGGGTTCCGAAATGATTTTATTTACTCCAGCATATATTATGATGAAACCATAAGCTAAAATGGTTTATGAACCACAATGAAGTTCAGCAATGTGCTTCCTTTTTTTGTGTAACTGCAGGGGATTATCGATCGCGATGAAATTGTGTTCAGAGCTGCTAGGAAACACAGAATCCCTATTTTGATGGTGACCTCTGGAGGCTATCAGAAGAGGACAGCAAGGATTATCGCAGATTCCCTTCTCAATTTGCATAGCCAAGGCCTGATTGAGAAGGAGACTGCCTTTGGTGAAGCTGGAGGGGCCAAGGTAGAAACGATGCATGGAAAATAAAAGGGAGATCGGCTAACTTGTCACCGCAGAACGAGGACGTTGGGGTTATTGTAGAAGGAAACTCTTAATTGTTTAATATTTAAACCGAGAGACAAGAAATGCTCCAGTTCTTGTAGAATTAATATATTCTAATGGCGAAAGATAATTAATTTGCCTGTACTTACCAGCTGCAGTCAGTGGTCCCACAAGGAATACCAACAGATTATGTTTCTCTCTCTTCCAGTGCTTTTAAATGCTGCTTTTAAAAGATTAAGACGGGCATAAATTCTGGATTTGGTTATTTCTTGCTGTGGCCAGAGTGGTAAAAAACACTAATATTCTTTGTTACAGTAGTCCGTTTTTCTTTTCAAAAGAGAATTATGTAATATCTTAATTTTTTAACTTATTTATTTTCTTATCTGGGAAACCTCCATCCGGCTTAATTTTTCAAAAGAAACAAGACAGCTAACAATTCCAGCCAGATGGGCAGGGTAGAAATAACAAAGTTATTAAAATTATTATTTATCCAAGCTCCACACAATAGTAAAATACATCACAATCCCCATCCATAGCTGCAGTCAAAAGACCAAAGTATTGGTGTGAAAAACTAATAATTTCAAAACAGCCAGTAAACAACACCACCCTAAACCAGGCATCCTCAAACTTGGCCCTCCAGATGTTTTGGGACTACAACTCCCATCATCCCTGACCACTGGTCCTGCTAGCTAGGGATGATGGGAGTTGTAGTCCCAAAAACATCTGGAGGGCCGAGTTTTGGGGTGCCTGCCTGAAACAGTCTCAGGAATAAACCAGAGCAAATAAAAACAGCCAGATGAAAATTTTAGTAAACATCTGTGGTTTTTGCCCGACACCTGAAACATTACAGTGATGGGCGCCTGAGGTCCCTCACCTGGTTGGAAATAACTTTATAGTCTGGCTGTCACCAGCTGTGCTTCATGGAGTTGAGGGATCTGGAGCAGGACTTCAGGTGCTGACTGCAGCATATGAGGAGAAACACACAGGAAAGTATGTTTCCTTCCAAAGGTACAGCTATTTGTTTAGGCGGATCAGAGAACCCATTTAAAACCAGCAGCAGAAGTGTTTTTGAGGAATATTCCCCGGCTATTGCAAACGTAAGGAGGTCATGTGCGTGTTCTGAATTGCAGCAGGGGCTACTGTTCCCCAAGCAGATCCAGGCTTGACTGGGACAATTTATTTATTTTTAAAACAACCCTAACAGGTTTCCCCTGTTATCGTGAAGTGATTGTGATTATTCTTCACATTGTTACACCTGTGGTTCTCTGCATCACAAGGTGAGAGAGGTAATTTATTACGGTCGGAGACCAGCTTATAAAACACACTTGGGGGTACAGTCACAGAAGGAAAACAAACCATTAACATTAAAACGTTGTACAACAATAAATTTAAAAACAATGTACAACAATAAACAGCCGCAGGGAGCTGACCCAGTCACCCAAAGAACCGAGTTTGGGGATTTTCTTAACGAACTAGTTTGAGTTGGGAGATGGTCTGCGCCTACAGATCTGTACACAAAATCTGGCGACCATCTTCTGATCTTTGCCTAACAGGAAAAGGTCAAATTTTTGCTTTTCCAGGAGGTCAGCGAGCCTCAATGGTCTTACTACGTGCCTCTTCATATAAGGGACATCTAAAGAACAAGTGCTCTGGGCTTCCCATCTCCCCCAGTGAACAGGCGCAAAGTCTCTGAGCATATGGGACTTTTTTGAAGGCTCCTTCCAAGACCGGTGAGGGCAGGGCCGAGCTTCTGGCGAGCATAAAGGCCCTTCTTGCATTTTTAGATACAAAAAAGAAGAGATGTGCTGCTATATATCTCTTGATTTCTCCAGTTTTATCACAAGGTGGCAGAATACTGTTCTTCAGCTTTAGCGCTTCTTGTACATCTGACGTCGAAATATATTGGAATATAACTGCATGCCACGAAACCTTCTGCTTATCCACCTGCCAGACGATCGGTGCGTTTCCTCGCCACAGTGGCATAACAAACTCTTGCTGCCTGGTTGGTTTTTGTAGTTGTATGCAACTGAGAAGATACATATTTATTTATTTTCTGCTTCAGGTGGGCACAGTAAGTCAGAACTGGCCCCGGGGTTTAAAAGTGCACAGCTAAAATCTCCGCTCGAGTTCCCCATGAAATCTACAGGAGGTGCACTTAAGTAATTCATCCGATTCCTCTTAGGACTTAAATGGCCAAAATAAATAAATAATAATAATAATTATGGATTGTGCCTCTCAAGACTGGGTTATCCAGGCACTCTTTATTTTTCTAAACAAGGAGGACTGGTGTGATAATTACCTGCAATAGATTTCGATTATAGATCTCTCTTAATGTTAACCTGTGACATTATGTGGTACTACTGTATAATATTATGAGCAGTGATGTCTTGAAGCATATATAAAATAGTTACGAGATGTAAAATAGATAAAAGTTTATGTAAAATAATCAGTTTACATTTTTGTCTGTACACTAGGATTCTTTTGCAACTGTCCTCAAATTCTTTCATCTAATTTTGAGTGAACGCTGAAATAAAAAGGGGTTTTTAATCTTACTCTTTTTATTTTAAAAGTCCGTTTTTTAATAACACGGTTGGGGAACTTCTGTTGTTGGATTACTCCTATCAGCCCCAGCCCAGCTAGCATAGCCCAAGTGATCAGGGATGATGGGAGTTGTAGTCCCAACATCATCTGGAAGGCCAGAGATTCCCCACCCCTGAATTAAATAAAGGTTTTTACTATATGAAAAGTGAGGCAGTCTGTGGAGCTGAACTTTAAATTGATATGGGGCGCCTCTCCTTCAGTAGGTGGTAGGTAAAATGTGCCTCTTGCCTCACCAGCTTTTATCAACCTTACAGCTGCGAGCAATAGCTAAAATATAGTGTGTTCCATACTGTTAACATCAAATGGATTTGAATGGATTGCTGAAATAAGCTACTAACCCGCTCCGCCAGCAATGCCAAAGCTGTAGTTTTATAGCCATTTTACAGAGAAGCAAGTCCCATTGTGCTCTTCTGAGGTAACGAGAGCAGAATCCCATCCCTTGTAAATGTGAAAAAATATGTTGTGAATATATATATACACACCAAATCAAAACAAACTTACAAGCTTGGGGGCCTTTTTTTAATTCAACAAGAATTTGCCGCAGGTGTCGGGGGTCGTTCCAAAAGGGTTGTTTTGCACAAAACACTTCGCATTTGGGAAGTGTATACATCCACTGCTAGTTTATGGCATGTTTAAAGGATATGTGTATTTCAGTGATAGAATAATCAGCTTTTCATAGTACTTGAACAATGTTACGATGTAATATAAATACTTGCTGTGCAATCCTATATTTGTCTACTCAGAAGTAAGTCCTATTGAGTGAATGGGCGTTGCTTCTAGGTAAATAAAGAATACGATTGCAGCCTTAAGCTCAGTTACTAATAGTTTTCACCCTAGGCAAGGTAGCTGTGGATGAATTTCTTAACTTGCTGTGATTTTTTATTTTAATGAATTTGACACTGGGTTAACATACGTACCGAATAGCAATACCGACATTTGCACTTTCTTCTAACGAGAATGTTTAAAGCACTATTAAAAGATTGAGATGTATTTTCTACACTGTCTAATGTGTTACCTAGAGCTATTATCATTTGAAATATTTTTTTAATAATACGTTTACATTTGTATTGAGCTTAAGCACAGTAATGCCATGTAGCATACGAAAGATAATGTTTAATGTTCTTATTTATGGATAAAATTAAAACAATGCTAATTTTTCTGCCGGTGTATTTTCACTTCTTCAGCTTTTCACGAGGACTTCCTTAAAACCCAGGACCAGATTACTTGTTGCAAGAGGAGCCTCAGGCTACATCCACACCCTTATGTTTAAATACATTTAAAGCAAGCGGCTTCCCACAAAGAATTATGGGAGATGCGGTTCTGCTCTTTAATAATCAGGCCCTGCTTGCTTCAACCAAGGCATTTATGTGGCTGAATCTCAATGTGTGGCTTGAACCAAGATAAAACTACCGTATTTTTCGCTCCATAGGGCGCACCTAGTTTTTAGGGGGGGGGAATAGAAGAAAATTATTTCCCCCCCCCCAAGCACCAAAGAGCAAAGAAGCCAAGACAGCGAGCAGGATCCATCCCACTGGCTGTCTTGGCTTCCTCTTTAGCCATGCGCAACTTCTCCAGCTGGGAGAGGCTGCGCGCGGCATTGGCAGGATGGATCCCACTTGCTGTCTTGGCTTTGTTTTTAGCTGCGGGGCTGGGGCGGGGGAAGCCCGAGCTTCCCCCGACCCCAGAACAGGTGCAGGAGCGACAAGATTGCGTGCAACCTCCCCGCCGCTCCTGGAGCTAGCAGGGCTGGGCAACCCAGCCCCCAGAACAGGCCGCTATCCGCAAGCCTTCGGAACTACCGCCACGCTCCGAAGGCTTGCGAATAGCTGCCTGGAGAGCGAGAGGGGTCGGTGCGCACCGACCCCTCTCGCTCTCCAGGCTTCAGCGAAAGCCTGCATTCGCCCCATAGGACGCACACACATTTCCCCTTCCTTTTTGGAGGGGAAAAAGTGCGTCCTACAGAGCGAAAAATATGGTATACAGTGGTGCCTCGCAAGACGAAATTAATCCGTTCCGCGAGTCTCTTCGTCTTGCGGTTTTTTCGTCTTGCGAAGCACGGCCATTAGCGGCTTAGCGGCTTTAAGAAAAAGGAAACAAACTCGCAAGAACTCGCAAGACGTTTCGTCTTGCGAAGCAAGCCCATAGGGAAATTCGTCTTGCGGAACGACTCAAAAAAAGGAAAACCCTTTCGTCTGGTGAGTTTTTCGTCTTGCGGGGCACCACTGTATATGAGCCACAGCCTTCCAAGCAGTATGCAGTGAGTTCCTGAGCTATGTACCCACTAACAGGAATACTGTTATGAGTGTAGGATCTTCCATGCAGAAATTCAGCATCGTTTAAAAAAATAAAATACAAAAAGACATCCAAGACAGGTTTCTCACCCCTTTATTAAGACAGCTTGCAAGGGTACATGGAATTAAAAAGTATGGGGGAAGAGAATCAACCATTGGTATTTATTTAGAAAAAAAAGTAAAAGTTCTGTTCATTCATACAGAACAGTAGTGAACAAGGGGAAATGAAAAGTGCCCATCAAACAACAAAATTAAATTTTCACATTTACTCATGCAAGCAGCAGAGGATTTTTATACAGTGGCGATGGGAATGATTACGGTATAGGCTTCCATCGTGGCATGAAAATGACACAGAAGAGCGTCCATGATGAAAATAAATTAAAAAAAAAACAATTTACAAGAGACGTGTTAAATAATTTAGCAACTATGAATGAAACATTTGCAAGACATACATTTTTTACATCATTGTCAGAACAGTAAACGAGAGAAAAAGACAATAAATTCACTGCAACAAAGTAAGGCAACTTATTTGAAAACGGCTGTTATGGTTAAGTGTTATATGCACAGTAAGCTGGCAGAATGTGAGCCTGCAATGGAATCAAAAAGTATTTTTCAATTACAATTTGGTCTTTTTGACTATTCAAAACCAGGGTTAAAATGCCAACTTTGCCATTACAAGTGGGAAAATATGAAATATTCCCTATTTCCCATTAATGTGAATATTAATATGTACTGTATATTAAGACTTCCCCACCTACAAAACTTTAAAAAATCCTTTTGTAATGATTGAACCTTAAGCTAACAAGCTGTACAGTTACTCGAAACTATTGCTTGAAATGTATTAACAACCAAAGCCGAAGATAATATTTAAATTTGTTGCGATTACAGAAGAAATTCTGTCCACATTTATTTGTCAGCATCTTGTGGAGGAACTTTACCCATAATACATTGATTATTATTTTTTAGGAATGTGTTCACAATAGAAACATTGAATGGACATTGCTATGACGATCAACACACAAACTTAGGAACAGCATTTTGAAATTTTGAAAACAAAGTGACTTACTCTGTAAAGCGTATATTAATTGCAGCCTGTTTTAGAAAAAGCAAATTTCATGACGTACTCTCAGCTTTAATGAACTGTTGACCAGTTATAAGAGAGTTTAGTCCAGGAGGCATAATTACACTTTGATAAATTGTCCATCTGGTAAGTAATTATCAGACTTGAAATTCTGATTGTAAAAACCATTTCTTTGATCCACCATCTAGCCTCTCATGAAAGAACATCATCATGACCTGTTTCCAATGTAGTACTGAACAATGGTTTAGTATAGAGGTGGGTAACCTGTGGCCACTCCAGATGCTGAACTACAACTCCCATCATTCCCTAACCATTGGCCACACTGCTCCAGCAGGTCAAAGGTCAGCCACCTGTGGCTTAGTGCTACTTCAAAGAGGAGTACTGGGTTTACACTCCCTTTCCCTCCAGCACAACTGCAAATTAGCCAGTTCATCCTGGGAAGGGAACGAAGAGTTTTGAAGTATGGTTTATTGAAACAAACCCAACATCAAACCATGGTTTAGGATCCCAGTGTGTCAACAAACCGTTGATTAAATTAACCAGAAATACTCTCCCTGCCCTGGTTGATTCAGAGACACAAAAGATTTAAGATTAGTTTAAAACAGAAAGTGGGTGATTTTGATGTTTGAGCCGGCAAGATAATGGGGAAGGGGGAGGGGGAAATTTAAAAGCCCACAGCTCACTTCCAACTCTTTCACAAAGCATGAGTTTAGCATTATGCCCCCAAACTGAAGTAGCCCATTATTTGCTATCAAAACAAAGCAGCGATGGGTTAAAGTACCATCAATCTACTTTATCCATCACAATGAATAGGACAAGGAATACTAAATGACTGCCTAAACCAGGTGTCCTCAAACTCAGCCCTCCAGAGGTTTTTGGCCTACAACTCCCATGATCCCTAGCTAGCAGGACCAGTGGTCAGGGATGATGGGAATTGTAGTCTCAAAAAACATCTGGAGGGCCAAGTTTGAGGAAGCCTGGCCTAAACCTCCCTACGGCATGAGACCCGTTATTTTCTACAGTGCTGCATACCAAAAGCACCCATTTTGGACTTATTTTCATGTTGCCAATTCCTGCACAAAAGGTGAATTTGTGGTCCGATGTACACATGGCAAACTTTTTGAACGCTGATCAGTTGCACGAACGTCAGAGTTAAACAAACGCTCACAATTTCCCTGACCATTTGCCATGTCTCAAAACATCTTTTTGGGGGTGTGGGAGGGAGAGAAATATTGTTAAGTAGACCAAGGGAAATGTTTGCTGCACGTGTCTTTCTACCGTAATTTTACCAAAGTTTGGAATATGGCCATTGCTTTTTGGAATTAGGAAACCTCAACTCACTGCATTCTAGACATGATAGTACAAAGAAAATTTAAGTGGATTATCACCTCTCAATTAAGGCATCTTGTTTTTCACCTGCCTCCTCAATCCTGCGCTGCTTTTCCCAGCCTTTCCATTTAGTAAGCAATCTGATCTTCAGCTCTCTTATCTCCCAAGTTTTATAGTCTTAACTCAGCAAGGTTAAGGTTTATTATAATTTACTTCATCTGAATTATAATGAAAAGGAGCGTCCCTTTTTAATGGCACAGTGCGTTAAGGTTCACAACCCCTGAATCCTCTTTTGGAGATTATAATCAACAGCCAAACATGGCCTATCAGTAGAAAGGTTCAATTAGAAATATATTTTTACCTACGACTAAATTTTTATTATTATTATTTACTTAACCTAAATGCATTCAGTTCAGTTTTATTGTTATATGCACTATTTACAGAGCATGAATGCATGAATATTTGGGAGATTAAATGAGCCATGTTTGAATCCTTAAGCAACAGAAATTTTAATCTCGGTACAAGCACCTGAAAAATATTCAAAACCTATTTTAAGGGCTGCTTCACACATTAAAGTAGCAGACATCTAAAACTTTAGCATGCAGCTTCTTCTAATTCTGTAATGGGCAAGGTGACAACCTTCTCCCCAGCCCCATCATATCTCCACCATGCTGTGCACAACTGGTGCCAGGATATGTGCACCCACTTCACATTAGAGGACTAAATATGTTAAATCAGGGGTCAGCAACCTTTTTCAGCCGTGGGCCGGTCCACCGTCCCTCAGACCATGTGGTGGGCTGGACTATATTTTGGGAGAAAAAAATGAACGAATTCCTATGCCCCTCAAATAACCCAGAGATGCATTTTAAATAAAAGGACACATTCTACTCATGTAAAACACACCGATTCCCGGGCTGTCCGCGGGCCGGATTGAGAAGGCGATTGGGCCGCATCCAGCCCCCAGACCTTAGGTTGCCTACCCTTGTGCTAAATCTTTAATCCCTATTTTCAATAGCAATCCATGAGGCAGCCCAGAGGAATATCTTAAAGAATTTAAGGAACACTGGCTCAGTGGTGTAGCTAGGATTCACATATGCCGCCGGTCAAATACTTAAGGTTTTGTCATTTCAATGGATGTTGGCAGTAACGGTTGCCTGAATTCCCCGCATGCTGAAAGAAAGGTACAATGTCCACAGCATTTGCAAATAGTAACAAATCAAGATTTACTCTTACATGACTTAAGCAGCAGTACAATTAGAAGGACGAACGCATTATTAGCCTTAATCTGCTTGATCAGTGACATCCAGCAGGGTTGCAGACAATCAACTTCAATGGCACAGAGACAGCGCAGGGCTGGGGAACCTGTGGCCTGCCAGATATTGTTGGACTCTGAAATCCTATCTGTCCCAGCCAGCATGGCCAATGGTTAGGGATGATGGGAGTAGTCCAACATCTGGAGGTTGATGAGTTCCCTACCTTCCAATAGATTCATGTGGCTTATTAGCTACTGCAAAGCAGAACACAAATGGCAAGCAACGAGAAAGGTGACCTAGTCCTTATATTTCCCTCATGGGTTTAGTGGAATGGTGCTTTAAAAATGTCCATGGAAATACACGTAAGGAATGGAAAATATATGGGGTGGAACGCATTATGCCATTTTGGCTTATCATACAGAATGATCCCCCCTGGCTGTTCCTGGGGTACTCCTGATCACCCACAGCACCATTTTGGGGGGTTGGGGTGAGGAAAGCCCTGTTGCACAAGCAAAAAAGCCCATGTGCAGGAGTTCTGTTGGTGAGATTCATTAGTTGAATGAATCCTCCCCGTGGCCAATTAATTACCAAGTTTAATGGTTGGGGAAGGAAAATGCTACAGAATATCTTCATGGAATGGATATTGCATTGTACTATCACTGAACTTGAAAATGATTTGGCTTGTTAAGAGATTGTTGCCTTCTGAACAGGATGAAGTTCTCTTATTTTAGTATTATATTGCACCCAGGGCTACACATCGCACTGCACCCCAAAGAGCACTAAGGATTACATGATTGAGAAGGTACAGTGAGAAAAATAAGTAAAAAAGGTCTAGCTACCCAGTGGCCCACCTGGCTTTACAGTTTTTCATTTGATTGACAGGGGCCAATTGCAGAATTGGCACCATTCCGTGTTAAGAGGACCACAGATAATATCCAAAACCAGAAATATTATTGTCCAATTTGTTGAAACTCGATACATTAAGGCACACTTAAAACTAGACTTAAGAGCCAAAACATTCAGAACCCCTCTTCCTTTCCTTAAAGAAATAAGGAAATAACCTCTTGCTTTACCTAACCAGCAATTTTTCTATCTCCCCAGAAAGTTTTTAGCAGTCCTATGTATTAAGTGCTAACGCTAAAAGAGGTCAGTCTTTTCATTTTGTGCTAAATGAGACCATTTTAGCAACATGAACCATGTATTAATGATGGGGATTTATAACATTTCTAGGACATACAGTCAAAACACTGGAAGCTTCTATTCCTACAAATCTAAAAAGGCAGGGAAAGCGTTTTGCTTTAATGTAATAAGTGCAGACTTGTGTGGCACAGAAACTGCTGATGCTTTTATTTACAGGGTTTCCCTCAAACCGATGATTTTCCTGCAGTGGGATATACTGAGCTGTTTCACTAAGCCATAGTTTATTAGAAACTTTTGCTTCAATATAAATGAGCAGTGTGCTGGCGGCACACTCCTCAGACATTTCCACAGCACTCTTCCCCTGCTTCTATACAGCAGACAAAACAAGCCAGTTGGGCGATTTGAACTAAGGCTCGTGGGTTTGTTTCCTCTAAAACAAACCATAAGCAGTGTGGAGGAAACAAACCATGAACCCAAAGTTTGATGGACACGACACACCAGACTTAGGCTCATTCATCCATGGCATGGAAGCAGGAGAAGAAGAGCACCATGGGAAGACTAAACCAGAATTTGTCTTAAACTCGAATTTAATGTGATGTGTCAACTAGGCCACCACATGTCAAACCTGCTTGCTTCTAGAGGAAAACTCTTGTAATGCACTTGCCTAGGAACTAAAATGGAAGAGTTGTCCAGTTGTTTCAGTCATCTTCAGTTCTGAATGGCACTCAATACAGAGCAAGAGATACTTTAGATGATTTTCTTACAGTCCAGGATATGTACTAAAAAATATAAATTGCAACCGAGAGCATACGCTTTAACTGAAACACTTAGGTTAAGACATGAGGCCAAGATATATAATCTTTTAAAGGCAAAGCGTTACTGCCATGTAACCATTTGTGAATTATTTGTTATACTTTTCTTTTTAAAAAAGATGGGGTCACAATAGTCAAGTACAACATCTCTTTAACAAGAAACTTGGCTCAGCCTGTATTTTCTGTCCAGCATGAGACCAACAAAATATGTATCTCTGGACACTGCTGCGTGCTCTAGAGATCACCAATTTTTAAGTCGTAAGAAAGGGAAATCAGTTTTAGGTCAACACAAGCAACATCAACACTAATTACTGACAATGAGCGCTGAAATGTAGTTAAATGGAATTGAATTTTAAAAATTGAAAAGCCATGCACACTAGATATCTAGAGATACATTTTCCATATGGATATTGCTGTATAAAGGATTGATGTGCCCAAATAATATCAACTTGATCAAGTAAATCAAGCACTAAGCTTGAGCTCTAGTAGGAGTGGTAAATTTCCATCTAGAAAACTTCATTCATGGATTGGATATCTGCATATTCCTCGAGATACAATTATGTATTTCTCTGCATAGAAATTTTCTTGTCTGAGATGATTTCTTCTTCTTCTGAGGTCTTATGGTAAGCTTTGCTGCAGCAATCTACTAATATGCCACTATTGTAAACTTTTACAATCAAGTCTGAAAACAGCAGACAGTGAAAATACAGGAGTAGCCCCAGTATGTTGAGTTTATTTCAAGGCCACACTGTTGCAGTATCTGGAACGGTTTATCAGGAGTACAATGAACACTGGACCTTCTGAGTTTGTGCCGTACAACCTCTAAAGCTGCCTTAATACTTGCCCTAAATTGACATCTGGGTTAATTTTTCAGTGTTTTTATATAAGCTGAGGAGTTGCACAAAAGCTATCCCACCAGAACTGTCAATGTAAGAACTGGAATGCTATCGCTACTTTGATCTCAGTCACACCAGCTGCCAAGTTTTTAATAAAGTTTGGTGGTTTTGAACTATGAACTTTTTCTATTGGCCATTTTCTGAAGCCCTTTAATGCTTGATTGAAAATCCTACGTGGAAGAACGTCCAACACAGGCAGCTATCATTTAACCACCAAATGAACTCGGATACTGCAAAGCTCAACAAAATCTGGCCATACAGTTGGTAGCCAAACACAAGTGTATTTAGTTGTTTAACTCACCTTAAATCAATTGTACAAAGTCTTTGCTGATATTTTCATTTTTATTTTCTCGAAACCTTAATACTGGAAGTCTGAACACACTGTAATCTCTCTGCACTGATGGAAAAAACTCTTTGCATCAAAGAACTTCATTTTTAGCAGATGGCACTTGGTTGTGGCCCTGGGTCAATGTCTTTTGACCCAATGGGAAATTAACATTCAGCACAAGGCTAGAAGACTGACACAACTAGATGCAAGCTAATAGCCTGGAGGGGGATTTTTGGAGCAAAATTTGATCAGCGCTGCAGGATTCGGACAGCTAAACTAAGAATAATATTCCAATTCTGATTTCTAGGCTCATTTCTCAGAAGCTGTAGTGCATACTGAACTCTCAGCGTGTGTTAAGAGGTTGCCTTACACAAGGAAATTACCAGGTGCTTCTGAAAGAAACGCCTAGACTTCAAACTCTGTCTCAGTGAGACAGTTCATCATTCTTACAATTAAAGACATTTATAGCAAGACAGCGGCCCTTTGGTTCCAGTTGATATAAAACAGTGTTGTAATAATGCCAGAAAGGTAGGAAAGAATTCAGTTTTGTGATGCTTTGCACTTCAGCTGAAATTTGGCAATCCAAGGAGGGCACCAACTGCTCCAAAGTATCCCTGTATTTAAAAGAAGATTTTTCACAATTCAAGTTTTGACTACCACATTAAAGTTGGCCTTTTTCAAAACAGGCAGAAGTACATGACAAAAATCTCTTGCCTTTTCCTAATGGATACCTGGACAAATTAGGAAGGAGAAATATACCCACAGTATAGTCAATCTACTGACAATACTCTGGATAAACTAACTTCTAAACAAGCCTTTGCACTGACCCCACCTATGTTTTCCCCAGCCTGTGAATGGCAGCTGGAACATTGCCACATGAACAACTTTCTCAGCTCTGCCCACTAGATACCATTATGGGGCGTATGCACAGCATATTGTTTACCTCCCTGAAACTTGAAGAGTGAGGAACAAAGGCTAAAAAGGAGGGAAACATACTATTGAGCATACTTTCTATAGCACTGCATTGAGCTGGATCAGACAGTATTCTCAAAATTGCCTAAATATCCCTACTCTCCACTGTAGTTTTGGAGCAAATCGTGCATGGGCAAATAAGTCATGGGGAGAGCTTTGTCTGAGAGACTGGTGGTAATTATTGTGGCAAAGAGGGAGCCTGACAACTGCTAATTTTGAAGCTCTAGTGAGGAGAGAGGAATTGACTGAAAATGCAGTATCTGAGCTGCAAAGGCACTAACTCGTGACTGTCAAGCACTCCTACGGTACCTGACAAGTAAGACAGCAATCCAAGATTTATTATTTCTGAAAGATTAACACATGTAGGTACAACCATGCCATTTACTATCCCAGTACTTTCATTAAGGTACTTGTTTGTTTTTTCCAGGTAACTGAAATACTTGGGGAACAATCCAGCAAATCATTTTTAAGCACCAGTAATGTCAATGGAAGAGATTTCCAAGCTCTCCCATTGACACCAGTCATGCTTTAAAGTACTCAACTTTGGCTGGATTGCACCCCTTATGCCATTCAGATCATTAACCAAAACATAAAAGTGAATGGAGAAATTCAAAGAAAAACCCAGGGATGCAACCATCTGTCCTATTCAGGAACAGTATTTTTCTTTAAAATGTAATCCCGCTTCCCCAAAATGGTTCATGGCATACAATCTCTCTTACCATCCCAACAACTCAGGTGCAAAAAAACCAACCCTTTCTAGAGCTACACATCTTCCAAATCACGAGTGAAGAAAAACATTACAAATAAATTTAAAATTATGGCATTTGTACTGGAAGATAAAGGTTGCCTAGCTCTCTATTCCATAGCTGTGGTCATACATACCTCATGTTCTAGGAACAAAGCCTTCAACTGGCCTTTGGACCAGTAATCCAGTGCATATGCCAAAAGCTTCATCGACAACGTATTCACACGTAAAAAGTTACCAACAAAGACAACACGGTTTATCTTCTGAAGAAAAACAACAACGACAAAAGTTTCCTCAGTGGAATATAATCAAAAGCAATACAAGTTTTCACTGGGATGCAAGAATGATTAGCAGCACAATCCTATGTATGAATGAATTCTATGCATGAATTCATGAGTAAGTTCTGCTGGGGTTTATTCCCAGTTAAGTGTGAAAATGCTCGTGGAGTCAATTAACAATAAAAAAAAAATTGTATAACATTTAGGTAACATTTAGATACGTACTTTAACCACACTCTAATGCTGGACAGTTTGCAAAGTTATGTGTGCTTCAAAAACCCATAAACTATAAATAAATTTATGCATTAAGCATTGCGTAAATTGCCAGAAAGTTGGGGCCAGATATCTCCTTCTGTGAATGTATAGATCCTGCTGGGGCAGTGGTTCTCAACCTGTGGGTCCCCAGAGGTTGTTGGACTGCAACTCCCATCATCCCTGAACTCTGGCCTTGATAACTAAGGGTGATGGGAGTTGTAGTTCAACAACATCTGGGGACCCACAGGCTGAGAAAGGCTGTGCTGGGGGAAAGGCTACATTCACTAATTCGCCCTCCCTGCTCCTGCAGACCCCCTTTCTGGAAGGCCAACCCCCTGCATATTTTCAGTAGGAGCAAAGGGTTGCAGGGGGAAATTAGTTAAAGTTGCCTCCCCTCCCCTTCTGTCACTAAGGGTGGTCTGAAGTGGAACTGCGTTCAGCTGGTACAAGTCTGGATCAAGTGTGGAACCTAAATAGCACATGACTTCTGACCCCAAGCCCATCCAACGTTAAGCTCATCAGCACCCACTCCCCCACCTTTTGATGTTAGGTAGGTGGCAACCCAAAAAGGTGGGCTTTCATACAGTTTTGCTTGCGGACTTTTCCTTTCCAGGGAGGTTCAGCTAGCACCAAACCTGATGTTCCTCTAGCACAAAGCAAAGACCATTTTATTTGCCCAAACCTTCAACATCTCATCTAGCTGGTTTTCAATCTGGTACCTCTGTAATCTATTTTTCATAGTATCACAGAGCTGGAAGGGGACCCTAAGGATCATCTAGTCCAACCCAAATATGCACCTGTCCCATACAGGGATCAAACCTGCAACCCTGGCATTATCAGCACCACACTCTAATCAACTGAGCTATCCATGGGGGAAAGAAGAACACATAAGATTCATAGAATCATAGAGTTGCTCTTCTAGGCATTTTATATAATTGTTATCAGTGTAACATGGTAGTTATGTGAATGCAAGGGAACAATGGTCAACCAAAGTCATTTCAAGTTGTAAGCAAGGTCCAGGCTAGCTAATGTGTATCATAGCAACAGGTATTGGCAACTTAAACGGGTTGATTTGTATATGCCACTATATTCTTCATCCTCAAGCAAGTGTAATACAATTGAACCAAGCCACTACTGACAGGAGCTGCACTTTGTGCCTTCATAGCCCTGTACAATGCTGCTTGATCCATATGCAACAAGGCAGCACTGTAAAGAAGCCGAAGGCAGCAAGCAATATTCCAGATGAGCAACTGCTCTTCCATATTTCCACAAGTTTGCATCTGAAACAGATGGGATGTTTCAGACAGCAGCAAAGACAGAAGTGTGTTCTCAAAAAAAAAAAGGGGGGGGGAAAGAACTCAGTAAGGTACATATTTTATATTTAAGCCTTATTATAAAAATAAAAGCTTATAATAAGATGTTCAAAGACCTGAAGACTTTTGATTTAAATAGTGCTTATCAACTTAAATCTCCAAACAGAGAAAAAGGCAGATCCTGAAGAGCCACCTCTGATTTGTGAGAGAAAGAACCTGTTAGTTCTCACACTATTCCAACCTGGATTTTAAATGCATTGCAGTCTCTGCTGTTCCTGCCCAACAAAGCTTACCTCATTTACAGCACACATCCGTGCTATAGATCCGATATTATTGGTGATAGTAACCAGTGTAGCTCTAGCCAGGTCTTCCTTACTAACAGATTCCCGCTTTTCCTTGTAGATCATATTCCCGAAGCTAGAAAGAGAGATGCCATAATGTTAGATAATCTTCTGTTAAAAATGTGGAGGTGGGGCAGGGAAGCTCTGTTCTCCAAGTGGCAAATACTAAGTTGGATACCATTTGGGTTTCCTCTTATGTATCTGTAAATGAATAGATTAAGTAAACACATCACATTTTTTAATTCCTTATTAGGTGTTCTAATTAAAAATCAATGGGTTGTAGCCAATTAAGTTCTCCTCAATTAAATCAATGGTCCTAAGTTAGTCGTGTCAGCTGATTTCAGTATATGACTAACATTGGAACAACCCATCTTTTTAAAGGCCTCTTAAATCCAGCAATTTTTTTTAATGGTGCTGTGTATTCTCCTACAACACCTACCTAGATGCCACTGCCCACCCTGGCAAGCCAAACCGTTCATAATCTCCTCCATAAATATCCCGGACTAGCTTGTCGGCATGTGTACTTTCCCCTTTAGATGCCATTTCTAGAGCTTCTTCAAAACTTTCACATCCAGTCAGCAAGCTGCACAAGCCAAGAAAGGTCCCACCACCTAGACTGGTGTGGAAAAAGAGAAAGAAAACGCATTGGCTTGTAAATTGCATTTTTAAAATTAACAATTTTAATTCTAGACATCTTACCTGTGCAACCCAGGAAATAAACTGAATAAGCTCAACTGACTACAGTCTACATAAGGACTTAGGTTTATAGTTTACGGTTAGGCAAAACACATTCCTAGTGAACAATGAATAATAAGCTGTTCATTTTTAGTTGTTGCCACCATATCATGAAAGTTCTTGGTGGGCAGTATTAAAAAATCAGGAACAGCAACACCAACCAAAACAATTACTATGGAACCCAACTCAAGCATTTATCTTTTGAGGTGCCTCTCCCAGCCAAGGAAGCTGAAATGGTGTTTAGGGTAACCACAAATATCCTGTCAACTAGGACTAAGTCATTGTAATTGTGTCTGTAGCAAGAGCCATCAGCAGCTGGATAGTCCTAATAAAAACAGAATAAATCTTCCCAAATCCTGGTATTTTCTTCCTTTCTTTTAAAAAATATTCCATTTTTTTTACCAAGCTGCCTATAATATAATAAAAAATGTTAAAAGTTCTTTTGCGAAGATGGTTAACCAAAAAATGAAAATGTAACTCTAAAAAAGAATTCACACTGCTCTTAAGACAGGAAAGCTAAACACACTGCAAAATAGAAAGATGAATGGCAATTTCTTCAATGATGTGTATGCATTTGAAAGCGACCCATGAACACAGATTTATCATTTCATTTAATAGCTTGTTCTGGCATTCTTTAAATTCCCTACCTTGTTCCAGTTACTCTCTTATAGTTGTCTCTGGAATGGACAGCTAAAATACTGACTCCTGAACCAATGTTTACAACCAGCAACGGGTATGGATCATCCAGGTTAAAAGGCATCTTTTGGCATCTTTCAGGTTCTGATGCGTTTTCAAAATAGTAGCACTCTGCCTGGCCATTAAAACTGACAGAATCTATGTACAGCAAGCCTTTGACAAGGCAGTCAAGTTCATCCAGTTTGTGCAGCTGGAGGTCTCCAATCTGCAAAATTGCAAAAGAGACATTATTATGGCTTCTTCTCATCACAAAATGGTATCAGCTTAAGTCAAAATCACTCAAGATGCAGGTTTTAAAAGACTACAGTTGTTATACAAGCAGATGAATTAGTTATCGTGTCTTTAGAATGATAGCTTATACCAGCATTTTCAAAATAATCAAGCCAGTAAGTAGTAAGAAACCCACAAAACTCCTAGACTTTCATCAGCTTCTCTATTTCTGGCATATATATTAACAGTAGTTTTTATTTCCCATGAATATTTCAAAACAGCTTTTCAAAATTAGCTTCTCAAATTCTTTTTCTCTCTTTTGTCGCTTTTTTAAATCCAAATCAGAGGATGAAGCATTGTAAATTAAGAAAATGCAAGGCCCACACAACTCTTTTGCAGGCTATATGTACTCAATTTCTACTTGCAGACCATTTTTGACAACACTTTAAATAAAACTTTAAGACTCAGCTAACTCCACCTACACTCACTGTCAAAAGACTGGATGGGAAAGGAAGTCATCATACATCCACTATTTAAGTCTAATCTTCACTGCTATTCCAGAACTACCCAGGAAAGGACTGACCTTAATTCTTTTATAAAATGGTACAGTCATTGTTCTTAAAGGGTTAGATGACTGCAGTCAGAAGTAGGCAATTTATGACAATAGACAAGACATAGAAAGGAAGTGTGGCCCACATATTACATGCACCCAGGACTGAAAAAAATCCCAAGTATGCAAAACATTTCTGGTTGTTTTCCAACCCTGCATACAAATATTGGGTTCTGGGGGCTCAAAGGAAAACGAGAGAAGAATGCTAACTGTCAACAGTGCAAAGGATAAAAAATTATATGCTCAAATTTTGTCCATAATATAGCACAACTTTCTGGTCTATATCAGAGGAAGAAGAGCTTGTTAGTCACTGATTCTGAATTAATGTCGTTATTAACGCAGTTATGAGGAAAACAAAGGACTATTTTGAAAGCAGATGTAGAGGCAGGACAAAAATTGTTTCCAGCATGTTGTCACTGCCATGCATGCAAAGATCTTACGCAAACAGGTCCAAAGTACTAATTCAGAAGTATCCTGGCCCATCAGATCTTTGCCTATGATAGCAAAGGCAATGCTTTCAGAGACTTATTACTTAATCACCACAGAGTATAATGTACTTCAAGAACAGATTATGTAACAGAGGATGTAACAGAACTACCTACTGTGCGAAAATCTTCTTCAAACTTATAGGCACCACCGCCAGTGGCACAGAGCACCGTATGCAGCGTTGAGAAGTTTTTACTTCTTCCCATTTGAATAAAAGTAGGCAGATCATGGGTTGGGAATCGGATAAAGTGCAAGTTTCCCTTTCGCCCAAAAAGTATCAAGTCCTTGAGTTCAAGGTGGACATCCCGAATACCAGTGGACCCATAGGCTACGTTTGATGTCAAATATTTGCGAATACTTTTCAAGCTTTCAACTTCTTCCTGCTCTTCTTCTGCAGTGATATCGATAGGTTCAAAATATGCAAGTTTCACGAGGGTTCCCCCAATGTCCATACCAAACCATGGGAAAGCTGTGGTGAAACAAAGTTACTTGTTAGAGAATCAGATGCATATGAAAATTGAGAATGAACGTCTTCTCGGCTGCCAGCACCATAACAGTCTCTCTGCTGTCTTTCTAAGCAATTAGCAAAAACTGCTTGACATCATAAGAAATGTGGAACAGGTCACTCCTACATATCCTCTTTTGTTAGCACATTTGAGCCATTAATGACAAACCAGCTGCATGCTACAAACAACCGAAAAGCTAATCACAATCCAAACAAGGATTTCTTAAAAAGTGAATTATACCACTTGGAAAGTAGACGTTTCCAGATGGATTTTGAAAAACACGCTTTTCACAACTGATTTACTTTGTGAGTTAAAATGTTTGTAAATTATGCTGATTTCTTTTTTAGAAAGACAGAACAGAAGTCAAGTAAATAAGACGACTTTGCTCTTAACCCTACTATGTAGTAAACAGAAATGTGAATTATTTATAGGGGGGGGGACGTGGGCAGGATAACTTCTAAGAGCAGCAGAATCCATAAGGTTAAATAATCTGCTCCTCTGTCAATCTAAACATTTATAGGTCCCTGAAAAACTACTATTTTCAATCTTACACACACTTACTTGGAAGTAAGTCCCATTGAACTGTCCTTCTGAGAACAGTTATGTAAATATGCAATTTAATATATATTAATATATACCCCTATATTGTATAGGCTTAACCATTACTTCAACATACTTCCCATTTGGAAGATTTTTCAGAAACTTTTTAGGTAGCTTCCTCCTCACCTTGCAATTATAAAACTGCAATCCCTGCTCCCTTAAAGTACTTGGACATAAGCAACTTGTTTATAACTCTTCAGCACTGGATAATAAAAGATTGACTAAGGACATCCAGTAATCTTTGAACCTTGGTTGTTCCTGACAACAAGATAGCTATAACTTTTAGCCATAAAGATGAACACTCACATTTACTTGTGGTTAGTTATTAAGTCCATATTAATGTTTTGTGGTGGGCAATATCTTTTTATAAAATAGCTGCTTATGAGACATGAAGGCATGTCTTATGAGACATGAAGGCGGTTTTCTTTGAAGTATTTTCTTCAGAACAGCAGTGGGGAAGCTGCGGTAGCAGTTTCCTCACAAAGGTTGCGCTACAATGTATGAAACCCTTCTTTGCAAAAGACTTTTGTACTAGATTTATCATGGGTCGAGACCTCATGACGCTCAATTTAGGGTTGACTGGTATCGAGTCTTCTTCAGCATTCTCCCCACTGTCATCAATGAAGTAATTCAGGAAGTTTAGTCCATACACTGGAAAATTCTTTATGAAACATAGCCGCATGCATGCAGCAAACCAGAAAAAGGAAATTTCAACATGTCAGTGTTTACAGACTATGGCTTGCACCCACTGTAACTAAGTAGCCATCTCCCACTCTCCTCACCCCACACAGCCCTTACATCTGTTCTGCGGGTTCCACCAATGCTCCAGAATAGATCTGGGGAAGGCACAGAGAAGAGGTAAAGTCCCCCTGCGCAAGTGTAAATTCTTGTGCTGTTGGGACAGTTATTTAGTATGACATTGGATACAAGCCTATGAGTTGTAGCCAATTAAATTGTACTCAAGAATAGAACCATTGAAATAAATGGGCCTAAGTTAGTGAGGGTCATTATTTTCAATGGGCCTAACTCTTGAGAATGACCAACCACATGGGTTGCATCCTAGGGCAGCATTATCAGAAACAGCCAGTATCCCTGCTACTTACGGTAGCTCTCTGCGCCATTACCCTATTGTTCTGGAGTATTCTGCAACCCACGTAAGCAGGTTTTCAGGGCAAGTAGGAGACCTGCTGAAAATCAGGTTCCCAGACCTACCCAAGCAGAAGAGGTGCCACATTTAGCATATATTGCCACTAGAGAGCAGTGGGTTTTATCGAATGCTGACACTGCCTAATGTCACCATCAGATACAACCCACTGCTTCTTAGTGAGCAAAAACGTCAGCTAATGGAAAGCAGCACCTGCAAATCTGGTGGAACCAGAAATTATTTCTGCTGTGCAGCTGTGCTCACAGGAATATGAGAATAGGCTTAATTTGAAGAATACAAATTCATATGTAACATTAGGTGATTATTTCTACATATGCAAAGTGCATATTAGCCAAGCAAGTGCTCAGCAGTGGTTAAGTCTTTTGAGACATGGATTATGAATCTAGACAAATGACACAGGAAATGTAGCAAAATCTTCACTGGCAACTCAGACATGGCTGCCTGATGTTAGATTACCTAAGTGGCAATCCTAACCACACTTACTAGGCAGCAAGACTCACTAAACTAAATGGGACATGTACAGAATTGAGCTATCTGCCAGGTATACGTCTGCGTTTAAATAAATGGCGTTTCCGTGCGCTCTGGCTTCCGTCATGGTGTTCTGTTGTGCCATAAGTGGTTTCGTCATGCTGGCCACATGACTTGGAAAGCTGTCTGTTGACAAACACCAGCTCCCTTGGCCTGAAGTGAGATGAGCGCTGAACCCCATAGTCACCTTTGACTGGACTTAACTGTCCAGGGGTCTTTGACATTACCTTTTTTTTTTTAACCTTAAAGGTAAAGGGACCCCTGACCATTAGGTCCAGTCGTGGCCAACTCTGGGGTTGTGGCGTTCATCTCGCTTTATTGGCCGAGGGAGCCGGCGTACAGCTTCCAGGTCATGTGGCCAGCATGACTAAGCCACTTATGGTGAACCAGAACAGCGCACGGAAACGGCGTTTACCTTCCCGCCGGAGCGGTATCTATCTACTTGCACTTTGACGTGCTTTCGAACTGCTAGGTTGGCAGGAGCAGGGACCGAGCAACGGGAGCTCACCCTGTCACGGGGATTCGAACCGCCGACCTTCTGATCGGCAAGCCCTAGGCTCTGTGGTTTAACCCACAGTGCCACCCATGTTCCACCTTACCTGTGCTTAAATTTACCTGTGCTTTTTACCTTAAGGTAAAGGTACCCCTGCCCGTTCGGGCCAGTCTTGCCAGACTCTAGGGTTGTGCGCTCATCTCACTCTATAGGCCCGGAGCCAGCGCTGTCCGCAGACACTTCTGGGTCACGTGGCCAGCGTGACAAGCTGCATCTGGTGAGCCAGCGCAGCACACGGAACGCCGTTTACCTTCCCACTGGTAAGCGGTCCCTATTTATATACTTGCACCTGGAGGTGCTTTCGAACTGCTAGGTTGGCAGGCGCTGGGACCGAACAACGGGAGCGCACCCCGCTGCGGGGATTCGAACCGCCGACCATGCGATCGGCAAGTCCTGGGCGCTGAGGTTTTACCCACAGCACCACCCGCGTCCCTTGCTTTTTACCTTACCTGTGCTTAAATAATTTGTCAGGCAGGAAATGTATGCTTACAGAAATAAAATTAAGTTCAAGATGCATTCCTATAAATGTTAAATTAATTGTTCTTGTTGTTCTTATTAAACATTTGGTGTGCTTTGTTGCTTACTTTGGAGAAACAGCCCCCTCAACTTTTGTTACAACACTCAGAATGCAGGAAAGTGTTTTTCGTAAACTCAACTATGTTCACATATAACCCTGAACAAAAGTATGAGCTGCTTACCAGTGGTCTATAAATCTGCTGGAAAGCATTTTATGAGTAGAGTAATTGTCAAAAGGAACAACAGAAAGAGTGAGTGACAATTAACATTTAACCTCCCTTTTATGCAAAGTCACCATGGCAGTTGGCACTTTCTTGGAGCTTTTTTTTAATTCATTAACTGGACATTTGAGAAACAAACATTGTATAAGCTCAGTTAGCAAAGGGAAAAAACCATAGAGTAAGATTTGTATAAGAAAGCTCTTGCAACTATTTAGAAAGAGTCTGCTTCTATTAAGTTTACTGGATACAATTTCCCATTTTACTAAGTTATTCAGTTTAAATTCCAGACTCCTACAGTATTTTCCTTCCAGGATCAAAGGGCAAGAGGCATATGCCACATCTGCAAGACTATCTTTTATTTTGATAGTGTTTACAGTTGACTATCTCCTATATATTATTATAAAACACTGGTAAATGCTAAGAATCACATGTTCCTAATATGTAATTTCTTATACTTCTCTAATGCCACTATTTAAAAAACAGCAGTTTCTCAGAAAACATGTATCAAAATTAAAAGGAACCAATTGCCTATCCTTGGGGCCCTACTGCACATGCCATTCAGGGCAAAAGGTAAAAAGGGTAGGTGGGTAAAACACTCCTTTGTTAAACTACTGGTAAGTCCAGCGTGGCTTTAAGAGAATTTATTGCTTGTTAGACTGCAGTCCTATGTATCCTTATGTCAGGAACAACACAAGTGGGACTTACTTCCAAGAATGCATGCGTGTGACTGAACAGCTTATTTGTTGTTGTTTTTTAAGTGCTCCCCAAAGTCTGTCACAGTATGTCTTAAACAAGAATGTGCTAATAACTGCACAGGAACTTAATCCTAGCTTCTACTGCGATGTCACTGAGAAGATTTGTATTATTAAAGTTCCTTATATGAAATAATATATTAAGCAAGTAAAATAATTCACAATATTAAAAAAGATCTTCTATGAAAAAAATTGTTTCCAATTTTCACAATCACACACCCACTGAAAACATGTAAACTTTAATTTACATGAAGGGCCACTGGCTGTAGAAAGGGGGGGGGAAAGGAAGCAGGGATATCATCCTTTCATCACTTGACACCAGCTGCAACAGAGGGAGAGAATGAAAGCAGGGCCACTCCAGGGCCTTTCTTGAGACCTCTTCCTGTACTCTTACCATTCCAGCTGACAGAGCTTTGGAACTAGTGCCTGAGTTGGCTTTCTTTCCTCTTCCCTGCCAATCACTTTTGTGACATATATTTTAAATTGGCTGTTGGCCATTGGCCTGAGGGCAGAGTATTGATATTTGGTCATCTTTTAGGCAGAAGAGGGGAGAAACGTATCAAATAAATATGTAGCAGTTCAAACACCACATCATATTTTAAAGAGGACTACTGTAGGGAAAGTATGACAAAAGCACGTAGGTCAAACACAGCATGATCATATACAGACCCAATTCACTGGAACACTATTTGACGGCAGTTTCCTAGCACACACACCACGTGAACACAAAACAAAACAGAAATGTGTGCAGGTATCAGACAGGACAACCTGCACATCATTTCCACATTTTGATAGACTGGAGTGTTTCCTACAGAGAAAATGCATAATGTGTAAAAAAGGTGCGGACACGGCCATCCCTTGCTACTCACTGAAACCCAGTCAAGTTCTTATCAATCAAGGAAAAGCAAACTTCACCGCATTGGCTCCCCGCTCCATCTACAAATCTCAACCTAAGCATGTGCCTCTGGCTTACCAAAACACCACAGATGCAAAGCCCAACACCGACTGGCTTATTTTTGTGTGAGCCAACGCCAAGCAAAGCGGCGTGGCACTTCCCCTCCGGGTTTGACCACCCCCGGGTTTTCGTTTTAAAAAGCGAACCGGCAGGTAACACCTGCTCAAGCCCCGGAGAAGAGAAGGGAAGGAGGGATCGGCAGGAAGAGGGAAATCTTACACGGCTTCTTGGCATCTTTGATCTTCATGACTCCGCCGCGGCGCTCCCGGCGGCGCTACCTCCGCTCGAGCCCCGTCGCGGGCTTCCCGTGCCTTGGGTGATGCCCCCGGAGGAAGAGGAGAGGGTGGCGGCGGCGGCGGTGGGGCTGGCTCGATGTTACGCTCTCCGGAGAGAGGCGAGGGCGCGCGCCGGCCTGACAGGAGGCGCTGCGAGGGCGGGGAGGGGAAGGCGAGAGGAGGGAGGAGGAAGAGGAGGCCGACGCTCGCTCGCTCGGCTGAGGGGAACCGGGGGGAGGCCAGGCGGGGCCGGCGGGGTTGTTAACGCCCTTCCCGCGAGCGGCTCATGGGGCTGCGCTGCCGCTGGGTGGCCCCACAGGGAGAAAGAGGAGGAGGCGGGACCCGCCGCCGCCGCGCCAGCCCCACCCACACACTCGGCACCACCGCCAGTTCACCGGCCGCCACCGCCGCCCCCCCCCACCTCCTCCTCCTCCTCTTCACTAGACGCCCGCTAACATAAAACAACGGCCGGCCGCCGGGCGGTGGGTGGGGCTGGGCTCCGGAGGCTCCGGAGAGGGCCGCGCTGACGATGCCACAACGCCGCCCGCCTCCTCCTCCCTCTCCCTCCACCCGAGGCACGGGACCCGCGCAAGGGCAGCTGGGAAAGGAGAAAGGAGGCGGGGTCGGTGGCTCCGAACTTCTCCGGCCTACGCCTCCCAGAGCGCACCGCGAGGTCCCTCCCGCTCCTGGGCCACTCTGCGCTCGCTAAGCATGCCGGGAGCTTTCGTAGTTCCGAGGGTCGGAAAGGGAGGCCATTTTCTCGCGGATGGTTCCCCCCCCCCCACAGCGTAAAGCGGAGTCGGTGAAACGCTCCCTACAACTCCCCCTCCCACCCACGCTTTTACCTTCGCCGCAAGAAACACGCCACTCACCCCACAGCGAACCAGCCAATGGCAAGCGAGGATTTCCCTGCTCCACCTCCCCTCGCCTCTAGGTGTGATGCTGTTGGCGGAAAGCGCCTCCTAGTGGTCACACTTGATAGGCGGCGGGGGGCGGCGCGCATTCGCGGGGCGGGGCGGGGTGGGGCGGGCTGGGGGTGAAATTGAGTTTATTCTTTCTCGGGAGGTGACAAAGTAAAAGTCGGTCGAAATAAAAAGGGTCTTCTTTGTTTCCATGATTTTTTCTTCTTCTTTTGCAAGGAACGCCTCCTAAGCCACCATCAAACTCACTGTCGGAGGCAGTGATTCTCTGAATACCAGTTGTCTGGGATTCACGTGTACTGTAGTAGGAAAAGTGCTGCTGCGCTCGTGTCCTCCTTATGGTCATCGCATGAGCCCCTACAGATCGAACCGAAGGTCCTTCTAGTCCAGCGCCCTGTTTGCAATAGCCAGACAGGAATCCCTCAGTCAGGACGCGAGTGCAATTTCACTCCCCTGCCTGTGATCTTCAGCAATTGGGCATTCACAGATCCTTGTGATTTTGAACTCAGAATCCACCTCGCACCCATAGCCTAAAACCCATGGCACGTCTGCACTCGTGGGCTAAAGAGATTGCAGGGGGAAGTAAGCCGGAGTTGACATACACATACCCGCAGTCACCGTATTTTTTGCCTTATAGGACGCACTGTCCCATAAGGTGCACCTAGTTTTTTGGGGGGGGTAATAAAGGGGGGGGGAATTATTCCCCCCCCCAGGGAAATAAATCTCCCAACCCCAGCCCCCAGAACAGGCAACTCTCCGTAAGCCGTGGGAGCCCGGAGCTGGGCTCCCGCGCCTTGCGGAGAGCCGTGCGACGTCTGGGTGCGCTGAGCGCAGCGCGCCCAGCCTTCGGCATGCAGGCAACTCTCCGCAAGCCGCGGGAACCCGGCGCGGGCTCCCACGGCTTGCGGAGATCTGCGCGAAGCCTGGAGAGCGAGAGGGGTTGGTGCGCACCGACCCCTTTCACTCTCCAGGCTTCAGCAAAGGCCTGCATTCACCCCATAGGATGCACACACATTTCCCCTTCATTTTTGGAGGGGAAAAAGTGCGTCCTACGGTAATTTGCTATAGCTGTGGTTTTTATGTTCCAAAGCCATGCTCAATTAACCTATGTTTAATATAACACACACACAAGCCAGCCCGGGTCAGATTTGCAGCCTACTTCTGTGTAATCTAGTGCTGTGTGATGTAGTCCATGCCCTTCACAGTTCTTTTCCTCTGTGAAAGAGGCTTTGATTTTTTCTGCCCCATTTTTGTGGCGCTTGACCATTTCCTTAGAATTTCTGCAGGTGTGTGGTTTTAAGGTCACCTTATCACCAAAATGGGGGATGCGGGTGGCGCCTAGGACTTGCCGATCGTCAGGTCGGCGGTTCGAATCCCCGCGGCGGGGTGCGCTCCCGTCGTTCGGCCCCAGCGCCTGCCAACCTAGCAGTTCGAAAGCACCCCCGGGTGCAAGTAGATAAATAGGGACCGCTTACCAGCAGGAAGGTAAACGGCGTTTCCGTCTGTGCTGCACTGGCTCACCAGATGCAGCTTGTCACGCTGGCCACGTGACCCAGAAGTGTCTGCGGACAGCGCTGGCTCCCGGCCTATAGAGTGAGATGAGCGCACAACCCTAGAGTCTGGCAAGACTGGCCCATACGGGCAGGGGTTCCTTTACCTTTATCTTTTATCACCACAAGGCACCCAAGGGTGGCATGTACGTTTTCCTTTCCAGCAAATGTTTCTACAGCACTCTGCAGCCTCACTGGCTGTTCATGGTTCCAGGATTTGAAAAAGATGCCTGGGAGGAGTTGCTTCATATTTCCCTCCCTTGGGGTTTAAACACGACACCTGGGAAGGCTGCAGTGTATGGTGAAAGTATTTGTAGAATGATCTGTAGAATATATTTTAATTTTGTGAACTGACACGGTTTTTATTTATTAGATTTATATACTGTCCTTCATCATAAGATCTCAGGGCGGTTCACAAAGTAAAAATACAGGATAAAAACATGAACAGAAGTAAAACAGCAAAACTATAACCCGTCCTCATGTTGCCACCCTCCAGACCTCATGTGGAGACACACGAAGGACCTGAGATGTTTGGATGAAGGGTGGTATGTAAATTTTATAAATAAATGAATGAGATACCCCTTGACCACCTCACACACAAAAAAGTTCGCTCCAGCAAAACCCCTGGACTTCACCCATGAGACTTTCATTGACATTTTCCCTCGCCTTTGATAGCTTTGGAATGCAATTTCTTTCCTAGTTAATTGATGGAAGATGCTTGAGGGAGAAATTTTGGGCACAGCATTACTTGTACAGTCAGATGTAATCAAGTTCACTGAAAGCAATGGGCATAGGTTGCCATCTTTTTGTACCCATGTGGCATATTTGGAATTTTGAGAAAGTGCAGCGTGTCCAGTCACAAAATGGCTGCAGTGGAAGTCTAGCTTAACACAAAATGGCTGCCACATCTGAAAGAGAATAAAAAGCGAAGGGACCACAATATGGAGTGAGAACGTCCCCATCAAGTCAGCCACTGTTGTACTCATTCACACTCTTTGCATCTCTCCTCTGTTCAGAATGAATGGGAGTGTAATCCTGACACCCATTGAAAGGCGACCATGTTTAAGGGGCACGCCCAATGTACAAAAAGGAACTGGGCAGGAAGAGCAAATGGCCTCTCCTTTGCTGTGGATTTTTGAGGGGACATTTTATGAGAAATGCCGTGGGTGCCATAATAGGTACCGGTGGACTCAATGGCGTGTTTAAATGGAGTAATTGTTAACAAAACGAGGTGTTGCCTTCTGCAAGTCAATATAAGGCAATTAGCAGTCCTATGTAATTTCTATTGTAATGCTCTCTGGATAAAAATCGAGTTTTTGGGAGGTGGACATAGGTTTGACTTTAATGAGGGGCTACAGACAAGGGACTGGGGAAGCTGTGGCCCCCCAGATGTTGTTGGACAAGCCTCATGAGCCACAACCTGTATTGCCGAAGATCAAGAATGATAGGAGTTGTTACCTAATGAACAACGCTGCTAAAAGGCAACAAGTTTCCCAGCCCTGGGTCAGGTTATATGATTTCACTGCAAAAGGTAGTGCTTTTATTTATCAAGAAATGACAGTGTACAGAAAGAGAGAAATATTCTGAGGCAAACTACACATACATTCAACACAAGAGATTTTATTTTGAATCTATTGATTGTACGTTTGTTAGATCTTCTAAAATACCAATTTAAGATTTGTGAAAAAGTGTATAAATAATTTACTCAAATTAGGCCTCATTTTGTTTCCCATTATTTTAACACTCAAATATTAGGTAACGACATTAGGGCGGTCATTAGATTTGGGGCAAGGTGTCACCAGTATCGTGAGGATATCCAGCTCTATTTCTTTGTTAAACATCTGAATCAGGAGCCGCTGTACATATTGGCTGGTGCCTGAACTATGACCGACTGAGTAAACCCAGTGTTTTGTTGCTGACATTTGAAGCCCTACGGAACTTGGGACCAGGATGCCTAGTCAGACTGCTTCCCCCAGTACAGACCAAGTCAATATCTGAGATCTGACAAAACCCTTTATGATCGGCCAAGGAGCTGATTAACAACAAAAAAATAAATATCGAGTTAACTACAAATACAGGGTGAAATCAAAGGTGGTTTCCCACTTCCTCCAACGAGTGAGATATATGGCATGTACTCCGTGTGAAGTGCTTTCCAAGTTATTCCACATCTTGCAGAATACTTTTGCACGCCAGCCCAATCTCTGAGTGGTGCGAGATTCCAGGGGCTGCAAGCACTTACCCAGGATTCATATTTGCTTTTGGAATGAGGCACAGTGGAGACTGCTGTGTCTTTATGATATATGGTTTATTTACACATATATACAGCCAGAGCCTATGTTGGCAGGGTTCACAGCATTAACACCCCAAAAGGGTATTGTTTCGCCCATAGCCACAGCCTTGGATGCAAACAGAATTCAAACATTGCTCTCAAACATTGTTCTCCCTCTATCTCCAGCTAGCTGCTTTCCTTCCTAGATAATATCACTGCTACCTGTGCTCCAAACTCTGGCTTTTTCAGTTAAGGGAGCCCCCTTCTCCTATGTCTCACACCAAGTCACTTAATCCCACTTAATGGCTCATCACCCAAGCTATCACCTCACTAAAAAGCTTGCCTGGCTATTCCAATAATTAGAAGACTTGATTAAATTCTAACACTTGCTAGATCCAGGGATTAGAGGGGTCTGGCACCCAGTTTAACACCCCAAATGCATAACACTACTTTTTTGGAGACAGCGTGATAGCAACATTTCTAGTTCTGGTTGTCACAAATTTATCGGTTTAAGAATAAGAAGGTAATTCCGGACTGGCCAAATGTCCAATGTCCATTAACTTTGCTGTCCAAGTTGACATCTTCCAAAATGCATAGTCTCAGTTTGGAACCATGCTAGAAAGCTGATCATGGCTTAAGAGAGAACTATGATACCCAAAGTATCAGACTAAAACCTACATCCCGAGAAACACCAGGCAAAGTGAAGGCTACTTGAAACAAAATCCGCACAGGGTTTATTCTGCACAGCCTGTGATGTGCCTTGTGACATTTTACTGTTGTTTGAAGCTCCCTCAATTTCCCCCCTCACATTAGGTTTTCAATTCCTATTATAAACATTTTAGCTTTCACCTGTGCCCCTTTCAGCTTTTGTTTTTCCTCATTGAAGTTTTTAAAATATTGCATTTATTGAGTCTTCCCCAATCTTGGCACCCTCCAGACATTTTGGACTACAAGTCCCATCATCAATTTCCATTAGCCATGTTGGCTGGGGCTGCTGGGAGTTGTAGTCCCAAGCATCTAGAGGGAACCACATGAGAACACAAGAGCCCTGCTGAGTCTGGCCAACCAGACGCACAAGGGTACTCTCCCCAGCTGAGATTCTCACCAATTCAGAGGTGTACTGCCTCTGACAGGAGAGGTAGAACATAGCCATTGTGGCTAGTAGCCCTTGATAGCTTTGTCCTTCATGAATTTGTCCAATCCTCTTTTAAAGCCATCCAAGTGGGTGGCCTTCACTACTTCCTGTGGGAACAAATTCAACGTGCTGTGGGAAGAAATAGTTACGGAACAGTCCTGAGTCTTCCATCTTCATTGAATTTCCTCAAGTTCTAGTATCCTGGGAGAGGGAGAGACACTTTCTCTGACCCATTTTCTCATGTTGAGGAACGAGGGTGCCAACTTGAATAAAATATTGGGGGGGGGGCAAGTAAGCCACCTGCCCCACATAATCGATCACAAGACATGGCACATACCCACCATTTGAATGGCAATCCTCATTAACTTTTGGTGAGCGGCCCCCTCAAATATTTTATTGGGGGGAGGCGAAGGGACTTCAGCCCCTAGGAGTTGGTTCCTATGTTGAGGGAAGCTGCTGAATAACATTTTCTGCAACACATGCAAACTACAAAAATAGGGTCCCTGGAGGGTTAAAAAAAACTTTCAAGCCACAAATTATATTTCCCCCCAAAGCATTCTATTTATTTTTACTTTATTTAAAATCACACTCTAAAAGTATAGATACCCAGCAAGCATGGGGCTCTGCACATACTTTGGAAGAATAAAACATCACCTTTTTGGGTGTTTAGAAGAATTTTTTAAAAAAACAACACTGCTTCTGTATACAGCAGGCAGACATCTTAACTATAATTAGATTTGGGGATGTTCTGGTGTAAACAGGAACAGGGGCTTAAAGGAACAGAGATATAGGCTGCTTGAGGCATTCCGCTTGACACGAGGGCAAAAATATCTAGGGTTGGGTGGCAAGAGTTGGACCTGCCTCAAATGTCTCCAGGTGCACCAGAGGCATGCCTGCTCTTCACCCAACCTTTGTGTGAAGGTCTATAGGGGGCTTGTAAAAACATTTGCCTGGAAATGCTTATAAGCTTCCTCACCATTGGGAACCTGCCTTGTCAGGGGCAATTGGAAGGCTTGTAGGCCTGTTCAAGCAAACATGCTTAAAGGCCCTCTTCAGACCTTTGGTTGGGCTGGGTATGTTTACAACAATGGGAGCAGGGCAGACAACACTGTTGCACTTGCAGATCCAAGATGAACGACTGAATAAAGCTATATTAGATACTTCTCAAGCAGTCGAATATTGAGGCAGCTATCGTCTGTCCTGCTCGTCGTGTGCTTTTTTTTAAGGGCACCTCTGAGTCTTTGACCTGCCCCTGAGATGAGATTGGGGCTAATTTTTGTACCTCCAACCCTCCCCAGTCAGCGCTGCACCCCTTCCAATCCTTTGCCCGTCTCAGGTCTCTCACATTTGCCTCAGAGGGAGCATTGCTCATGCTCACAAGAGAGCAGAGACACAGAGAGAAGTGGAAGCAGAAGACATCGTGGAGCCCAGTTACATGTCCCCATTCAAGGAAGACAAAACACATCCCAGATTAAAACAATAACTTAGATTCGCAGAGCACCCTGAATGTTCAAAGCGCTCCACGTAGAATATCTCATTAAAATCCCTATAAGGAAGCTCGGTATTATTATCTTCATACTGCGGTTGGATAGGCGGCTGAAGCTGAGAGAAATGTGCACCTTGTTTCAGGCCGAGAAGTCCGTTCACGGCAGAGGCGAGATTCAAGCCAAAGTCTTTGTGGTTCATAACTCAGGCAGCCATCCCATACCCTATACCTGGGGTCAGCTGCTATCCTATTATTACTTTAAAACCATTCAACTCAGCTAAAAAGAAAGGAAGATCATTAGATAGGGAAGGAATTAACACTGGTATTTTAAAGCTCTGGTGTTGTCGTGAGCCCACAATGCATGCTAAAAAAACCAAACAGGGTGAGGACCCCCCGTTTGTTCTCAGTTAATGCCAGACAGGCCCTTTAATGAAGATTTCCCACACTGCCTTTCTGCTGATCAGAGCGGACGCCAAGGAACTTGAACGCTGAAGGCTGTCTTACATTGAGGCAGGGCGCTGGTCCATTGGGCCCCAATAATGTCAACTTTGTCAGGCAGCAGTGTGCTCCAAGGCAGAGAGAGAGAGATCTTTCCTATTTTCAACCACCCGAGACTTATTTTAGCTGTAAACGTCAAGGATTGGAAACTGGGCCTTCTGGACACTGCGCTCTTGAGATATGACCCCCTCGCCAACTTCAGCAACACCCACAGTTCAGAGTCACCATGTCTTGGGGGTGATGCAGGATCCGACTCCCAGTCAGTCAAGACTCCACTGCCTACTATCAGGATAAAAACAAGACAAGGGGCATGTCAGGCAGTTCTCTTTCTTGCTCCCTCTTGTGCCTTTTTCTCACTGCAGAGAGTGGCAGCATGCAGACACACAGGCAACCCCCTTCATGATGCATGTTGAGTTTATGCTCTGCCACAACAGAGAAAATGGAGGGTGCTGGCACCATTACAGAGCTTGGTATTAGGTTATAGTCTCATTGTCTTTTTTTTTTCTCTCTCTCTTTTCCTCAGCTACCTAGCACAGCTTCCAAGAATTTGGTAAAAACCAATCAGAAACTAGAGGCCATTGAGAGAGAGAGACTCAAAATCCATAGGAAAACTCGAGAGCTGACCTGTCTGAAGGTGTTGACAATGGGACGACATTTTAAAACAAGTAAAAAGGAAAGAACACGGTATAGAATATAATCTGGGGAAGATACTAGAATCCTGGGTAGAAGTGGATGGAGAGTAGGAGCCAGGTGGGGGGAAAGGACATTTTAGAAGAATTGTATCCTATGTATTATTTCCCTGATGATAATCCTCCAATTCAAGTGTTGGACAAAAGTTCCTTTGGAAGACGGAGAAAGGTTTCCTATTTCACGATACCTGGCTTTACTTATTCTATAGTGGCTATAATTATGGAGATGAATTTCCAACGGAAAAGCATTTTTTTTAAAAAAAATCACACTGTGTGGGTTTTCTGGTGCCTGGTCAAATGTGAGTTCCGATTGAACCTTCTCCCACATTTGAGGCACATGAAAGGTTTCTCCCCGGTGTGAATCCGCTGGTGCTTCTTAAGGCATGAGCTCTGACTGAAACATTTCCCACATTCGGGGCACTTGTAGGGCTTCTCTCCCGTGTGAATCCTCTGGTGCTGGATCAAATCTGAGATCCCACGGTAGCTCTTCCCGCACTCGGAACACAGGTAAGGTTTTTCGCCAGTGTGGATTCTCTTATGCACGACGAGGTGGGAGCTCTGAGTAAAGCACTCCCCGCATTCTCGGCAAATGTAAGGTTTCTCCGCTGTGTGTATTCTTAGGTGTCTGATGAGATGGGAGCTGACCAGAAAGCCTTTCAAGCAGACAGGACAGCCAAAAGGCTTCTCTCCTGTGTGGATTCTCTGGTGAGCGACAAGATTGGAGCTCACGCTGAAGCTCTTCCCGCAGTCAGGGCACACATACGGCTTCTCTCCAGTGTGTATTCTCTGATGTGCAATAAGGGTTGAGCTTTGGGAGAAACTCTTCCCGCACTCGGGGCATGTGTAAGGTTTTTCTCCTGCATGGATCCGCTGATGCTTAACCAGGGCTGAGCTGTCGCTGAAGCGCTTCAAGCATTCCCGGCAGACGTAAGGTTTCTCCCCAGTGTGGGTTCTCCGGTGTCGGATAAGGGGAGAGCACCGTTTGAAGATTTTCCCGCAATCGGGGCACTTGTAGATTTTTCCTACTTTCGCGACTGTGGCTTTGCCAGGTTGTACGCCTGTTCCATCTACCGGCACAGCTTTGCTCCTTCTCTTCTTTGGGACATAGACTTTCTGGCTCTCAGGAACAGGCTCGCTATAGCATGGCTCATCATCCCCAGGAATCTGGAAAACATTTATTTCATATTCCTCAAGAAGGGCCTCACCCTCTTCTGTCTGCTCATAGCCTTCTGCCCGTTCATAACCTTCATAACATTCTGCCTGTTCATAACCTTCTGCCTGTTCATAAGCTTCATAACATTCTGCCTGCTCATAACTTTCTGCCTGTTCATAACCTTCATAACATTCTGCCTGCTCATAACCTTCTGGATCTTCATAACATTCTGCCTGCTCATAACCTTCTGGATCTTCATAATCTTCCGTCTCTCCATAAGCTTCTGTCTCTTCATAACCTTCCTCTGGAAGAATCTCCTCTTTTACGAAATAGTCATCGTCCACTTCCTCCACGTGGATCGCCTCTTTCACCCAATCCTCATCTTCCTCCTGGGACCCCTCCTCCTCTTTCACCCAGTTCTCTTCCTCCTGGGGGGTCTCCTCTTCTTTCACTAGATTACCATTCTCTGCTTTCTCCCGGGGGACAGTGACTTCTTTCACCAGCTTTCCTCCCTCCTCCTCTTCTTCCTGGGAGATCGCCTCCTTTTTCAGCTGCGGCTTCTCCTCGCTCATCATTGCTAAGCTGCCGGAACAAAGTGATATGCATCAGTTTGGAACATCAGCAAAAAGAAGGTATGAAATCAGCGGCACATCTGGAGGATAAGCAAGGCAGGTTGTTTGCAAGGAGGTGCTGCTCAGATTAAATAAGAGGAGTCAGTGAGAGACTACTCAGCGGTCTCACATGAGGCTTTATTTTACCAGCGAAGTGTACCTGAAAAGCTACCTCCTTCAATGTTAACAGCTGCAGTCTAGTCTGGGAGGTGGCCTTCTCTGTGGCAGCCCCTAAATTGAGGAACTCCCTTTGTAATCTGGAGCGTCTAACCTTTCTGGTGTACTGTATAGCTTTGGCTGTATGCTGAACATGCAGCTCTCTATCTCGGCTGCTGCCAGTTAAGGCATTTTGGTTTTGGGACTCACTTATTTTGCTGACTCTATGCTGCCCTGTTCTGGCTGGAACAATTTTACTTGTTTCTGTAATGACTGTGTACTATGCTCTTGTACAAAAAAGGGTAAAGGATACCTGGACGGTTAAGTTCAGTCAAAGGCAACTATGGGGTTGCGGCGCTCATCTCACTTTCAGGCCGAGGGAGCCGGCGTTTGTCCACAGACAGCTTTCCGGATCATGTAGCCAGCATGACTAAACCGCTTCTGGCGTAACGGGATACCGTGACGGAAGCCGGAGCACGTGGAAATGCCGTTTACCTTCCTGCCGCAGCGATAACTATTTATCTACTTGCACTGGCATGCTTTTGAACTAGGTTGGCAGGAGCTGGGACCGAACAACGGGAGCTCACCCTGTCACGCAGATTCAAACCACCCACTGTCTGATCGGCAAGCCCAAGAGGCTAAGTGGTTCAGACCACAGCACCCTTGTAACCCACATCAGGACTTTATGGTGATAGGTAAGAAATGTTAGCATAATAAACAAATCTCGACTTTCATTTAGCCCTCCCTGCAAAACAACCAATAATTATTAGCATTTGCATAGAACTTCAGAGGGTTCGTGGCCTTTCACATGCATTATCTCCATCATCTGTACAACAGCCCCATAAAGTAAGCCAGAAGTATTATTACCTTTACGCTGCAACTGGAGGAGAAGACAGATAACAATTTTCTGAAAGTCACTTAGTAAGCTTGTAACCGGGGGCTTTCTGAGTCACATCTTATACTCTTAACCACTTTGTAACACCACCCTTAGCAGCTGCAAAAAAAGAAAAGAAAAAATGTGTTAGAGAAACTAGAATGGAGACGATAACACTGTTTAATGGGCAATGGGTTGTGTTTCTTCTTTTCTTTTTTAAAAAAATATCAATTTAAAGTTTATTGGCATAAACACATACAGAATACAATGAAAATAATGGATATGGCAAATAAAAATAGATGTAAAAGTAGAAAAATAAAACACAGATACAGATGAGGGGTAAAACCCCCCCAATAAACTACTGAAAATGCAGTGCGACATTCAACTGTTGCATATGAGAAGAAAAAGGTGGGGTCAATTCAGTTCTTAATAAAACCTCTCTACAGAACAGGGAGTTTAGTGGGCTGTTCAGTTGAGTTTCTGGGCACTTCTCAGAAAGTAAGTTTAACCAGTGTTTCCTCCCTTATGTCAGTGAGGAAAAGGAAAGCAGAATCACCATCTATAAGAGAACTGTTAACACTCAGCAGAGATTTAATTCATTCTGCAGTCCTGCTGACTTTATGGCTACAGCATCCAGCCTAATTTCTGTATATTATAATTATTTCTATTGTATTTGTTGCATTTATAACCTGCCTTTAATCCATGGACCAAGGTGTCGTACATGGTTCTTCCCCCTCTCCCATGCTATCCTCAAAACAACCCTGTGAGCTAGGCTAGGCTAGGGTGGGAAGCAGCGATTAGCCCAAGGTCACACCACACACTTTGTGTAGCATCTTGCTGCTGAAAAGTTCTGGAGAACTCAGAGGTTTCCCACACTTTTGTGATACTTCAGTTGGTCATAATAAAGATGTTGCTCAACGGTAAATCTAGGGGTTACAGACGGCTGGAACTTCAGAGGTAAATTACACCCCCTGTTCTTTAGCTCCAGTTATTCAGCCCAGGGAAAAAGCTGAGGTGCATAGGTTTGAAGGGCAAATATTTATTTATTTCAGAAAATGTATATACCACTTGATTTTTTTGGGGGGGGGGAGAAAACCCATAACGTCACAACAGTTTACAGTAAAAAGAATTAAACAATGAAATTATCAATACGAAACAGTAAGGAACAATTATTTAAAATATTTTAGAAATCATGAAAATCAACAATAAGCCAAAAACCAGATTAAAGCACACATCAACGTTCTAAGTGTTGGGATAGGCTTCACTAAACAGAATTATTTTTAAGAGGTTGCCAAACAAAAGAGTACAGTGAAGGCACCTGCCTGATATCAATAGACAGGGAGTTCTGAAGTGTGGGTGCTGCCACACTACAAGATCAATTTCTTACAAATGCAGGACGAGTTTCTTGTGATGCCCGTACTCAATGTCACTTCTGCAGATCGAAGTGGAATGCCTGCAGGATCATGGGGGGAGGAAGAGTCAGAATCAGGGAGACACTGAATGCTAGTATCAGAGGGTGCAGGCAGCCATTTTGATGGAGTGGTCACCTAGAAGAACCAGGCCCCTCAGGACTCATTGGGAGCAGGGAACCTTGAAGACCAGGTGAAACCAGTTGTAGTTGGGTCTGGGTGATCAGCCTACATAAGCTCCCAGCTAAAGACTATTAGTAAAGGTAAAGGGACCCCTGACCATTAGGTCTAGTCACGGACAACTCATCTCGCTTTACTGGCCAAGGGCTTCCGGGTCATATGGCCAGCATGACTAAGCCGCTTCTGGCGAACCAGAGCAGCACACGGAAACGCCGTTTACCTTCCCGCCGGAGCAGTACCTATTTATCTACTTGCACTTTGATGTGCTTTCGAACTGCTAGGTTGGCAGGAGCAGGGACCGAGCAACGGGAGCTCACCCCGTCGTGGGGATTCGAACTGCCGACCTTCTGATCGGCAAGTCCTAGGCTCTGTGGTTTAACCCACAGCGCCACCTGCATCCCACAAGACGTACGCCACAGCCTTGTTCCTGCTTCCTACGCGGACTGACCTTATGCTCCTAAGCCTTTGCTTTTGCTAACTTGTCTGTCTTTGGACTTGCTCCGCTGTGTTCCACCTTGGCTTTGTTTCATGACCTTGCTATTGGATCATGTCCCATGTCGTGACCGTCTCATAGGGCCTGGCCTCGGCTTCTCTTCAGCAACCCTGCATCTCTGGACTGTCTCGATATCTGACTGCTCTCACAACCCTCTGGAGTTTGACCAGCCCAGGTCCTGGGGTACAGCTTCCCCATCTCACCTTTGGCTCGGCAACTAAACCAGGACCAAGCAAAGATGTGAGGTCACCCAGTATGATCTCCACCCACTCTGTGCTAGCCCATCACTCCAACCACTACACTTTGGGAGGCGAGGAACTGGTGGCCCTTCAGGGGTTGCGGGGCAACAGCTGACATCAGCCCTGGTCATGCTGCCTAGGGCCGATGTGGGTCCAATGACATCTAGTAAGGGGAGAGAGGATCTGTGTTGGATATCAAGGGGCGGTTGGTTTCTCACCTGTGCTGTCCTATGTCCAGTCCAAGGAATCTTCAGAATGGAGTTGATGCAATGGGCATTATGCAGATGTTTATTTCCTTGTGCTGAACAGAATGAAAGATTATGAGTTACGGGGGTGTGGAGTGCGTGTGTACAAACTCAGCAGTGCTTAGTTTATTTTGTTAATGGTCTTAATGTTGTTTTGCAGATTGTAAATGCTGCATCACTAATCCTATGACGTCTGCTTTGATTGTGATGTTTAGCTTCTTTGTCATTGTTGCTGAAATTTAGTTGTTGCTAAAATTGCAATTGTTTCACTGATGATTTGCTAATTATCCTATAGGATTAGTGATCTATTTGTGACGCTCTGTTATGTGCTATCGTGTTATTTATCATTTGTAAGCTGCTTTGGGAGTCATTTAAATGAAAAGAGGCCTAGAAATGTAATAAATCAAATCAAATCAAATCTGGAAGGCCACAGGTTCCCCTACGTCAAGATAGGCTATGCTTCTTTTCAAATGAAGAGAGTCACCTTCAGAAGGTCATCCATCCAAATATTGCATATTGGGCCTGCAAGGACCCTGACTAGTGGCGCTGGTGGCAGCTGTGTTGTCCGAGAACTGGAAATCTGCTAGTCCTAACAGTAGTATGATAAGAAACTGCTCAATATGTGTCCAGTGAAGAAGCTCTGTAGCAGGATTTTTCAGTGAGACCCTTCTTCAAATGTAATCTCAGCCATTATTATTATTATTATTATTATTATTATTATTCAGGGAACCAGGTAGACCGCCTTCATGGTAGTTGTGCCTGCCCTCGCATCAATGTCAAGGAGATAAATAGCTACATCATGTTTAGAAGACATCTGAACACAGCCCTGTATAGGAAAGTTTCTAACGTTTGATTTTTTTATTATGTTTTTATATCTTTTGGAAGCCACCTAGAGTTGCTGGTGCAGCAGATGGGCGGGGTACAGATAATAAAAGTATTATTAAATTATTATTATTCACTTGTTGGCACATTTTAATGAAAACTTACATGAAAACATTGGCATTAACTATTGAGTAAACTTGCTTAGAATAGTGGCTTTAGGCAAGACGCTACTTATCAGCCTCCCACCCAACGCAGTGAGGCTATACAACTACTAGACTACCTTCCAGAATTGCTGAGTATAATCATGCCTATGAAATGTTTTGAATGCTAAAAAAAAAGAGTGTGCTATATAAATGTGAAGCACTGTTATTTAGAAGGCTGGGAGAATAGATTATTCAGGAATATTGCCTTCATAAAAAGAACCCTACTCGATCAGACCCAAGGCTTATCTAGTCCGAAATTGCATTATGACGCCTCCTACTTGTGAGCTCCACCAACTGGTTTTCAGAGGCAATATATCAATAATGATGAATTGCCTAAATTGCCATACATTTGTCCGAACCTCTTTTAAAGGTGTCCAAACTGGGGGTGGGGTGGGGAGGTCATTTCTACCTCTTTTGGTAGTGAATCCAATCGCTCCTGTTGGTAGGACGGATTCAATTGTTCAGGAATGTCATGTCATTCAGCGCCACGATGACCTCAGCGTTAACATAAAAGACATCTCTTCCGAAATGACCATGTGTCAAAATCTCCTCCACAGTGGAAAAGTACCAATTAGGGAGGCCGCCCCCCTAATTTGCTATATTACCACCGGGGGGGGGGCATTCAAGCAAGTGTGTATTGGATCCAGAGATATGTATTGTATCTGGGCATAATAATAAGTGCCCAGAGGCACTTGGCTTACCAGGTAGATCCTAGATCCTCAGAAAAACTGCTTGACAGGCTCACTTTCCCCCTCTTTGAGATCCCTTCCCACTTACAGCAAGCAGAAATTCCAAACGCTTTTTACTTGGGAGTAGGATCTATTGGTTTTGATGGGCCTTGATTCCAAGTAAATGCCTTCAGAGAGGCAGTCCCCAAAGATCACTGGAGAGCGCTTAATCATTCCTACTGTGGCCACATTTTGTTTAAAAACCCCACAGTTGTTCTCTGCATAGGCTTAAAGGTCTCCTTCTCCATCTCCCCCCCGCCCCATTTTTAAGGGCTGAGCCTTGATCCAGAAAGCAAGTCCTTCAGCCTCGAAAATCAAAACCCACTCGGTTCGTCGGGGTCTGAAAAGAGATGCGGAGGAATCCAGCCCAATAATCCCCGATGCATATCAAGCCTGATCAGCCTGGCTGAACTCCAAAATTATCATTATTTTAAATCTCATCTATAGCCCCCCGTTCCTCCCCGCACGCGATTCCCCCCCCTCCTCCTCCGCAGCCTTACTGCGATCCCTGCATTGCAGAGGGGCTGGACTGGATGGCCTCTGGGGATCCCCCTCCCGAGATTCTCAATTACTGCCTGCAACCTCCGGTGGCTCAGGGGTTAATAATGGCTGCAGCGTGCGTCGCCCCCTCCCCACCCCTCGGACCCCCCCACCCGCCCACCCCCCAGAAAACACCACCACCCCCAGGCCCAGATCTCCAGGGACGCGCGGCTGCAGCAACTTCGGAAGGCTGAAGCCACCCGGCGAGCAAAAACGAATTACCTCCGCGGAGGAGAGGGAAAGATCCAGGGACGGAGCGCAGCCTCGGATCCTTTTGTTCTTGCTCCTTTCTCCCCCCCACCAACTTCCCACCCCGGATCTGCTGGCCACGCACACCCACCCGCCTCCTCCGGCTAAGCCAGCCCCTTCCTGTGCCGTCGCCTTTCCAGGCCGGCCTGCAACGCTCTCCCGGCCCAGGGCTGGATGCTCGGCATAGGCCGGCGGGGAGAAGATCTGGTCTGGATCCGGGCGGAGATGGCTACGGGCTGGGCAAGAGGGTCTTCTGGGTGGGGGGGACCCAAAGGCCACCTCCCCGCTAGATGCACCGCCAGCCAGTCGCCCAGGGTGGCTGGGCCAACCCTAATAATAATAATAAATCAGTGCTTTTTTCTTTAAAAATGTTTAGGGGTATCCTCAGTTTCTTACACATATTGAAATACTGCCCCTCAATGAAGCCAAACTTAGATTCACAAAATGTTTAGTGGTATGCATCCCCCCGCGTCCCCCCAGAAAAGGCACTGATGATGATGATGATTGGGATCTGGAAATAGATCCCCTTAAAAAGGGGGGGGAGAGGTGGAAACTGGGCAAATCCAGTCTGGTCTGCCTACTTGGATGTCCGGTTTTCAGTAAAAGTTTTTCATAATGCCATAAGATATAGAAAGCTATGTTTTCAAATGTTTTCAGATTTGAAAACGTGGGCACAATTAAGATACATAGGTTTTGATGGATGTAATAATGGGATACTGAATGGTTTAGTTTCTATAAAATGTGCAGGGATGGATGTTATGCGAAAGGAACCATGGGACGGGAAGAAGGGAAGTCATTGATATTTTAAGGTTGTTTAAATGAATATTCTAAAATGTGAAACAGAAAATTTACTAAAAATTATAGAAAAAGAAAAAAAACGAACGTAAATAAAAAACAAAAAGAAAGTAAGAAAGAAAAAAGGAGAGAGAGAGGAAGGAAAGAAAGAAAGAAGGAAGGAAGGAAAAGAGACAATAAAGAAAGGTAAAAGGGACTTCCGATTTTCCATCTGCTGCTTACATAAAAAAAGAAAAGAAAAAAATATACGGTATACTGAAAATGAATGTTATTATGGACTAAATGTCGTAAAATATTCAGTGAACCGCCCTGAGATATTACGATGAAGGGCAGTATATAAATTTAATTAATAATAATAATAATAATTTTGAAAAATAATCATGCCTGCTAGCCGCATTGTCTGTGCCCTGCCCTCCACAGTTAAGAGGCAGCAGTGCTTCTAAATACAAGTTGCTGGAAGCCACAGGAGGAGCAAGGGCTTTTATGCTCACATGCTGCTCCTTGGTTTCCCACAGGCAACAAACTGTCCCGCCACTTTGAGAACATAGGGGGTTGGGCTAGATGACCCTCGTGGTCCCTTCCAACTCTTATGATTCAGTGAGGGCGCTGGGCTGGATGGGCCATCAGTCTGACCCAACAGGCTCCTCTTCTTACATATGGAACTGGTTTTTTTGGTGTTTTTATTGTGTCTATATGGGTTGTTGTTTTTTACATGTGGAATTTTCTTTATTGTGAAATTGCTTGGAAATATTTTATGGGAAGCCATTCAGTTTTGTTTTTTTAAGTTCATGATGGACCCAGTTACATCAAATAAAGGCATTCCACCCCCCTTTCTTCAGTTTGCAAACTTTGTCCCTAAATCAAGACGTTATTTTACTGCCACGTGAATTTTGGTCTAATGGGCCAATGTGGCTGTTTATAATTTTTCTGAGGTAAGTTAATACCCATGTACGACTGCCAGCTGGTTGTGTACCATCTATACATGTCAACTGCACTTTCCCTACACTTAACTATGTAGAGGCGAAGTGGGTAATATCCTGGAAACTGCTGCTACTTAGGGGTCTTTAACTGACACATTATTTTTTACCTTTATTGTTACAACTGTTCTTTTATAGTACAGAGCAACAGGGGCAGACGGAATCGTGAGAGAAGGAATGACTGGCTTCGCGATTTTTTTACATAGCACACAGATATATTTGTGATACATTGCCACGTTGAATATTACGAAACCGTTACCGCGATGCGGACTTCAAACTGTTTGTTGACGACGTATAGATACATTTCCCAGCCCTAATGTGTGTGTATGTGCTATGCAAAAAACCACTTAACCTGAAATTGTTCTTAACCTGAAGCACCACTTTAGCTGGTCCGTACTTAACCTGAAATTGTTCTTAACCTGAAGCACCACTTTAGCTAATGGGGCCTCCCACTGCCGCCACGCCGCCGGAGCACGATTTCTGTTCTCATCCTGAAGCAAAGTTCTTAACCCGAGGTAATATTTCTGGGTTAGTGGCGTATGTAACCTGAAGTGTATGTAACCCGAGGTACCACTGTACTAAGTTTGAGTGCCTCACAATGACAATTGGAATCTGAGTTCTACTCCCATCCCCTGGCCTTATAAAACATGGTTTGAGCTCAGACTGAAACCTCTGAGCCTTCGGAGTCAAGTCTTTATAGGACTTCCCTCCTTTGTAAGTTTTCTATGTGCCGGTACAACGCCCATGATGCAGACCTCTTGCGGGTGTGCTATTTCAGAATGAATGCGGGGGAAATCACATGTCTGAATTGCCCTGCACATTTTTTTAAAAACCTGTGCACATTAATTCTCTAGCACATCAGGTAAGTGGATAGGGCAAAACCTCTCTCTCTGAAATACAAGCTGCCCACAAGTAAGCTGCTTTTTTAAAAAGTTGTGCACTCTGTCACATGAATTCCCCACTCTTCATCTGAAGTGGTACAATTGTGTAAGGCCATAAGGTAAAGGTAAAGGGACCCGTGACCATTAGGTCCAGTCATGACCAACTCTGGGGTTGCTGCGTTCATCTCGCTTTATTGACCGAGGGAGCCGGCATACAGCTTCCGGGTCATGTGGCCAGCATGACTAAGCCGCTTCTGGCGAACCAGAGCAGTGCACGGAAACGCCGTTTACCTTCCCGCTGGAGCGGTACTTATTTATCTATTTGCACTTTGACGTGCTTTTGAACTGCTAGGTTGGCAGGAGCAGGGACCGAGCAACGGGAGCTCACACTGTCGCGGGGATTCGAAACGCCAACCTTCTGAAGTGGTACAATTGTGTAAGGCCATACCTTGAGGTTATTTTCCTGCAGAAATGACCTAGGTTTTACTCTTTAAGAAAATGTGGGTCACTAACCAGAGGTTTTTCTACTGCCAGTGCTTACATATTTATTATGCTTTTTCTTCTGTGTGGATTCTCTGATGTTTAAGGAGACTGGTTGAATTACAGAAGCTCTTCCCACACTCTAAGCACTTGCATTTCCCCTCTCCCATATGGGTTTTCTCGTGGGCAGTAATGTTCGATCGCTGACTGAACCTTTTCCCGCAGTCTAGGCACTCGTACGGCTTCTCCCCTGTGTGTGTCCTCTCATGTATTATAAAGCTTTCCCTCCGATTGAAGCTTTTCCCACAGTCTGAACATTTGTATGGCTTTTCTCCTGTGTGGATCCTTGCATGCTCTTTCAGGAGGGAGCGGTAGTTGAAGCTTTTCCCACAGATGGAGCAGGCAAACGGCTTCTCTCCCGTGTGGGTTCTCTGGTGTTCAATAAGGTGGGATCTCCGGCTGAAGTGCTTCCCGCATTCTGAGCATGTGTGGGGCTTCTCGCCTGTGTGGATTCTCTGGTGTCTAGTAAGGTGCGATCTCCGACTGAAACTCTGCCCACACTCCAGGCAGTTATATGGTTTCTCTCCTGTGTGGACCCTCTCGTGGACCAAATGAGCAGAGGCATGGTTGAAGATTTTCCCACAATACGAGCATCTGTATGACTTCTTCCCTGCCTGGACATTCAAGTTTTTAAGAGGGTCGGTACTCTGGCTGCAGCTTTCCCCTGCGACTGTCTTTTTTCGAGGACTTGCCTCAAGCCTCTCGTGTAAAGTGCTCTCATTTAAACTTTTCGCCCCTTCAGAATGAAAGGCCTTTTCCGCTGCCTGTTCCAGGAGCCTTCTCTGGCGTTTCTCTGGAGCTTGCTGGCTTCCTGATGTCTCTTCAGTCTCTAGAAACTGGAAGACTTCCCTTCCAGTGACCAGCTGGTTTGCGGGCACCTCTCCCATCTCAGGAAATAGGAAGACGCTCCCTTTAGCCCTTTCCAGCGACATCCTGCGGTACTCCACTTGCCCCGGCCTCTCCAGCCGGAGATTCTCCTCCTCACTTTCACTCGCTTGGCCATTGCCTGCTGGAATAAAGAGACAACCACAGAGTGAATTTCTGGGGAGGCTGTGGCGATCACACAAGGCCCCCGGACGTTTGACGGTCTATTGATCCCTGTGCCACCACTGTGATTGCTTTCTTCACTGCCACCAACCCGTTTCTCCTCACGGGGACACACGGAGTCCAGACAGTTGTTAACATTAACAAATAATCAAGTTTATTTTATAGGCATGAACAAGCTTCTGGTTTCAGTTACTTTTTCTTGTCAGTTTCTTAATCTTTGTTCCTTAACTGTCCTATACGTTCCTAACAACTTCAAACTGATTATCCCAACTATCTACCTGACTCCACCTAACAATTCCTCTCACTCTCTCACAACACAGCTCGACCAACCCACAGACTTATATCCTCCCTCTTCCTTCTCCAACTCCCCACTCTCAACTAACTTCCACACAACTCAGACTCTAACTCCTCCTATCAGTTTCTCTCTTGGCCAATCACATCACACTCATTTAACCCTTTCCTTATGACCCACCTAGGAGGTAAACGCCACAGAGGGGTTGTAGTACTGTGGCACGGAAAAATTGTTTTGCAAGCAGAAGGCCCCACGTTTGATCCCAAATGATGCCAGATGAGATCTGTGGGAGCATAGCTGGGGGGCTGAGGGAAACTCATAGGTGAGCCCCTGCCGCTAGACTAGACAAAATTGGACTAGATTGGGATGGGGAAACTAAGCGTAGCCTTCCAGCCCCAGTGAGTTCTGCCTTACCTTCCCACTCTCCCGCCATCCTGAGCTTTGTAACATGATCCAGGCACGCCACAAAAACAACCCTTACCCAACAAGCTGGTTATCCTTTCGTCGTCCTGCATGGCCACCACGTACAGCTGCATCTTCAAGGGGTCTACCTTAGAGAAATTAACAGCCACTTTTTCAAAGGGCCCCGGCACCTGAATCAAAAGGAGGGACATCAGGTCATAGCAACGGGTTTGGAGAGGCAAATGCCCCAGCTCCAAATCAATTTCTGTTACCTTCCCCAACCCTCACCTGCCTGGTCCAGCTGACTGCCTCGTTGCGATCAGGAAAAAAGACTGGATTCCTACCCCAACCTATTTAGTTGTCCGGGAGAGGAGAGAAACATAACCCTCAAGTGGCCACTCATAAATTGAACCCTGCCATGCTGTCTGCCCTTCTACAGCTGCAGTCACTTCCATTAAGAAGAAGAAGAGGAGGAGTTTGGATTTGATATCCTGCTTTATCACTACCCAAAGGAGTCTCCAAGCGGCTCACATTCTCCTTTCCCTTCCTCCCCCACAACAAACACTCTGTGAGGTGAGTGAGGCTGAGAGACTTCAGAGAAGTGTGACTGGCCCAAGGTCACCCAGCAGCTGCATGTGGAGGAGCGGGGAAGCGAACCCGGTTCACCAGATTACGAGTCTACCGCTCTTAACCACTACACCACACATGGAGGAACCTACAGCACTCCTGATGTTGTTAATAGACTACAGCTCCCTTCATCCCTGACCTTTGGCTATGCCAGCTGCGGCTGATGGGAGTTGGAGTCCAGGAATATCTGGAGGCTCACAGGGTGTAGCCTCCCCTCCAGAACTCTCACCTGCTGATCCCACCTCTCGTGGTCTTGCAGCTTCCAACAGAAAATCTCTGCCAGGGTCACCGCCTGGGCACAGGTCTCCGGTCCCCGCTTCCTGACCCAGATCTGCATTTCCTGTGGCAATATGGCCAGGAACTGCTCCAAGACCAGCAGCTCCAGGATCTGCTCCTTCGTGCGTTTCTGGGGCTGCAGCCATCGGAAGCAAAGGTCTTGGAGTCGGCTGCAAACTTCTTGGGGTCCCTCGGCCTCCAGGTAGCAGAACTGCCTGAACCGCCGGCGCCATAACTCCAAACTGGTGGCGTCCTCGTCCACCACTTGCCCAATTGAGCCCAGGGTCTTATAGACTTGAGTGGCTTCTCCGCTGAGGTCTAGCAGATTCTGGGTCTTCCGCTCTTCTCGAGGCCACTGGATGGCATCGGCTATTCTCCTGAAGGAAGTCTGAAAAGATTTGGTGTGGTCCCATCGGGTAGGCACCAGCAGCTTCCTCCGGGACTTGGCTGTCTTCTGGAAATCCTGGGGCTGCTGGAGCTTTTTGTCAGTTGTCTGGCTGGCCTGGTGCAGACCTGCTTCATCAGGTACCTGCTGAGCCTCCTGCGCAGCCTCCTCACCTGGAGTCCTTTTAGTACCTAGTGGCGCGGCCTCATCCGGTATCTGCTTAGCATCTTGTGGACCTTCCTCAATTTGGACCTCCTCAGTGCTCCCAACCCGATAAACAGGAAAATGTTCTCCTCCTCTTCCTTCTTCTAATGTCTCCTCTGTTTGGGGTCCTGCTGGGTCCTGCTCTTCCATCGGGTTTCCCCTCCGCACTCCTGGAGCTGCAAACGAAACGTGCTTTTCAATAACTGCACATGGTGCACACCAGACCAAAATGGCCGCCAACCAGGATCTGGAGAGAAATGCGTGCTCTACTCCCAAGATGTCAGCAAAGCCGCTGCCAAAATGGCAAGACGAGTACAGTGGTACCTTGGGTTAAGCACTTAATTCGTTCCGGAGGTCCGTTCTTAACCTGAAACTGTTCTTAACCTGAAGCACCACTTTAGCTATTGGGGCCTCCTGCTGCTGCCACGTCGCGGGAGCATGATTTCTGTTCTCATCCTGAAGCAAAGTTCTTAACCCAAGGTAATATTTCTGGGTTAGCAGAGTCTGTAACCTGAAGCGTATGTAACCTGAGGTACCACTGTACTAGGGAAGGCGAGGTAACCTGACTGCACTCACATATAAAAGTACTGTGGATAGTTTTAGTCATCTCAAGAAGGACATAATGTAGGAATATAGGAAGTGCCCTATAATTAGTCAGACTGCGGGGCTATCTAGCTCAGTATTGTCTACACAAAAATGGTTAACTTGTGGCACTCCAAAAGTTGTTAGGCTTCAACTTGAACCCCACTTGAACACTGGCCCTGCTTGCTGGGGGTGATGGGAGTTGGAGTCCAATAAGGTCTGGAGGACCACAAGTTAGCTGTTCCTGTCTACACTGTCTGGCAACAGCCCTCCAATATCTTCTTCCTTGGAGGTTTTGAGGATAAGTTTGGAAAAGCATCAACGGCAGGACACTCTGAGCAGGAGGCTGGGCTAGGTAATCTGTTAGGCACCCTCCCGTTCCAATACGATTATCTGATGAGAAACGATAATAGAGAGCATGGCAAATGGGGATATTGGCTAAATAGAATGGCAGAGGTCGAGGAAAAAGGAACCAAAGGTATTGCATGGGGGAAACAACTGGTGTGATGGGCAGATGGTGGCATGAAAGGAATGAGATGAGCAGAGAGAAGAAAACAAGGTACGTATGGTATGAGTGCAAGATGCAGACAAGGGAAGCTCAAGAGTCCAGCATCCAAGTGCTCCAACAGGGCATCATCTGCCCTGAGCCTGAAAAGCCTATTTCATTCCAGGGTTTCTCTGAAACAGGGTTTGCCAAACTTCGGTTGCCAGCTGCTTTTGGACTACAGCTCCCATCATCCCTAGCTAGCAGGACCAGTGGTCAGGGATGATGGGAATTGTAGTCCAAATCCAACCTGAGACCCACGTTTGGGAAACCCCGATCTAAATCAAGGATGGGGGGATCTTTGGCCCTCCAAATGTGGTTGGACTCCAACTCCCATCAGCCTCAGCCAGCATGACCAATGGTCAGGGATGACAGAAGTTGTAGTCCCTACAACACCTAGATGGCCGCAGATTCCCCACCTGCTCATAGGTCTACGCTTCCATTCTAATTCAGGGTTTGGGTTTTCAGCATCGGATATGCCTTCCTCAATAAACAGACAAATAAACAAATAAATAAAACAACATTCTTCCTTTTAGGACTTGTAACAGGAACACACTGCCTCGAACCCAGATGTCAATGACATTTGGCTATATTACACTCTCACTTTGTTCCTAACACTGCCGCATGTTGAGCTTAACTGGACCCAGATAAAAATAGCTCTGCCACAGCTTTGAACTGCCAGTCAATAAGAGAAGCCTTCGCTAAGCGCTAAAAGGCACATATTGTGCATCTAAAGACCCAGAGTCAACCTCTCATTAAAAGGATCTTGAGCACCAGGGCTGGGAGCCTCCAAACGCTGCTGGCACTCAGAGGTTTTGCAGCATCGGGTCCCTGGGCTGATTCGGATCAGGACAGCTCCTTTACAGACTAAATTGGCTCAAAACCCTGCATTTCTACATCCTGCTTGTGGAGGAGCCTGTAGCTCCTCTGTGTGGCAGAGCACGCACTTTACACAGGGAAGATCAGAAAGATTCAGATCCTGGCATCTCCAGCTTGAAACACCTTAGGCAGCGGGTGATGGCTATGACCAGAGAGAGCTGCTAACTAGCCCAGTGTAGAAACCGCTAGCCGGGATGGTCCAGGCGCCTTCTTTGAATGACAGGGCGCTGTGGATCAGCTAACCTGAATGAGGGATACGCACCTGAGATTCATTTCCTCCCCTCTGTTTATTACCTTGTTCTGGCCCGGATCTGGAGAGGGGATCCGGACAAGGGACGATGTGGGGGATCAGCAACACAGGCTCTGATCTGGAGTGGGGCTTTGGGAAACCTTCCAGCGACCCTTTTGCAGTCTCTGGTCTCCTCCTTTTTCTTTGCCTCCAGGGCTTCCCCTTCTTGCATGAGCCGACAGACCCCCAAATCCACCGTTTTGCACCCTTTGCAATCCGCAGCGGTTGTATTTATTGTTTATTTGTATGTTATTCCCCCCCCAAAAAAGGTAATTTCTAGCCGGAAGAGAGGGTTGGGGAACGGGAAGGAAGTAGGACAGGAAGGTGGCCTTAGCTATTTCCTTCCTCCTTAATTTTTTGTTTTTTCCTGGAGCCTTCTAGGAATCTGATCGCTGGTGGTTTTAACCCATAGATCCTGCAGGATCGAGAGGCCAGGAGCGGGGCTCGTGTCTCAATTTTGCAGCCCGCCAGAGTTGGGACGTCCTGAGATGAGATGCTGCAGCCTCCAGGCCAGAGAGAGACGCGCTTAGGAGTGGCCCCTGCCTTGCTTTTGAGCGTCCAACCCCGTCATTGCATTGCATAGAAGGAAAATGCTGATTATATTATGGATGCTTTAGCTGAGATTTCTGCATTGCAGAGGGTTGGACTAGATGACCCTTGGACCCATTCCAACTCTACGATTCTGTGAGGATGACGATTGGATCTGCGCTGCTTTTATTAAATCCTCATGTTTGCAAACAGTTCACTCTAAATGCACCTCGCCTCTGGCTCTGGCCAGCACCAAAAATCACAGAACTTAGCATGTCCTGGAGTCGCAGTACAAATTTAAAAAAACAAAACGGATCTGATGTTTTGGGTTCTTGTAGCTTTTATAGTGTACAAACTATACTTTTATTCAAAGCACATTATCTTGTGGTAATGAGGCCCGTAACCTGTGTGAAAAGCAATATATTTTGTCTGCCTCAGACCTTCTGACATCCGTGTCATTCATCATCATCATCATCATTTTTAATTTGTATACTGCCTTTCTATCTTACAATACTCAAGGCGGTTTACGAGCTGAAGAAACAAAAAATGTACATCTTATAACAATCTAATGCAGTACAAAAATGTGATAATAAAACATAACTTTAAAATAGGCAACCTCCGTCAAAAAAGTAACATTCAACAATCATTAGAATAGTATAAAATAATAATATCAACATATAAAAGTTAAACAGAAATCCACTCAACAGTTACAATAATATCTAAACTATAATCAATAAAACAACGGCAAGCCACACTACATAAAACAATACAATACACATTGAGAAGCAGAAGGTAGAGCAAGGCAGGTGGAAGGAGGCCTTGCCTGATGGAGTCTCTCCCCTCACAGTTCTTCCTCCAGGCACAGCTTCCTTAGGAGGAGGAATGGATGGTCAGATTGTCTTATGGGGGGGGGCGAGTGGTAGGCAAATCAGGTTTTGATATTGTTGTGTTACTGCCATCTTTGGCAGTGTGCGTTGTAATACACTGTTCACCCCATCTAGATTCTGTGAATTCTACAGTCCCTATATGCTATTCATAATCAATTTGCATCTACTTCCGTAATTTATTCTGGGAGAGGCAAAGTGTCTTTCACAGGGCTTTGACAACTGGAAAGGAATCCCTGCTCTGGCCAACTTCCAGCTTCTAGGATCTTTGGAGAAAGGGTAGGATCCAGCAGCAAAACAATGGTTTGCATCCGGCTGTAGAAATCTTCTTCAGTCATTCCAAAATCACAGGATGAAAAAGGACAGTCGTGACCAGAGACTTCAGGGTGGTACATGGTCCTCGTGCCCCCCACATTTTAGTCTCACAATAGCCTTGCAAAGTAGATTAGGCTGAGAGATAGTGAGCAGCTCAGGGTCACTTCGTGACTTATGTGGGAAGGTGGGGATTTGAACCTTAATCTCCCTGGTCCTAGTCTGATACTCTTAACCATCACACCACCATAAATGTCCCCTGCCACTCAATACACTACAGTGGTACCTCAGGTTAAGTACTCAATTCGTTCCGGAGGTCCGTTCTTAACCTGAAACTGTTCTTAACCTGAAGCACCACTTTAGCTAATGGGGCCTCCTGCTGCTGCCGCGCCGCCAGAACACGATTTCTGTTCTCATCCTGAAGCAAAGTTCTTAACCTGAAGCACTATTTCTGGGTTAGCGGAGTCTGTAACCTGAAGCGTATGTAACCTGAAGTGTATGTAACCCGAGGTACCACTGTAGATTTCAATTAAAGATTCAAACCATAGATGTTTATGAAAGATAAGCACATTTGCATAAAGCTCATTGACGAAGCATGGAGGGCAAAACTCATAGTTGCCAACTCCTAGGGGCTAAGGTCCCTTCAGTATCCCATGGAATATTTGAGGGGACCGTCCGCCCCCCCAGTTGATGGGCATTGCCATTCAAATGGGGGGGTGTGTGTGTGCGTGCTGCATCATGTAATCGATTATGCAGGGTGGTGCTTACCTGCCCCCCCTATTTTATTTAAGTTGGTACCCCTGGCAGAACTGGACTTTCTTTAGGGTAGGACAACATACCAGATACGGTATGTTTGGAGTTCCTTGGTGTAAATTTATTCATGTTTCAGAGCAGTATTTGAAAGATCCTTGCTGTTTGGAAACTGTTGCATGGCAAAAAATCAGTTACAACGCGAAAGTACAGAATTACTAACAAAAGCATCCTTTTATTGTCATACGACAGGCACCAAAGTCAAGACTTTCCCCATTTACTCCCCCACCCGAAAATGTTTTCTGAGATCTTTGTCCTCTCTAGTTCCCGCAAACAGGTTGGAGGCATAAAATCAAGGAAGCCATTTTTTCTGAAGAGTCTTTATCTCTTCCAGTTACCAGACCAGCCAAGGGATGCTTCAGATCCAAAGAGCCCTGTCAGATGTTCAGGGTCAGCTGCGCATCCTAATTCCCTGAAATGACAACTGGGGATGGTCAAAGGTGCAACAGCACTTTCTGTCAGAAGCCTTAAAGATAACTTCTCCTTTGTGGGAATATGTAAGAGAGTCGCCAGTATCATGTACGATGTTTGAACATTTCCCCCACATGTCACCAGAGCAGAGAGAGGTCATTCTCAATAGTGGATTCTCTTCTCATTAGAAAGGCAAAATGATCTGGGAGGAAAGCCTTCCTTGAAGTCGCCAGGGGATCCAAGGATCCAGCCTGTCATGATTCCTTGATATATACTGAGCAAAACAGGTTGGCTGAGGCAGATCCCACACAAAAGGACTCTCTTCAGCTGGAGGTTCTGGTTGGTGATGAAATGCGAGTTTGCAGGTGTTTATTTACTCCACCTGAGCGCCTAATCGTATCTCAAACTCAGTGAGGAACAAGCGACTGGGCACAATTGAGAAGGCTTCATGGATTTCCACAGGACGTGTTCCAAAGTCAGGACAAGGCGAGAAAAGACTGTCAAGTTCCTCAAAGGCAGCCAGTCCCCCAGAGTGTGGGAATGTTCAGGGAGGCAGGAGAGGATATCTTGTTTAATTATATCCTTCCCAACTTGTGTTAACAAGTTCTATAATTTAGCAGAGTAACATTCCCTTTTTAAACTTGTACAGCGGATAACGTTTGCCAGGCTTGCATAAGCCTCTAAAATAAGTTTCCTGGTAATTTCCCCTTTATTCCCTCTTAAAAAGATTAGACACGACACAGTCTTGTATAAAAGTATAAAATAGTTTACTCACATTCTGTTCACAGATGGATCCCAGAAGGCAGACTTAAGTTACAAAATATATACACCTGGAATCTATCCCATAAGGAGATAGTTCCTTCGTCCTCTCTTGGCTGGAAGCCAAGAGAGCATCTCAGACTAAGAAGATGTTGCTGTTAGCTATTCCACTTGGCACCTTTAATTCTTTTATGATCTGTTGTCCGAGCATGAAAAGCTTGCGGCTCCTTTCTGTCTTTATGATATGATGTTGGCTGCTAGGCTGACGACTGTGATCGACGAACAGAAACAGACTTAGGAGTACTTTGCTTTCTTTTGGATCTGCAGTCCTTTGCAAAATGTCCTTGTTTATTGCAGAACCAACAACACTTGGCAGCTTTAAATGCAGTTGTATCACCACAAGTTTGCATATGGCATTCCTCATTATTTCTGGAAATAGGAGTGCTTATCATGCAAGCCTCCCTTCTGTCCAACTCGCCCATTAATCTTGCCGTTACCCCTTCCACAGTTAATTGTGCTGGTGGAACAGCAGATATCTGGCTAGCTACACCATCAAAGTCCTCATTAAGGGAACAAAGAATGGTAAATACATACTGAATATCAGGTATCTCCATGTCCCTTCGAATCAATTCTCCGCGTATCGCCTCCAGACGTCTCAAGTGTGCCACCAAATCACCACAAGGCTGCAACTTCGTCTGGTACAGCTGCTTTAAAAAAGTCAATGCAGACGCAGACTCTTTTCTAATATGTACTGCTGCAAGACTGTCCCACATTTATTTGGCAGTTTTCTTATTCCTCATGTAGGAACTTGCTGGTTGCTGACAGCCAAATTAATTATCGCCCTGGCTTTAAAACTAGGTCACGTTATTTGCTCTGGCCTTTAAAGAAATACACATCTTGTGGAACAATAATAAACCTTCAAATTTAAAGAGATCATTCAACAGTTGCTTCTTCGACGAATGCAGAGTCAGAGAGAGAGATGGCTGCCTCCCCTGTGCTATTTTTTTACCTGCAAAGGTGAGGTCACACCCACCTCTGGTCACATGTAGAGGAAGTTTGTCCCAGCCCAAGTGGAAACAGGAAGTTCCGACTGGCTGGTCCAGACACCCCCTCTTTATGTCCACTCTAGGAATGTTGTATTTGACTGCTCTGTGTTTCACATCCCACTCAGAGAGGCACCAGTCACTAGGTAGAGATGGGAAGTTCTATTTGATCTGAAGGATCCTTGTGGGGCCACCGAGGAGGCTCTCTCCATGGTGGAGCTTTCGATGCGTGATGACGTTGGAGCTCTGGCTGAACGTTTTCCCACAGTCAGGGCACATGTAGGGCTTTTCGCCCGTGTGGATTCTCCGGTGTTTAGTGAGGGACGAGTTGACGTTGAAGCTCTTCCCGCAGTCGGCGCAGACGTAAGGCTTCTCTCCCGTGTGGACTCTGAGGTGCGTCGTCAAGTGGGCCCGTTGGCTGTAGCTCCTCCCGCAGTCCGGGCATTGGTAGGGTTTCTCTCCCGTGTGGATTCTCTGGTGTCTGGCAAGGTTGGAGATGACAGTGAAGCTTTTCCCACAGTCCCCGCAGATGTAAGGGGTCTCCCCCGTGTGGGTGCGCTGGTGAGTGATAAGGTAGGAGCTGGTGGTGAAACTCTTCCCACAGTCGCCACACTTGAAGCATTTCTCTCGGCGGTACGGGCTCTGCTGGCGCCTGGCCAGGCGGGGCCTTTCAGGGAAAATTTTCCCCCAGTCGGCGCCGTCGTAGGGTTTCTCCACGGTGTGGATTCTCTGGTGAGCGATGAGCTTGGAGCTGATGGGGAAGCTTTTGCCGCACTCTGGGCAGACGTAGGGCTTCTCGCCCGTGTGGAGCCTCTGGTGCGTGATGAGGTTTGAGCTGCCGCTGAAGCGCTTCCCGCAGTAGCGGCACTCGTAAGGCTTCTCGCCCGTGTGGATTCTCCGGTGTTTGATAAGGTCGGAGCTGACGTTGAAGCTTTTCCCACACTCCAGGCACCGGTAAGGCCTCTCCCCGGTGTGGAGGCGCAGGTGAGCAACCAGGTGAGACCTCTGGCTGCAGCAGCGCCCGCAGTCGGGGCACTGGTACGGCTTCTCTCCCGTGTGGCTCCTCTGGTGGCGCAGAAGGTTTGACACCACGTTGAAGCTTTTCCCGCATTCGTTGCACGCGTATGGCTTCTCCCCGGTGTGGATGCGCCGGTGAGTGATGAGGGCCGAGCTGTGGCCAAATTCTTTCCCGCAGTCGGGACATTTGTAGGGCTTCCTCCCAACGTGGGTCCTCTGGTGGCGAATGAGGTTCGAGAGGAGGCCAAAGCCTCTCCCGCAGTCGGCACAGGGGTGGAGCTTCATGCTCCCGTGAAGTCTCTGGCGGCTAATGAGGTTGGGGGGCCGGGCCTTAAGGATCTTCCCACGCTCCTTGTGATGGTTGCTGAGCCAATGGTGGGTTGCGCAGTCCTGAGTGCCCCCAAGAACCTCCATATAGGGAGGAGGGCAAGCCCAGCTCTCTCTGAGGAAGCTTTCATCTCGCTTCTCGTGGGATTCCCACTTCTTAGTTTCTGAGGACCCCCTTCTTCCACATGCCGTGCGAGACCTCACAGTCTCTGGGTACTCTTCCTTGTTTTCACTCTCTGAAAAGAAACCCACATGAATGTGTCATTCACAGATTCCGGAGAATCCTCCGGAAAAAATAACCTCTCAAAGGACCTGTTGATGGCATTTTACCATTGTACGGTTGAGAGTGTATTAACTTATGGTCTCTGTGTGTGGTTTGGGAGCTGCACGGCCAGGGAAAAAACAATGCTGTCCAAGGTTGTAAAGACTGTGGAGAGAATAATTGGATGCACTCTCCCTACCTTGGATGAAATCTATGCTTCCAGGTGCCATAAGAAAGCTGCAGAGATAGTGCAGGATAGTGCGCATCCCGGAAATGATCTCTTTCAGCTTTTGCCTTCTGGAAAAAGGTACAAGGTTATAGCCGCCTAAGAAACAGTTTCTGTTCAAATGCGATTTTGGTTTTAAACGCAGTGTAAGGTAGTCTCTGAGGGACGCGGGTGGCGCTGTGGGTTAAACCACAGAGCCTAGGACTTTCCGATCAGAAGGTCGGTGGTTCGAATCCCCGCGACAGGGTGAGCTCCCATCGCTTGGTCCCTGCTCCTGCCAACCTAGCAGTTTGAAAGCACACCAAAGTGCAAGTAGATAAATAGGTACCGCTCCGGCGGGAAGGCAAACGGCGTTTCCGTGCGCTGCTCTGGTTTGCCAGAAGCGGCTTAGTCATGCTGGCCACATGATCCGGAAGCTGTACGCCGGCTCCCTCGGCCAATAAAGTGAGATGAGCGCCACAACCCCAGAGTCGGTCACGACTGGACCTAATGGTCAGGGGTCCCTTTACCTTTACCTATAAGGTAGTCTCTATGGGAGTATATTGTATTTAATTATGGGGTATCAGAGTTTTTAGGGGGTTAACCAGGCTGGGATAGCAGGCTTGTTGGTTTCTGAATGTCTGATGTAGATTTTCAATTTCGTTGTTCTGTATGGGACAATGACAATAAAGATTATCGTATTGTATCGTTTCGTATCGTATTGTATCGTATCGTAAAGCCCAAAATGGCTCCCGTTACCACAGCAGCCGGAATGGCATGGACTCCAAAGGCCTGATTCTAGAAGTCAGACATGGCAAACCCATGCCCCTCCAGATCTTGCTGGACTCTACAAATCCCGTCAGCCCCAGTGTGCATGTCTAATCATCAGGAATGATGGGAGTTGTAGTCCAACAGCATCTTGCACAGATGGTGCAGGTAACTTAGCGCTGCGTTAGATGCAAGGCCTTGTTTTGGATGCCTGCTACAAACTCTCTTGTTTTGGCAAGCCCACCCAAACATGCAGTTTTCACAGAATCACTTGATTTTTACTCCTATTTGGGTAGTTTTATTATGTGTGCTGTTATTTATCTTTTTAAAAATGAATATTTTATACTACTCTATTTGAACGGCATATAAATCTTGCAAAACAAAGCCCCAAAACCTCCAGGAAACCCATTGTTTGCTCCGTGAGCTCCTGACCTGGGCAAGGAGAGCTCACAAGGACTGCCTGAGATTCCCAGCTATCTTAATGAATATTAGGGAAAATGTTGGAATGAAACTATCTGGCTTTAGTAGAAATGATATAAGGAGTTATGTATAAATAAGTATTAAGTTTTAAGCTTTAAGGTATTTTATGGTAAGATAAGGTCAAAATAAATTAAGGCAAATTGAATAACAGAATATAGTGAAAGATGGAAAGGATTTGCTGAGTTAATTAATAGGTAGACTGTTAAGATAAATTACTCAACAAAAATTGAGAAAGATGGAAAGAATTTGCTGAAACAATTAATTAAACTAGAACACCAAAAGGGAGGTGTGAGGAGGTCAATGAAACAAGCAAATGAAAGATAAAGATATGGAATATGGGATCTGTGTGTTTTTTTGTGGTATTGTTGTATTGGTTTTTATGTACCTTTCCCCCCCTTTTTTATGTATTGTAGTGTGTGTTTTGTTGAATTTTTTTTCTTTTTTCTGTAATCTTTAAACTTTTAATAAATATTATTTAAAAAAAAGAAGAAGAGAGAGATTCCCAGCTATGGTCTCCATTTGAATCATCACTATCTCTTGGGCTCTTGGCTTCCTCTGAGTACTGGAGATAAAGCCCCCAGGCCGTTTCTTCTCCTTCTGGTTGGGCACCCCCAGCAGAACTTGGAGATCCTGTTTTTGATAGACAGAATCTCCCGTCAGGTAAATACCAGAATTCTTTTCTGAGAGGCTGCACGTGCATTCAACTAAGTCCTTGCATGTGCAGAACAACTTCCTCAAGTGCATCTCAACTCCAAACACCCGTGGACCATTCCCAAATCTGCTGTGGGAGGGATGGGGGAACTCCCATAGAAGATTTGGGAGCAAGTGGGTAGAAGAAATTTGGTCAGAGAAGTCGTTCTACACGCAGTTATTCAGTTGGATGCAACGATTTGTGCACAGGAATATATATACCTGACACCTTTTCTCTGCCAGAGCTCTAGTTAAATCCTTCCTGTTTGCCCAGGGATGGAGAACCCGTAGTCCTCCAGTTATGAGTGGACTCCAATTCCAATCAGCCCCAGTCAGAGTGAGTGGATGTCCACCTCCCATCTTCAACCACGAAACTCACAGATCTCTGGTAGCCTGCGAACCACAGTTTGAGAACCCCTGTCCTAAAGTAAAACTTTTTCTTCCAGTCATTGTGTGCATGTTTCAAAAGGCCAACACACAACAAAGGTTTGGCTCATAAAAAAAAACAAACGACAACAAAGCCAAACCCCAGAAGTTTAAAAATAGCAACTGAAAATTATATTACCTAGCGTGCATTTCTTTATCTCCAAGAAAGGATGTCCAATCTTTGGTGTCCCTTAGATTTGCATCTGACTGCCACATGGGACAAAGTGCAGGCAATCTGTCCAGAGCGCTTGAGCTACTTCAGAGGACCGTCATGTCCGGGAGAAACCGAGAACTAAAGAGTTTGAGGGAGGTCCTAGTGCAGCAAAGCCAAGGGTGATGCAGTGGCTCACAGAAAGACAGAAATAACTGGGGCTTTTTACCTGGGGATGCTTCTTCCCCTACTGCAGTATCATTCATGGGGGATGCTTGGTCAGAGTGAGACAGGTGCACTGTTTTCTCCCCTTCTTCATCAAATCCAAACTTTTCTTCTTCTTCCTCCTCCTCAGGTGTGCCCAGCTCCTAAAACAACAAGGAAGAAGAAGAGTTTGGATTTGATATCCCGTTTTATCACTACCCGAAGGAGTCTCAAAGCGGCTCACATTCTCCTTTCCCTTCCTCCCCCACAACAAACACTCTGTGAGGTGAGTGGGGCTGAGAGACTTCAGAGAAGTGTGACTGGCCCAAGGTCACCCAGCAGCTGCATGTGGAGGAGCGGAGACGCGAACCCGGTTCCCCAGATTACGACTCCGCCGCTCTTAACCACTACACCACACTGGCTCTCCTAAGCTCACTGTCTGCTGTATTAGCAACAATCGCACCAGGATGGCGGCAGGGCGTAGCCTTCCTGTGCCCAGGGGTCTGTGTGTTCCACACTAACAAAATCCTAAATTCCTGTGCCATGAAAAGATGATAGTAATATAAAATAACTATAATTATGAAATAAAATAAAATAAGAATAAGAATAATAGTAATAGTAATAGTAATAGTAATTTATTTATACCCCGTCCACCTGGCTGGGTTTCCCCAGCCACTCTGGGTGGCGTCCAACAGGTTAAAAACAGAATAAAACATCAAACATTAAAAACTTCCCAACACAGGGCTGCCTTCAGATGTCTTCTAGAAGTCAGATAGTTGTTTATTTCCTTGACATCTGATGGGAGGGCGTTCCACAGGGTGGGCACCACCACCGAGAAGGCCCTCTGCCTGGTTCCCTGTAACCTCACATCCCACAGTGAGGGAACTGCCAGAAGGTCCTCGGAGCTGGACCTCAGTGTCCAGGCTAAACGATGGGGATGGAGACGCTTCTTCAGGTATACTGGGGACGAGGCCATTTAGGGCAGGCATCCCCAAACTCGGCCCTCCAGTTGTTTTGGGACTACAATTCCCATCATCCCTGACCACTGGTCCTGTTAGCTAGGGATGATGGAGTTGTAGTCTCAAAACAGCTGGAGGGCAGAGTTTGGGGATGCCTGGTTTAGGGCTTTAAAGGTCAACACCAACACTTTGAATTGTGCTCGGAAATGTACTGGGAGCCAATGTAGTCTTTCAGGACTGGTGTTATATGGTCTTGGCGGCCACTCCCAGTCACCAGTCTAGCTGCTGCATTCTGGATTAGTTGTAGTTTCCAGGTCACCTTCAAAGGTAGCCCCACGTAGAGTGCATTGCATAGTCCAAGCGGGAGATAACCAGAGCATGCACCACTCTGGCAAGACAGTCTGGGGGCAGGTAGGGTCTCAGCCTGCGTACCAGATGGAGCTGATAAACAGCTGCCCTGGACACAGAATTGACCTGTGCCTCCATGGACAGCTGTGAGTCCAAAATGACTCCTGGGCTGTGCACCTGGTCCTTCAGGGGCACAGTTAGCCCATTCAGGACCAGGGAGTCCTCCATACCTGCCCACACCCTGTCCCCCCAAAACAGTGCTTCTGTCTTGTCAGGATTCAACCTCAATCTGTTAGCTGCCATCCATCCTCCAACCGCCTCCAGACACTTACACAGGACCTTTACTGCCTTCACTGGTTCTGATTTAAAAGAGATGTAGAGCTGGGTACCATCCGCATATGGCAACATGTCTAAGACCACAACCCTATACTTCAGAAGTGGGGAAACTCTGGTCCTCAATACGTTGTTGGACTCTCAACTGACCATGCCGGTTGGGGCTGATGGGATTTAAAGGGCCGAAGGCTTCCTACCCCCGGTCTACATATTTTCTGAATGAAGGAGAAGCACACAAAACTACTACTGCATTCAAACCAACCCAACTAGATTGTGCTCCAGAGGACTGATCTGTTCCCCTTCATGGTACTCAAATCCCAACTCTTGAGATGCACACCTTTCTTGTTCACAGGCACGATGGCTTAGAAACCTTCTTGAAATTGCCACTACTAAAATAAACCATGTGAAGATCTCCCCCCTACCTGAGCTGGTTCTTCTGTAGCCATTCCTTCTTTCAGCAGAATGCACCGGGGTGGGGGCAGAAGATGGCAGGCGGATACGTGGCAGGCTGTGATGTAAAAAACAAAAATATAGCAAAAGGGTTCATTTTTAAGAAGGGATCCAGTACACTCCATGCCACAAACTCTGTGCTTCTCTCAGTTTGATGGAAGGACCTGGCAGATGTTCCCAGGTTCAGTAATAATAATAATTTAATAATAATTTATTATTTATACCCCGCCCATCTGGCTGGGTTTCCCCAGCCACTCTAGGCGGCTTCCAGGTTAAAGTCCCTGGCATTTCCAGTTTGAAAAGGACCAGGAAGCAGGTGATGTGGGGGAGGCCTCTGCTGGAGACCTGCTGCCAGACAGAGTAGGCATCACTGCGCCAGCTGCTAGATGGACAAATATTTAGGCAACTTCCCAAGCTCCTTTTCAGCAAGATACCTGAGTGTTTTATAAAGGCCTGTTTCAGGGATGGGGAACCTTAGATCTTGAGGTGCAGTGGGGAATTCTGACCCCCCCCCCCCGCCCAAGACTCTCTGGAGGCTCTGCTTTGTAACCTCCATGAGAGTTTTTGCCTGGCTGGAGGGTGTGATCTTCAAATACAAATACAGTGGTACCTCGGGTTAAGTACTTAATTCGTTCCGGAGGTCCGTACTTAACTTGAAAAAGATCTTAACCTGAAGCACCACTTTAGCTAATGGGGCCTCCTGCTGCTACCGCGCCGCCAGAGCACGATTTCTGTTCTCATCCTGAAGCAAAGTTCTAAACCTGAAGCACTATTTCTGGATTAGCAGAGTCTGTAACCTGAAGCATATGTAACCTGAAGCGTATGTAACCCGAGGTACCACTGTATTTGCATTAGGCTGATTGTTAGGGTTAAGAAACTGCAGATTGAATAATAATAATAATAATTTTTTATTTATATCCCGCCCTCCCCAGCTGAAGCCGGGCTCAGAGCAGCTAACAACAAGAAAGGCAACACAGCATTCTAAAATCAATATTCTAAAATCAATTCAATATCAAATTAGTAGCAACCACTGGGCCAGAGTTCTAGGAGGATCACCAAAGGAGGGGGTCAGACTGTGCCTTGGCCAAAGGCATTGGGTCTCACTGGGGGAAATGTGGGGAACACCACGCAGGTGAACACAGCCTGGTCACACAATCCCAGCCTCGCCTACCTCACAAGGTTGGTTGTCGCGAGCATAAAGCAGGGTCGCCTTTACATAGGCCGCCTTCCGTCCCTTTTGAGGAACACGTGGGAAAGGACTACACAAGTGTGCAGAAAACAAAACAACTCTCTCGTATGGCTCTCAGATCATGACCCATTGTCAGCTGATCTGACATTCCCCAGCAACGTAGCGGGAGGAAAAGGGGACGGAGACCCCGTCCTGCCCCACGCCACAGTTACCTAGAGTGTCCGGCTGTTCCGGAGTTAATCGCTGGCTCCCCTCTTGGGGGGCTGAGTCCAGGGAGTAGGTGGGCACGCAGTCTCCACTTCGGTCGGGCGCGCAGGAGTGGGCGGAGACCCGAAAGGTTTCTCTCGCTCTGCAGGCGCCGATCAGCTACTGGGCGCGTCAGGCGAAGGGGGTTTTTCCTGGCCAATAATAAAGTCATAGAAAAAGTCGATTTCCGATCGCAGCGCCCCATGCGACCCCTCGCCGCCCTCCTTCCTCCCCAGCTACTTCCAGCCCCTTCCTGTGCCGGCAGAAAAGCAAACCCCGCTACAACAGTCGCTGCAGCGAGGAAAGAGAGAAAAAGTAGGCAGGCAGGAAGGGGGATCAAAACAAAACAGCAACCTCTGCGCGGGGTCTGGGGGAGCTGCAAGGCATGTTATATATATAAAAGAGATGTCAAATTACTATGCGGGTTTCTATACACGCAACTGCACGCGCGTGGGGAAAGAAGGCAGGGGTGCGAACTGAGCCGCGTGGGAGGGGGAAAGCGCCACAGCCGGGCGCTGCTCTTCTGCAAAGGGGGAGATTCCCCAAGAATGCAGCTAAGGCTTGTAGAGTAAGGTCGCTACAGCAGCAGGCAAGGCAAGGGTAAGGATACGTGACTTTGTAACGTGGGAATAAGCGCCGTAGTCCTTGGGTGAGATCTGATCACCCCTTGTCAGAACACAGGGGGGCTTCCGAAGCAAGCAAGCCAGCAACCCCAAATCACACCGCTGTTGCAATGTTCCTCAAATTACGCAGAGCCTGGGCATCTGTCAATGGGACTGGGAGAGTCAATAGCAGCTTCTTATTTTCCTAAAGTTGCTCCTCCGGCGGCCTTCCCCAATAATCACCATCCTTTAATATCTTTAAAATGTTTTACTACAAGCGTTCCTCTGAAGTTTTGTTTCAAGTGAAGGGTTTTGCTGTTGAGAACCACCGAGAAACACAATTAAAAAACAGGACTGTAACATGAAAGTGTGAAAAGCCTCTTATTTTAAAATCTTGAAAATATTCCTTCTCCCACCTTTATGAGTAAGACTACAGTATGGGCAAATTTCTCCCCAGAACTTGATACAAATTTCTTTTGTGTGCCTTCAGGGTGGAGCCAGGCTGGGGACAGTATTTGAATAATCAGTTTGTTGCTCCTATTCCAAGGCACTACAATCATAGAATCTTAGAGCTGGAAGGGATCCACGGGTCATCTAGTCCCAATGCAGGAATCTCAGCTACAGCATCCATGACAGGTGGCCATCCAACTTCTGCTTAAAATCACCTTGACTTCTATGAATCCTGATGTGGTTACAGATGGGGAACCTGTGGCCATTCTGCAAATTGCCCAGTGAATATTTAGCAAATTATGCTCAGAAGCCGCTCACAGGAGCAGTTTTAAAAAGTTATCAATACTTAAAGCACAAGAAAAGCAAGCACATTCCCTAAATACTGTATATTCCTTCCATTAGCACCTTAGAGACCAACTAAGTTTGTTATTGGTATGAGCTTTCGTGTCCATGCACACTTGGTATCTGAAGAAGTGTGCATGCAGACGAAAACTCATACCAATAACAAACTTAGCTGGTCTCTAAGGTGCTACTGGAAGGATTTTTTTTATTTTGTTTCAACTACGGCAGACCAACACGGCTACCTCCCTAAATATAGTATTTTATATCTGCATTAGCAAGCTAAACAAAGCACTCGTACTTAAAAATATATACAGTGGTACCTTGGGTTAGGGACGTGGGTGGCGCTGTGGGTAAAAGCCTCAGCACCTAGGGCTTGCCGATCGAAAGGTCGGCGGTTCGAATCCCCGCGGCGGGGTGCGCTCCTGTTGTTCGGTCCCAGCGCCTGCCAACCTAGCAGTTCGAAAGCACCCCCGGGTGCAAGTAGATAAATAGGGACCGCTTACTAGCGGGAAGGTAAACGGCGTCTCCGTGTGCGGCTCTGGCTCGCCAGAGCAGCGATGTCACGCTGGCCACGTGACCCGGAAGTGTCTCCGGACAGCGCTGGCCCCCGGCCTCTTGAGTGGGATGGGCGCACAACCCTAGAGTCGTCAAGACTGGCCTGTACGGGCAGGGGTACCTTTACCTTTTTACCTTGGGTTAAGAACTTAATTCTTTCCGGAGGTCCGTTCTTAACATGAAATTGTTCTTAACCTGAAGCACCACTTCAATTCAAACCTTTATTGCATTAGCGACAGCCATAGCAAAATAAGACAATACAAAAAAAAAAAAAAAAGACAAACTAGAGACAAGCAACCAAGCAAAAATTGAGGCGATTTGGCTGGCGTAGTGACATTTAATTTACCCGAAGACAATAATGCAAAGATATAGTAGCCAGCGCCAAAAACTAATATGCGGATATATATAAAGCACAAAATGGCCCCAGAACAGACTCGTCATATTGAGTTAAAAGTAATAAAAGAATTAAAACAGGTCCAGGTCTAGGGCACGCTACCCTGTCAGAGTAGCCCTGAGTTTCAGAGCCTGCACTATGAAGATTGCCACCCCACGTGAAATTTGGGGATTTGCGTCCACAAGAAGCGATTTCAAACAGTCTTCCTTAGATGTAATGGTGGACGGGATCAAAAGGAGGAGCTTAGATCTTATTGGCTCATAAATAGGGCAGTAGAAAAAGAAATGTATGAAGTCCTCTACTTCATTCATTGTGCATGGACATAGACGCTGGGTAATAGGGGTCTTAGAGTAAATCCCCTGCAGGAAGGCCGTGGGTATAGAATGGAAGCGGGCCATAGTAAACGCTCTTCTCAAATTGGGCTCCGTCAGGTCTATCAAGTAGTTGGCAAGTGATCTTACCACTTTCACTTTAGGGAGCCACATGGAGAGGCGAGCTGAGGTGGACTGTGCCCGGTCCATGGCCTCGTCTCTTGTAAGAATCCAGGCCCGGATTTTATGTTTGTCCCAAGAGGACAGCGAGTCAAGATCTGGGAGAGAGTAGCGGAAGCACCACTTTAGCTAATGGGGCCTCCTGCTGCCAGCGCATGATTTCTGTTCTCCTCCTGAAGCAAAGTTCTTAACCCGAGGTACTATTTCTGGGTTAGCAGAGTCTGTAACCTGAAGCGTCTGTAACCCGAGGTACCACTGTATCCCTAAATGTATGGAACCTTATGGCTGAGAAAGCTGTTGAAACCAGGTCTCCTATGCCCAAGTCAAACAATATCGCTGGCTTTACAGAGCCATGAGCTGTGGTGCTTGGAACACTCACCGCCAAACATCAGACATGTTCAGATAGTTGATCTTGGTGGTGGCCTGCCTAAGTAATACATTGGAATGTAGGTAGGAAACATTATTGGCTCCTCAACCAATTGTGTAACAGAAAAACCACATGCTTAGGTATGTATGACACATCTGTCTTTCTGAATCAGAGGCTGCCTACGAGGAGGGTGGGTAGTTTTTGGCCTCAGAGCTCCCCCTCAGGCTGAAAAAGGTTCCCCATCCCTGGGCTAGACTAGGTTTGCTCATTCCAATTTTTTGTAAGTTGCTCTTCATCTTTATCAGGGCAGATTTTTTTTGTTAAAAAAAGCACTTCTTCACACAGCGCATAGTTAAAACCATGGAACTGGTTCCTGCAGAAGGCAGTGGTGGCCACCAAGTTTTGCAAGAGGCTTGGGCAGATTTATGGAGAAGACTTATCAGTGGCCGGTAGCCATGATGTCCCTATGCACTGCTTCCACAGCTGGAGCCAGAAGCCACAGGAGGGAAGAGGAATCGCCCTCAGGTCCTGCTTGCAATTGATCAATTCGCTCAGTCGCTTTATGTAACCCAGGGCAACATCCTTACTACAGCAGAAACGGAGCGGTGACAATATTATAAAATCGGGAAGGGTAGCCACTTCCCCACCCCTTTCAAATTAAGTCCCTTCTCCAGTGGGTGGAAGATCATTCAGGGGCCAAGGATAGCTCAGTGGGTAGAGCATGAGACTCTTAATCTCAGGTCCTGGGTTCCCACGTTGGACGAAAACACAGGAGCCAACTCCTAGAGGCCCTTTTGGTTCCCCCCAATAAAATATTTGAGGGGGTCGCCCCCCTCCCCAGTTGATAGGCATTGCCGTTCAAATGGTGTTTGCGTGCCATGTCTTGTGATGCGGGATGGGGGCCTACCTGGGCCTCCCCAATCATTTATTCCAGTTGGCACCCCTGGGCGAAAGATTCCTGCATTGCATGGGGGGTTTTGGACCCTCGTGGTCCCTCTTTCCAACTCTGCAATTCTCCGATTTCCCTCCAGCGGTAAGGATTCCCCAGAACGCACCGAAACCGCTCGCCTTCTAGAACGCGCCCAACGATCTAGAACGCGCCCAACGATCTAGAACACCGACGGAGATTCTTTTCCCACTCTCCGCGGGAGGGGGACTTTTTTCCTTCGCGGGAAAACTCGCACGGGCAGGTCGAGAAGAAACATTTTAAGGTCACCGCGGAGGAAACTCCGATGAGAGCAGCAACAAGTCCAGAAGGCATAAATATAGATATATTCCAGATAGGATCGATCGATTTATTAATTAAAGAGAGCAAGCTCTTCTTCATCCACCCCATCTTTCATCCACACACCCCAAACACCCCCCACTCTCTGCAAGAGCCACTCGCGATCCCGATCTGGGGGTCCTCGCCCAGCAGAGGGCTCCCCTTCCTGCTGCCAGCCGTCCGAGCTGCGCCCTTCTCTGCCGCCGCCGCCGCTCGGCAGCCCCGCACCGAGAGAGGCGGAGTTTCCTGAGTCAGCCGCCGCTGCACATCCGGATTAAGCTGAAGCGGCGGCTGCTGCTTCTCCTCCTCCTTTACCCCCCCCACCCCACAACACGCAGCAGGGACGACCCCCCCCCCGCCCGATCTGCAAACTTGCCGGAGCCGCGCTGCAGGTGACCAAAGGCGAGGATCCCCGCGGAGAGGTGAGGGAGGGGCTGCGCGCGGGATCGAGGCCTGGAGGGATTGCCGACTAATTGGCCCTGATCCCTCCTCCACCCCCCGTTCTTTATTATTTTTTTGTTTCATGGTGGGGGGTGGGTGGAGGGAAGGGATGGCGAAGCAAAGCCCTTCTGCCGGTTGAGGGGTGGGGAGCCCTTTAAAGGGGAGGAGGGGGAGCGATTAAGCCTCGGCCCATTTTGCTGCAGGGGGTGGGTGGAACAAGGGCGAGCGCCAAATTGGCCGCCGGGGGGGGAGGGTGAGAAAAGGAGACTTGATTATTTTTTCCACCTCCTTAGAAGATCAATGGCCAAATCGAATTTGGCTCCTGCGTCCTCCTGCAGTGGAATCGGAGCAAGCCGTTTCCCATCTGTCCCTATAGATTTCGGGGGTTAAGGCCCGGATTTAGTTTTCTGGGTAGCCTCGTAAGCGTGTTGCAGCACGCACAAAAGTTTTAATTTGCAAGCAATCCGGGTTTTCTTTTTTCTTTTTCGTGGTAGCCGAGCGCGTTCTGTTCATCCGCACGCAGAGACCCTTTCTTGTGGGTTGTTTTAATATGGGGCCGGGGGGGGGGGGATAAAACAGCGTCCCTGCCCGCTTTTGTATCCGAAGTTACGCCCACCTTTGTCATGTTAAGTTTTCTTGCTTGGTATCTAGTCTTCGCAATGCTACTGCTTCCAGGAATTATTAGTAATTCTTACAAGATTTTTGAAAGAGATTTCTTACATGGCCTTAGGAATTAAGCTCTCTGGGGCCCTTGGGGTATGAGCACAGCAATTTGAAATTTCAGAAATTAACCAGTATCACATACTGCTGTATTTATGCTTATTGCAATATTATATTTGCACTTGTATGTGTTTTTTAAAAGTTGCTGAGAGTGATCCCTGAGATTCTGCAGGATAGCTCAGTTCCAACAATAAAATTCTTCTTATTCTATGTTCTGAAGTAGCCAAGTTTGCCTTCTGCTAAAGCGTTAACAGGAGAAATTGGCAAAGTATGAAAACATGCAAACTTTTTTTTTTTAATCCAATACAGTATTGGAAAAAGCCTTATTGGAAGATGAATTGGAAGAACAGAAATGGTCTTAGCATTGGGTAACATATGGAGGCAAATTTCCAGTTATACTAGTCCAGGATTTCCCAAATTTGGGTCTCCAGTTGTTGTTGGACTATAATTCCCATCATCCCTAACCACTGGTCCTGCTCTCTACGGATGATCGGAGTTGTAGTCCAACCGTTGGAGAGCCAGGTTTAGATGAGCAAGGGCACTAACCCCCTGGATGTTTTTGGGCTTCCAGCTCCTATCTGCCCTAGCCAACCTAGGCCAGGGTTGATGGGAGTTGTAGTTCAGCATATGGTGCACGACCAGTTAGCTACTCCTGCTCAACAGTTGTGTCAAAATCCACAAAAACGTTATGCTTCATTATGCCCTAAGCTTTCCTGGAGGAGAGCCTGTTTTATCAAATGATGCCTCCGATGTAGTGATTTCTGGTTCATAAAAGCTCATGCCTCGCGAAAGCAAACAAATTATGAACAAAGAACTTGCAGCACCTTGAACAATATTATTATAAATAAGGCTTGCACAGATTTCTCCGTTTTTCATCTGCTTTTGAGCCCTTGCAGTGTAGGACATAGCAGCGTTTGGACTTTATGCCTTGAGTTGCTCTAAATATCTCGAGCTGGACCTTCTGAAGGTAAACTGCATAAGGCAGCATTTGCCAACCTGGCGCCCTCCAGCTGTCTTAGACCACATGTCTCATCAGCTCCAGCCAACTGGGAGTTGTAGTTCAAAACTCCTGAAGGGAGCCAGTTTGGAGGCAGGGTGGAATCTCTTTAACACGAAGCATCACAGTTTCTGGCTGGTTCCCCACCTCCTTTTTTATTTGTGTTTTTTTTTAAATTAAAAAAAGCATTCCCTCCCAATCTTGGGAGAGCTAAACTGCAACTGGTCTCACACACCCTGTTTGTAGACTCTTTACCTGACTAACCAATAGCAGATTGCACAAGAAATTAGCAATCCAAATAAGTATTGCCGCTGTGCAAATAAACATGCTCCGGATTGGGTAATAGTTTGTGTGTGGCTCTCCAACCCTTTATCTGTTCTTATTTTTTCCTCTGCCTTTTGATATCCCACCCTTTTGTATATGTCAAATTAAAATTAGCAAGAGGTCAGCTTTCAAATCTGCCGGGAGAGTTGTTATACCCACAGGGAGTTAGAATCCGTCAGCGATATTCATCGGCGAGGTGCTGTTGATGATAAATATTCCTCGTTTCTTCCAAGGGGCTGAGGGGGGAGTTTATGGTCTCCTGCGAGGAGACTACCAACTCTGCGAGGTAGGCTAGCCAAAGAGAGTGAGCTCATACTTTGGGTTCCAAGCCGGGGTTCAAGCCTAAATCACACGCTCTCCAGTTGCTGTGACTGGTCTGGTGCACTGAATGCTAAGCTTGGGTGTGGGAGGTGTGGGTTCAAATCTCTGCTCAGCTGGGAAGCTCCCTGATTGGTTTGGGACGTAGCCAATCACAGCCTGCGTAAGCAGCGGAAGGGAATCTTCTAGACTGGCAGTAGGGAACCTGCGGTCTTCTATATCTATCGTTGGGACTCCCAGCAGCCCCTGTCAGTGTGGCCAAGGTCTAGGGATGATGGGAATTGTAGTCCACATCAGCACCTGACTCACCATAGATTCCCACACACCCCTGTATTAAGAGCATGCATAGGCAAACTCCGGCCCTCCAGTTGTTTTGAGACTACAATTCCCATCATCCCTGACCACTGGTCCTGTTAGCTAGGGATGATGGGAATTGTAGTTCCAAAACATCTGGAGGGCCGGAGTTTGTCTATGCCTGATTGAGAGGATCAAACCATCCGCTTCCGGGTCTGCAAAACAACAGGGTCCTGTCATGCAGCTAGAATATTCCAATATATGGCAGGTTTTTTGGGTGGTGGTCCTGAGGGGATGGAGAATGGCAAACTGCACTGACCTTGAACGGGAGAAGGTCCAGAATTTGTGACTCTGAAGGCCCCAATGTGCTTTAAAAATGAAATTTAAAAATTCACATTTCCTCTGAAGCTGGAAGGCGAAATAAGCAAGACTTGGGACGGCTTTTATTACTTGAAGATTGCTGCAGAAATTCCTATGCAAAAGCCACAGTGCAGAGAATGCGAGCAGATTAAAGGTTTAGCCAGACACTGTTTTTGGAAAGAAACTCGGTGGCCCCACCTTTGTGGAATTGGACAGGAATTTCTGAGACCTTTTCCGCTCCCTGTAGAACCACAATCTCCAGGATTTCTTGTTGGGAGTGGGGGCATGGCTGTTGAATTAGTATAAGCCCAGTAGTGTAAACATCCTTAAAGAGCAGTGAAGCCTGTTCTGTATTGAAATCTGGCCGCCATGGAAACCAGGAACAGTCCAATGAGATGGATGTCTGCAAAAGGGCTGAAGCTTTGCAAGCGCTTCAACAATGGGGCATGGGCAGTGGGCGGCATTTTAAATGTAGTAGAAATTTTCTCTGGGTATTAAGTGGGGCAGCTTGGTGTTTCCACCTCCTTTCCTGCCCCAACACGCCTCCCCTATCAGACGCTGCTATGTTGCAGTTGCACCGTCCTGAGTTGCCAGGCAATGCAGCATTCAGTTACTTAAGGGTTTTTGTTTCTTAAAAAATAAATAAACCATCAAATGTTTTGTACGCTGCACGGTGGAGCTGAGTTCCAAAAGCCTCCCAAGAAAACAAGCCATTATATTTAAAAACAAAACAAAAACAGCATCTCCTAATACGAGAGAAAGATGCACTTGTGGAAACACAGTAAAGGAATGTGAATAGCAAAAACACAAATCCAAGTTGGTCACATTGGGATGTGTGTCGGGAATGCCAGTGGAAAGAACGTCCAGCGAACCACCCCAAATGCTTCCTTGGAGGGTGAGAGAAAGGAGGAGGTGCTAAAAACAGGCTCTCAGCTTAGGGGGCCAGCAGCCTTTTTTCTCACCCACTGCAGCCAGCTAAGCACCAGGCAAAATGCACACCACCCCATATTTAACAACAAGAGTCTGGAGGGGGAAAGCTTTCCAACCTGGCATACATCACCCACCTCCCTCCTGTCTCCTGTCTGGGGTTATTGGGCAAGATCCACAGGAACAGGACTCTCTCACCCTGGAGAATGAAACTACAGTGGTACCTCGGGTTACATACGCTTCAGGTTACATACGCTTCAGGTTACAGACTTCGCTAACCCAGAAATATTACCTCAGGTTAAGAACTTTGCTTCAGGATGAGAACAGAAATTGTGCTCGGGGGGCGTGACGGCAGCAGGGAGCCCCATTAGCTAAAGTGGTGCTTCAGACTAAGAACAGTTTCAGGTTAAGAACAGACCTCCGGAACGAATTAAGTACTTAACCCGAGGTACCACTATACCCCCTTCTCCCTCTGTTGGTGCCCCCCCCAACAGTATTTCGCTTCAGGCCGAGGGAGCCGACGTCTGTCCACAGTTTCGAACACAGCACCCATGCCCCCACCGTCCTTAGAAAACCACTTAATCCTGATTTGATTTGGAGGTGTTCGGTGTGAAGAAACAATTGCAAAACCCCCCCCCCCCAATCTGAATGTTAAATCAGAATCTGTCAAGGTGTATCTTCCTGGCATAAGTTGGGTACAGTGGCTGGTGGAGGTTTCCTTCCCTTTGGACGTTTAGGGAAGTTTGAAAATATCAAAGCCCCTATAAATTGCAACGTGAGACGGCCTTTTCTGCAGTGGCACCCTCAGCTGTGAAATTGCCTTTCAGAAGGAAAGGCAGCTAGAGCCACATCCCTCAACGCTGTATAGGCAGGCGGTGAAAACAGCCTTCTTCAGCATGGCTTTTCGATGGTTTGCTTTGCTCCTTTGAAGCCTCGAGGCTTTGATTTTTGTTAAAAGTGTGCGTTTTCCAGTTTAGTTTTTGCTACTTTATGCAAAGCTCATTGAGGTTGGAAACTGCTATAAGAAAGCTTAATAAATAAATTGGGTTGTAGCCCATGCTAGCCCTACTCAGAGTAGATCCACTGAACCATCAACTTGCATTAATTAATTCCAATGGGTCTACTCTGAGTAGGACTCAGTTGGATCCCACTTGTGTGGAGGTTGCGGGGGGTGGGAGAGATCCCACGGGCCTATGCTCTGTTAGAGACTGGGGGTTTTTTTGGCTTCCACTCTTGGAATTCTGGCTGTGGGTGAGTTTGTAGAGCATATTTATACAGTTCATAGAATTGTAGAGTTGGAAGGGACCCCGAGGGTCATCTAGTCCAACCCCCTGCAATGCAGGAATCTCAGCGAAAGCATCAATGGCAGATGTGCATGTGTGTTTATTTTTGTAAAGGTCCTACTTCCAGACCTTGCAATTAAGGTGTGCCGGAGTACCCATTTGCCAAATTCCAGCTTTTCCATTTGTTGTAAAAACACCTTAATTTGGTCCTTTCCTGGGCCTCTCAGAATAACAGTGCTATGTACGCATATAACACTTCTTATCATGCCTGTGAAAGAAGGCAGGGAGTATATTTAAAACCCAGCACACCTGCAGAGATTGCAACACTGTGTACTGAATCCGGTGGAAAGGCCTTTAACTAGGCTGTCTCCTCTTGTCCATTAACCTGCTGTTGGCTGGTGATTTTCTGAAACAATCAGACACCTGTGGTTCTCTGAATGGATGCCTTTGGACTCCCAAGTCCCACCAGCCCCCGGCCAGCACGGCCAACAGTCTGAGATGATGGGAGATGTTGTTCAATGGTCTCCAGAGGGTCGCAGCTAAGCCACCCCTAAGTAGTAACGGTAAAGGTAAAGGGACCCTTGACTATTAGGTCCAGTCGTGGCCGACTCTGGGGTTGCGGCGCTCATCTCGCCGTTTACCTTCCCACCGGAGCCGTACCTATTTATCTACTTGCACTTCGTGCTTTTGAACTGCTAGGTGGTCAGGAGCAGGGACCGCGCAACGGGCGCTCACCCTGTTGCGGGGATTCGAACTGCTGACCTTCTGATCGACAAGTCCTAGGCTCTGTGGTTTAACCCACAGCGCCACCCACATCCCCCCCCTAAGTAGTACATTCCAATAAAGAGGCTGAATGGGTTTCATTTGTTGTTGGTAGGTGCTGTTGGATTCCTGAGAACTCATTCTGCCATGGAGCCATGGGTGTACCTGGACCCGCGACAGAGGGCACTATATCGAGATGTCATGCAGGAGAGCTACGAGACGCTGATGTCTCTTGGTAAGAATCCCATTTACCTTCTGCTTTGTATCGGTTCTCCTCTTCCATTTGTACTTGGTTTTTCTCCTCTTTTTGTGTGTGACCTCTCTTTGCCTCCCCTGAACAGTAGCTATCACTGATAACATTTTCAGGGAAGTGGTGTTCTTTGTTCTGAAAAAAAGGTGAGGGGGGAAGCAGTGTGAATTTCCCAGAAAGGGAGAAAAAAACCCACGAGAGACCCTCAGACTCCTTATTCTTAGATGAGAATGGCCTGAGAGATTCGGAGACTCATAGCAGAGGCAAGATCTCATATGTGCTGTCAGCTGCCCAGAGTGGCTGGGGAAACCCAGCCAGATGGGTGGGGTGTAAATAAAAATATTATTATTATTATTAGGAAGCAGAAATGTACCAGGTTACAGTTTATAGTCACAGTTGCACGCGTTTTAAATTCCCAGGGAGCAAATGAAGAACTTGGCTGGGAAAAAGACACACAGCTTTCCCACCTCAAGGAGCAAATGGGGTACAAGCACAACATTTCAGATAGTGAGGTTCCGACAACAGTTTTCTAGGCACCCAGCTCACCATTTGACAGGAGCTCCTCTCGTCTTGCCTAGGGAACCTCTTGGTTTTGCATTACGGTGGTACCTCGGGTTACAGACGCTTCAGGTTACAGATTCTGCTAACCCAGAAATAATACCTCGGGTTAAGAACTTTGCTTCAGGATGAGAACAGGAATGGCGCGGCGGCAGCAGGAGGCCCCATTAGCTAAAGTGGTACCTCAGGTTAAGAACAGTTTCAGGTTAAGAACGGACCTCCAGAATGAATTAAGTTCTTAACCCAAGGTACCACTGTACGTGCAACATTCCTCCCTAGGGAATAACATTCCAAATAGGCAGGTCCGAAACCTGTCAAACAGGCCGCATAAGCCCAGACGTGTGTGCTTAGTCCCTGCACAACAACTCTCGCTTGCTTTGACGCAACGTGCTGGACGTGAGGTGTATGAGGGCTTCAGTCAGACCTCTCCCCTGGCTGTTCTGCCCGACTTGAACAGGGAGTTCGGAACCCCCCCCCCTGCCTAAGGATGGGGAGCCTGTTCTGACTCCCCAGATGTTGCTGGAGGCTGCATCTTTCTGTCATCCCTGACCACAAGCCGTGCTGGAGCGGATGGGAGCCCAGGAAACTTCTATCTCTGCTGTGGTGCTTCCAAACCACTCTCACCCCCCGCATGTTTTAAGTATTGCTGCCACGGGTAGCAGAGCGAGGCCCCTGCCCATGAAAATGGCCGGTGGGAAAGCTACTGTGTGCCAGGGGGGGGAGCCCAGTTCTCCCCCTCATGCAGTTCTTTCGCTTAATTCCCAGAGTTAATTTTGTTGTTGTTTAGTCGAGTCCAACTCTTCGTGACCCCATGGACCAGAGCACGCCAGGCACTCCTGTCTTCCACTGCCTCCCGCAGTTTGGTCAAACTCATGCTGGTAGCTTCAAGAACACTGTCCAACCAACTTGTCCTCTGTCGTCCCCTTCTCCTTGTGCCCTCCATCTTTCTCAACATCAGGGTATTTTCCAGGGTGTCTTCTCTTCTCATGAGGTGGCCAAAGTATTGGAGCCTCAGCTTCACAATCTGTCCTTCCAGTGAGCACTCAGGACTGATTTCCTTAAGAATGGATTCGTTTGATCTTCTTGCAGTCCATGGGACTCCTGAGTGAAAAATGACCTCCGTAAAGTCTCTGGTTACGTTCCAAACTGAAGGACCAGGCTTCTAACAGCTGCATCTTCTGGGTTTCAGTGCCAGCAACAAGTTGTTTCATGAGCTTTAGCTGAGATTCCTGCATTGCACGGGGTTGGACTAGATGACTCTTAGGGGGCCCCCTTCCAGCTCTACAGTTCTATAAGCCTAACTTGTCAGGACTCAGGAGCTGAGCCAGTGCCTGCCAGGACAGTGTCAATACAGGGGAAGGATACCTTTCTTGGTAACGTGGAAGCACAGAAGGGTGGACCTTGGCTCCCCGCCCCCCGAGGCTGGCTTCCATACCTCACCTGTGTAACAAACGTAAATCTGCCCTTATTCCCTTATGGGGGACACAAGAGCCCTTGTAGAGTCCTTTGCAGGTTCTCCATCAGTAGGAGAGAATAACAGAGGCCAACCAGAGAATACTGAGTAGCAAAGCAGCTATTAAGCCTGTTCTTTACTGAACTGTTGCAACAGGGTGCCCCCCTCACACGCAGGAGGAGTAGGAGGACCCCAAACAAAGGTGTGCCCACCCTTATATAGACATTTTAAATTGCCCGCCTTGGAGTCCAAGACTACCCTCCAGATACATCATACCTACATTACAGAAAGGGTGGCCTACAACAGAAATCTGAGTGCTTTGTTTACCTCCACAGATGGAGAACCTGCAAAGGACTCTATAAGGGCTCTTGTGTCCCCCATAAGGGAATAAAGGCAGATTTACGTTTATTACACCTGTTCCAGAACACCCAAGACAACCTGTGTCAGGTTTGCAATCCCATACAACACTCATGGAAGATGCTCCATGGATGGTGTGGAAGTATGGATAGGGGTGGGGTGTAGAGTCGTTCAGCGCCTCGGCTTTTATCCCCCTTCTGGGCCTCCTTGTGCAGAAACAAGTTCCGCTTTTGTGGAGCTCACTTTTTGCAAGGACCAATTGCAGCTGCAGGCAGAGCAAGAAGCTGCTGTGAGATCCATAGGACTTTTTTAAGATGGGTGTTGTCTTGTGTGAAATGTACAGTGCTCCAGTTCTAATGTTTGAGAAGACAGAATCCTAGGTAGGAAAAGGCCTGCTCATTAAACTTGGAAAACCTGGCTACACATTCTGTATCATGCATATGTTTAGGAAACAGGTTTCCAGAATGTAATATAATATACAGTGGTACCTCAGGTTAAGAACTTAATTCGTTCTGGAGGTCCGTTCTTAACCTGAAACCGTTCTTAACCTAAAGCACCACTTTAGCTAATGGGGCCTCCCGCTGCCACTGTGCCACCGCTGCACGATTTCTGTTCTCATCCTGAAGCAAAGTTCTTAACTCGAGGTACCACTGTAATATCTAATCTAATCTAATCTAATCTAATCTAATCTAATCTAATCTAATCTAATCTAATCTAATCTAAATTATTATTAGCACCCTACCCATCTGACTGGTTTGCCCCAGCCACTCTGGGCGGCTTCCAACACATATAAAAGCGTCATCAAACATTAAGCATTAAAAACTTACCGTATTTTTCGCTCTATAACACGCTCCCAACCATAACACGCACATAGTTTTTAGAGGAGGAAAACAAGAAAAAAATATTCTAAACAAAACAGTGGATGTATGATTTTTGTGGTTCATGCTGTGGCCACAGACATGTGATCTGACGGTGAGTTTGGGGTGGCCCAATGCAAAAATCCTGAGGATCCATGTGGATCCGTGCTTTGTAACCACGTTTTTGCACCACTGCGGCCCCAGGCAACAGTGGGTGCATGATTTTTTTGTTGCAAGCTGTAGCCATGGACATGCTATGTGATCTGATGGTGAATTTGGGGTGAACCAGTGCAAAAATCCTGAGGATCCATGTGGATCCGTGCTTTGTAACCACGTGAATGAAGGAACTGTCAGTAATGTATGGTATGTCCAATACAGTGATGAAGGAAGAGGGGGGGGGAGCTCACACTTGTCCTAGGCAAAGCAGCCAACTCCTATAGGCCTAGGTGCCTTCACCCCCTCCATTAAATATTTGAGGGAGTCATCCTCCCCCATGCTGATGGGCATTGCCATTCATATAAGGTACCAGTGTGCATGCACTTTGTCTTGAGATCATTGCAGACTGTGAGATGGGGCTTACCTGTACCTGCCCCCCCAATATTTTATTGAAATTGGAAGAGGGAGGGAGGGAGGGAGGGAGGGAGGGAGGGAAGAGAGATGGAGAGCTCACATTTGTCCTAGGCAAAGCAGCCAACTCCTATGGGCCTAGGTGCCTTCACCCCCCCATTAAATATTTGAGGGAGTCATCCCCCACCCCCCATTGTGGTATGTGAGTGGGGCTTACCTGGCTGTCCCCCCAATATTTTTTGAAGTTGGAAGAGGGAGGGAGGGAGGGAAGGAAGAGAGAGGGGGAGCTCACATTTGTGCAGCTGCCTTGCCTCGAACCGGAGCAAAAAGAGGAGGAGGAGATTCAGGGACACGAGCCTTGTAAGCCGCTTTGTTTGAATTTACCGGTGAGGTGCTGGGGGAGGGATGGAAGGGGATGCCCTCTTTGTCCCTCCTTCCAGCTCATTGTAAAGAAAGCAGAGTAAGAGCCACTTACATGTGTGTAAGGGAGAGCCATAGAGCAGGCAGACACTGAGAAAGAGAGGCTGTCTCCCTTCTCCCACCTTGGCTTTTACAGGCTGCAGGCAGCTCTTGCCGGCTTCCAAGCTGCCTCCCTTCTCCCACCTCCCCAAAAAGCCATAGAGCAGGCAGACAGGAGGGAGAGAGGCTGTCTCCCTTCTCCCACCTTGGCTTTTACACGCTGCAGGCAGCTCTTGCTGGCTTCCAAGCTGCCTCCCTTCTCCCACCTCCCCAAAAAGCCATAGAGCAAACAGACAGGAGGGAGAGAGGCTGTCTCCCGACACTCAGCTGTTGCCAGCTTCTCAGCGAGCCAAGCGGAGGAAGAGAGGCTGCCGAACAGCCAGCAAGAGCGGCTCCTCCTGCCTGCATTCGCTCCATAACACGCACACACATTTCCCTTTACCTTTTAGGGGGGAAAAACTGAGTGTTATGGTGCGAAAAGTACGGTAACTCCACTATCTAAGCCAGCCTTTCTCAAGCTCGGGTCCCCAGATGTTTTTTTGAACTACAACTCCCATCATCCCTGACCGCTGGCCATGTTGGCTGGGAATGATGGGAGTTGTGGTCCAGCAACATTCAGGAATTCAAGGTTGAGAAAGACTGATCTAAATGGTTATAACCCAATAAAAATCGGAGAGGCCTCTCTTTCTGTTCAGCATTAAACAAAGCACTTTTTACTCACTTGGCATAACACAGAACCTCTTCACTGGGCGTGTAAACTTGGGGAAAAATACCCTATACTTTCTGCAATCCTTTAAGGAAGCAGCTTTCTCTGGCCATCAAGGCTTCCATAGCACCTGGAACCAATTTGTCTGCTGCTTCCACAACAGTGCTGAAAAATCAAGCTCAGGTTCTTCCTTGAGCTCCTGTTACTATTCTTGCCACTTGACGATCCATCTAGCTTTCTTTTCTAATAAGATACTGGCCATTTAACGCCTTTGTTTCCCAGCTCTTTCCCCCATTTTCTGCCTGTGGATCACCTGCATCCCTGCTGTTATCCACAGAGATCTGGAGACAGTTTGCATTTCCTTTACCTTGGGGGCATGGGGTCTTGCAGGGCTAAGAGAAAGGAGCCTGGGTTTGTTGTGTTAAAGAGTCCTTTAAGCACCTTGGCTTAAATGTGCCCCAGGAGATGCTCTTTAAAGACCCCACCCACAAAGAGAGTGAGTGCCCTTTCCAGCCAATAAATTGCCCTTCTCCCTCCCTCAGCTGCCTCCCTGAGAGGAGAGAGGCAGGCTGCTTCAATGGAAGCAAGGAACACAGGGACTGAGATTCCGGTTTTCTTCTTCCCTGTTCTTCCTGGTGAGTATTTATTTTTTGGAATTGGGTATCGTTTTTGCCAGGTGCGTTCTTTAGCAGGCTCCTGTTTTGCCGTCGTCTCCTATTTCCTATGCCCACCCTCCTCACTCTTGCTCCTTTCCCCATGCTGCCAGAGTCCCAATTTCCTACAGCCTCGCATGTTTCATCTTCATAAGAAGCTAAGATGAGCTGTGCTGGATTCCATCTTGTCCAGCATCCTGTTCTAACATGGGCCAACCAGATGCTTCCTTTTCTTTTAGTCCCTGGGGATAGATACCATTTTGGGCCACTTTTGCACTGCACTTTTGGGAGCTGCAGTTTGCAAAGGGTGCTGGGAGTTGATAAAAAAGACCCCTATTCCCCTCCCAGAGTGGTTTAGCAGGAAACCCATCCTCCCAGGGAACTCTGGGAATTATCGTTCTGTGAAGAGAATAGTGCCCCCCCCCCAACAACTCTCGGCACCCTTAGCAAACTACAGTTCCTGGAATCATTGGGGTGAGGGGAGCCACACCTGTTTAAAGCGGTATCATAGTGCTTTAAATATATGGAGCGATTGTGGCTTTAATTACCCTCCCAGGGACGTTTGTGCTATCTCAGAAGGCCTTCTTGGGAGTGGCGCCCACCTTGTGGAACGCCCTCCCACCAGATGTCAAAGAGAACAACAACTACCAAACTTTGAGAAGACATCTGAAGGCATCCCTGTTTAGGGAAGCTTTTAATGTTTGATGGATTACTTAATTTTAATATTTGGTTGGAAACCGCCCAGAGTGGCTGGGGAAGCCCAGCCAGATGGGCGGGGTATAAATAATAAATTATTATAAATTATTATTATTATCTCTTTCACCCCATTTCTTCCTACACCCTAAAGTTCCTTTCTTGGTCACCCTGACGCTACTCAGTCCCATTCATTTTTGCTTTTCGTGTGCTGCAAGATTCCTGTCTCTTCCAATCCCCTGCCCTTATTTTTGTCCAGAGTTCCAGAACTCCTCTATGCCAGTCTTTGCATCCCAGACATTTTGTGTGTGGAGTTTGTGTGTCTGTTCATTGATGTAGATCAACTCCCACTACGCCTGGCCTGAGCCAGGTTTGCTGGGACTGATGGGAGTTGTAGTTGAGCAACCTCTGGCGGGCCAACGGTTCCCCCACAACTGATAGTGATGGTTGATGGTGACGATTCTGTTTTTAATGCAGCGGTACTGGGAAAGACGTTCTGCATATATTTTGCAAACTGCTCTCAGGTTTTTTTTTTACCATCAGACCTGAAATGAGATAAATAAAATTACTATTATATGGCACAACTATAGCACTTCCTATGTTGGAGAGCTCTGGACTTAACCACCTTTTCTGTTTTCTTATCACATATGCCCATTTCTTCCTGTTGTTATTAAAGGGCCTGTAATGCTGCACAAAAGGGACGCGGGTGGCACTGTGGGTTAAACCACAGAGCCTAGGACTTGCCGATCAGAAGGTCAGTGGTTCGAATCTCCACGATGGGGTGAGCTCCCGTTGCTCGGTCCCTGCTCCTGCCAACCTAGCAGTTCGAAAGCACGTCAAAGTGCAAGTAGATAAATAGGTACCGCTCCGGCAGGAAGGTAAACAGCGTTTCCATGCACTGCTCTGGTTCTCCAGAAGCAGCTTAGTCATGCTGGCCACGTGACCCGGAAGCTGTCTGCGAACAAGCGCTGGCTCCCTTGGCCAATAAAGCGAGATGAGCGCCGCAACCCCAGAGTCGGTCACGACTGGACCTAATGGTCAGGGGTCCCTTTACCTTTAATGCTGTACAAAAATAAAAAAAAATACTTTGCCTGCAGCCTTTTAAAATAGACACTTGGGAGAAAAATTAATTAAAGTGGAAGTAACCCTTTTTTACACGCCCCCTAGTCACCCTGACTTTTTAGTGTTAAGCTTGAGTTTGTATCCTGTTTTTATTTCTTACATTTATATATCACTGTCTCCACCAAGGAGCTTAGAAGTGGCCTATGTTATTCTCTTTCTTCGTGTTTTCTCCTCACAACAACCCTGTGAGGTAGGTTAGGGAGGGAGAGAGAGATTGTCCAAAGGTTATGCCAGTCAGCTACATGGCTGAATGGGGATTTGAACCCTGTTCTCTCAAGTCCTAGTCCACGACACCTAACAACCTGCACTCCCCCCCCCCAAGCGGCTTACAAAAAAAGTCAAGATGCTATTAATACAGCCTTTCTAAACTTTGGGTCCCTGGACATTGTTGGACTACAGCTCCCATCATTCCCAGCCAGCATGGCCATTGGTCAGGGATGATGGGAGTTGTAGTTCAAAAACATCAGGGGATCCAAGGTTGTGAAAGGTAAGATAATGCAAAGGCTAAAGACATCTCCCCCCCCTGCTGTTTTTTAAAATTGTAGCAGTCAGAATTTCATGTGTTTACCTGTAAAATTGGGTAGCAATAAAGGGAACTAATTGCCCATGTAAACTGCTAATGGGTTAGAGTTGATTGATGCTTTACAACTAAGGTGTGACTTGGCTGATTTTACAGTTGCTATGTTAATGCTTGTACTGCATTCCTTTGTAGCAACTTCTGGATAGCTTATTCTCTAAATCTCAGGGTTCAAGGCTCACATTGGACAAAAGATTCCTGCATTTCAGGGGGCCAGAATAGATGACCCTCGGGATCCCTTCCAACTATACAGTTCTTAAAAAAATAATTATGCTTTTCAAGTTTATACTTTTCACTAATTTTACAATCATATTAACATTTCAGAGCTTGACTTCCTTCTCCCTCTTTCTGCGGTTCCTTAAATTTATTTTTAATATCTTCTGCCTACCTATCCAAGCTAACTTAATTTGCTCATTTATGTGGGATGTAATCCTCAAGATTCCCACAATTTATTCATCTACTTTAAAAACATACTCCTATTATAAAACAGCAAAAATCCTGCCAATCATTTTATCTGTTTACAAATTATCTGTAAATATTCAATAAACCATTTCCATTTATATATATATATATATATATATATATATATATATATATATATATATAAAAAAGCTATCTTGATTTCTTATTCTTCCAGTATCCAACTGTACAGTTCTACGGAGGGGGTGTTGCTACATTTCATGTGCAATCTATAGGTGTTACTGCTATATAAATTCACACATTTTGGCCTTCCTAAGGTGGTTGCCTTGTTTTCCAGCTGCAGACAAGTTGCTGAACAGCAACAACAATGAAGAGGAGGAAGAGGAGGAGGACGATGAAGAGGAGGAGGACGAAGGGCCCGAGGAGCTGCGGCCAGGCACGTCTCAAAGCACCCCCAGGCGAGTCAAGCCCGTGGTGCGCCGCGCACCACCCAAGCAGCCGCCACCGCCACCTCCCCCCAAGATCATCCCAGTGGTGAAGAAGGACAAAGCGACTCAACGAGGGCATGCGCTGAAGAAGAGCCTGGAGAGCCGCTGCTCGGACTGCACGAGGAGCCTGCATGCGCCGCCCCGGGGCCGCCAGCGGAGCGAGGCCAACGCGGCGCGGGAGAAGCCCTTCCAGTGCTCGGACTGCGGCAAGAGCTTCATCTGGAGCTCCCACCTGGAGCGCCACCGCCGAATGCACACGGGCGAGAAGCCCTTCAAGTGCCTCAACTGCGGCGAGGCCTACAGCCAGAACTTCCACCTGCTGCAGCACCGCTGCTCGCAGCTGATCGAGAAGCCCTTCAAGTGCCCCGAGTGCGGGAAGCGCTTTGCCCAGAGCTCGGCCCTGGAGAACCACCGCAAGGGCCACACGGCCGAGAAGCCCCACAAGTGCGCCGACTGCGGCAAGTGCTTCATCTGGGCCTCCCACCTGGAGCGGCACCGGCGGGTCCACACGGGCGAGCGGCCCTTCAAGTGCCCCGAGTGCGGGGAGACCTACAGCCAGAGCGCCCACCTGGCCAAGCACCGGCGCAACCACATGGGCGAGCGGCCCTACAACTGCCCGGCCTGCTGGCGCAGCTACGCGCTCATCTCGGAGCTGGAGGAGCACAAGAAGACCCACCTGGGCTGCGAGGACTGCGGCAAGGTGTACCGCAGCCGCCAGACGCTGATGCGCCACCAGAGGGGCCACCACCGCGAGCGCACGCACCTGTGCGAGGAGTGCGGCAAGGGCTTCGTGTGGGCCTCCCACCTGGAGCGCCACCGCCGCGTCCACACAGGCGAGCGGCCCTTCCCCTGCCCCACCTGCGGGGAGAAGTTCGCCCAGAAGGTCCACCTGCTTCAGCACAACAAGACCCACTCGCACGCGCGGCCCTACAAGTGCGGCGACTGCGACAAGCGCTTCGGCGACAGCTCGGCCTTCCTGGCGCACCAGCGGGGCCACGCCATGGAGAAGAACCACAAGTGCCAGTACTGCGGGAAGAGCTTCGCCTGGAGCTCTCACCTGGAGCGGCACCAGCGCATCCACACGGGCGAGAAGCCCTACAAGTGCCCCGACTGCCCGGAGCACTTCAGCCAGACCTTGCAGCTCTTCAAGCACCAGCGCAGCCACCTGGGCAAGAGGCCCTACAAGTGCAGCGAGTGCGGGAGGAGCTTCGGCACCACCCTGGAGGTCATCATTCACCAGCGGACCCACTTCGGGACCAAGCCCTACCGCTGCTCCAACTGTGGGAAGGGGTTCACGCGGCGAGCCAACCTGCTGAAGCACCAGCGGAGCCACGCGAAGGAGAGCCCCTAAAATAAAAAATAAAAAATGGAAGAGGGGGCGCGAGAGAAGCGGGGAAGGGGGCGGGGAGAGACGGGAGACGCGCACCCTCTCCCTCGCGTTACCAAACGAGTCTAGAATCCACACAAGGAAGAGGAATCCTTTTTGTACATTCTGCTTAACAGGGGAAGCGACGGCGCAGCTCTCGCGGTGACCCCGGCGGATCTGCACGTGGTTGAGGAATTATTTCTGGGGTTGGGGTGGGTTGGGGGGAAAGATAGCAATGGAAAAGAAACACGCGACTGCAGCATATAAGCAAAGAGATTGTAGACACACACACCTCGATAGCGGGAGGGGGGGGAAAGAGGTTCTTGGAAAAGAAGGCCTATTGAGGTGGAAACCTAGTAACCATGTCCACTGGGGAGTTTTCATCCTGATTTAGAATCCGTATGGGTGTCTCGCTCACCTTTTTTGTTTTGACACTGTGTACGTATAAATATAACCCATGTTTTGGGAAACGAAAAGCTTTACTTGACTCTTCCTCGCCCTGTATTGTCCCCGACTCCCTTCTCCCCGCCCCTCCAGCCCTGCTAGAAGAGCGCTGATGGATCAGGTCGGAGGCTCATAGAGGATCGTGCGTCCTAGCGGCCGTTCGGATGCCTCTGGAAAGCCAGCAAGCAGGACCCGGGTGCAGCAATCACTTGTGACTCCCAGCAACTAGAGAGGGGTTTTGTGTTTTTGTTTGCCTCTGACAGTTGAGGGGGGGAACATTTCTCTCATGGCTAGTAGCTGCTGCTAGCCTTCTCTTCCATGAATTTGTCTAATCCTCTCTTATAGCTGCCTCCCCCGTGGGTAACTTTGAACTCTGGATAACAAAGCTTTAACATGCTGAGGACTGACCTCCAGACCTTAGATGCCTAACTGAGAAGGACTCAGACTTCACTAGATGCTAGGGAATCCACCTGGGTAGCGGGGAGGGCCATGAAACTTTGGTAAGCCTCTTGAATGTGGAGGAAAAGCTTTATTGACTTATTCAACACAAATAATCTAAACATTTTTGGGGGGGTAGGGGGAGCATGAACTATGCCTTGAGCAGCGCACCCACCTGAGTAGCCGGTGCATTGGAACCTAAATGTCTGAGGGTCAGATTGCAGCATTTAGCTAGAGAAGCTCAAATTGGTTTTCCTTGGATCTCGGGATCTCTCCTGCTCAGTTTCTGCTTTCGGAAGCTGCTGACAGCACCCTCCAGACCCAGGAATCCCTGGAGGGTTTCGTTTCCTGAGGACCAAAGGAAAAGCAGAGAGGATGGAGACCCCATTAGATACTGGGAGCTGTGCTTATGAGCCGCTATTCAGCTAGATGGTCGTCCTCTTTGAGCTCTTGTCTCTTGGGGTTCTTAATAGTTTGGCCACAACTGTGAAGCACATGTGCGAAATCTGCTTACTGAGGTATTGGTGAGAAAGCCCATCTCTTCAGTTTAGGGAAGAGGATACAACATAAGTGTGCAACTTACTGAGGGGAAGAAAACAGACACTCAAGGATGGTTCAGCTTTGGGCCTGGAAGCATCCTGGGGTAGTGTATTGTTGATGGATAAGATTCAGAATAGGAGTTCAAAGGCTCATGGTCTCTTTATTTTTATTTTTTTGAAGGGGCAGAGGGTAGCTGGCTGTAGGCATCAGCCTATCTTATAACATAAAATCCAGATTTCTAGGAGGGCGGATCTTGGGTCCAGAAAGCCCAACAAATAGGCATCTTGGAGTTTTCCTATCCTGGCTTGGCAGTAGGATTGATGAAAACACACACACACACACACACACACACACACACACACACACACACAGAGTGATAAAGAAGTTGAGCCTTTGGGTGGTGCGATGGATGCACGAGAAACTAAAGAAGCAGAATTTATAATCTGGAAAAGAGGCAGAGGAGGAATGTGGAGCTGTCAATGGGAGAAAAGGAAAATGTTACTTTGCCATGCAAGGTTAACGCCTCAGAACTTACTACCGTAAGACATCATGGCTCCACCTGCACCTTACATTTAAAGCAGCCTTTCTTTTTTTTAGTGTTCATATTTTCCTGAAAATGTTTCAATTATAAAGAAAGTGATGCAAAGGAAAAATAATAATTAAGACACTGCTTTAAGCAGTTGTGGCTTCCCCTCAAAGAATCCTTGGGGTTGGTAGTTTGTTCAGGGTGCTGTGGGTTGTGAGGAAGACTCGCCTATTCCCCTCACAGAACTACAATTCCCTAGAGGGGTTTAGCGATCTAACCCTCTTCCCGGGGAACTCCGGGAATTGTAGCTCTCTGAGGAGAGAGGGCTTTCCTAACAACTTCCAGTGCCCTTAACAAACTACCATTCCCATGAATCTTTTTGTGGGAGGGCATGACTGTTGAAAGTGGTATGATGCGACCTTAAACATACGTAGTGCAGATGAGGCCCTAGGCAGGAGTTGGGGAGAACTGAGAGCGAAAAGGCCTTGCCTCTCTGCTGTGGCATGGGCATCTTGCTGGCGAGGACAAGCGAGCTGTTACTACTGACTGAGAACAACGCATCTTGGCTCCAGGGAGGGGCGACTGTAGATTTTGGCCACCTGCCATGGGTACTTTGCTTGAGCTTCCTGTGCTCCAGTGGGTTGAGCTAGATGACCCTCAGCGGTCTTTTCCGGCTCTACAGTTCTTTGGCAACCTCTCCTGCCACCTACCTCGGAATCTCGCTCGGGAGGACTGACTGAAAAAGAGCCCCGTTTCCTGCACCCAATCCTGCCTCGGCCCCGTTGTGACGGAGAGGCCTGCGAAGGAACGGAAAGCCTTGGCCTTTGCGCTGCAACAAGAGACACACCCCAAAGAGGCATGGCATCACAACGCCCTCTTAACCGTGCAAATGGGTGGACGGATGAGGCCTGGACTCTGGATTTCCCTCTGTTTCTGCCTCCGGCTTAACCTCTCCCTTGTCTTACGGGCGTGTACTCCCCCCCCCCCATTGCTCTGCCCCTTCTTCCAAGCTTTATTTACTTTATTGCATTTGGGGCGGGGGGCAAGGGGAGTCTTGTTTGCCTCAATGTACTTCTGTTTATTTTTCTCCCCCCCCTTTTTTTGTTCTCATCCAAAGCAAGCGTCTCTTTTATGTTTTAGGGTCCTGTCCCCTCGACTGACTTATTAAAAGGGGGAGTTTCTAAGCTCTGACTTCTTTGTTGTTGGTTAGGAGTAATAAAGATTGAAAACGTAGCTCACGCAAGACTGGCGTGTCTGGTGTTTTGTTGCAGCCCTGTTGGTTTACAGAAGGCGGCGTCGGCACTCTTCCTTTTGCTGAGCTCAGGGCGTTGGTGCAAGTGCTAGGCCCGGGATCCACTAGTAGGCACAACGGGTGGTGCTGTGGTCTAAACCACTTGCCGATTGGAAGGTTGGCGGTTTGAATCCCCGCAACGGGGTGAGCTCCCGTGGCTCTGTCCCAGCTCCTGCCAACCTAGCAGTTCTAAAGCACACCAGTGCAAGTAGATAAATAGGTACTGTTGCAGCGGGATGGTAAATGGTGTTTCAGTGCGCTTTGGCTTCCATCACTCTGTCCCATTGCACCAGAAGCGGTTTAGTCCTGCTGGCCACATGACCCAGAAAGCTGTCCGTGGACAAATGCCGGCTACCTTGGCCTGAAAGCGAGATGAGCGCTGCAACCCCATAGTCGCCTTTGACTGGACTTAACCGTCCAGGGGTCCTTTACCTTTACCTTTTTTTACCTATGTTATAAAATTTATGCCATAAGGTGCTGGGGCGGGTTACTATAATAGGTTATATACAGTTAGGGGGGGGGAAAGACGACCATTCTCATTCCCTCCAGAGTAAGGGAAGCACAACGGCCGTACCAATAAATGGTAAGAAACTGAGTGCATCTGAAAATGCAGGTTTGGGCTGAAGACGAATCCTTGGTTGAAGAGTGTTGGCCTTAAGCAGTTGCTCCCGAACTGGTCTGCCAGCTTCACTCTGGTTGTCCTTCGCATATCTGGTTGAAGACCAGTTGCAGCACATCCGTTCCATTAAATGCTCATTTTAATTGCCTCTGTTATCTGTTGTATTGTGCAGTCTGAATTCAACGGGGTACAACAGATAAGAAAGCCAACTCCTCAGGGCCAAGGTCCCCTCGTCCCGTCCCCCCAGTGAAATATTTGAGGGGGCCGGCCCCTCCAAAGTTGATGGGCATTGCCATTTAAACGGTGTGTACATTGGGTCATGTGATCAGTTATGCAAAGCGGGGCTTACCTGGCCCCCCCCTATTCAAGTTGGCACTCCTGAAAGAAGCAATTAAAATTACAGCTGAAAACCATGCACAGCACATTGCAACTGGTACAGCAGACAAAATAATTGAGTGGCCTGCTAAGACGCTCAGCAATTTTTAACGGAGGGAGGGGGACAAATTTGGGAACGCACTGGTCCAAAGTGTTTGTGGCTTGTGGCTTTTTAAAGCTTGGAAGAGGAGTGGTTCGAAAACACAGATCTGCTGGCTGATCTGTGGTTGATCAGATGGCAGTTCCAATTGCTTAACAGCAAAATGACAGGGTCTCCACCTGTATCAAGCTGCCGAAGTGAAGAAAACAAGTCGGGCTTCTCTGTAGTAGAATGTGCTCAGAGGCATCCTGTTCCTTCACAGTAACTCTTCCCCTTTTCCGCCTGGCTCTGTCCGTTACCGTAACCCAAAGGTTTACATATCAAAGTAAATCAAGAAGCTCAGTGTCTGCCCACTCCTAAGGGGTTAATGGAGGGATGGGGGATGTGGTCCTCCAGATGTTGAACTTCCAACTCCTATCAACCCCAGCCAGCAGGATTGGTGGTCAAGATGGTTGTGTAGGATAGCTACATCTGGAGGGGAACAGGTCTGCCCCTTGCAATAAGCACGAAGGGATGCTCATCATCTGCTTTTGCAAATGGCAGCTGATTGGGGGCAGGAACGAGGTCTATAAGATCAGATGGGGCCTCTAATGCCAGGGCAGGAACTGTCTGAATGGGTGTTATGCATCACTCACTTGTCCTTAAGAAACCTTGGGTGAATTGCATTTCATGGACTTGCATGGACGTAAAGGTCAGACGGTAGCAGACCTGTGTAGATTGAATCTTTAAAAAGGCTATTCTGTTTCAGCTACCAAGAATTCCGCAATCAAAATTCTGCAAAACATGCAACGTTGGCATACAAACACGTTTATTCTGCTTTCAAGGTTCAGATTTAAAACAATTGTTCGCAAGGGGAAGAATCGAAAAAGATGGCTGGAAGGACATGGAACAGAGAAAAAGGGAAGATTCAAACAGGAAGGGAGTGGCAGCTGGTGGAAAGTTACAGCCCAGGCTGTGCTTGCAAGAAAGAATAAATATTAAAGTGAGATGTATTTAAAGTTCTGCACATGAAGGTCACCCCAACTCTTGCCAAGAACAGCTAGATTCTGTGACCTGTGTAAAGTATGCATGTTAGGGCCACTGCCATTAGCTGATTTGGGTTGCAATCCAATGCACGTTTACCTGCGAGTAAGTTCCCATTGGCGTAAATGAGGCATACTTTTGAGAAGACACGCTTAAAATTACACATTTGCTGGACAATTCACATTATTTTATTACAGGTTTATCCCACCTCTCCAAGAAACACAAGGTTCTCCCCCGTTTTAGCTTCACAATTATCTTGTAAGGTAGGCTGAGAGACAGCGACTGGCCCAAGGTCAGTGAGCTTCATGCCCGAGTGGGGATCTGAACCCCGGTCTCTCAGGTCCAAGTCCGACACTAACCATTACACCACACTGCCTCTCTAAAATCCCCCCCCCCCAAACGGTGTCCTGATAATAAATCGGCAGGTGGTTGTCGTCGTTGTTTTAAAAAAACACTTTTAAAAACACAAATCATTGTTGAAACTGCAGGTGACAAGAACAAGTAGCAGAGGTACTTTCCTCCTGACAGCAAACTTCTTCCTAGTTGATGCCTGCTTTTTGTGAGAGATCTAAAAACAAAGCTTATGTTTATCTTTTCTCTCAGCTAATCATTCCTTTAACTTGCTGCTTCCAATTAAAATCCGGAATAGGGGACCTGTGCTTCTCCAGTTGTTGTTGAACTCCCAACTCCCATCAACTTATTTTGTATATATTGTGTGTTGTTATTCCTTTAAGTTGCTTCAGGACTCCTTTTGTGTGACGCGGTAAATAATAATAATAATTATTATTATTATTATTATTTATACCCCACCCATCTGGCTGGGTTTCCCCAGCCACTCTGGGCGGCTTCCAACAAAACCCTAAAATACAATAATCTATTAAACAGTAAAATCTTCCCTAAACAGGGCTGCCTTTAGATGTCTTCTAAAAGTTTGGTAGTTATTTTTCTCTTTGACATGGAACTGATTTTGAATTGCTGGTTTTGAACTGGCGCCAGTCATCACAGTCAATGGTCAGGAGTGATGGGAGGTGGAAACCACTTGGAGGGTCACAAGCTTCTTCCTGTTCTACACAATATTCAGTTTCTGCTATTTGCGGGCAGCAGCAATGGAACGGGGTTGTACAACCCTCCAGCTTCGCCCTCCGACCCCTGGAAAACCTGTCGCTTGCTAAGATGCCCACTTCTGTCTCATCGCCTCACAGCATGAGGACTAGAACATTGGCTTGCTTTTAAATGAAAGCTGAATTTATGAGGCGGGATTTCTACACCTAAACCAAACCTTTTGCAGCGGTGCTGAATATACACACAGCATCGTTCGAACACCCGGGGCTCCACCTCACGCTTTCACCTACTCCCTGTTCTCAGATTTCCAAATTACGTACTTCTCCGACACCACTAGGGCTGAACAACAACAAAACAAAAATGCTCTTAAAAACATAATAGTGCTTCTCAGCATGCAACGTGCAGACACACTGCTCTGGGTAATTTATTTTAACCGCTCACGCAAAACCTTTGTGTGTATATCCATTTGCAGGCATCATTCCACATACAGTGGTACCTCGGGTTACATACGCTTCAGGTTACAGACTCCGTTAACCCATAAATAGTACCTCGGTTTAAGAACTTTGCTTCAGGATGAGAACAGAAATCGCTCAGCGGCAGCGGGAGGCCCCATTAGCTAAAGTGGTACCTCAGGTTAAGAACAGTTTCAGGTTACTGGAGTAAATATATGAACTATTTGAAAAGTAATTGTGATGAACAGATTACGCTAGTAGGATTGCAAGAAGTTTTGTAAAGTGGATTATTTGAAATACTGCAAGAAAGACTATGAAGAGAATTATTAGTTAAGGATAACTAAATGTAATACAGAAATTAAGAAATGCAGAATAAGTGATAAAGAACGGAAAATCATCAGAGGTGTTGACGGAAGTCTAAAATATTGTATAAAATGAGAAGATAGGCTGTATGACTGTTGGAACTGATATGTTAATATATATGTGTGTGTGTGTGTGTGAACAGTTTCAGGTTAAGAATGGACCTCCAGAACGAATTGTTCTTAACGCGAGGTACCACTGTATTTCAAAACTGAATCAAACCCACCCTACATTGATTTCTGCTTTGGGGATCGGCTGCTTCTAAGGGTTTATTCCAAGATGGCTGCTCATTGGAATGGCAAACTGCCTGGCCAGGTCATGGCTTATGAGGATTGCGAGGTGGTGGGGTGGGGGTGTGGAAGAGAATATGCCTCTCCTGGAGCATCAGTTGGAGGCTTCTCAGTCCAGCTACCTTGACGGACATGTTCTGTGTGCTCCAAGGAGCGCAGGATTCAGGACTTGGTCTCCGAGTTCCCTGTGTGGAGGGATTGGCTGTTAAAGCACTCTGGGAACTGTAGTTCTGCCAGGGGAATGAGGGCTTCCTGATAATTCTCAGCACCCTTAACAAACCACGGCTCCCAGGGTTCTTTGGGGGAAGCCGTGACCATTTAAACTGACATCATAGTGCTTTAAATGTATGGAAAGGTAAGGAGCACATGTCCCTTTGATGGGTCCCTCCCTCAGAGGTATGACCCAGTTAGCAATACAGTGGTACCTTGGTTCTCAAACGCCTTGGTACTCAAACCCCTTGGTTCCCAAACACAGAAAACACAGAAGTTAAGTGTTCCGGTTTTCGAACGCTTTTTGGAATCCGAACGTCCGATGCGGCTGTCAGCTATTGTTTCCAGGGCACCTGCACCAATCAGAAGCTGCGCCTTGGTTTTCGAACATTTCAGAAGTCAAACGGACTTCCGGAACAAATTAAGGTTGGCACTTTTGTTTTAGCTATTTGTTTTGGTCTTTTGTTTTTGAGGCTTTTTCAATTAATTTGTTTTTGTGACTATGTGGAACCCAGTTCAGCTACTGATTGTGCGGCTGCGGAAATGGATAAAAGCCCCCCATCCAAACAATCGCTATCATCAGTGCAGGTAAGGAATTTTTTTTAAAAAAAAATTAGCATCTACAATACTGTCTTATTTATTTTATAGTACAGTACATTCATTATTGCTTTCATTTTATGGATCAATGGTCTCGTTAGAGAGTAAAATTCATGTTAAATTGCTGTTTTAGGGGTTGTTTTTAAAAGTCTGAAATAGATTAATTCATTTTGCATTTCTACGGGAAAGCGTGCCTTAGTTTTGGAATGCTTTGGTTTTGGAACGGATTTCCAGAATGGATTAAGTTTGAGAACCAAGGTACCACTGTACTCCTATTTTTTCTTTGCTTGTGTCCTCTTGGATCTTCTTCACTCTAGGGTGCCAGTGGTTTAATCTGTGGAGGGAGAGGGTCATTCTCAAAGTTGGACATGACATGTTTCCAGCCTCTGCCACACTCTGTGACACAGCTGAGTCCAATGAGACCCCCTTGGCAACCAGAACCTGAACTTGCAATACGAACAATTCAGTGGGTCCCAGTTCCTTCCTCGTGTCATGCAACTTTGGCTCCTCAGCCCAACTTCAGCTCTTTAACTAGGGGTAAGGAACTTTAGCCAAGCCACGCCCACCTGCCAATCACCAGGTGTCATATATGACGTCACATGCAGGCACATAAAAAGACAGTTGTGTAGGGCCAAAAATGGCTTCCGAAGCAGCAAAGATCAGTTGGTTGGCAGTACCTCAAAGCACAGCACAGGGTCCCTTGCAAAGAGCTCTGTGTGGTGCTTTGACGTGCCAACAATCAACTGAGTGCTGGGCCTTCAAAGCACAGCATCCCGTGATGTGGGCCCTGCTCACCCGTCACATTTGGCCCATGGAGGTGTGGGGAGGCAAGGCAGATAAGGACCAGCTACAGTTGGTTTACTGGGTAAGGGAGAAGTGTTTGAGTGTTTCTGTGTGCGAAGAGCAGAAGGGGCAGCAAAATGGGAGTGAGATTTGCACAGCATTGATCAAGGGGGGTTAGTAGTGGGCATGTGAGCAGCTGGCTGAGTCCAGCTTCTGGCAGGGGCTGTCAAACTCTCGGCTTCTTGCCCCAAACCGTTTCCCCCTATGGTCCTCCATGCATCACCAGCAGATTTGGCCACCCACGGGAAAGGGCCAACGGGATCTAGCGGAGACGACCAGACTTCCTGCTGCTCCAGTGGGACCCTCCTTTCACCTTCCCCTTCCCACCATTCAGGCGCGGCCGTTGCCAGCAATGCATCGTCTTGGTTGCTCTGCGGCAGGCATTGGTCTTTGGAGACCGCGTGAGCACGCTGGTGCCGGTTGCGGTGGGAGCTGCGGCCGAAGCACTTCCCACAGTAGGCGCACGGAAAGGGCTTCTCTCCGGTGTGCGAGAGCCGGTGGCGGTCGAAATGCGAGCTCCAAGCAAAGCCCTTGCCGCAGACATCGCACTGGTAGGGCTTCTCTCCGCGGTGCAACCGGCGGTGACGTTCAAGCACCGCCGCGCTGCTGAACCCTTTCCCGCATTCGGGGCAGCGGTGAGGCTTGGCCTTGGCGTCGTGGAGGCGCCGGTGGGTGGCCAGCGTGGCACCGACGGCAAAGGTCTTGCCGCACTCCCCGCAGCCATGGGGCCGGGCCCCGGTGTGGATGCGCCGGTGCCTCTCCAAGTGGGAGCCCACCGTGAACCCCCGGCCGCAGTCCCCGCACTCGTAGGGCTTCTCCCCGGTGTGGATACGCCGGTGCCGCTCCAAGTGCGAGCTCCACCCGAAGCTTTTGTCGCAGTCGGGACACTGGTGAGGCTTCCCGCCGGTGTGGTTGAGCTGGTGTTTGGCCAGGGAGGCCGGGTCCCGGAAGCTGCGGGCGCACTCTGGGCAGGAGTGCGGCCTGCTGTTGCTGTGGGCGTGTTGGTGCTTGAGGAGGGCGGAGCACCAGCTAAACCGCCGCCCACATTCCGGGCACTGGTAGGGCTTTTCCCCTGTGTGGACGCGCTGGTGTTTGAGCAGGTTGGAGCTCTGGCTGAAGCGTTTCCCGCAGAGTGTGCACGGATAGGGCCGTGCCTTGGCCTCAGCCTCCTGTTCCTCCGCTGCCTCTGCATCCTCGTGCTCCAGAGGGGTCTGGGTGGCTTTGTGCTTGAAGCGCTGAGGCTGAGTGATGTGGTTGACCCGCTTGCCGCAATCTGCGCATTTTGAGGGCGGAGCCTCCTCGGGCAGAGCTGCCCCGGCGTGCGTTCGCCTGTGGCGATCCAGGTGCGAGCTCCAGGCGAACGCCCGCCCACACTCGGGGCACTTGTAGGGCTTCTCGCCGGTGTGGATCCGCCGGTGCCTCTCCAGGTGGGAGCTCCAGGCGAAGCTCTTCCCGCAGTCGGCGCACTCGTGGGGCTTCTCTCCGGCGTGGCTCTTGCGGTGCCGCTCCAGGGCCGCCGGCTCGCTGAAGCACTTCCCGCACTCGGGGCAGTGGTTGGGCTTCTCTCCCCCCGGCGCGTGGGTCCGCTGGTGGGTCAGCAGCGTGGAGCTGACGCTGAAGCTCTTCCCGCAGTCAGAGCAGTGGTACGGCCGCTCCCCCGTGTGGGTTCTCTGGTGGATCGTCAGGTCGGAGCGCTGGATGAAGCCCTTCCCGCACTCCTCGCACTCATAGGGCTTCTCTCCCGTGTGGATCTTCTGGTGTTTCACCAAGGCGGACTTGTGGCTGAAGGTTTTGCCACACTGGAGGCAGTTGTTGGGGTTGTGGAGGGCGGCAGGAGGAGGGGGCGGGGATGAAGGCGAGGCGGGGGGCAGGGCGCTCTCAGCCAGGATGCTACTGCTCAGATCAACATCCCTGGGACTCTCAGAGTCTTCTGCTGCCAGCTCCGCCTCTTTGGGGTCCTTTTGTGCAGGAAGATTCTCTTCCTCCATGTTGCCACTGATGGCTGAAGAGACAGGAAGAGGAAAAAGGAGGAGCCAGAGTTACACAAACAGGCCTGAATATAGGTTTGATGAGGTGTTCCACAGGGCAGGCACCACCACCGAGAAGGCCCTCTGCCTGGTTCCCTGTAACCTCACTTCTCGGAGTGAGAGAACCGCCAGAAGGCCCTCGGAGCTGGACCTAAGTGTACTCAGGAACTATGTTCCACTTCTAATATCACTTCTCCTTTTCTGCCACGAGCCCCCACCCCTTGACTGCCTGTGCACCCAACTCTCATGTCCTCTGCCAGCCAGCCAGCTGCTGTCTATGCACTGAAGCAAAATATATGGAGTCTGGCTCTCTGCCTTTAAGCTCCCTGTGTGATTCATCCCCAGTGCATGGAAGGCAGGACAGGCAGGGCTTAATCTGAACATCTGTAGCAAAGAATTTTAGGAAAGCCCATGACTCACCTGGAAGGATGACACTCGGGTCCTGCAGGTCAAAGGTTGTCGCCTCATCTCCTTGTTCCAATCGGGACAGCAAGTCAGGCTTGGACAGTGGAAATTCTTCTCAGTTGAAAAGATGGAGGTGGGGGGAAGAGGAGGGAATGCAACTTTAGTTCATCTTATAAATCAACCACCGCCACCCATATCTCAACTATTTTTAGGCCAATGTGGGCAGGACCTCCCGCTAAACCTATGGGTGATTTGAAATAGATCAGTAAGCGCTGTTGACTCCCCATGTTTTAACAGCAGCAACAAACCCACCCCCCACCCCAGTGTTTGGCTTCTGAAACTAAGAATGTTTGGGCGAGGAGCAGGGAGACCAATAATTATTTTTTATATATAAAGAATTTGAGCTCAGTGTCGATACTGAAAGCAGAATATTGATCTAAACTGTGGAAACCCTCCCTGTTTACTCAATGTTCAGGGAACTGAACTTTGAACCTGTTTATTCTCATGCCATATTTGTGTGTTCACTATGCAAGCTCAGAATTCCTTTTTTTTTTAAATCATATTTATTGAAATTTCCAAAATACAAAAAGTAAAAATAAAACAAAAATAAAATACATTTGAAACCTTACTTTCATTACCCACTTTCTGGGACTCCCCCATCCCCCTCCCTACCGTATTCCCCTTTCATAACTTTGGTTCTACAAGCTCTCACTCCCAATTTAAAACTTAATTTGTTTAACCCAATATTCAAATTTAAATTATACAATCATCATCATTACCTTAAAAAAAAATAAATCAAAGATTCTCTCCCCAAGGTCCACCCCAGTTTCCTTCCACGAATTCCCCCCCTTTTTTAAATAAAGACGCCCCAACAAAGTATAATAAGCTATATAAAGATATAAAAGATAAAAGGTATATAAAAAAAATTTCAAAAAATAGTTACACAGCCTTTGGATTCTAAATCTCCCCCCCCCTTCCCCGGTTTGAATTCCCCATGTCCATCAATCTGTCTGTTGTCTGCCTGGAAATCTTAGATCCATAATCAAATTTTTCCCCAGTTCCACCTTGCCAGTTTTTTTTTAAGTTTATCTATTTTTATGGTGTTTAACTTCAAACATCCAATCCAAAAACGGCCCCAAAGGGCCTTTAGCTTCCTTGGTCTTTAAGGCTCCCCCCATTGTTCTTTCCATAACGTAGTCAGATTTCTTGTCCTGTTCCGCTGCTAAAACGTTCTAATTCGGAAATTTGGTACCTCTGCAGGGGTTGTTGTTATTCAGGAACAAAAACTTACGTCCAGTCCCTTCCTTTCTTCAATAGAGAATTCTATTGTCTCCTTTAATGTAAACACCCCTGTAGACAAAATACTGTTTCAGTTTTGCAGCTTTCCCAGGAGATAGCAAGTCCTGTACGATTCCAAGAGTATTTTTCCACTTACGACCGTTCTTGTAATGCCCCGAAACCCCTCTAGGGGGATTGTAGTAACTTTGTTTCCTCTGATCCAAAAGTCCGATTGTTGTTCCTTATTTTCGACATTTTGTATCCAAATCGTAACAAATTGTAACGAAATTAACTAGCAAAGTCCTCATAGCAGAGTCCTCTAAGTTTTCCGACTTTGACAGCTACTTTGACAGCTGTCAAAGTCTCCGTCTCTTTTCACCAGGCTCTCTCACAAATCGCCCCGGTTCCCAGGGGGGGTTACGTTTTCCTTCTCACTCCACTCTTCTCCTCCAGCACAGTTCTTGTGATTTCCCATCGTGGAATTCTTAATTTTTGTCAGAAGTACGCTTCTCTCTAGACCTTGATTACCCAGTCCTTGTTTTAAAATGCTTACAGTAGGGAGGGGGACTGACTTCCTTTTTGGATCCCCCCCGCTCGTGCCAAATCCGAAAAAAAAATTCCTTTCCCCCCCTCCTTTTAAACCCAGTTTCCGAATTACTCACGGGTTGTTGTTAAAAGTCCAAATTTTCAATGGAAGAAGTCAGCGCTCTCCGCCGAATGGCATGCGGCTTCGCTCGGCAGGGAAAGCAGAGGACTCACATCACCACGCCACTCCCCGGCACCCGATCCGTAGCCTTTAAAAAGGCTCCTTCACGAGTCGGGAGGGCGCTAACGGTGCCAGCCGAGTCACCCATGTCCACGGGCTCCGTGCCCGTGGTTTTTAAGGGTCCCCGCGTCGCCGGCGCGGTGGGACCCAGCCCCTGCCGAGCAGACTCCCTCCGGAGCTCGGAGGGAGTCCGCCATTCGGCGATGGCGCCGACCCGGAAGTCTCGCAAGCTCAGAATTCCTGAAAGTCTCATCTCTTCTCCTTTTCTTTTAAAAGAAGCCTGGGCTCTCATGGTTGCAAAGAACTGGAAATTCTCAAGTGCAGTGTTTCCCAACCTTTTTTGGGCAAAGGCACACTTGTTTCATGAAAAAAATCTCGAGGCACACCACCATTACAGCCCCGTGACGTCAGCGCGCAGCGTCACGCCGGGAGGGACGCACGAAAGTGTAAGTTTCAATTTTTTCCCCTCCCCCTTGCCTTCCTTCTGTGCCAACCGCCAAAAAGCCAAGAAAAAAGCCAAGACTTTAGGGCAGCAGGTCGACACGGAAGAAGCTCCTACCTAAGGACAGGTGCGACGGCCGTGTCCTCTTCTGCCACACTTGGCAGCCCTGCCTCACGGTCGTGACTCCCACCCTGATTTCTCCCCGCAGGTCGAGCGGCACAGGCAGCCCAATGTGTCCAGCCCAGACACAAGCCCCGCTTCCCCACTCTAGATCCTGAATGCGACCAAGTGCTCTGGACTCCCGAGCAGGGTGGGAAAGAGGACTCGCATCTGGTAGCCTCCTTACCCGCGATCTCGGTCTCGCGCACGTGGATCCCACTTATTCTGAAGCTCGCACCACTAGCCGGGGCTCTCACACCGTGCCAGGGCGAGGCGGCGCGGCCCACTGACGTCATCGTGGCTCGCCGCCGCCCTCAACTTCCCTGTTCCCTCCCCTCCCTCGGGTCGCCGTGGTTACCGAGGACTGCAAGCTGCTCGGGCGAGCGTGGGGCATTAAGTGGGAGAAGGAAAATTAAAATTAAAACTCGCCTGAAGGCCGCCTCTCCGGATACAGTGGTGCCTCGCAAGACGAAATTAATTCGTTCCGCAAGTCTCTTCGTCTTGCGAGTTTTTCGTCTTGCGATGCACGGTTTCCCATAGGAATGCATTGAAAATCAATTAATGCGTTCCTAGGGAAACCGCCTTCAGACCAGGTCTGGGGACAGTCTGTCCCCCGACCTCTTCTGAAGGCTGGGGGGGGGGGGACAAGGGCTTTTCTTCCCACCCCCAGCATTTTAAAAAACCCCGGGACAGCGGAGGACTTCTCCGCTGTCCGGGGCAATCTTAAAATGCTGGCAGGCGGCATTTTAAAATCGCCTGGGACAGCGGAGGACTTCTCCGCTGTCCGGGGCGATTTAAAAGCCCCTGGGAAGGCAGGCAGGGGGGACAAAGATTTTCGCCCCCCGCCCGCCTTCAGAAGAGGTCCTGGACCTCTTCTGAAGGTGGGCGGGGGCGAAAGTCTTTGCTCCCCCCTGCCTGCCTTCCCGGGAGAGCGGAGAAAGGCAGCGCATTTCTCCGCTGTCCCGGATGGCTTTTGAAGGTCCTTGACCTCTTCTGAAGGCAGGCGGGGGCGAAAGTCTTTGCTCCCCCCTGCCTGCCTTCCCGGGAGAGCGGAGAAAGGCAGCGCGTTTCTCCGCTGTCCCGGACGGCTTTTGAAGGCAGGCTTTTGAAAGCCGTCCGGGACAGCGGAGAAACGCAGCGCGTCCTTGCCGCTGCCCCCCGACTTGGCTGGAAGGCTGGCGGGGGGAGAAGCCTGCTCCTCCCCATCGCCAGCCCCGCAAACTCGGGGGACAGCGGGAGAGGCACAGCGCGCCCTTGCCGCTGCCCCCCGACTTGGCTGGAAGGCTGGCGGGGGGAGAAGCCTGCTCCTCCCCATCGCCAGCCCCGCAAACTCGGGGGACAGCGGGAGAGGCACAGCGCGCCCTTGCCGCTGCCCCCCGACTTGGCTGGAAGGCTGGCGGGGGAGAAGCCTGCTCCTCCCCATCGCCAGCCCTGCAAACTCGGGGGACAGCAGGAGAGGCGCAGCGCGCCCTTGCCGCTGCCCCCCGACTTGGCTGGAAGGCTGGCGGGGGGAGAAGCCTGCTCCTCCCCATCGCCAGCCCTGCAAACTCGGGGGACAGCGGGAGAGGCGCAGCGCGCCATCCCGCTGTCTCCCGACATGGTTTGGAGGCTGGCGGAGGGCTTCCTCCTCCCCCAGCCCCGCAAGCTCCCAGAGCGATGCCAAAGCTGCGCGCAGCTTCGGCATGGCTCTGGGTCCCGTTCTGGGGGAGGGGGAAGCTCGGGCTTCCCCCACCCCAGCCCCACGCCTGGCGGTGGGGGAATAATTTTTTTTCCCTTTATCCCCCCCCCGCCAATTTTTCCCGCGGCACACCAGGTAACGTCTGGCGGCACACTAGTGTGCCGCGGAACACCAGTTGGGAAACACTGCTCAAGTGAATGCGTCTGTGTAACTTGAAAGCTGGCACACAAACAGAAATCAATGTGCTGCAAAACATTGCTGTACCGGCACATTTTTTCACCTTTGGTGGACGTGCCCTAAGATTAAGGCTTTTTGGGAAATGATTTATAATGAACTGAAAAAGGTATTTAAATATACCTTTGTGAAGAAACCAGAGGCCTTTCTCTTGGGCATGGTCGGCCAGTTGGTGTTAAAAAAGGATAGAACTTTCTTTATGTACGCTACAACAGCAGCAAGAATACTCATTGCAAAGTATTGGAAGACGCAAGATTTACCCACTCTGGAAGAATGGCAGATGAAGTTGATTGACTGTATGGGATTGGCAGAAATGACTGGCAGAATCTGCGACCAGGGAGAAGAGTCGGCAGAAGAAGATTGGAAGAAATTCAAGGACTATTTAAAGAAATACTGTAATATTAATGAATGTTGAATGATGTTGGATTGAAATTAAGTGGTTTCTAGCTGTAATGGTATAAAAGAATATGAAAAAATGGTTTTTATAAGTAAATGTTTAAGTTACAATAATTTAAGATGTTGGATAGAAAATAAGGCGTTATTTAGCTGTAATGCTAGGAGATAAGGATTTGCTGGACAAATAATTTGAACTAGAAAACAAGAAGGGGAGGTATGAGGAGGTCAGGGAAATATGTTACTGAAAAATAAGTTGTGAACTTTATGTGTTTTTAATATTTTTTTCTTTTTTTTACGTTTTTCTCTTTGTTTGTTTAAAATTGAAAACTTTAATAAATATCTTATAAAAAAACAACAAAAAACATTGCTGTACCAATTTAGCACTTCTTACTTTAAAGCTGACAGCAGCAATTACACCAAGTGACAAAATCATAGACATTTTGGCACATCTCTTCTCACTCCTGCCGCCACCCCGATATAAATATGAACATTCCCGTATACAAAATGGAGTTCATCTCCCCAGATGGCATGCAGAGAGGGCACCACTCTCTTAGCAATAGACTCTGTGAAGATGTGTGTAAAGCCCCTGCCCCCCCCCAATAATCTGGGCTTTCAGGAAAAAAATTGAATTTGAAAATAACCTGGGGAATTTTCCTATGCAAATTAAGGTGATCTGCATAAGGCTAATTTCCATCAGAACCATTTTCAGCTTGCATCGGAAAGTGTTCCAAAGCCCTAGAGAGTGATCTCGATTAGCATGCACATTTTACTTGTATTTAGTAAACAAAGCTGAGCAGTTTGACAATTGCCTGATATTGCATTTGTAATTAGTTTTCACGATTGAACTTATGAAACAGAAGACTTTCCGCAGAAGAAAAACAACACACGCTTTGGAGGTTTTTCTGCTTCACGTCACTGGCTTCCCCCTGTAAAAGTTTATGGGTGGAGGAGAAGAGGAGGCAGCCCACATCGTCCTACCAAGTGCCATTAGCGTCTCGTAGCTCTCCTGCATGACGTCGTGGTACAAGGCCTTCTGCCGGGGATCCAGCAGCACATACTGCTCCATTGCCACCAGCAGCCGCAGCTCAGACAGATCGCAGCCTCTGGAAGAACAAGCAGCAGGTCCCATTGGCCAAACTCCAGGCAAAGGAAGAACTGGAGCAGGGCCGGATTTAGGTTTCATGAGGCCCTAAGCTACTGAAGGTAATGGGGCCCTTTACATGCCCAGCTGTCATTTGTCAGCAACAAATTGTCACTGTTTTTTTGTATTGAATATATGCTATATGAGGGACGTGGGTGGCGCTGTGGGTTAAACCACAGAGCCTAGGACTTTCCGATCAGAAGGTCGGCGGTTCGAATCCCCGCAACGGGGTGAGCTCCCGTTGCTCAGTCCCTGCTCCTGCCAACCTAGCAGTTCGAAAGCACATCAAAGTGCAAGTAGATAAATAGGTACTGCTCTGGCGGGAAGATAAACGGCATTTCCGTGCGCTGTTCTGGTTCGCCAGAAGCGGCTTAGTCATGCTGGCCACATGACCCGGAAGCTGTACGCCAGCTCCCTCGGCCAATAAAGCGAGATGAGCGCCGCAACCCCAGAGTCGGCCATGACTGGACCTAATGGTCAGGGGTCCCTTTACCTTTACTAGCTTGACTAGAATGGGGAAGGGAAACCAGGATACACTGTACTAAAAAAAACCCAAATATCTCAGCCAGGGACCTAACGGTCAGGGGTCCCTTTACCTTTAATAGGTATCTAAAGCCATTTGCACATAACAAATAGGAGCTTACACAACACAAAACATTGTTGCTGTATGTAGATTTTATTTCATTTGTTTTTTCTCTTATATTTTGGAAATGTACATCCAGTTGTTGTTTTTCCTTTAATTTTTTTTGGGGGGGGCCCAAGAGAGTGGGGTCCTAAGCTATAGCTTGTTTAGCTTATACGTAAATCCAGCACTGAACTGGAGGTTATGGGCAACAGTAAGCAAATGATGACTTGATTTCACGATATACATTTTAGACCGGATTTTATTGCAAACTGTCTCAGGTGCCTTTGCTGCGAGAGGGTGAGCAATACCTTTGAATGGGTGGGTATATATATTTATTTGTCTTGTTTCATAAAATTTATACATTGCTTCATTGTAAAAACAAAAAACCCCAAAACAGAATAAAACGATATAATTTTCGGTAAAAGCAACTGCTGAAAACATTTCTTAAAGAATTAAAATCCGCCTGTAAGCTAAAAACACATATCAAAATCCCACCAATCTGGGTAGCCTTGCCTGAAGAAAAAAAGTCCTTAGCAGGCGTCGGAAAGAGCACAGTGGAAGTACTTGCTTGATATCAAACCAGCAGAGAGTTCCAAAGTATAGGTGCTGCCACACTAAAATATCTAATTATTACAAATGCAGGCTGAGTATTTCTGTGGCACCTGTGGCAGTGCCCGTTCCGCAGATGGAAGCAGCTAAGTGGGCATATTTGGGGTCAGGTGAGCTCAGAAGTCAACTGCTCCTAATAAGCTATTGAGGGCTTTATACACCAATAATAACACCTTGAATTTGGCTCGGTAGCGATAAACAGATATACTGCATGCTCATACATCCTCATTCTTTTTCATGGGGGGGGGGAAGGAACCTCTTCAGTTTCATGACACAAACAGGTACAAGCTCACCTGCTTCTGTCACCATCCCTTATTACCTTTCCAATTTTCTTCCCCTGTCAGGACTCAGGGATTCGTTTAACTGCCCGGCAGCCAAACATAATATAATATAAATAGGATCTTCTCTGTCTCGCCTTCTTGCGACACTAAAATTTTTTAAAAAATCTTCCTCCCCTAACACACCTGTGAAGTTGTTAAAAGGTCCGGCCGGGAGGAGGAAGGAGCAACCTTCTCACGCGGCTGTCAAAAGAACAACAGACAACCTCCTGTGCTGAAATAAAACAGATGTAATCTCTAGCGGAAGTGTCTTCGGACAGCGCTGGCTCCCGGCCTCTTGAGTGAGATGAGCGCACAACCCTAGAGTCTGTCAAGACTGGCCCGTACGGGCAGGGGTACCTTTACCTTTAATCCCTAGCGGAAATGCTGCTGTCAAATAAGGACGTGTTTTGGGCAGTGCTTTGCGGGCTATGTTTAAATTTAAAAACGCTGAAGGATATAACTGCAGGGTTTCCCCTAAGCTCCCCCTACCCATTTTCTGGTGGTGCTTGGTTTGGTTTCTGAATCCCACACCCCAACAAAAGGCGCTGTGTCGTTTTGCAGCACACTCCAGAGCAAGCCATTCAAAGAAACCGGTGCTTCTTGCAAGTGGGTTTTTCGCCCCACAAACGCATCGTCGGGTGGGGGGAAGCTGTGGAAAAGAGGGTTCCCCCCCCCGAAAACGCAAACATGTCTGCTGTTTTTCAAGTGCCCCCCTTTGCTGCTCTCCCTATTGATCAGACGCAGAGATTGATCTCTGAGGGAAAATCCCCCTCTGCCTTGTGTTTGCTGCGTAAAAACCAGCGCCACCACCGCGCCTCGGTTGGAAAGGGAGGCTTTAAAATGGAGGCTTTAAAACAAGAAAAAGACTCTTTCTCTCCGTCTCTCCCTTGAACACATCTGATCCGTTTTCCCGATCTCTTCTGGGTTACCTGGCGTCTCCGGCTGCTGAAGGGTTAAGGGCTGCGAGCGGCGCCCGCGGCTGCGCCACGAGGCTGAGCCCGGCCAGCGGCAGTTCTCCCTCCGGTCGGCCGCCCGGCCGAACGCCGCGCTTTGCCGGGAGCAGCAGCCGCGGCTGCCTGGTCGCTACGGGGGAACCCGCCGCAGCTGGGGTGACCTAGGAAGCTCAGCCCCCTGATATCCTGGGTGGGAAAGAAGAGAGAGCTTGGGAAAGGCAGGGAGCGAGATCCCCTCCCTCAGCTGTAGCCAGAGCCCTCTGGTGGTCGTGCCTGCGACGCCTCTTCCTCGCCTGCTCTCCTTGCGTCAGCCAGATCATTCCCCTCCAAAAAGAGAGTTAAAAGTGGTCTCCGAAATACTGTGCTGACTTTAAAAGCCCTAAATCGCTTCAGCCCTTTATACCTGAAGGAGCGTCTCCACCCCCATCGTTCAGCTCGGACATTGAGGTCCACCTGCGAGGGTCTTCTGGCAGTTCCCTCCCTGCGAGAAGTGAGGTTACAGGAAACCAGGCAGAGGGCCTTCTCGGTAGTGGCGCCTGCCCTGTGGAACGCCCTCCCACCAGATGTCAAGGAGATAAAGAACTACACAACTTTTGGAAGACATCTGAAGGCAGCCCTGTACAGGGAAGTTTTTAACGTTTGATGTTTTCATATGTGTTTAAGCTAACCAGAGTGGCTGGGGCAACCCAGCCAGATGGGCGGGGTATACATAATAAAATTATTGTTGTTGTTATTGTTTATTATTTTTATTATGCAATACCTACATGGTTTGTAACACACACAAAAGATCCATAAAAAAGAAGCGGGCAGATGCATTCAAATCAAAGCTTTTCCAAACCACATAGTAATTTACAAAATGCAAAAAGACACATCTGCCAAGAGGCGCACAAAATGCAAAAAGAACCTAGACTTGAAAGCTCTTCCACACAGAGGACATTTTAGCCATTGCCCTAAGAGTGGACTCTCTCATTATGTTGAACAAGGCCTGAATGTCTAATGAAGCCTTTGCCACAGTCGAAGCACTGATAGGGTCGCTCGCCTGTGTGGGTTCTATAATGATAGACGAGTTTCATGCGCTGATTAAATCTTTTCCCGCAGTCAGGACACTGGAATGGCTTCTCTCCAGTGTGAAGTCTCTGGTGCTGGGTCAGGGATGATTTCACTCTGAAGCTCTTGCCGCAATGGGGGCACTGGTAAGGTTTCTCCCCTGTGTGGATCCTTTGGTGACGCACAAGAGTTGACCGGACTTGGAAGCTCTTGCCGCACTCATGGCATTTGTGGGGCCTGTTGGCTGTGTGACTCATCCGATGCCGATCAAGGCTTGATTTGCAAGCGAAACTTCCCCCACAGTCCTTGCAAGCGTAGCATCTTTCTCTTGTGGTAGAGGCAACATGTTTAAAGAGGACTGAACTATTGCTTAAGGTGTTTTCAGAGGGATTCAGTTCAGTGAAGATCTCTGAGTGGCCTACAAAGTCAGAGCTGAAGGGGGGCCATTTTTCACATTCAAGCCACATGTAGGACGATTTTCCTCTGGGGTCCCTTTTCTCATACCCTGATGTGCTTGGGTATGTTTCCCCAGGCCAAGTAGAAGTGTAGTCAACCACTTCTTGGTCGGTTTGTAAGTGGATCTGTGGATCGTGGTTTTCTTCCAAATTGCTTCCAAAATGAAATGCGTTTTCTTCTTCCTTCCATGGGTGGCTTCCCTGCTGATCGCTTTGCTGTGGCCGGTACCAGCTCACATTATCTTCTTCTTCCTCAATAGGCCAGGAAGGAATCTCATTCCCTTCGTCTTTAGGATCATCCTGCCAAAACTCGCTTTCTGGATTTATTTCCACCATATTGATATCTGGAACAACAACAACAACAACAAAATAGCATTCTCCCATTGGACATTCTTGCATTGCAGGCAATTGGTTTAGATGATCATCAGGGTCCCTTCCCATTCTATAATTCTATGACCCATGAAGCTGAAAGTTGGGAGATTCAGGACAGACCAAAAAAAGTACTTATTCACACAACGTACAGTTCAGACTATGGAATCTGCTCTCCCCAAGAGGTAGTGAAGGCCACCAAACTGGACAGCTTTAAAAGAGGATGTTATGTACTGAGTTGAATAGGATCCAAAATGCAGCAGTCTGATTGGTCCTGGAACAATAGGATCCAGAATGCAGCAGTTTGATTGGTCCACAGGAGCCACCCAATCCAGCTCCAGGTGGAAGTGAATCTGCAACCTGATTGGCCTACAGGAGAATCCCGGAATTAGCCAATCACGTGGGGTCCATTGTCTAAATAATGTATATAAAGCAGACATTCTGGGGGAACTTCCATTCCTCCTCACCACTATGAGCTGAATAAAGAGCATGAAATCCACTCTCGACTCCGAGTATATTTCAGAGGATTAGCCAAATTCATGGAGGACAGCGCTATTGATAACAATGGCTAGGTTCTGCCTCCACTGTTGGAGGAAATATACCTTCTGAGGGCCAGTTGCTGGGGATCACAAATGGGGAGATTGCTGTTGCAATCAGGTCCTGCGTGCCTCTTTTCTTATGGGCATCTGCTTGGTCACTGCAGGGAAAGAGGATGCAAGACTTTGCCCTTTGAGCATTGTGGCTCTCCAAGTCCTCCAGCAGAATCCTTTCCTCTTCCCTTAAAACTGCAAATTCCGGGGAATGAACCTCAGCCCTCCTGCCCAGTAAGTGTGTGCCCGACGCTGCACTGTCCCCCTCACAGTGCATTGAAGACAACATTCGTTAGCGACAAAGGAGCAGAATATGGTGCCTCTGAGTCTCTAAAACTAAGAGATGGCCCTACATAACACAAGGGGAATACTGCTGAGCCAGAGGTGGCTGGTGGGTCGGAAGGCAGGGAGCCCGATCAGTAGGCGGAGCCAGGGAGAGGCAGAGCCAACTCATTCCAGTGGGGTCTCCCCATTCTCCTCCATGCTAAGTTCTACAAGGGAAATTCAGACTTAGGCAGGGGAAGCTGGCAGGCACTGCTGCCCTTGTAAGTCCGAAGGCAAACACATGGCGGTGTGTGTGTGATGGAGGGCGGGCTGTAATTGGTGGGGCAGTGCCTCCTCCACCCTAATGGACCAGCCGCCAATGATTCAGAGCCCTCCTAGCTCCCTCTGTTGATCCTTTATGAAGCAGCCATGACAGCCCTATATTTCTTCTGCATCAAAGAGAGTGCCATAGGTGATATCTTTTATTTTTATTATTTTCCTGACCCTTCACTGTAAGATCCCACGGTGGATTCTTACAATATAAAGATAAGGTAAAGGTAAAGGGACCCCTGACCATTAGGTCCAGACTCTGGGGTTGCGGTGCTCATCTCGCTTTATTGGCCGAGGGAGCCGGTGTACAGCTTCCGGGTCATGTGGCCAGCATGACTAAGCCGCTTCTGGCGAACCAGAGCAGCGCACGGAAATGCCGTTTACCTTCCTGCTGGAGCGGTACCTATTTATCTCCTTGCACAGGCATGCTTTTGAATTGTTAGGTTGGCAGGAGCAGGGACCAAGCAACGGGAGCTCACCCTGTCGCGGGGATTCGAACTGCCGACCTTCTGATCGGCAAGCCCTAGTTAAACCACAGAGCCACCCACGTCTTTTATTTTTGTTATTTTCCTGACCCTTCACTGAAAGATCCCAGGTTGGGTTCCAACAATATAAAGATGCAATATTCAAATCCGTTAACAGCAACCTGCAAAGCTTACCGCTTGCTTTGTTTGCAAAATGTCATTGCTTTGTTTTTCAATTGAAGATCTGTTTGCTGCCCTGGGCTCTCTGGGGCAGAAGGGAGAATTATAAATTCACTAACTAGGTAAGTAACTAAAATAATTTACCTGGATCGGCAACAGTGCAAGTTGAGACTGGATGTATGGATTCAGGCTGTTAAGGTCAAAAAGAAAGAGAGTGAATGACAAGCACCCCTTGCAATTCCTCATTTATCTCCTCTCCCAAATCCCTTCCCTCTTTTCCCCAAGGTTTGCTCACCTGTATGGATGCTAGGATCCCTGTTTCAGACTTCTTAAGACTGGCAGCTTTTGTTTGTGATGTGTTGCTGTCTGACAGCTGAAGCACTGAAAAAGCAATGGTGATCTGTAAAAGAAATGCTTCACGGGCAACTGAATTCTACCTTTTGGCTTAGGAGACCCCAATCCAGGTTGTATAGCGGTTAGCAATTAAGGGACATGACAAAGCGAGCGGTTACTCAGCTGATGAGTATGTGCATAAGAGAGAAAGAATAATTGTTTCATGCATGATATGTAATCCACAACTCAACTTTGCTAAAAAGCAACAAGTCCTCCTTCAGTGGCTCAGTTGTTTGCATCCAGGAAGGCAAGAGCTCTTACCCATTGATGACGACCCGCTCTCATCACTCTCCTCCATGACTTTCCAGTAAAGGGTCTTTTGCCTGGGGTTCACTGAAGTCTGCTCACTTTCAGAAAGGGACGCCGATGGCTCATCAAAATTCACTGGCAGCTGAAAAATGTTCACACCTAAAGATTTGTTTGCTGTATGGTCACAATAGTGCCATAAAGAATCAAAGTTCAGATTCCTGAAAACCAGAGGCAGGTTTTTGTCGTTGTAGTTGGAACACATTTCTGGAGTTTGCGGTTTTGCAGAGAGTTTATGTGAGGCTTATAGCGGCCAGAAGGAAAAAATATTTTCATTTCCCACCAGCTTTAACCAGTGCAAAATTTCTGACCCACATTGTCTAGCCCAGGTGTGGACAACCTTTGACCCTCCATATCAGTGTTTCCCAAAGTTGGGTCTCCGGCTGTTTTTTTTGGACTACAGTTCCCATCATCCCTAACCACCGGTCTTGCTAGCTAGGGATGATGGGAGTTGCAGTCCAAAAACAGTCAAAGACCCAAGTTTGGGAAAAGATGCTCCAGATCATGGGTGTAGCCAAGGAGGAGGGGGAACTGCCCACCCTAGATCAAGTAAAACAATAGAAATAACTAACTGACCAATCACATTGGATCTGCCCCCCCCCAATGAAAAATCCACGCTCCAGAACTACAACCTCCATCATCCCTTGGCTATTGGTCATGGTTGTTGGGGCTGATGGGAGTTGTAGTTCATCAACATCTGGAGGATCAAAGGTTCCTCACATCTGGCCTAGCCCAATACGGGTAGGCAATATGATAGATTTTGAATAACCAGAATTAGTCATTGCACAAATCTTTCAGCATCCCTCACCTCGACGACGACTTCAGCTGGTTCTTGCTGTTGCAGGGCAGCCTCCACCATGTGAGCAATCTCTTTGCTGCTGCTGCTGCTGCTGCCTGGCCCTCTAGTTCTCAGGCAAACTTGCATCTCCTCTGGAAGCAGAGACAAGAATTGTTCCAGGACGATCATATCCACAATCTGTTCCTTGGTGCGTTCTTGAGGGCGCAGCCATCGATGAGCAGCATCGCTCAGGCGGGACAGCGTCCCCAGAGGAGTTTCTCCAAGTGGGACAATGCTCTGGCGGAACATCTGCCGATGAGATTCCTGGCTGGCCAGACACAACGCCTTAGTCTCCGCAGGAGTGCCAACTTGGTCCGCCATCTTGGATGGGGGATGTGACCGAGGAAACTTTCCAGGGAATAGAGAGGCTGGAAGGAATATCTGGCTGCTCAGAGGCCCAGCTAGAGCCATCGTTGTCCCGAGGAAAGTCCTATCCTATGAAATAGAGATTACAGAGTGTCTTGAAGTCCTCCTGAAATCCCAGTGTGTGACACAATGTTCACAATCATAAATTTACCTCAGTTCCCCAGAAACGCTAACTGCTTACACATATTTCCATCCTCTATTCTTTGAAGGATGAAGCGGTATATAAATGACCTTAATAAATACATTTTAAAAAGCGAGTGTGTGTAAAAATATGTTTTTTCCCCCCTGTCTTGACCTCAGCCCATCACCTGAAGGACATTGTTCTCTTATGAAAAGGAGATGTCAACAGATACATAGCTTTCCAAAGGCAAATGGCTGAACTCCTGTGCTGCACAATTTGCATGATAATTGAAGATACTCACTTTATAATGCATTGTATGAAAGGCCATTTAGTTCTCTTTGCTTCTTATTGCCTTAAGGGGGTTGCCTCTAAGGAGGGGAGACAAAGTCTGGGAGGCAGATAACTGCCATGACTACCCTGTTGTGCCAGGAGATGTAAACGATCACAGCGATCACAGCGTTTTACTTTGCATTAAGAGAGACAAAAGAATCTTGCAGCACCTACTTCAAAATCAGTATTTAGGCCAGCCAAAATGTCACAAAATAATGGTCAAGTTTTCAGGTTCTCCAGAACTCTGCCTCAGCCTAATAGTTTATTGCGTGGCGAATAGTTTATTGCGTGGCGAGTTCCCGCCCCCCACCAGGATAAATAAAGACACAAGACACCATAGTTTAAGGTTAAATGGGCGAATTAGGCCACAACTTTATTGAATTCAGGAATGAGAGGCATTGGCTTAGGCATTGGTCCTATCGACTATCTGGCTCCAGCCCATTTGCTGGAGACACGGGAAGGGTTAACACCATAGAGGGGGAGTCTCCTGCTGAGGCACCCCTCGGGGGCGTGCCTTTGGCCCACACCTCCATAGGCTTTGGACAGGGCCACGCCCCCCCCAGTCCTTTATCGGACCACCCTTCGCTCACTGGGGGGAGGTGATGGCGTTCCTCCCCCCCCACATCCTCTTAACCCCTTCTTACCAATGCCTACCGCCACACGAGCAATCGCTCGCCGCCAATACTCTCATGCCTGAAACCAATCCCTTACCCCCTTTGCTATATCAGTAAGCCACATGTCATTTCCCGCATCTGAAAGATGCACGCCATCAAGCCAAATATCATTTCCCGCATCCGAAAGATGCACGCCATCAAGCCGGTAGAGGGCCTCGCAGTTGCCCGGGTGGTCAATGACCCACCCACCCAGGGCTGCCACTCTACACACCACCGCCCGGTCCAAGGCTTTCCTAGCCCTATTTATGGCTATCGGGCACCTGCTCTCTCTCCAAACCCGGCTTTCCATCAACAAGGCCCCAAGAATGGTGATGTTTGGATAAGAGGCCTTAAGTTCCTCAAAGTCACTAAAGATATGCCACATCAAGTCGACTGCCTTTCTGTAAGCTAACTCATTTTCGCCTAATTGGATAACTAAAGCATCTGGGGGGCCCTCCGCTGCCGCTCTGGCCCTAATAGCAGACAACATTTCGGCCCAACACATTCCCCTCCGAGAGATCCAAGATATATTGATGTAGTTAAGGTGCGGCCCGAGACCGGAATTGATGGCGCGGACCCTGGCCCAATGCACAATGCTGTGCCCGATTGTCCAGATGCGCGCCCTCATAGCTCCTGCACCCTAGGGTCCCCGTTAACGGCATGGTTTCTATCCCAGTGGACGGTGCAGGGCCTATACTCCAAATATGCACCACAACGTCACCTGAAAGCAAAAGAAGGTAACAAAGCCAGGTCAGGTATACAGTGGTGCCTCGCAAGACGAAATTAATTCGTTCCGCAAGTTTTTTCTTCTTGCGAGTTTTTCGTCTTGCGATGCACGGTTTCCCATAGGAATGCATTGAAAATCAATTAATGCGTTCCTAGGGAAACCGACTTCAGACCAGGTCCGGGGACAGTCTGTCCCCCGACCTCTTCTGAAGGCTGGGGGGGGGGACAAGGGCTTTTCTTCCCACCCCCAGCATTTTAAAAAACCCCGGGACAGCGGAGGACTTCTCCGCTGTCCGGGGCGATTTAAAAGCCCCTGGGAAGGCAGGCAGGGGGGACAAAGACTTTTGCCCCCCGCCAGCCTTCAGAAGAGGTCCTGGACCTCTTCTGAAGGCTGGCGGGGGCGAAAGTCTTTGCTCCCCCCCGCCTGCCTTCAAAAGCTTCGCGGACCTCTCCGCCAGCAGCGGCAGCGCTGCCGCTGCTGGCGGAGAGTTGCCGGCATGCCGAAGCCTGCGCGCGCTGACATCAGCGCGTCCAGGCTTCGCGGATCTCTCCACAAGCAGCGGGAACGTTCCCGCTGCTTGGGGAGAGTTGCCGGCATCCCGAAGCCTGCGCTCGCTGACATCAGCGCGTCCAGGCTTCGCGGATCTCTCCACAAGCAGCGGGAACGTTCCCGCTGCTTGGGGAGAGTTGCCGGCATCCCGAAGCCTGCGCTCGCTGACATCAGCGCGTCCAGGCTTCGCGGATCTCTCCACAAGCAGCGGGAACGTTCCCGCTGCTTGGGGAGAGTTGCCGGCATCCCGAAGCCTGCGCTCGCTGACATCAGCGCGTCCAGGCTTCGCGGATCTCTCCACAAGCAGCGGGAACGTTCCCGCTGCTTGGGGAGAGTTGCCGGCATCCCGAAGCCTGCGCTGCTGACATCAGCGCGTCCAGGCTTCGCGGATCTCTCCACAAGCAGCGGGAACGTTCCCGCTGCTTGGGGAGAGTTGCCGGCATCCCGAAGCCTGCGCTCGCTGACATCAGCGCGTCCAGGCTTCGCGGATCTCTCCACAAGCAGCGGGAACGTTCCCGCTGCTTGGGGAGAGTTGCCGGCATCCCGAAGCCTGCGCGCGCTGACATCAGCGCGTCCAGGCTTCGCGGATCTCTCCACAAGCAGCGGGAACGTTCCCGCTGCTGGCGGAGAGTTGCCGGCATCCCGAAGCCTGCGCGCGCTGACATCAGCGCGCCCAGGCTTCGCGGATCTCTCCTGCCTTCAAAAGCCGTCCGGGATAGCGGGAAGCGCTTCCCTGCTATCCCGGACTGCTTTTAAAATGCTGGCGCTGGGGAGCAAAGCCTTTCGGCCCCGCCAGCCTTCCTGGACCTCTTTTGAAGGCCGGAGGGGGGGGGAAAGGCTTTGCTCCCCACCGCTAGCATTTAAAAGAGGTCCCCGGAGATTTCCCTATGGGCTTTCGTCTTGCGAAGCAAGCCCATAGGGAAATTCGTTTTGCGAAGCGCCTCCAAAACGGAAAACCCTTTCGTCTAGCGGGTTTTCCGTCTTGCGAGGCGTTCGTCTTGCGGGGCACCACTGTACTGTGATCAGTCACAAGGTCTTACGAATATATCCCTTAAATGCATGAGACTTCCACTGCCCCCAAGTCCTTCATCCTTTCAGCTGAGAGTCCCAAATGCAGTGCTGTGGTGGCGGCCCCAATCCTAAAGGAGTTAGCCGCGAATTCAGCCGAGGATAAACCGCAGGCAGCAATCTCCCTTCGCATAACGCGCGTGGACTGATGCCGTGCAAGGCGGGAGCCATCCAAATGTATAAGGAATGGACCTGAGACGGTTGGTCTCACGTACATGAAATGTTTAGTGTCCTTTACCTGCTGATCGGTTTTGGAACATTGGACATGCAGGACTAAATTGGATCTGAACAAGGTCAGGTCTCTCAAACTAACCTCGGGCAGCGGATTCTGGTTGGCCCTTACAAACCACTTCGCCACTGCGCATAGCGCCAAAGGCAATGGAGTATGCAGCTGAAAATAACCGGGCCTGGTCCTCGGACCAACAGATACTTATTATTATTATTATTATTATTATTATTATTATTATTATTATTTATTTTGGAATTGGCATAGAATGTCATAAGGGCCTTCTACCATCACTTTTAGGAGGCTGCAGCCTGCGACAGCCCTACAACAACAACAACAATAATAATAGTAATAATAATAATTTATTATTTGTACCCCGCCCATCTGGCTGTGTTTCCCCAGCCACTCTGGGCGGCTTCCATAGAAACCAAACATACACTAAAATATCACACATTAAAAAACTTCCCTGAACAGCAGCCCTACAGTGCCCTTCACACTAAGAAGTCAACGCCAGGGGCTATGGATTAAACCAGTGTTTCCCAACCACTGTTCCGCGGCACACTAGTGTGCCGCGAGATGTTGCCTGGTGTGCCGCGGGAAAAATTAAAAAATTGAAAGATTTTTTTTTTAAAGTCAAATTTTCGATTGGGGCGCCGTCACTAGATGACCTCTGGGGTTCCCTCCCTCCCTCCCGCTCTGCGCCTCCCTCCTCCTCCTCCTCCTCTGGGGAGGCCCTTCCTGGCTCTCGGCCAAGGCTTGGCGGCTGCCACTCACTCACTCGCTCGCCCACCCGTCCCTCCATCCCTGCACCCGGCCTCTCCCCCTCCGTCCCCGGCGCGGGGGCTGCCGGGATCCGTAGTCCCCTCGCCCTTGGGCTCCGCGCCCGCGTGGGGTGCGCGAACTACGTTTCCCAGCGTGGCCTGGCGGGCCGGGCGTTTTGTTTGAAGCGCTCTTCTCCCGGCCATGGAATGAGCGCAGCGGCGGCGGCTGGGCGGGCAGGGGCTCTTCCGCGCAGCCTGCCTGCGCCCCTCGGAGATCGGGCGGCAGGATGGAGCCCGGGGATCCCCGCGGAGGCGGAGCGGCGAAGGCGGAGGCTGCCCCCCAGGTAGGGCTGCGTCGGGGTTTTTTTATTTTTGCAATGCTGCATCCGCGCCGGAGGGGACGCATCGGACCGCGGGGAGACCTCTTGGCGTGCGTGCAAGGCAATGCATGCGTGCAGGCGTTGCATGGAGTGCAGTGCAATGCAATGGCAACGCGGCGCCCTGCATGCATGCATGCAACTTCCACCTGCGCTCCGGACTTGGCAGGTGAGGGGGGTCCCCAGTGGGCGGCAGAGAGAGCCGGGAGGGCGAAGGGGAGCCGGGGGGGGGAGAAGCACTGCTCCCCGAGCCGAGCCCGGGGGGAAACTTCGGCGTCGTTGCGCCGGGTGTTGGAAGCGGAGGCTGGCGGGGGCCCCTCACCTGCAAAACCTGGTCGCCTCTCATATATTTCGTGCATTGCATTCATCGCCCGCTTTCTCCTCCAAGGAGCTCCCGGGGGCGCGCGTGGTTCTCCCCGTGTTATCCTCGCAACAACAGCCCTGCGAGGTGGGTCAGGCGAGTGGCCCAAGGGAGCACCCAGGGATTGTCCTGGCCAGGTGGGGTGATTTGAACCCTGCTCTCTGCCCAGTCTTCGTCCTCATTTAGCCCCCACATGTGCATGACTGTGCATGACTGAGGTTTTCCCCCCTCGTCTTGGCTATGGTGTGAGTCTGTGCTGTTAATTAATGGGGTTCTGCCTTCGGAGAAGATGAGCCAGCCCTCAAGGAGGTGATTATGTAATTTGCTAGCAATTCATGTCCCTCCCGGCGTGACGCTGCGCGCTGACGTCACGGGGCTGTAATGGTGGTGTGCCTCGAGATTTTTTTAATGAAACAAGTGTGCCTTTGCCCAAAAAAGGTTGGGAAACACTGGATTAAACAACCTTACAGAAAAAGGGAGATTGCCGCCTACTGGATGTTTAAGAGTCTTTGCTGCACGACCCAGCACCCTCCAATGTACCAAGTATTGCAGAGCTTCAGCCTTGGTAGGAGGTGTGTCAAGCCTAGGATTTTCTAATTTGCCTTGAGGTGTGTCAAGCCTTCCTTCCTTCCTTCCTTCCTTCCTTCCTTCCTTCCTTCCTTCCTTCCTTTCTTTGCCTTGGAACTCCATAAAGTCCAACCAAGCCTTTTTATAAGATCTAAGCGTGGACGGGGCTCCTGAAGCTAATACTCCCTTCAGGACATCACGTTCCCAAGGCTCCAAAGGTGCTCCCGGAATGGCTGTGGCAATTTGCTGCGCCTGAGCATCCGTGATCTCATTGTTAACCCTAGGGGTAAATTTGGTAGAGAAATAGATGTTTAATTCTAAGCACAAAAGGACAAAGGTCTGGGGCAGATCTGCCACTCTAGGAGAGTGCGATAATTGCTTTGACAGGACACTGACAACCGTTTGATTGTCGGTCCAGAAGCATACCTGGTGATTCCTGAACTCGTCAGCACGCAAGTGCCATTGTACTTTTCCAGGAACTTCAACCCAACCTTCAGGTCTGACTTGACCACTTTAGAGAGGCGCACTCAGTGTTGCGGAGCACGCTGAATGCAATAATTTGAATTCCAATATACTGTGCACTAATGCTTCAATTTAATTTAAATGCGTTTCGTAAATTCCCAGAATGAAATTCTCAAGAGTGTAAGTATAAACAAAAGCAGTCAAATTAATTAGAGGATATCAATTCTAAGATCAGCCTAGCCAGAGACGCTGTAGCCAGCTCTATACAAGCTTATGCACCAAGAGGAGGGGCTCCCTGCAGCCCCTTGTGCGCTCTTATTTAAGCTAGGCTCTTTTAATAATTGCGCTATCATCCTTTGTTTATATTGCTTTTGAATTTAAAACCAACGAGAAAGTGAGGGGCACTTGAAAAGGAGATAGCTCCCATGCGGTTTTGCCTCTCCTAAAATGGCTGCCGCCGCAAGGCCACATGGGCAACCAAAATGGCAGCCGTAATGCATTCCCGTTGCCTAGCGACAATGAACACGTGCGAAAACACTTAACACTAGCCCTTTAACACTGAAAAATTCCGCAGCCTCAAGAGCAAAACCTGCAGGCATTCCCCACGGACCCCTTATGAACGTTAATTATTCCCCTGGTTTTCTTGCCGGTTAAGCTTAAAAGGGAGGGTTTGTAAAATTACTTCCCACGTGGAATGCCTATAGTAAAATGGCGGCCGCCCGGAAGGGCACGTGGACGGATGAAATGGCGGCCGGGGCGCGCTGGTTGCCCGGCAACGGCGCAGCTGCTTCCGAGGCTTTCCAAGTCTAAACTTCCGCGCGAAAATGAAACAGCCTGTAGAGGAAGGGATGCTCTGTGGAAGCCACTCACCCCCTCAAGAATGCTGCTGAAATGATTATTTAACAAGAAATTCTGCAAGAAAATGAAACACAACCGGCACAAAACGCAGCCTGCTCTCCTCCCGCAGCTGCCGTTCCGCCTAATTGCACCACGCTCCCCTGCACAAACCCCTAGCGAAAACCTGACGCCCCAACAGCAAAACCTGATTGGATGGGTGCGCTGCGTCCTCCGAACGGCCCCAAACGTTCTTCTGTGAGCTCCTTGCAGAACAGGCAGTCAGCAGCCGAGGGCAAGCAACGGATCACCAGAAAAAGCTCCACAAAGCTGAATAAATTCCTCTGAAGGGGGCATGCAGCGGCAGGCAGGGCAAGCTCCTGAGGGCAGGGAACTTGCACCGAAACACACAGAGCTCCCTGTAAAACTGTAGACGTGAAAGAGATGCTGGAAGGAAAACACACACACACACACACACTGATTTTAGCTCAATTACAGCTCCGGTGTTAAACTGCAGCAGCTGGAATGGAGCGCAAAGGGGGAAACCCCCAGAAGGAGAAAAGCCCCAAATTGGTTTCAGCTCCAAAACTAGAGCTAACAACTCCTGAACATCAAGCAGTTTAGAAATCAAGCAACACCAGCAGCGAATGCTGGAAATTCTCTGTAAAAGAAACAAGCATAAGCTTTGGAAACAGGGCGAGTGAATTAATTTCTCATCATATAAAGGATCTGGAGCAAACGGGGAAAAAGAAACGGCAGGTGTTTGTTGTTGTCGTCCCATCCCCTGTCCCCCCCCCATGGTACAAAATCTTTTATCTATGTTTGTTCCATCGATTCTTACCTGGAGCAAGAAGTTCAGAGGAATCCTGAGCTGATCTCTCTACTGCAGGAGGCTCGGGGAAAGTCTTCCACCTTCTCACACAATCCCATGAAACTAGCATCCAGGTGTAAGGAAGGACTAATCAACTAGAGGTTCAGCCTCTTAAATAAAACTCCTTTCATTCTAGCCTGGTAACACAACCCCCATGCACTGCCCTCTGGTGGGGAGAAGCTTAAATGACCTGACTAGGATCACCTCTTCTGTTGAGGAAGTAGGTTAGTCATCTGACTGTGGAGATGGTGGGAGCCTGGGCTCCTTTTGTGCCTTTAACAGTAGCTTGAGCTGAGAAAGAAAAATCAGCAGGGAAGCTTTCCATAGCAGAGTCAAACCCAGCCCCTGAATCAATCTGACCGGAGGGAAAAAGCTGGAACATTAACTATGACAATCTTTCCCCAACTTGGCGCCACCCAGATGTTTCGAACTACAACCCCCAGTGCCCCAGATGGGAGTTGCAGCCCGAAACATCTGGACTGTGTCAGGTTCGGGAAGGCTTCATGGTGACACTGAGTGCTGGAGGGGCAAACATTTAGCTTATTTCCCTCTTCCCTCCCCATCCCCTTTATTCAATTTGCATCGTGCCAGTTTCTAATAATAATAATAATAATAATAATAATAATAATAATAATAATAATAATAATAATTTATTATTTATACCCTGCCTATCTGGCTGGGTTTCCCCAGCCACTCTGGGCGGCTTCCAACAAAATATTATAATACAGTAAGGCATCAAACATTAAAAGCTTCCGTAAAACAGGGCTGCCTTCAGATGTTTTCTAAATGTCTTGTGGTAGTTCTCTTTGACATCTGATGGGAGGGCGTTCCACAGGGCAGGCGCCACTACCGAGAAGGCCCTCTGCCTGGTTCCCTGTAACTTGGCTTCTTGCAGTGAGGGAACCGCCAGAAGGCCCTCGGCGCTGGACCTCAGTGTCCGGGCAGAACGATGGGGGTGGAGACGCTCCTTCAAGTATACTGGACTGAGGCCGTTTAGGGCTTTAAAGGTCAGCACCAACACTTTGAATTGTGCTCGGAAACGTACTGGGAGCCAATGTAGGTCTTTCAAGACCGGTGTTATGTGGTCCCGGCTGCCGCTCCCAGTCACCAGTCTAGCTGCCGCATTTCTATCCCACTTTCCCAAATCTTATATTTCTATCCCGTTTTCCCTCCAAGGAGTTTGAGGCTGTGACCTGCTTTCCCTTCCCCTATTTTATCCCTGCAACAACCCTGCGAGGTTGGTTAGGTTGAGAAACAGGGGTTGGCCCCAAGCCACCCAAAGCGAGCTTCACAGTGGACGAGTGTTCATGAATTGGCAGGACGACAGGAAGGAGGAAGGGGTGTAGCCACAATTGGCACACACCAGGGCAAGGTGGAGGATAGGTGGGTGGGGTGGGGTGGCTGGAATGTACTCACAGGGCGGCGGAGGATGGGCTGAGAGTCAGTGCCCAGGAACCAGAGAAGGAGGACCCGTAACCAGAGACAAAGGTCTCCACGAACTCGGCCGGCTCCAAGGGGAGCAGTGGGTGGGTGCTCTAGGAGGCTGAGGCAGGCAAGGACCCACAGCCCAGCTCCCTAGCTAGCCAGGTGGGGCTTGTTAGCTCTGGGAAGGGTGTGATTCCTCAGCTGGAGTAAGCTTGGAACAGGGGAGGGTCACCTGTTCCTCATCAAGCCCCAATGCTGCAATCAGCCTGCAAAATACAAAAGGGAAGCTGCGCCTGCTCAACCGCCCATGTTGATGTTCCAGGAGTGCTACAGAGCTGTACTTTTTGGGAATACAGACAGACATCTCTAGGTACTTGCTGCCAGGTATAATTAGGCATTTGAATCCAGGTCTCCTCAGGTCGCCAGGCGGGATCCTCTAATGAATATACACCACAAGCTTTCTAATTGGACTTTAAGGCAGTGTTGTTGTTTTTCTGGGAGTGCTCAAGGGAACGCAGTGCCAGCACCTCCCCCCTCCCAAAAAAGAAAAGCTTTAAGGCAGGCATGGCCAAACTTGGCCCTCCAGATGTTTTGGGACTACAATTCCCATCACCCCTGACCACTGGTCCTGCTAGCTAGGGATCATGGGAGTTGTAGGCCAAAAACACCAGGAGGGCCGAAGTTGAGGAAGCCTGTTTTAAAGCACTATGATGCCATTTTAAACAATTGTGCCTCCCCCCCCCCCATATTCCTGGTAGTTCTCTCAGAAGAGGCAATGAGCATTAAGCCACTCTGAGAAATGTACCTCTGTGAGGGGAATGAGGGGTTCTCTCTCCTGACAACTTCCAGCACCTTTAGCAAACTACAGCTCATAGCAGCGCTGGGTTTAGGGCGGTGAGGGTGGTTCTCCCTGGCACAGGGTGCCAAGCTGATGGGGCGCAAAATTGAGAAGCTCCATAATTCAGGGATGCCAAATTTTGGTGCCATATTACCAAAGATTACCAAAGTCCACCCCTGCTCCCAGAATGCTTTGCGGAAAACAATGGCTGTTCCAAGTGGTATCATAGTGCTACAAATATATGGTGTGGATGTGACCTAAGTCTGTAGGCCGCTCCTCCTCCTCCTCCTCCTGTTATTCTCCTCCTCAAACTGTGCCTAAACATTATAGGTGCTTTAGAGATTAATAAATATATGCACGTCAAGCTGTTGTTAAGAGGTGCAGCTTTAGTGGCTGATGGGAAAGTTGGCAATACTACATGGATGGCCTCTGCTGGGACACATCCTGCTCTCAGGAGCTCGTTCTGTCTGACTGTTGCATTTATAGTGCTGTTCGTTCACCCTCTTTATCCCAGGGAAGTCAATGATATCTCTCATCTGCCTCAGCAGCCTATAGGTGCTCTGTCGTAGGGTGACCCCTGTCTTCCAGGCAGAAGCTTCTAACCGCAAGCAGCACTGGGAGACAGGCAACACTTTCAGGCTGTGCTTTTCAACATGGCGATAAAAGTGAGGGAGAGGACCTCCCTCCTCTTGGGGAAAGGTGGTTCAGTCAGTTCCTGGATGGAAAACTACTAGGGAACCCTGTTACACCCTTTGGGGTTCCACAGCTGAAAGGTGGGAATTAACATGCAATAAGTTAGTGATTAGGGATGCGGGTGGCACTGTGGGTTAAACCACAGAGCCTAGGACTTGCCGATCAGAAGGTTGGTGGTTCGAATCCCCACGACGGGGTGAGCTCCTGTTGCTCGGTTCGTGCTCCTGCCAACCTAGCAGTTCGAAAGCACGTCAAAGTGCAAGTAGATAAATAGGTACTGCTCCGGCAGGAAGGTAAATGGCATTTCCGTGCGCTGCTCTGGTTCGCCAGAAGCGCCTTAGTCATGCTGGCCACATGACCTGGAAGCTGTACGCCGGCTCCCTCGGCCAATAAAGCGAGATGAGCGCCGCAACCCCAGAGTCGGCCATGACTGGACCTAATGGTCAGGGGTCCCTTTACCTGAATGTAGCAAGCAAAACTGGCTGCCCTCATCCCCTTTGTTCCCAGACTACTCTCCTGCCCTCCATTCCTAGATAGGCCAAGTATGACTTGAATCAACATCAGCAGAGGCACAAGAACCATTTTATTTTAATTTTTTACTGTGGTCACCAAAGGTTTATTGAAAGAAGCAGAGGGTCAAAAGCTTGCAAAGGTTTTTCTAAGGCAGCAGAAAGGAGTGGTGGATTCGTGGGCGGTGAACAGGTTGTCTGGACCAATCGCATCCAAGCCTAGTTTTGGAATGATCAGTGCTTGATCTCTCTCTGAGCCAAGTCTTCATAACATCCTTACACATTAGTTAGGGGGCTGATGAAGGGAGGCTGCCTCTCTCTGACCCCTCATCGACGACCACAACCCTGCAATGACATTGGTCTGGACGGCTTTCCCAATCAGTTTGGCTTCGATAGCTTTAATATCATTACACTGCTTCACAAGCTGGGCCTTTGTATTTCGGGAGGTGTCCTCCAAGTCAGAAATCCTGAGCTCAGCCTCGTCCGAACACCCAGAGAGACTCCCGAGGGCGCTGAGGGTGGCAGTGACTGAGGTGTGCAAGCGGGAGACTGCAGCCTTTATCTCCACAGCGTCGGCAGCAACTTGTTCTAGCAGAGCCATGAACTGGGCCAGTGTTGGCTCGGCCGCCATTTTGTAGAGAGGGGGAGGGGAGGGAGATACTGGCTCGGGTTTCAGTCTTTGGGGCTTTGGAGGGGAAGGTCCGGTCCCTGAGGCCGTTCTGATTGTCGCTGTAGTCAGATGCAATGCTTCCCGAGCCTGGAGATGGTCTTTGAGGGGTTGCCTTAGTCTTCTTCCTGGTTCAAGAAGTCTGCATTGGCTAAGTTTGTAGAGGCCCTTGTCTTTCCGGTCCAAACGTTTCTGAGGTTTTCCAGCTGGCTGGATTCTTTGAGGCACTCCAAGAACAGACTCGGCATGCATGTTTTCCCCATTAAAATACTTTCCTCTTTTGTAAAGTCGCCTTTGTTTCATTAAAGCCAAGAGGTCTCTGGGCTTCTTACCTGAATCGGAACAGCTAGCCTGGCCAGCATTTTTGGTGAACCGCCTATTGGACTTGGGACTTTTATATAGGTCTTCCCTGTGAGCCATTTCCCGGCCAGCAATGTGCTTTGAGCACTGATCCTGACCCCCACAATCAGTGCGGCTATTCTGGTTCTCTGGTCCTGGTTCAGCACCTAGCTGAAGCATGTCTTTGGACAGATCTCTCAGACCATTTCCATAGAGAAGACATTTCTCCTGTCCATCATTTCCTGAGATGCTGGTGCGATGGCTCTCCAGAACGTTCTGGTCCTCGCTGATTGAATCTGAAATCCTACACCCACTTCCCTGGGCGTGAGCCCCACTGGTACTTACTTCTGAGTAAACATGTGCAGGTTTGTGCTATAAGTCTGCCGTCTCGTTCACTTCGGCAAGAATCAGGTTTGAGCAAAGCTGCATAGGCTTGGACTGCAGGTCTTGCTTGGCAGAAATCTGAGAAAGCTCATCCACAGACATTTCCAGTGCCACATAGTCAGGATCTTCCCTGCTGTGGATTTTCTGATTGCTGCCAAGTCTTAGTGATTCCTCCAGTTCTGCAGAATCAGTACGCGGCCTAGAGTCAAGATGAAGTGGGTCCCTCAAGCTGTTTCTAAGAAGAGTAGATCTCTCTTGACTTGCCTGTTGCCCCAGCAAACTGCTCTGGTCCTCTTTGATTAAGTTTCCCTGAAGATTCTGGAGGATTTTCTTCTCAGATAATTCATGTGACTCTCCAGATTGAGTCATAGGCTTAGAACTTTCCTCGCTGGGACTTTCCTGAGTATTGATAAATGCTGATAAGGATTCGCCCCAGTCCTCACAATCGGCACAAGTCTCCATCTCTAGGTGAACCATGTCACTGTCTAGTTTTTGCAAACTCTTCTGACAGAGAACATCCTTTTCTCTGTCTCTTCCTGAGTTGGTTTTTTGCTTCCTCTCCAGACAGCTCGGCCTTAGCAAGTCTTGTTCAGGGCTCTGCAAAATGGCCTCCTTGGATTTTCCCATCACCACCGATTCGCACGCTTCCAGCCAAGGATCCTCTTCTCTGCTTTTGCTATCGGTCCCGTCACCTGCTGAAGCAAGGAAAAGCAATCACACTGTGTCCTAAAAATTTATTAAGCTGCACCAGTCCCTCTCTACTGCAATTAAAAGAAGTCACAAAATTGAATAATCAGCTCACGGTGCAATCCTATGCCTATCTAGTCCGGCGGAAGGCTTGGTGAGTTCAGTTTATTTATTTGTAAAAATATGCATATACTGCTAACTTGTATAGAAGCCATCTAGGCAGTGTACAGCAAATGTTAAAATAACAGAAAATGCAAGGAAAGTACAGAAGCAGAAAATGTCATGAGTTCAACTTAAAAAGACTGTTGATGAAAGAAAGTATTCAAAGGGCATCTAAAAATGGGAAGCTAGATGACCACATAAAATAGTTAATAAAAGATGTACAAGGGGATGATTATTTTAAGAGAAATCTGGGTATAACTGATGCATGCCTAAATTGTATGCTGCAGTAATGTAAAAGTGGAAAGAGTTGGTAACCGTACACCAGGATTCTCTAGGAACACTTACTCATCCAGGCCACGTTATCGTAATTCTCCTGCATGACATCCCAGTAAAGGGTTTTCTCTTTGTGGCCCAGCAGAGCCCATTCTTCCTCCGTGAAACGCACAGATACATCTTCAAAGGTTACCAGGCCCTGAAACAAACAAGAGGGATATTCCATTAATGTCACAGTATTAAGACTTCTGTTCACTGTGTTGGGCAAAGCCTTAGGAGGTTTTGGGAGAAAGGGACATAGCTTAGGGGCAGACCAGAAAATTTGCATGCACAAAAGCGGCAGCGCACGTACATTGCACACACATAGCTCAGTTGGTTAGAGAATGTGCTGATGATAACGCTAAGGTTGCAGGTTTGATCCCCGTATGGGACAGCTGAATATTCCTGCATTGCAAGGGGTTGAACTAGATGATCCTCATGGTCCCATTCCAATTCTACGATTCTATGATTCTATCTCCAGCTGAAGGATCTTGGGTGAGGGCCTTTTTTCAGTCTTGGTATCCAAGACATTTGAGATTCAGGGCCAGTCAGAGATGACTATACTAGAGGAGATGGACCAGAGGCCTGGCAATTTCTTAAGTCCAATAACTTGCATTTAGACACCACACCAGGTTTATTATTATTATTTAAAATCATTTGCTAAAAAGGTACTATGGTTACCCAATTTCTCCCCCTGGCTCTGATAGCATAGCATTCAAGGCATGTTTTTGTGCAAACCCCTTTTTGCTCAGTCTAGCCCAGGGGTCTGCAACCTTTAAGACAAAAAGAGCCACTTGGACCCGTTTCCGAAGAAAAAACAACTGGGAGCCGCAAAACTCGCCATTATAAAAATAACTTTTTTGTCACTTTTTTATTATTTCTTTGTTTGACCCCCTCAGAATTACTCCTCCTCATAGAAATAAACGTTAAATTAACAAGTTACCTTTTTTGTGTGTGTGTTCCTCACTCCCCTTTCAATGCAATGACCAGCATACATGCCCCTTACAATGTAGCGGGCGGGCGGGAAGGTGATGTCGGGACGGTGTGTGACTAACACACGCACCGCCCCCATGCGACGTCACAGCCAGTACAGCGCCCGCCACAGTGGGGAGTGTCGGAGCGCACAATGCACCTCCTCCCCTCGCTAGTATCTGCCCCGGAGCCGCAGCAAAGGTGTAAAAGAGCCACATGCGGCTCCGGAGCCGCGGGTTGCAGACCCCTGGTCTAGCCCCAGGCCATTTCTGGTTATCCCATTCTATGGCACTCCATATCACAGCACTCAGCATCTTGGCATTTCCCACTTAACTGTACGGAATGAAAGTGAAGGAAAGATCAGCAGGAAGCTTCCCATTTATTTGGTCATGGGAACACAGGCTTAGCCTCACCTCACACCACTGCGATTAAATGCACACTCTGTCACAGGCACAAACGAGATATAATCAGAGAAGAGACCAAATCAGACTGGTTACTCAACCAGATTATGAGCAATAATGTGCCATCTGTGCCTTGTATCCCTGCCTTATATCAACAACAGAGAGAGAGAGAGAGAGAGAGAGCAGCAAACATTTTGCTTCCAGCAATGCTCTCCTGCAGTTTAGAGCTGCGTGCCAAGCAGGAAGAAAGCTTTTCCATCATGGCACCTGCAAGCCAGGAATAGCTTCAATTGCATCTCACGCAGCCTTTAATAATAATAATAATAATAATAATAATAATAATAATAATAATAATATTTTATTATTCTGAGCGGCCTCCAACTAAACACTAAAATACAATAACCTATTAAACATTAAAAGCTTCCCTAAAAAGGGCTGCCTTCAGATGTCTTCTAAAAGTTTGGTAGTTATTTTTCTCTTTGACATCTGATGGGAGGGCGTTCCACAGGGCGGGCGCCACTACCGAGAAGGCCCTCTGCCTGGTTCCCTGTAACTTGGCTTCTCGCAGCGAGGGAACCGCCAGAAGGCCCTCAGCACTGGACCTCAGTGTCCGGGAAGAATGATGGGGATGGAGACACTCCTTCAGGTATACTGGACTGAGGCCGTTTAGGGCTTTAACACCAACACTTTGAATTGTGCTCGGAAACGTACTGGGAGCCAGTGTAGGTCTTTCAAGACCGGTGTTATATGGTCTCGGCAGCCGCTCCCAGTCACCAGTCTAGCTGCTGCATTCTGGATTAGTTGTAGTTTCCGGGTCACCTTCAAAGGTAGCCCCACATAGAGTGTATTGCAGTAGTCCAAGCGAGAGATAGCCAGAGCATGTACCACTCTGGCAAGACAGTCTGCGGGCAGGTAGGGTCTCAGCCTGCGTACCAGATGGAGCTGATAAACAGCTGCCCTGGACACAGAATTGACCTGCGTCTCCATGGACAGCTGTGAGTCCAGAATGACTCCCAGGCTGCGCACCTGGTCCTTCAGGGGCACAGTTACCCCATTCAGGACCAGGGAGTCCTCCACACCCGCCCGCCTTTTAAAAGAAGAAAAGCCAGCGAAAACAAAACATAAACACTGGTTATGAATGATATGTGTGTCATATCCAGGTTACCAGAATCCTTTCCCAACAGGCTCCAAGTAAACCTTTCCCCACAGTGCAGGCCCCAACAAACCCTGTGACCCACCACCCTGACCTTTTGCTGAATGCATTGCAGCGGATATTCTGTAGCCGTCAGAAAAGGATTAACACCGGACGTCAGTTTCTGGCCAAGGAGACGGAACTCACTGGGTCTCCACAGCAGAGGTGGGGAACCTAAAGGGCCACATCCCTTCCCAGACAATCACCCAGGGGCCACACGCCAATGGCGAGGCAAGGGTGGGTGGGGCAGCAGACATGGCTCTAGCCGCAGCACAGTCAACCGCCATCATAGTTCGAGGACAAATTCCAGCCAGGCAAAAGCACTTGAGGAGGGACATGGAGCAGGGCTGGTGAGGGTTGTGGACTGGGGAAAGCGCAGAGGGCCAGTTAAGAGAGGACTAGAGGGCTGCATTTCCCCCCTGAGCTACAGCAGGTCTGCAACAACAGAAGCACAAAGGGCAACATCAACCAGTACCAGTTTTTCTGGGTCTGCATTAGAATCGGATACACAACAGCATTCCATTCTTAAGAGTGGCATAGTGGTTAGAGCGTTGGACTAAGAGCCAGGAGGCCAGGGTTCAAATCCCCACCCAGCCACGGAGCTCACTGGGTGACCTTGGGGCAGTCGCTCACTCTCAGCCCAACCTACTCCACAGGGTCGTTGTGAAGATAACATTGGGAGGTGGAGAACCACCTAGGCCACCTCAAGCTCCTTGAAGGAAAAGTGGGCAACACATGTAAACATATCAATAAAAGAAAGAAAACAAAACACATCCCAGCACCTGAACAGCGTTAGCTGGCTCCTCTTCCCTCAAATAGCTCTGGACCAGCTGAAGTGCCTCCTTGCTGCTGCCTGGCTCCCTGGCTCTCACACACGCCTGCAAGTTCCCCGGAAGCACATTCAGGAACTGTTCCAGGACGACCATGTCCACAATCTGGTCCTTGCTGTGCTGCTGAGGACACAGCCATCGGTCAGCTGCCTCGCTCAGCCAGGACAGAATCGCCTGGGGGGCTTCTGCAGGCGGGACAGGGCCCAAGCGGAACCTCTGGCGAGCAGCTTCCCGACTGGACCGGGTTTTGAACAAACGGGGTGCATTTGTGCCGTTGCCCAGAGCAAAGGCGGCCTTGGATCTTGCGTTCTCAAATGCACCTGAGTGCTCAGGCAAGTCCAGAGAAGCTGGCGAAGACGGATCTACAGGAACTGTCTCAGCGACAGCAGAAGATCCCTGCTGCAAGTCCGACACGACTTGGCGGGCTGCGTTCAGACGTGCCCTCAAGAGCTGGATGGTTAGCTTTGGATCGTTCTGGATGCGTGGCTTGCGGGAAGCGGGCACCCCTGGCGACGCTTGGCAGCCTGGCACGGACCCTTTGCGGACGGGCTCTTGGCTAGAGGAGGGCCTTTCCTTCGTGCCACACATCTCGGCATCCGTGCCGGCTGCCTTGGCAGGAGGAGGGTGATCGTGTGGCAAGGAGTGGACCAGCTTGCCGTGGCGCGTGTGGACCCTCCCGGGGCAACGGGACTTGTGGTAGTCGGCGCATTTCCAGACCATCTTGCTCTTGCTCTCCCGCTCCTTCCGATACAGGTACCCTTCGTGAAGCAGCTGATCCCTGCCTTTCCGACTCTTGACGTATTTCAGAGCCATTTTCATGGGGGAAGGAGGAGGAGGAGGAAAATCAATAAATCAAATGAAAGAGATGGATGGTTTCGGAAGAGTGGAGTGGGGGGAAAACAACAACCAGTAAGGGAGGAAAACGAAAATCCCTGCAACAAAGCCAAGGGACGCCGGAGATCGGCCGAACAGCTGCCGGGAAACGCCAAGGTTCTCCTTCTGGTCCGGCTCAGGGTCTGCGGGTGGTGCGCGCGTGTCCCTCCGCCTCCGCTTTAACGCGATCGGGAAAGCCGTGCAAGGAAGGGAAATATGTGAGGTTTCCTCGCTCCGCTGTCCCAGCCCTTTTTCCTCCTCTTCCCCTGTATCCGGCGTTAATTGTTAAGTCGCAGCAGCCCTTGGGGTGCGGGTTGCACGGAGGCAGGAGGAGCCCGGAGCCATCCGGCTGACAAGTTCTCACTCCGGTCGGAGAAGGTGGAGCACGCGACGAGAAGGAAAGCGGCGTTCGGGTTGGACGGGGATGCGGACTAAGCCCCGCCCCGCTTTCGCTCGTCAGCAGGTGGAGGAGGAGACAGCGTCGGATCGGCTTCGACCGCGCAGGAAGGAAAAGCTTTGCAAAGAGAAAGCTGCTTTCGCCTCGGAGCCCCCTAGTGGAGAAACGGGGTTCCCTCACAGGCGGGTATAGGATGGCAGCCCTCAAACGTGCTGATTTCAGCTGGAATGATCGCTCACAACAAACTTATCTGGGCTGGATCCACTAGTGGCAATGTGCGCTTCCCACTGAGGATCGAGAGCTCGCTAATAATAATAATAATAATAATAATAATAATAATAATAATAATAATAATTTTGTTGGAAGCCGCCCAGAGTGGCTGGGGAAAGTATGTATGTATGTAAAAAGGTAAAGGTACCCCTGACCATTAGGTCCAGTTGCGGATGACTCATCTCGCTCTATAGGCCGAGGGAGCCGGCATTTGTCCGCAGACAGATTCTGGGTCATGTGGCCAGCATGACTAAGCCGCTTCTGGCGAACCAGAGCAGCGCACAGAAACGCCATTTACCTTCCCACCTATTTATCTACTTGCACTTGATGTGCTTTTGAACTGCTAGGTGGGCAGGAGCAGGGACCGAGCAACGGGAGCTCACCCTGTCGCGGGGATTCAAACCGCTGACCTTCTGATCAGCAAGCTCTAGGCTCTGTGGTTTAGACCACAGCGCCACCCGCGTTCCTGTCATTATATGTATGTATGTATGTATGTATGTATGTAAGTATGTATATATGTATAAATAAATACACCCCGCCCATCTGGCTGGGTTTCCCCAGCCACTCTGGGCGGCTGCCAACAAAATATTATACATCAAGTCATTAAAAAGTACCCCCCCAAATAAATCCAAAAGAACAGAGGGAACATTAGTTTATTTAGCAAATATCTGTCAAAATTATTTCCATTTCCCCTTTTTCTTTTATACAGTTCTCATGGGCAGAAAAAACCCAGATACATTTTACAACCTTCTAACAAGATTTAAATATTTTGCAACGTGCCGGCCGCAGAAAGGAGATCAAACCAGCAGCAAGCACCTAGTTGTATGGCACTATAGAATGTTATCCAAAAATAAAACCAGTTTTGTTTTTGAAGGAGAGAGAAAAGTTTAAAACTTTCAACTCATGTCTGTTTTAGAATGAAACTCTTTTTCGATAAACTTCAGAGAACTGCTGTGGGTTAAAACATTTCATTCATGTGATGAAGATGAGCTTTGGAATGCAGCCTCGCAGAATCAGAGTTGGAAGGGAGCCTTAGGGTCATCTAGTCCAACCCTCTGCAATGTAGGAATCTCAACTAACGTATGCATGACAAATGGCCACCCAACCTCTGCTTAAAAACCTCCAAGGAAGAGAGTCCACAACTGCCTCTCACACTCTATTGCTACAGAAAGGACACTTCTCCCCAATGCCTTTTGCTTTCAGGCTGTGCGGCAGCTTCCTCAGTAAAAGCAATAATCACTAGCTCTTCAGCTTTCTGTTGATCATAGGAGTTGCCTGGAGTGCAATCTTGTTTCCTCTATAAAGCCCACAAACCAAAGATGAACACAACATCCTTCGTCCTTCTTTGTGCCCGCCATGTAGTGGTGGTATACTGCCTTTGAACATGGAAGTTCGATTTAGCTCTCATGGATAATAGCTAAAGACATATACTCTGTGAACTTGTCTAGTGCTGTCTAAGCCGAGACTGGGCTGAAGGTGTTATCTCTGCAACTCTAAGGACTAGATCAGGGGTCAGCAACCTAAGGCCCATGGGCCACATGCGGCCCACAGTCGTTTTACCGGCCCACGAGCCGCCCCTGAACCGAGCAGCCTGCTCGGTGAGTCCCCACGCACTGTGCTAAACCGGCGCAGCATGATGCGGGAACTAAGTTCACGGTGCCGGAAATTGCGTCTGTGCATGCGCTGAAGCTGGAAATCGCGTCTGCGCAGATGCAATCCAGCCCACAGAGGGGGCTCTGCGGCAGTGAACTGGCCCAGGCAAGGTAAGCCTTGCCAACCCCAGGACTAGATACCCTTTCACGTTCTTTAGATCCATGTCAATCATGCTTAAAATTCACTTGAAACTCAGTATTAGTCATGACTAATTTTGTCTTTTCAAACTGGGATTATGATGACTGGGATGACAATCTATCACACTCTTAATTAAGAGGCGTTAATAGCAAGGATTCTCAAGCCTCGTCACTTAACTGAAGTCATTTGAAGGCAGTCATGTATTGGGAAGTTTTTAATGTCTGACATCTTATTATGTTTTTATATGTGCTGGAAGCTGTCCAGAGTGGCTGGGGAAACCCAGGCAGATGGGCGGGGGTATAATAGTAGTAATAATAAAATAACAAGAATAATAAGAATAATAATAGTTGTTGTCAAGGGCTGATGTTTGATTTCAATTTGGTCGATACAAGAGACGTATAGACTTCAAATTTCAAACAAATTCACTTACTGACACATTCTTCATCCAGGGATTTGGAAGAAGCCTATAATAATAATAATAATAATAATTTATTATTTATACCCCGCCCATCTGGCTGAGTTTCCCCAGCCACTCTGGGCAGCTCCCAATCAGTGTTAAAAACAGTACAGCGTTACATATTAAAAACTTCCCTGAACAGGGCTGCCTTAAGATGTCTTCTGAATGTCAGGTAATTATTTATCTCTTTGACATCTGATGGGAGGGCGTTCCACAGGGCGGGCGCCACTACCGAGAAGGCCCTCTGTCTGGTTCCCTGTAGCCTCACTTCTCGCAATGAGGGAACCGCCAGAAGGCCCTCGGCGCTGGATCTCAGTGTCCGGGCTGAACGATGGGGGTGGAGACGCTCCTTCAGGTATACAGGACCGAGGCCGTTTAGGGCTTTAAAGGTCAGCACCAACACTTTGAATCGTGCTCGGAGTTACCCCACTTTAGGGAGGAAGTGACTGGCTCAGGACCACCCAATGACACTCACTGCTGAGAAATAATCTAAACCCAGTGTGAGGAATTCAGGGGAAATAAGAATCAGGACTGTTTCCATATGTTGCAATTCTAAACGAGTGTTGAAAAACTACAGAAACCCAACTTGGTAAGAACCTCAACTTTATATCAAAAGGTAATGCAATTTTACTATTCCTCGTGGATGAATTACCTAGTTTCTGTGCAATATCTGGAAAAGACAGACAAACTCACGGAGGCTGTCAACAGCTACTAGTCATAATGGTTTTATGCTCCCCTCTAGGGCTGGAGGTGCCATGCTTGGGAATACCAGTAGCTGCAAAGAATGGCAGGATGCCCTCAAGTCACCAGTGTGAAGTGGGCTTCACAACCGTGTCTGTCCATCATGAGAAAAATACATTGGGCTGAACTTCAGGGCTGTTAACTGTGTCTCAAAGAGCCGCTGTCAGAGGAAAACATTTCCATTTCTATATAGTTCCTTTCTGCTTCCCTTGAGTAGAAACAGAAGAAAAATTTCAAAATAAAAGCATTTGCGCATTTATATGGGTCATGAAACTGAGGTTTTAGTGTCACAAGTAGGACTAATTCTAATCCAGGATTTAGACACAGGATGGTGCAATGAGATATTATTGGTGGGGTAGTTGAGAATCCTTTGTAGGAGACCCTGTCCCTCAGTTATTTTAAAATGTCTTACTCTGCATTGCAAATGCCATTCCAGGGTGGGTGACGCTTGCACAAGTTTCCAGAGTTCACTCTGTGCGCGACTGTTAAAACGGTTAAGTCTATAGGGAAGACAAACTCTTGGATTAAACTCTGTTCGCTTTGGCAGAGATGCACTTGGCATTTTCTTTCGGTCCTCCGTTCCCCATCAACATGGGGATTACTGTGCTCCTTTGCAGAACACTCCAATAAGCTGTGACGGGGGAAAACCCAAAGATAATGTGCTTTGCAGATTCTGCAGTCTGGACTAGTGTTCCCCAAAAATAGGAGAGCTGAGCTATACTTGTTTTTTTCTGAATGGATGCCCAAAGAACCAACTCGAGTGCAGAGATGCAATAGCCTCCTTTGAGCGAGGACAGGTAATTCTGGCATCTCCATGTAGTAAAAGGTAAAGGGACCACTGACCGTTTAGGTCCAGTTGCGGATGGCTCTGGGGTTGCGGCACTCATCTTGCTTTATTGGGCGAGGGAGCCAGTGTACAGCTTCCAGGTCATGTGGCCAACATGACTAAGCGAACCAGAGCAGTGCACGGAAACACCGTTTACCTTTCCTGCCAGAGTACCTATTTATCTACTTGCACTTGGTGTGCTTTCGAACTGCTAGGTTGGCAGGAGCAGGGACCGAGCAACGGGAGCTCACCCCGTCGCAGGGATTCGAACCGCCGACCTTCTGATCGGCAAGCCCTAGGCTCTGTGGTGTAACCCACAGCACCAGGTATAGCTAAAAGATCCCTATCACAGCTGCTTCACAGGGAGAAGAATTCCTTGTCCTCAGATGAGGCATGCTCAGAGCCTTATAAGGCTTTTTAAAAATTCAAAAATTTCCAAAGAGTGGGAGCAAAGCTGCCTTAGGGTCATTGCCTGGTGAAATGGCTCATCAGAACCTGTTCACATAATAAAATGCAGTTTGTTGCTGCTGCTGGCTTTCATATCAGACGGCAGGGTGGGAATATCCAAAAGAAGCAGGAATGTAGGTTTGAGCCTATCCTAAACAAGGTACACCAGGAATGAAGAGTCTTGATCTGCAGAGTGCCTTGCGCCAACTCCTTATTCTCCTTGGACTATTGCCTAAATTACAGGAAGGCGGCTCCAGATAGAATCATAGAATTGTAGCGTCGGAAGGGACCACGAGAGTCATCTAGTCCAACCCCCTGCAATGCAGGAATCTTTTGCCCAACTTGAGACTCTACCCCACGATGCTGAGCCTTGTGCTCTGCCTATTGAGATGATAAGGTACAAAACTGCAGGCCCAAGCTGGATGGCTGAAAAGTCTAACTGGCTGTGGGAAGCCCAGGAGTGAAAGCTAAGTTTCTCAATGGCCCACGTAACAACGTAAAATCTGTGGAAGCTAGGCAGGAGCGGGAGATGTATTAAATAACAATGTGCAAGCACAGGAAAAAATGCAGGGTGTTGGACTGGCTGCAGAATTTAGTTTCCTGAGAATTAAAAAACCCCCGATCCCCACCCAAAAACCTCTCTTTATGCAGCCATAAGAACTAGAAATGTGCTTCTCTCCGCCCCCCCGTGCCCCCATTAAGGGTTGAGTCTGTGGGAAATGCCTGGTGAATCTCTAAAGCCAAGGTAAACAATTTCCAGTGACCAGGGGTTGGGAGGTCTTTGTCATCTCTGCGTAACATGTCATTCCGCCTCCAAGGCCAGCAAAACTTGTAAAATAAGCAAAGACTTGCATATACAGGTTCCAGAGTGTATCTCCAGTTCTGATCACAGTTCTGTAGCGGAGGCTACGCTTTGCATATTCCAGGTCCTTGGCTTGATCCCGTAGCCATGCGAGACAGCGACATCCTTTAAGCTTCCCAAAGGAAAAGGATTTAAGAACAACAAGAGGGCACGGCACGTCTTCCATCGTCATTAATCCATACGTGCTAAATCCATGTGAGGTGAGAGTTGAAGAGGTATGTTTACGCCTCCTCTACCAGGTGCATGGGCCTCCTTAGTCCCTCACATACTTGGAGTCTGGGATCGAATCACCACAAACTTAAGACTTTCAAGGCCTTCCTGATACTGTACTCTTCATCATCCCGCCACTAGGCAAGGCTGAGCCCTGGGCCGTTTGTGTTGCAGTTACCGAGTCCGAAAGCAGCTGCGCTGAAGGGATGCAGCTGGCAAGACATTCCTTCCTGGGGTCGGGGCTTTCCAGACCCCTTTCTGGGGTCTCCATCTTGCATCCTTCTGCGACTGCGAACCAAACGCCGGAGTCCATTTCTGTCGCCGACAGGATTTGCCAGGAATCCTCTCTGCCATTTTGCTTCTCGATTGGCCCGGCCCAATTACTCGATAGTGACTGCGATGATGAGGGCGGACTCCTCCGCCCTCCTCGGTGGGTTGCCGGGCTGGCTCTGGACGGGGTTTTCCAACGGCTCCAGAGCAAGCGGGTGGCTCAGAGCCGGGGGTTCCTGCACAGGCTGCGGAGGCCCGGCAGCCACCTCGGGGTGACTCTTGCTCTTGTGCGCGGTGACGTTGTCTTTCTTCTCAAACTTCTTGCCGCAGAGGTCGCAGGAGAACTGGTAGAAGGAGTCCGCGTCGTGCTTCTTCATGTGCCAGTTGAGGGAGGCTTTCTGGCGGCAGGTGAACCCACAGATCTCACACCTGCATCAAATATACAAGAAAAGGGGTGGTGATCAGCTCATCCGCATGAGGGGGTTCAGGGAACTCATGACTGGACAGCTCCATCTCCGTATACTAGGGGATATGTGTTTTTAAAGGTAAAGGGTAAAGGACCCCTGACCATTAGGTCCAGTTGTGACCGACTCTGGGGTTGCGGCGCTCATCTCGCTTTATTGGCCGCGGGAGCCGGTGTACAGCTTCTGGGTCATGTGGCCAGCATGACTAAGCCGCTTCTGGCGAACCAGAGCAGCACACAGAAACGCCGTTTACCTTCCCGCTGGAGCGGTACCTATTTATCTACTTGCACTTTGACATGCTTTCAAACTGCTAGGTTGGCAGGAGCAGGGACCAAGCAATGGGAGCTCACCCCGTCGCGGGGATTCGAACTGCCGACCTTCTGATCAGCAAGTCCTAGGCTCTGTGGTTTAACCCACAGCGCCACCTGCGTCCCATATGTGTTTTTAAGACCCACCGTATTCCTATGTCTTCTTTTAGCTGTTTTTAATATTAAATTTTAATTTGCTGTGGCCTACCCTGGGAGCTCTTAGTCATTCTGGCCACATGACCCGGAAGCTGTACGCCGGCTCCCTTGGCCAATAAAGCGAGATGAGCGCTGAAACCCTAGAGTCGGTCACGACTGGACCTAATGGTCAGGAGTACCTTTAAGCTTTTTACCCTGGGAGCTGCTGGTGAATTTATCGCCTTCCAAAGCAACTACTCTATTCTGAACTTAAAAATGGAAAGCGTAATGCAGGTGGTCAACAAAAGAAGTTTAAAGACTATCTCAAGGCAAATATTTAAAAATATGTAGTATAAACACCAACAACTGGGAAACACTTGCCTGTGAGCACTCCACTTGGAGAACAGCCTTTACCAAAGGTGTCATGGACTTTGAAGACACTTGAACTCAAGACAAAAGGGAGAAATGTGCTAAGAGGAAGGCATGCTTGGCAAATCCACACCGTGATCAACTCCCACCCGGAAACCAATGTCCCCACTGTGGAAGGACGTGTGGATCCAGAATTGGCCTCCACAGCCACTTACGGACTCATAGTTAAAACCGTGTTTATGGAAGACAATCTTACTTGGCTACGAGTGATCGCCAAAGAAGAAAAAGCATTACTAATTGTTCTTATTATCAGTAGTACAATACAACAGTCCTTACTGTAAGGGTTTTTCTCCAGTGTGGATTCGCCGGTGGATGATCAAATTGCTGCTAGTTCGGAAGGAGCGGGCGCAGAACTCACAGATGTAGTCCCTTTTATCTGCAGGGAAGGAAAAAGTAGGTCACTGGCTATTTTGGGGCCCAAGGTAACAAGCTTATATTGCAGCGAGTGTCTAATAGTTTTCCAAATATTAATCTTTTAACTACTACAGTGTACACATACAAAACCCTGTTACACATATTGGCAGGCATCCTAAGTCTCTCCCCCCCCCCCCATTCATGTAATGGAGGAGGTGATTTCTGCCAACTTTCCCCTTCATCTGTTGGGCACCATATCCCACATCAATCCCAAGGATCCCCCAAACCCCAAGAACAGATTTGGGGGGGGGTTGGGGGGGAGCACCGGAGGAACACAAAGGCAGGATAGAATTGTTTTGTGAATGTGAACGCAGTTCCGTTAATGGAAGGAGAGTTAGGATCCAAATAACAAAAATGCTCATGTTGCCATGTTTCTGTGAGTCTCACACTGCCAATCTTAAATCCTCTTGATAAGTCTGAAGACTAACTCAATACCCTGAAATGAAAACCAACCTCAAATAATAGCTGTGGGGCCTGCCCAAATATATACCTCTAGACACCATCTACATAATTTGCTCCCTTCTGGGAGCAGGGACTTGAACCCGTTCAGGACCAATCTATGTCCCAACAGGCTGGCTGCTCTCCACATCATCTCCAGGATGGAATAAGGGGGCAGGAAAAGGTTCGGCGAAGGCAAGTTAAAAGCACTTCAAGAGCTGGGCTGGTAGGGATCCTAATCAGGTGGGATCCTACAAGAATCCTCACCGCTGTGCAGTTTCTCGTGCTCCTTAAGGTGCTTCTTGAAGTTGAAGGACTTGCCGCAGCTGGGGTCAGAGCAGGTGAACGTTTTTTGGTGAACGTGCTGGTATTTCTTGTGGTGCTGAAGGAGGCAGAAAAAGAGGTCAAAGTGGAAGAAAAACTCGGCCTTCTGCAACAAAAGTGCTTTACAAAAGCAGAGCAAAGCAATCTTCCTGAACAGATAAAATACATCACATAATGGCGTGACAAACTGCAGTCTCAGAAATGTGCCCGTCCGCTGCCTCTTTACATGGCTTTGATGAAGCAAGGGGGGACTTTGCTGTGGGAGGTATGCTGCCCCAGGGAGCTTTGCATGCCCACCACCTCCAGCATCTAGGGTCCCTACAAGGAGGGCATGAGGGACCATGCCCAATGAATCATCCTCCACAGTTCTTTCTGTCCATATTGCTGGGGCATGAAATCCTTGAAGGGGTGGGGCTCCCATGGAAATTTTCTGCAGTTAACTAGGGACAGGGGATGCGGGTGGTGCTGTGGGTTAAAGCACAGAGCCTAGGGCTTGACGATCAGAAGGTCGGCGGTTCGAATCCCCGCGATGGGGTGAGCTCCCGTTGCTCGGTCCCTGCTCCTGCCAACCTAGCAGTTCAAAAGCACGTCAAAGTGCAAGTAGATAAATAGGTACCGCTCCGGTGGGAAGGTAAACGGCGTTTCCGTGCGCTGCTCTGGTTCGCCAGAAGTGCTTAGTCATGCTGGCCACATGACCCGGAAGCTGTACGCTGGCTCCCTCGGCCAATAAAGCGAGATGAGCGCCGCAACCCCAGAGTCGGTCACAACTGGACCTAATGGTCAGGGGTCCCTTTACCTTTTAACTAGGGACAGAGTGTGTTGAAGCAAAAGTCAGACGTTCCAGAAATTCTGCAAATGCCATCTTGGCAGTCAAGATAACCCTACAATTATTTGGTGCAAGAATGAGCACCTAGATGTTGATATTCACTTGTTTTGAGATATGGTACCTGGCTTGCTTTGATGCTATGCTTATCTGTGGGCCCTGGGATGCTGAACTCTCAGCCTAGAGAGGGGAGCTATCTGTAAGCCTCGGACGGTTGCCGCCTATATGCCCTCATGGGTCAGGTGGATCGATGGGAGGTTCTGGCCAAGACAACATACGTTTAACTTATTAGCACTTTGCAGACAAGCCCTGGCGGCCTCTCACTGTGGTGGTGTCTGTCCCACGACTGTAATGGCAGTAAGGTTCTGCACACTGTGTTGTAAGTTGATTTCTTTCTTTAATAAAATGCTAAGACTGGTCATTCTGGCATTTTTGACATCCTCCTTTGGCCTCCCTGCCTCAAACCACTTGCGCAGGCTCTCCTTTGGGTCTACGGTTCAGAAAATAAACAGTTTGTGTGGTCAATATGCTGGTCCTCAACTAAAGGGACGCGAGTGGCACTGTGGTCTAAACCACTGAGCCTCTTGGGCTTGCTGATCAGAAGGTTGGTGGTTTGAGAGCTTTAGGGCAGCAGCTGAAGAAGCAGCTGAAGAAGGAACAAAAAGGGTTTTCCTGTGTGAGTTTCTTGTGGCTGTTTAGCTGCTCTCTCTGGGCAAAGGTCAGAGGGGGCAGGGCTTCTGTTGAGGTAGGTGATTAGCTGTGGGAGGAGCTTATCAGAGTTTTAGGGCAGCGGCTGAAGAAGGAACAAAAAGGGTTTTCTTGTGTGAGTTTCTTGTGGCTGTTTAGCTGCTCTCTCTGGGCAAAGGTCAGAGGGGGCAGGGCTTCTGTTGAGGTAGGTGATTAGCTGTGGGAGGAGCTTATCAGAGTTTTAGGGCAGCGGCTGAAGAAGGAACAAAAAGGGTTTTCTTGTGTGAGTTTCTTGTGGCTGTTTAGCTGCTCTCTCTGGGCAAAGGTCAGAGGGGGCAGGGCTTCTGTTGAGGTAGGTGATTAGCTGTGGGAGGAGCTTATCAGAGTTTTAGGGCAGCGGCGCGCGCAGTTTGATCCATATTTTAGATTTAGGGGAGCTAGTCTCAAACATTTGTTGGGGGAGACCTAGGTTTTTTGGGGGGGATTTATTTGTCCTGTCTCCACACTTTTTATGATAGAGGACCACTGTAGTCACCCCCAACGACACGTTCTCAAGATGGAGGGTGAGGGAACAGCTGCAGTCGCCTGTGGTTCCTGTGCAATGTTTGCCATCTTGCCAAAGGTTGCACGCAGCTTTACCTGCAGCAATTGCATGTTGATTGCCCTCTTAAAAGACAAAGTCCAGCAACTGGAGGAACGTGTAGCTACGCTCCAAAGAATTAGAGACCTGGAACTCTTCTTGGAAGCAACAGAGCACACCGTCTCCACCAAGGAAGAGACAGGGGACTCCCCTGAGAAGGTGGCTAGTTCACCAACACAGGAGCCAGATATATGGAGAAACGTGACTCAAAGAAGTAGGAGGCCCAGGGTTCGTTCTGATTGTTTAGAAATACACAATCGCTTTGAGGTCCTCTCCCCTAGCATGGAAGACGAAGAGCAGACTCCATTTGAGGATCTCTCCCTCATTACAGTCGATCAGGTATATGAAGACGAGCAGCAAAGGCAGTCCTCAGGGAATGTCCAGGCGACCTTGGAACGGACAGCTCACAGAAGAACCCCGACCAGACCTAAGAGGAGGCGTGTGGTGGTGATAGGGGATTCCCTACTGAGGGGAACAGAAGCAGTGATCTGTGGGCCTGACAAGATGTCTCGGGAAGTGTGCTGTCTCCCCGGGGCTAAGATCCAAGATGTAACTGAACGACTGCAAGGAATCATAAAACCCACTGACAAATACCCCTTCCTCTTGGTTCATGTGGGAACCAATGACACTGCAAGCAATAGCCTCCAGAAGATCAAAAGAGATTACGAGGCTCTGGGCAGGAAATTGAAGCAATTAAATGCACAAATTGTCATCTCATCTGTCCTCCCAGTTGAACGACGTGGCCCAGGGAGAGAGGGAAAAATAGTGGAAGTGAACAACTGGCTTCGCAAATGGTGTAAACAGGAACGGTTTGGATTCTTAGATCACGGAATGCAGTTTCTTGAAGATGGACTTCTGGCAAGCGATGGGCTGCACCTCACAACGGTTGGGAGGAATGTTTTTGCAAAAAATCTCAGAAACCTCATCAGGAGGGCTTTAAACTGACTAATGTGGGGGAGGGAGACAGTGCTCCTGAAGGTAGGAGTCTATCAATTGATGAAGATGATCATCCAAATGTCATAGACCGAATGGAGCAAAGAGCATGCAGACCTAGTGGTGGGAGGAAAAAATCCTTAAATAAGAGACACGGGGGAATGATTAATGGACTTCAATGTCTGTACACTAATGCGCAAAGCATGGGAAATAAACAAGATGAGCTTGAGCTCCTGGTACAGCAAACTAAATATGACATAATAGGAATCACTGAAACCTGGTGGGATAAATCCCACGATTGGAATGTAATAATGGAGGGATACAATCTATTTCAAAGAAACAGACCAGACAAGAAAGGAGGAGGAGTGGCGTTATATGTCAGGGATGTGTATACCTGTGAAGAGATCCAAGATTTAGAACCTCAAAGCCAAAGTGAGAGCATTTGGGTCAAAATTAAGGGAGAGAAGAATAACAGTGACCTCATTGTGGGAGTTTACTATAGATCCCCAAGCCAAACGGAGGACATAGATGATGCCTTCCTGGAACAGATGGCCAAGCATGCAAAAGGAAGGGAGATAGTAGTAATGGGGGACTTCAATTACCCGGATATTTGTTGGATGTCAAACTCAGCCAAGAGCATAAGGTCAAACAGATTCCTCACTGGCCTTGCAGACAACTTCATTGTCCAGAAAGTGGGAGAAGCAACAAGAGGAACAGCCATTTTAGATCTGGTCCTAACCAATGTTGATGACCTGGTTAGTGGGGTAGAAGTGGAAGGATCATTAGGCGCGAGTGATCATGCTCTTCTGAAGTTTACTATACAGCGGAAAGGAGCAGCCAAGCATACTAGGACTCAATTTCTCGACTTTAAGAAAGCCGACTTCATAAAGCTTAGGGAAGTGCTGGGTGAGATCCCATGGACAGTAATACTAAAAGGAAAGGGAGTTCAAGATGGCTGGGAGTTTGTTAAGAGGGAGATAGTAAAAGCACAACTTCAGGCAATACCAATGAGACGGAAACATGGAAGGTGCCTAAAGAAGCCAGGGTGGCTATCTAAAGAACTTTTAACTGAGTTAAGATTAAAAAAGGATGTGTACAAAAAATGGAAAAGGGGGGAAACCACCAAAGAGGAATTCAAACAAATAGCCAGCACGTGTAGACACAAAGTCAGAAAAGCTAAAGCACAAAATGAACTCAGGCTTGCTAGAGAGGTTAAAAGCAACAAAAAAGGCTTTTATGGGTATGTTCGTAGCAAAAGGAAGAACAAAGAAACCGTGGGGTCACTCAGAGGAGAAGATGGTGAAATGCAAACAGGGGACACAGAAAGGGCTGAACTCCTCAATGCTTTCTTTGCCTCAGTCTTCTCCGATAAAGAAAACAATGCCCGACCTGAAGAATTTGGAGCAAATGATTCAGCAGAGGAAACACAACCCAGAATAACTAAGGAGATAGTACAAGAATACTTGGCTAGTCTAGATGTATTCAAGTCTCCAGGGCCAGATGAACTGCATCCAAGAGTATTAAAAGAACTGGCAGATGTGATTTCAGAACCACTGGCAGTCATCTTTGAGAATTCCTGGAGAACAGGCGAAGTCCCGGCAGACTGGAGGAGGGCAAATGTTGTCCCTATTTTCAAAAAGGGGAAAAGAGAGGACCCAAATAATTACCGCCCAGTCAGTCTGACATCAATACCAGGGAAGATTCTGGAGCAGATCATTAAGCAAACAGTCTGTGAACACCTAGAAAGGAATGCTGTGATCACCAATAGTCAGCATGGATTTCTGAAAAATAAGTCATGTCAGACTAACCTGATCTCGTTTTTTGACAGAATTACAAGCCTGGTAGATGAAGGGAACGCAGTGGATGTAGTCTACCTTGATTTCAGCAAGGCATTTGACAAGGTGCCCCATGATATTCTTGTAAAGAAGCTGGTAAAATGCGGTCTTGACTATGCTACCACTCAGTGGATTTGTAACTGGCTGACTGACCGAACCCAAAGGGTGTTAATCAATGGTTCCTCTTCATCCTGGAGAAGAGTGACTAGTGGGGTGCCACAGGGTTCTGTCTTGGGCCCGGTCTTATTCAACATCTTTATCAACGACTTGGATGATGGACTCAAGGGCATCCTGATCAAATTTGCAGATGACACCAAACTGGGAGGGGTGGCTAACACCCCAGAGGACAGGATCACACTTCAAAACGACCTTGACAGATTAGAGAACTGGGCCAAAACAAACAAGATGAATTTTAACAGGGAGAAATGTAAAGTATTGCACTTGGGCAAAAAAAATGAGAGGCACAAATACAAGATGGGGGACACCTGGCTTGAGAGCAGTACATGTGAAAAGGATCTAGGAGTCTTGGTTGACCACAAACTTGACATGAGCCAACAATGTGACGCGGCAGCTAAAAAAGCCAATGCAATTCTGGGCCTCATCAATAGGAGTATAGCATCTAGATCAAGGGAAGTAATAGTGCCACTATATTCTGCTCTGGTCAGACCTCACCTGGAGTACTGTGTCCAGTTCTGGGCACCACAGTTCAAGAAGGACACTGACAAACTGGAACGTGTCCAGAGGAGGGCAACCAAAATGGTCAAAGGCCTGGAAACGATGCCTTATGAGGAACGGCTAAGGGAGCTGGGCATGTTTAGCCTGGAGAAGAGGAGGTTACGGGGTGATATGATAGCCATGTACAAATATATAAAAGGATGTCACATAGAGGAGGGAGAAAGGCTGTTTTCTGCTGCTCCAGAGAAGCGGACACGGAGCAATGGATCCAAACTACAAGAAAGAAGATTCCACCTAAACATTAGGAAGAACTTCCTGACAGTAAGAGCTGTTCGACAGTGGAATTTGCTGCCAAGGAGTGTGGTGGAGTCTCCTACTTTGGAGGTCTTTAAGCAGAGGCTTGACAACCATATGTCAGGAGTGCTCTGATGGTGTTTCCTGCTTGGCAGGGGGTTGGACTCGATGGCCCTTGTGGTCTCTTCCAACTCTATGATTCTATGATTCTATGATTCTATGTTTTTTTTTGTTTTTTTTTGTGTTTTTTTTTGAATCCACCCAACAGGGGTGAGCTCCCATTGCTCAGTCCCTGCTCCTGCCAACCTAGCAGTTCCAAAGCACCCCAGTGCAAGTAGATAAATAGGTACCGCTGCGGCGGGAAGGTAAATGGCATTTCTGTGCACTCTGGTTTCTGTCATGGCGTTCTGTTGCACCAGAAGCGGTTTAGTCCTGCTGGCCACATGACCCAGAAAGCTGTCTGCGGACATACGCCGGCTTCCTCGGCCTGAAAGCGAGATGAGCACTCGAACCCCATAGTTGCCTTTGATAGGACTTAACTGTCCAGGGGTCCTTTATCTTTTTTAAAACTTTTGGTCCTCAACTTCACTGAACCTGTTTAATCCTCTCTGATCAGCTATCAATATGGTGGCCTTTCCTACTGCTATGCGAGTGGTCATACAGTATGTTCTCCACCAAACCGGATTTCCTAAAATTACAGAATTTTAGAGCTGCAAGGGACTGTGGAGGTAATCTAATACGACCCCTTGCTCTGTGCAGGAATCTGCAAATGTATATCTTGTTTTTTGTTTAACTGCCTCCTGCAAAGGAGACCTTATCACCTCCCGAGGCAGTCAAATAGTCCTGGCTGACCAATTCACGTTCCCTCAGGATTCGACCATTTCCCAGTGCTCCGTGTCCTCTCTCTGCCCTTGTGCGTGGGGAAGTGCTTCCTGCCACTGATCCATCACTTACATTCAAATACTGGCGGTTGGAGAAGATCTTTCCGCAGCCATCATAGTCGCAGAGGAGGATCTCTCGCTTGGCTGCCTTCCTGCGAAGAAAGGCAGAGGAAGGAAGAGGAAATGCAGGTTCAATCCCTGGCATCGCCAGGTTCCCTGTTCTTAAACCCTGAAGAGATGCTGCGAGTCAGTGTAGACAATACTGAAAGATGGACAAATGGTCTGATTCGGCATAAGGCAACTTCCTATGTTCTTATGCCAAGCGTCGAGCATTGGATTACTCAAAAACAATACGGTCAGATGTCAAATACAGTGGTACCTCGGGTTACAGACATTTCAGGTTACATACGCTTCAGGTTACAGACCCTGCTAAGCCAGAAATAGTACCTCGGCTTAAGAACTTTGCTTCAGGATGAGAACAGAAATCGTGCGGCGGCAGGGGGAGGCCCCATTAGCTAAAGTGGTACCTCAAGTTAAGAACAGTTTCAGGTTAAGAACGGACCTCCAGAACAAATTAAGTTCTTAACCCGAGGTACCTCTGTACTTGGCCAAGTATTTTTAAAGCGTCAACTTTCTCAGAACAGCATAAATATATTTAAGCAGTTGTTATACTTAGGCTGATTTTTTTAAGGAGAACTGTGGGTGAGATTTAGCAGGTGCAATGGAATTCCCCTTCCTCCCTTCTAGAGCTCCTGCCTCTCTTTCTACTCTGGAAGGTTCCCCGACACCTATTGAAAAACAAAAGGCAGTATTTAAAGGTGCTTTTAAAGGTGCTTGTGCTAAGTTGACAGCTGGCCAATTCTTCAAGCATCACCAGATTCATGGAATATTATTTGACCATGGACAAATAATAGGGATTCAATAGATCGTTCCATTTGTCTAGCATGACTGCCTTAATCTAACCATGAATTCGAGGCCTTCTTCCATGGTCCCTACGCTATGGCCCACTTCTGGGGAGGTTAAAGGCGTGCCCTTTGGGCCCAAAAAGCCAATGGACCAGCACCCACCTGATTCTCTTTGGACCAATCTGGGCCACATCCTCATCACCAGGCTGTGCCCGCTTCTTGCAACTGTACAGGAAGAAAGAAGCTTGGTAAGCGTAGCAACGAAAGGGTCTTTCGTGTAACAGCAAAAAGGATCCTTCCCCAGAAGGGTCTTCAGGCTGCCGCTGTGGCAAGGATGAGGGAAGCAGCCATCTTTAAAAGTGGTGGGGAAATGGAAGGGGCACCGTGCCGGATTTATGTATAAGCTAAACAAGCGATAGCCAGTGTGGTGTAGTGGTTAAGAGCGGTAGACTCGTAATCTGGTGAACCGGGTTCGCTTCCCCGCTCCTCCACATGCAGCTGCTGGGTGACCTTGGGCCAGTCACATTTCTCTGACGTCTCTCAGCCCCACTCACCTCACAGAATGTTTGTTGTGGGGGAGGAAGGGAAAGGAGAATGTGAGCCGCTTTGAGACTCCTTCGGGTAGTGATAAAGTGGGATATCAAATCCAAACTCTTGTTCTTGTTAGGGCCCCACTCTCTTGGAGGCCCCCCAAAAAATTAAAAGAAAAAAAACCTGGACGTACATTTCCAAAATATAAAATAAAAAACAAATAAAATAAAACCTACATACAGCAACAGTGTTTTGTGTTGTGTAGGCTCCTATGATGTAAGTAATAGGCCCCGCCTGCTTCCTAAAATATCACTGGTTTGCTCATTTCTATATATAGGGTGCCTACATTCTGCTTGGACTGGTTGCATGGCAACATGGGCAAATGGCTTTAGATATCTATTAGCTCCATAAATTACCCAATAGCATATATTCAACACAAAAAACAGTGACAATTTGTTGTTGACAAAGGACAGCTGGACATATAAAGGGCCAAAATACCTTCAGTAGCTTAGGACCTCATGAAACCTAAATCCGACCCTGAAGGGGCAAAAGCTTGTCTGCTAAGTACTTGAGCCCTGAACAGCTGCTCTGGCCACCCAGGAACCAAACTAACTTGACAGGATGCAACACTACTGCAACGCTACGGTACTCTAAAGGATGGCTGGCACCTCACAAGAGCTAATCAGCTGCGGAGTTTCACAGTGCTAGACTAGGACCTGGCAGGCCAGAGTGCAAATCCCAGCTCAACTGGGCACTTCACAGACTCTCAGCTTAATGTTCCTCACATGGTGGTTGTGAGTTTTAAAATTGGAGAGTGGGGAGGACCATGGAAGCTGCTTTGAGCTCCTTGGAGGAAAGATGGGATAGAAAAGTCGTAATAATGAGAACAGGAGCATTAAACTAGAAATGCTTGCACAGTCCTTAACTGGTGGTAATGCCCCGCAAAACCCATTTACCTGTCCAGGGAAGGCTGATAATTCTCATCTTGCAGGTCATCTGTATGTACCAGATTGTCTTCCTCTCTTTCGTCATCTTCCTGCTCTGGTTGGTCAGGCACAGACTCTGGCGTCTCCTCTGGTAGAGGCAAAGTGCTGCAGAGAATACAAAATAATTAAAATAAAAACTAAGTGAGAGGGTGCAGGGCTCAAAGATCCTTCAATGTAGAAAGGGGCATCGGTTCATACAGCTCAGCCCTTCCTGACATCAACGGCAGGAGAGTTTCCCATAATTGCTAAGCTTACTGAGAGATGCCTGCACAGCCTTTTTCCATGAATGTGTTATCAAGGTTGCTGTGGAGGTGGGCAACTTCAAATTGCCTTGGAGACAAGACTTTTGAAGGTACCTAAACTCCATTACAGGGATGCGGGTGGCGCTGTGGGTTAAAGCACAGAGCCTAGGGCTTGACGATCAGAAGGTCGGCGGTTCGAATTCCCGCGATGGGGTGAGCTCCCGTTGCTCGGTCCCTGCTCCTGCCAACCTAGCAGTTCAAAAGCACGTCAAAGTGCAAGTAGATAAATAGGTACCGCTCCGGCGGGAAGGTAAACGGCGTCTCCGTGCGCTGCTCTGGTTCACCAGAAGCGGCTTAGTCATGCTGGCCACATGACCTGGAAGCTGTATACCGGCTCCCTCGGCCAATAAAGCAAGATGAGTGCCGCAACCCCAGAGTCGGCCACAACTGGACCTAATAGTCAGGGGTCCCTTTACCCTTTTAAACTCCATTACCTAGAGCAGAAGCCAATATGCAAACAACAACAAATGACAAAAAATGCTTTTTAAAAATGTATCAACAGATATATGGTTCATCAACATACCGGGTATACATATCACCAATGGGTGACTGGGGAGCATAGCAATTTTGTGAACGCCACAATCACTATTTAGCTGACCCTTGTAGCCAGCCTCTGCTGTGAAACAGGAAAGCCCAATTCTTCCTTAGCTCAGTCATCTGAGGAAAGATGCCTGTCCTGCCAGAAAAGGGGTGAGTGGAGATCCACGTTGACATTCTCACTCAAGGGTGCCCTGAGAGAAGCCAGGGAGCTTATGCCATGTGCTCCTGAGAAGTCCCATCGGTCAGCCTGCAGATACTCTGCTGGTCTGCGTTTTGCACCATTTGTTTGCTTTATTATTTTAAAGTCGTAAACTGCCTCTTGTATCTAGGCAGCCAGGTAGCATGGAAACTGACCTTTCAGGTTCTGTGACTTCTGCGTCAGCTGGAATCTCTTCGGAGGGAGTCGCTGCAAGAGGAAAGATTCACAGTCAGAAGTGGGTGACACAGCCACAGAATGTGCATACATAGGAACACAGGAAGCTGCCTGATACTCGGCCCGGCCAATGGCCCATCTAGGTCCTCTAGCTGTCTAGGGTTTGGGGCAGTGGATCTGTCCCAGCCTAGCTGGGGATGCTAGGGATTGAGACTGCGGCCTTGTGCAGTGAAATCAGCAGAACTGCATGCTTTGTAACCTGGGAAACCTCCAGTCCGCGAGGAACAATGAAGATGATATAAAAGACCCCACTGAAACCATAGTCTAAACCAGGAACAGTACAAAACAGTACAAAATTACAGTCGTACCTTGGTTGATGAATGCCTTGCGACTTGAACGCTTTGGCTCCCGAACGCCGCAAAGCCGGAAGTGAGAGTTCTGGTTTGAAAACGTTCTTTGGAACCCGAATGTCCGACATGGCTTCCGATTGGCTGCAGGAGCTTCCTGCAGCCAATCGGAAGCCACACTTTGGTTTCCGAATGTTTTGGAAGTCGAACGGACTTCCGGAATGGATTCTGTCCAAGGTACGACTGTATAGAGGAGTCTTCCTGCTATTACATAGGCAGATGTTTTCCCCATAAAGAAACCCCCTTTTTAATACCAGCAATTTGCGTTTTTGTGTCAATAAGGTACAAGATGTTTTCTAACCACCACTGCCTTTGTTATTCCAACTCAATTACAATTACGGTGGTACCTCGGGTTACAGACTCTGCTAACCCAGAAATAGTACCTCAGGTTAAGAACTTTTCTTCAGGATGAGCACAGAAATCGTGCTCCAGCGGCATGGCGGCAGCGGGAGGCCCCATTAGCTAAAGTGGTGCTTCAGGTTAAGAACAGTTTCAGGTTAAGTACGGACCTCTGGAACGAATTAAGTTCTTAACCCAAGGTACCACTGTAATTCAACCAATCACCATTTAGAAAAGAATATACAGAAATTACATAAGACATATTATCAAAACCTACATTGCTAATTAATAGATCTTTTCTGGCACGTGTCTTTCGAATAAAACGAGATGCTACATTTCTCTTTGTTTTGCTTTAAAAACCTGTGGCATGCTTGGTAATGATAATAATTCCTTAAGCATGCCCCCCTCCTCAAATAGCCCCCAAGGGGCATATAACAAAGTTATCAATGACAGAATCCTACCTGCAGGATGATAATCTAAATACACAGAGAAGGAAGAACAAAAAAATGAACTAGAAATTCATTCAGATTCTCTGTGGTTTCTGATTATTTGACAGTATTGGAGGAGATTTATTCAATTTCTCGGTAACCATAAGGATTTGACAGGCATGCTGTGCAGACCATATTCCACAATTTGTAACGTAATGGTGCTTGCTTATTAAGCGAGCTGAATTTATTACTGTACTTTTCTGTGTATAAGACGAGCTTTTTTTTACTCTAAAATAAGGTTTGAAAACTGGGGGCTTCTTCTACACGGATAGTGGATAGGGGTGACGGGTGATTGGTTGCAGCCATGAGCTGCAGATTGCCATTGGTGATTTTGTGTGTGATTGGTGGCTGCGGCAAGGGGTTCTTTGTATTGGCTCCTGCTGTGCTAAATGGGTGCGTGATTGGTTGCTGGGTCAATGGCTGTTGTGGATTGGCTACTGCCGCGGCAAGTTTGCTTGCTGTTTCCGGCAGATGCTTGTTGCAGACGCAAGCGATTGTCAATCTCTGTCATTCCCCTCCTCAAAAAAGCTCCACAACTCTGGGTCAAAATAGGGGGCGTCTTATACATGGGGGCATGTTATACATGGAAAAGTACGGTACTTCACTTACTGGGCCAGCCCTGTCCAGGCTGCTTTTACTTTCAGGTGCACCCAACAATTGCATCTCACACTCCAACGCAACGCCCTCCTATAGCCTCTAACCCAAGCGGGGCCTCTTCGGTCCCTAACCATCCAAGAAGAAGAAGGGTTTGGATTTGATATCCCGCCTTTCACTCCCCTTAAGGCAGTGTTTCCCAACCTTTTTTGGGCAAAGGCACACTTATGTCATGAAAAAAATCTCGAGGCACACCACCATGCCAGATGGGGAAAGGTCACTTTTTACTTATGTAAAAAAAAATAAAAAAATAGTAACAGCATAGAAGGTAATGGTAGATGACTGTTAGGGTCTCCCCCCAAATGCAGAATTCTATTAATATCTTCCTTAGCGAGCCGCGTTAACCCCTGTAATGCTTTCTATAGAGTAAGCATAGGGGACACTGGGGGATGTGGAACCAAGGGGGCAGTGGGCCAAAAGAGTTCGGGATCTACTGCTTTAAACAGAAATAAGAGCCAGTGGGTTCTTCCTTTTTTAAAGTATCGTTTCAGCGGGGACAGCAGTCCGGATTTCCAAAAAGCGGCCCTTTTTTGCGTCTGAGCAAAGAAGAGAGAGAGGGGAAAAAAGAGAGAGAGATTGATTTGTGGCTGCGCAAAGGGGGGAGGAGCCCAGGAGTAAAAGTAGGAAGGACGAAGGGAGGGGAAAGGAAAGTTAATAGAAGGAAAGGCGGGTGGGAGAGAAAGAGAAAGAAAGAGGGAAGGAAGGGGGGAAGAGAAGTGGAAAGGAGGGAGACCGAGGCGGGGGAGAAGCGTCTGGAGAGTTGCTCCGAAGTTTGGGGGGCCGCGGGGGTGGGCGCGCGTCCCAGGAGGCGGAGGCCAGCCCAGGCTGGGAGCCGCGCCGCGGCCCAGGGGCGGTAGGCGGACCGCGGCTCCTAGGATGTGGAAAGGGGACGGCGGCGCAGGGGGAGGAGACCCGCACGGCTAGGGCAGCGCGCAGGGGGAGGGGAGCGGGCCGGAGGCGGGCGAGGGGGGCCGCGATCCCGCGCACCGCGAACATGGCCTCCTTCCCCGCGGGCCCCGCCGAGCCCCCCGGCCGGGGAGGGCGGTGCGCCCCCGCCGCCGGAGGAGAGCAGAGGCAGGAGGAGGAGGACGAAGGCGCTGCCGAGGAGGCGCGCCAACTTCTGCCAACTTCGGCGCCCGCCCCGTCGCCGCAGGCTCCTCCCGGCCGAGAGCCAGAGGACGGCGGCGGAGCAGGAGGAGGAGGATCGGGTTTGGCGACGGCTGCTGCGTCCTCTCCAAGCGCGGGGCTGGCCTCCACCGCGCCCGATCCTCCGCGCTCGCCCGCTTCTCGGCGGAGCAGGTCTCGTGCGGGTGCGAGGCGCTGCTGCAGGCGGGCGACCCCGGCCGGCTGGGCCGCTTCCTGGGCTCGCTGCCGCCCGACGCCGAGGCGCCGTGCGACTCGCCCGCCTCCCTCCCACGGCACACCAGGCAACGTCTCGCGGCACAGTAGTGTGCCGCGGAACACCGGTTGGGAAACACTGCCTTAAGGAGTCTCAAAACAGCTAATCTCCTTTCCCTTCCTCCCCTGCAACAAACATTCTGTGAGGTGAGTGAGGCTGAGAGACTTCAGAGAAGTGAGACTAGCCCATGGGTAGGCAAACTAAGGCCCGGGGGCCGGATCCAGCCCAATCGCCTTCTAAATCCGGCCCACGGACGGTCCGGGAATCAGTGTGTTTTTACATGAGTAGAATGTGTCCTTTTATTTAAAATGCATCTCTGGGTTATTTGTGGGGCATAGGAATTCATTCATTTCCCCCCCAAAATATAGTCTAGCCCCCCACAAGGACCGGCCCCCTGCTGAAAAAGTATGCTGAGCCCTGGACTAGCCCAAGGTCACCCAGCAGCTGCATGTGAAGGAGCGGGGAAGCGAACCCAGTTCACCAGATTACGAGTCCACCGCTCTTAACCACTACACCACACTGGCTCTCAAGTTCAAGGACTTCACTCCAGCATCCTACAAGCAGCCAGCCCCCCCTCACCTGTCTCATCGGGGTTCTGGTCGCTCAGCAATCCCGCCTCCTCGCCAAGGACCGTTCCGCTGCCAGGAGAGAGGCACGCCAATCTCTCTCCGTCCGCACCGCCCTCCCCATCCTCTTTGGAAGATGGCTCTGCCTCGTCCACTGGGCTTGGTGAGTTCGAAGCGAGTGCTAAGGAGAAGGCGTGAGCTGCTGCCGCTCTGCGGAGGGAACGCCGGCGCCGGATGATGCGGGAGGGCGGGGGGCTGGGCTTGGAACGCACGGCTTTCTCCTCTGGAGACCTGGAGGCTGCCTTGCAGGGGGACGGGGGGCAGGTCTGCGAGGTGAGGGGGCTCCAAGAGAAGGTGTGGCCGGCCAGGCACTCCCATACCATGCTGCTTGGGACTTCTTTCTGCTCCAGCAACGAGGGCTTCACGTTAGGGATGAAGCCACATTCCTGGCTGTGATTGTGAGAAAGGACGACGAGGTGCTGCAGAGCGTCAGGAGGAAGAGGCTCGGAAACAACTTTGGAGCTCTCCTGTCCTGGGAAGAAGAAAGGGGAAACCCCCATGACACAGGCTTGCTAGAAGGGACCAAATATCCCCATGTATAACTCTCCCCTGTGGGACGCGGGTGGCGCTGTGGGTTAAACCACAGAGCCTAGGACTTGCCGATCAGAAGGTCAGCAGTTCGAATCCCCACGACGGGGTGAGCTCCTGTTCCTCGGTCCCTGCTCCTGCCAACCTAGCAGTTTGAAAGCACGTCAAAGTGCAAGTAGATAAATAGGTACCACCCTGGCGGGAAGGTAAACGGCATTTCCATGCACTGCTCTGGTTCGCCAGAAGCGGCTTAGTCATGCTGGCCATATGACCCGGAAGCTGTACACCGGCTCCCTCAGCCAATAAAGCGAGATGAGCGCCGCAACCCCAGAGTCGGCCACGACTGGACCTAATGGTCAGGGGTCCCTTTACCTTTACCTATAGCTCTCCCCTATACACATATGCATGCAAGGATTCTACCTCCCTACATTAGAGTCCTAAGTGCAGGGTTTTACTTCTGTGGTGAGAATGCTTGACATTGGGGTGTTTGAGGGATAGAGGTGCACCACAGCTGAGCTTAGAAAAAGTAAAGCATGCCTATTGGATGCTGCTAAGTCACTTACTCATTCCTCCCTCACCCTGCAAAAAAAGTCAACTGAAACAACATATGCAAACTTCATAATCCAAGTTAAGTCTTTTGTTCAGCCACATCCAGCACCCAAAGGTCATGTCGAAAGGGAAACAGAAGTAAGTCCTCTACGAATGTGCAGATTTTGTGTGAGACTAACCTGATCTACGTAACTGTTTAATGAACTCAAAGGTTGACACAGCTCAGTAGTGAGCTTACATGCTATACTACATTTTTATTAACAATTATTACGGGGCTGATCTACGCCTCCAGAAAAAGCTCTAGCCTGTTACCTTCTCCAATGGGCTAGTTTTCTATGTGCGGGATTTTATATATGATGGGAATAATCAGTTGAGTTACCTGTATTACATATACTTGTGGTATAGAGGGTAAAAATGTAAAAGATTGAGATCGGATGGACATGAAATGCCCTGTAGCAAGTACATTAAACCTTAGAGGTAGGCAAAATAACACAGTGACCATTAATTAACCACAACAGTAAATGGCAGTAAAAAGTTTTTACATCTGTAGAAAGAGAAAAAAATCTGCCATCTCGGCCCAAACCGGTAGTAATAGAATTGATTTTCACCATCTGTTGGCAACTTTAGGGCCGCTACTCCCAAAGTTGATGCTTGCTCTAGTTTCAGAGAAGTATCACAGGCCCCCCAAACTAAAACTTGCTCTTTTTTTTAAAAAGAGCCTGTTGACATACATGTTTAAAAGAAATTCTCGTCTACTGCCTATCCATGACAAATTACAGTGTGAGTCTTTTGCTGGCTGGAATCAGACTCCTTCCCCTTTTAACGGGGATACTGTAAATGTTTGCGCAGATTGTTGGCGCTTTTGAGAAAGCCTGTCCTCTGACACACTGCTACGATCGCCAGTGACTCATGTAAGCCCACCGCCCCCCCAATTACCATGTGAAACATTTGTCCAAGTGGGCAAACAGGCTATGCGGTTAAAACCCCCACCCAAACACATTGTACTTATCTGCCAGACTACTGTGAGATCACTTTAATACATACTAATAAAATGCCTTTTCTACAGAGAACCTGCAAGGATTCTTACCTGTTTTTGGAACTGAGCCTTGTGAACTGTACCTGAATGAGAAAGAGAAGAGGCAGGAAGGTGAGAGGGCAAAATACAGGGGTCAGCACTTGATTCGTTGCAACTGCTTTCCTCAAAATTACTGATGAAATAAGAAGAGGAGCATTTGCTAGAGCAGGGCTGAGGAACCTATGGCCTTCCAGATGTTGCTGGGAGTCTCATAAGTCAACATGGCCAGCGTTCAGGAATGACGGGAGTTGGACTCTTGACAACATCCCAAGGGTCATTGGGCCACCATCGTTGCTTCAGGGATTTAATCTCAGGCCAAATATAAATGCAACGTCAGATATGTAAATTGACTTCCCTATGTGAAGTTGCATGCGCTGTATTAATGCTACTCTGATAGGTACCAGCAACACCACTGGAACAGAACATTGTGTCTGGATCCCTTCACAGGTATTTTTTTTTTTATATCAAAGGCATTACCTTTAAACCAGGCCTCGGTAATCCCTGTAACAACCAGGAAAATTAGGTCCATATTATCTGTGCATTGCAAGGGAGGGTGGGGGAGACAAGCAAAAACCGAGACACAGCAGCTTGCTTAAAACCAACCATCTCCACCTCCCACGAACCTGCCTGGCTTTTTGTCAGACTTGCCACTTCTCACCTGCACATATCCAGTTACTTCAGCGCATGCAAATCTAGCACTTGACACACAGGCAAAACAGGTGGGTGGAAGTCACATTCTCCCTGAAGCAACTTCCTCACCTGTCCAGCAGGTACTTGGCCAGCTGGGAGTGCAAAGAGAAGCCCAGCTGCTCCTTCAGCTGACACCACTGCTCCAGGTGGCTGCCGATCCGGATGCGGCACTTGCTTCGCCGCGCGTCCAGCTCCTTGCGCTTCTGCTTGCGAATCGTTTCGGAGGCCCGCTGGTGGCCCTGGCGCCCGTGGTCCATCATCTCCCAAGCTGCCTCGCTGGAAAAAGGCAATGGGAGTTGTGATCCACGAGGAACTCCCAACTGAGCCACGCAAGCAAGCTATAGAGAGCAGACACTGCTGTGAACAGGGGGCACACACGTTTCCTCCATCAATGGCTGAGCAAACCCCGCTGGTCCACCCCACTCCCTCGCCTAAGGGTCTTCTACAGAAGGCACTGCTGCCTGCAAAGGGGTCGCCAAAGGGAACACCAAAGGGTTTTTCAGCTGGGGGAGAAGGCAGGAAATATCCTTGCATGTTCCTGAAGCCACATTCTCTTTTGGACACTTTAATAATGTGATTTTAGATTTGTGTATTGGAGGGTGGGGTGGGGTGTTTTATGTTATGTTGTAAATAAAATTCCAATAATAATAATAATAATAATAATAATAATAATAATAATAATAATAATGTGATTTTAACGTAAAGGTGTTTTGGGTAAGCTGCTTTCAGAGCTCAACAGGATGCAGAGAACTGTCCTTGCGCTGACAGTCTCTAAAGTGCCACAACTCTACCTTTCAGAGGTTACATATGACTCAAGCTCTCTTGTGTACACTCCCTGGAAACCATACCCCTTTTACCAGGGGTCAGCAAACTTTTTCAGCAGGGGGCCGGTCCACTGTCCCTCAGATCTTGTGGGGGGCTGGACTATATTTTGAAAAAAGAATGAACAAATTCCTATGCCCCACAAATAGCCCAGAGATGCATTTTAAAAGGACACATTCTGCTCATGTAAAAACATGATGATTCCCAGACCGTCCACAGGCTGGGTTTAGAAGGCGACTAGGCTGGATCCGGCCCCCGGAACTTAGTTTGTCTATCCATGCCTTTTATCATGCACATGTCTGCTGCTAGATATTGCATCCTAAACCCCCTGACATTCCCCTTCTCCCTATTATTACTGGAATGATGCAGTACCTGTCAAACTAGAATTTGACTATGCCACTTCTCTATCTTATGAAGCAGCAGATGGGTCAGAATCTACTGAGTGACCTCTCGGTGCTTTGTGAAAGACTTGCAATACTTCCTCCACCTGTTTAACAATGGCAACTGCAAGATGGTGCCATTGTTGGTGGTTTCTTCGGAATCCCTGAACTGCCACAACTCAGAAAGAGATTTGTACTTTTATACTTGTCAACCCAGTCCAAGGCTTGGTGTGTGAGCAACGAGTAACTTGCCTCTTCCTCTGGACTGTCGTTTTGCAACTGGCTCCTCGTCCAGTCCAATATTTTGCACCATTTGGGTGCCAGTTCCTTGTGGCAGGGGTGAAACTAGGCCTGATTTCACCCGGGGCAAAGACCCAGTTTGGCATGCACATTTGTGTACACACACGCACACAGGCTGGGAGCCTCAATGTCACCCCTCTGGAGGCTTCTCCTGGGGCAAAAAACCTGGCTAGACCCCCCCCCCCCGCTAGCTACAGCTCTGCCTTGTGGATCAGTATTTTGCACCACTGGGATCCCAGTACAAAAAATAAAAAATGAAGTAAATCCTGATGTCTGCCCAGCCTTACTGTACAGAAATGAATGGCCTTTTCTTGCCTTAACAAAAAAAGAAAAAGGGGGGGGAAAGGAAGAACAGAACAGAACAGAAAAAGGAGGCAAAAAACCAGCAAAAGCACAAATGGATATATTGAGGTTTAATGTTACATGAAAAAAGAAGAGTACTTTTCTTGATGGAAGAAACTATCTCCCCCTTGGAATAATAAAGATCAGAATCGAAGCATGACAGATTGGAAGGGACCCCCGAGTCATCTAGTCGAACCCCCTGCAGAGTCCTCCCCCTATAGGAAGGGTGTTACAACGTGTCTGTTATTTTGGCCCACACAGCGCAGAGATGCGTGTGTGTGTGTGTGCGTGTGTGTGAATGGGGGAACCTGCCCAGCGCCCCCCAACTCGTGCCGTTCTCGTGCTCCGCCAACGCTGCCGCTCCTCCCCCTCGAACCCACAGTCCCGCCCCTCCCTCTCCCGCAAGCCAACGGCTGCCAGCCCCTCTCGGGCCGCGGCCAATCAGAGGCCAGCGCGCAGCAGCCGGGGGAGGGGGAGAGGAGCGCCGCTTTCCCTCCGTTACCCGCGCGCCCCTCCTTCCTCCACCAACCGTCTCGCTCAGGCTTCGCTCCGGAGCGCCAGCTCTCTCGCCGCCGCCGCCGCCGCCCACTCCATCTCCCCGCGTTGGTGCGAGCAGCGCTGTTCCGTTGAGGACTCCCTATGGATATAAGGGACGGGGGAGGGGGCCCACCGCCAGGCACCGTGGCCCCTTTAAGAGCGGCGAATGCTCCTCCTCCGCCCCTCACTCTTCGCTGACACACGAGAGGAAGAGCGGCGAAATATGGCAGCTGAGGAGGAGGACGGGAGGGGGCGGGGCGGAGAAGCCCCCTTGCCCTCGCGCGCCTGGTCACGTGGCCTCGTCGCTGGGTCCCCGGTGGTTCATGGGAGTTGTAGTTCACTCGGCAATTAGCGTAGGGCCGGCCGGCCGCTTGACATTGAATGTGGGCAACCGCGTGTCTTTTCCCACCTGGCAAATGATGCTGGCTTTAACTTCACAATCTTGGTTTTAATCCTCCAAGTCCGGTCCCTGCCATTGGCATTGGATTTGAGTCGATTTTATGCATGTGTTGTAATTGTTGGTTTTTTAATGGTATTGACAATAACACACACACACACAAATCTCTATTTTTTAAATGGTAGATTGCTTCAGGATGCCTTCTGGAAAGTGACACCCGTTCATGAAACAAATAATACACATAATTTTGTGAACTCGCAAATTTCTGAGAAAGGTAATTTATTGTGGCTTAACTGCGCGTTACAAAAAAATGTCTGCCAATGTGACATAAAGGCTGACAGCATCAACCCGGCCATGTGGGAATCCCTTGCAGATGACCGCAGTGCCTGCAGACAAGCAGTCAGGTTGTGTAGGCACAGCAGGGGCCAGGGGAGGAATGACCGCTGTGAGAAGCACAGAGAGAAATGCCATGTGCATCTGTAGCAGCACAACTGGACACCTTCATCTGCCCCAGCTGCAACAAAACGGGTCTCTTCCATATCAATCTCTACAGCAAAGGCAGATCTAGGGGAGCACAACCATTACAGTCCCAGCAGGAATGGAGCTTCTGGTGCGCCTGTGGATTTTTATTACTTTCTAATGGATCAACCAATGACAAACCTAGACAGCATCTTAAAAAGCAGAGACATCACCTTGCCGACAAAGGTCCGTATAGTTAAAGCTATGGTTTTCCCAGTAGTGATGTATGGAAGTGAGAGCTGGACCATCAAGATGGCTGATCGCCGAAGAATTGATGCTTTTGAATTACGGTGCTGGAGGAGACTCTTGAGAGTCCCATGGACTGCAAGAAGATCAAACCTATCCATTCTGAAGGAAATCAGCCCTGAGTGCTCACTGAAAGGACAGATCCTGAAGCTGAGGCTCCAATACTTTGGCCACCTCATGATAAAAGAAGACTCCCTGGAAAAGACCCTGATGTTGGAAAAGATGGAGGGCACAAGGAGAAGGGGACGGCAGAGGACAAAATGGTTGGACAGTGTTCTCAAAGCTACCAGCATGAGTCTGACCAAACTGCGGGAGGCAGTGGAAGACAGGAGTGCCTGGTGTGCTCTGGTCAATGGGTCACGAAGAGTCGGACACGACTAAACAACAACAATCGATCAATGTGACCTAAAGACACGTGTTTTCTGGTGCCACGCTACCCCACCAACCGGGTGATTTGTACAGCAGTGCAGCAGCCACAGAGGTGTGTTTTGTGGTGCCCTGCTGCCCCACAGACCAACTGACTGGTGCAGCAGATGGAGATGTTAGGGGCCCAACAACACCTGCTTAAATTTGGTTTCAATCCTACCCACTGAGCAGTGAGCACATGGGGAGTCACAATCTCCCCTGCTGGCATACAGGAGAGATGAGGATCAGAGATGTACATTATGATGTGCTAGAGTCTGATTGGATGCCCAGGCAGCACATTGTCTACTCAATAGGATAAGAGCAGGCCCCTCAGTTGAGCACCAGCCAGCGTATGACAGCCAAGCTCAGAGCAATGGTAGCATCCTGAGGTGGAAACTAGAACCAAAGGAGACAATTAGAACAATGGCTGCTGCTTACAGAACAACAAGGAGGAGGACCCGCCTTCCCAAGAGAACGAAACAGACGATTCGGAAAGCTGCACATAAGAAGCTCCTGCCAAAGCAGAGGAAGCCAAATCTGAAGCAGGGGCGGAAGGTGGTAGACCAGGTGACAGCACCTGTAAAGCAGGATGTGAAGCATCCCTGCGATGAGTTCATCTCTAAAGTGCTGAGTCAGCTGCACCGCGACAGGGTGCCCATATCGACCAGGGCCAAAGGGAAGATGATCACTTTCATAAGGAGGTTCTATAACAACATGACTAACCACGCCAAGAGCAGCAAGAAAGCCCAGAGGACCTCCACCATCGGCTCGCGGGAACTACACAAAGCACTGAAAGGTGTGCTGCGCAAGAATCAAGCTGCGGAGTTGGTGAAATCCGTCCGCAAAGTGACACGGCGCCGATAGGACAACCTTCGTCCCAGTCTCCTTTGGCTGGCGCAAGTGAGATCCACGGGGGAGAAGAGACGAATGCGCCAGCCTACAAAGCAAGACAAAAACCCACCTGATGAAAAGTCCTGATGCTACCCTAAAGATACCGAGAAATACTTCACTTTAAAGAAAACAACATCTCACAGGAGCACTGTGTTGATCACCATCCTGACTAAACTAAGAAGGGTTCTGAGCTGCAGAAGAATCCCTGCATCTCCGGAAAACCTTTGGGAGAAGAAACATCTTATTCTTAGGAATATAATAAAATGGGATTCTACCAGGATCTTTAGCTTGGATGTGTTTTCCTTTCCTTCCAATAAAGCAATGTGTTTAGGGTTACCGCAGAAGACATTTAAGGGGTAACCATCTTTATCTGGGAAGTAGCCAATGTAACACCAACTTTAACAAAAGGGAATTTGGGCTGGGGATCCTGGAAATTACAGGCTCTTTAATGTAACATCTCTCACAAGGAAAACTGGTCGAAAGTATTGTTAAGGATAAAATAACCCAGAATTTAGAAGAAAAAGCTTTGCTGAATTAAAACCAGCATGGCTTCTGCAAAGATAAGTCCAGTCTCATAGCAATCTGATTAATCTGAAATAAGAGCAGAGGTTCTTTTGTAGGCAGGGCCCAAAACATTTTGGCACCTGAGGTGAACCACAAAATGGTGCCCCCACTCCCACCAGGGAAGAAGTGGGGAGATGGTATGTGTGCTTTCTGGCCTGGGCTTCCTCACTTCTGGTTTCCTTCAGTGGAAGCAGGTATGGAGTAGCTGGTCATGTGCCAAGAATCACCTGGCTCGTGCAGCATCAAAAGACATGCCTCTTTTGATGCTGTGCTTGCCAGGAGATCTGCAGGCCACCGCCACACCACAGGATGTGGATCTTCTCATACTGTTCTACCCATCCAACCAGGTGATTCACTCAGCAGCCAAAGTGGCATCTCTTTTGGTGCCCTGCTGCCCCACAGCCCAAATGACTGGTGCAGCATTGCAGCCGTGCCAGCCAGCCCAGTTGAGATGCTAGGAGCCAAAAAAAACTCCTACTTAAATTTGGTTTCAATCCTACCCACTGAGCAGTGAGCACATGGGGAGTCACAATCTCCCCTGCTGGCATACAGGAGAGATGAGGATCAGAGATGCACATTATGACATGCCAGAGTCTGATTGGATGCCCGGGCAGCACATTGTCCACCCAACAGGATAAGAGCAGGCCCCTCAGTTGAGCACCAGCCAGTGTATGTCAGCCAAGCTCAGAGCAATGGTAGCACCGTCAGGTGGAAGCTAGAACCAAAGGAGACGATTAGGACAATGGCTGCTGCTTGCAGAACAACGAGGAGGAGGACCCGCCTTCCCAAGAGAACGAAACAGACGACTCGGAAAGCCGCACATGGGAAGCTCCTGCCAAAGCAGAGGAAGCCAAATCTGAGCCAAGGGAAGCAGGGGCGGCGGAAGGTGGTAGACCAGGTGATGGCACCTGTAAAGCAAGATGTCCGGCATCCCTGCGATGAGTTCATCTCTAAAGTGCTGAGTCAGCTGCACCGCGACAGGGTGCCCATCTCGACCAGGGCCAAAGGGAAGATGATCACTTTCATAAGGAGGTTCTACAACACTGTGTCTAACCACGCCAAGAGCAGCAAGAGAGCCCAGCGGACCTCCACCATCGGCTCCAGGGAACTACACAAAGCACTCAAGCGCGTGCTGCGCAAGAAACAAGTCATGGAGCTGGTGAAAACTGTCCGCAAAGTGGCACGGCGCCGTTAGGACATTTGTCCCAGTCTCCTTTGGCTGGCGCAAGTGAGATCTACGGAGGAAACCGACGAAGCAAGAAACAAGAGAACCAGCCACCTAATGAAAAGTCCTGATGCTACTCTAAAGAGACCGAGAAATTCTTCACTTTAAAGGAAACATCTCCTGCGAGTACAGGGATCAACTACTCTCCATCCTGAATCAACTAAGAAGGGATCTGAGCTGCAGAAGAATCCTTGCATCTCCGGAAAACCTTTGGGAGAAGAAACATCTTATTCTTAGGAATATAATAAAATGGGATTCTACCAGGATCTTTAGCTTGGATGTGGTTTCCTTTCCCTCCAATAAAGCCAGATATTAGGGTTACTGCAGAAGACGTTTAAGGGGCAACCATCTTTATCTAAAGCAGAGATGGACAAACAGATGTGGCCCTCCAGGTGTTGGATCACAGCTCCCATTATCCCTGAACATTGGGCCATGTTGTCTGGGGCTGATGAGCAAATGAGACCAAGGCTGGATCTAGAGATATTTAAAAAACTTTACAGGAAAACAGGTTATAAAGCTCATAATGTAAAATCCCATTTTGGCTGCTCTACAACGTCTTGCCTGCCACCCCCCACCCAGCGCATGACATCATGCATATGACGACATGTGACGTTGGGCACCCTCAATGTGGGAGGGTTGGGTTATTCCTTTAGAGAAGCTGAGTACAGGTCTCTTAAACTGGTTCTGTTATCCCTTCTGTCAAGGTCATGCTGACGATAAAAGGAAGGCCAGAAGGAGCCTGGGTTTCAGTTTCTTTTTCTATCTCTCTTCCTTCTGGTGTGGTGTTCTGTACATAGTATGTGTACATAGTGTTAAAATTTTAGACTTATTATAAGTTATTGTAAGTTTAAGTTAAGTCTGCTGCAACTGGATTTCTTATGGGCAGTGCCAATCCTGAGTGTATTGGATTTTGTGACCATTATGCTCATTTGCCTTCAGTAGCAGTAAAGCTCTGCTGGATGAAATATTAATTGCCTCTGGTCTATTTTTGGGAATCCTGCAACGGGTTTAAGTTTT